TATTAATATAAACTTAGAATTACATACATTACCATACATTACCATACATTACCATACATTACCATACATTACCATACATTACCATACATTACCATACATTACCATACATTACCATACATTACATTACCATACATTACATTACCATACATTACCATACATTACCATACATTACCATACATTACCATACATTACCATACATTACCATACATTACCATACATTACCATACATTACCATACATTTAATTATTTATACTTTGCCGCCATTTTTTGAAAAAAAAATAATTTTAATTTAATATCTTATTTTCGATGCTTTATGCAATTTTAAACGTTAAAATTTATTATAGTTACATTTATTTTATACTAGCCGCCATTTTTTAAAATACAAAAAAATAATTTTGATTTATTATATCTTATTTTTGATTCTCTATGCAATTCTAAACGTTAAAAATTTTTACCTAAATTTTTTTACTTTAGCCCCCATTTTCTCTATGTTCCCGAAGAGATATCAAAATTTTAATGAATGTACTCTATACCTTATTTTTGATGATATAACCGAAACTGAAATCAAAATTTTAAAATTCGCAACTTGAAAGCTACAGACACACACACACACACACATAGATTTCAGTGAACTACTTTTTTCAAAAAAAAGTTTGTTCGAAAATCTCTATTTTATCACATTTACATACAATAATACTGTATATTATGTATAATGTTTAATTTTAATCTATTAATATAATAGATTTATTTTTCTGCCAAACAAATAATAAATAGTAATGAACTATGAATTATTTTAATTACAAAATAAAATATATCCAATTGATATTGATTTGTGCCATTTGTTAAGTTATTGGTCTAATTAAGTCCTTATTTAGCAAAAAAATGTTATCAAATACACGATATACTAATGCAATCAATATCCACATCACTTGAAATCATTTTAATTGTTTTGTTATAAACAGAGAGTTTGCGTAAATGTTGCGATCATTGACCGGTTTTCTTATCTCTTATCAATATTTTATAATTTGATTCAATGGTTTATAAATTTTTGCAAATCAACGCATAAACAAAGTTTTCTCATAAATGATTATATTTAGTCTTTAAAAACCATTTATGTTTAATGTATTTTATTTTATTTTTTGCCTAAATTCATTATAAGTTATCAAAATTATAAGTATTTGTAAAGTTATTTTATGTATTTTTTAATAGTGTTAATAAAAGTATATTTATCTTTCATGTTTAGTATCAATAGTCATATATTCAATAAAATAACATTTTTTAATTTAAACTACTTTTAAAGAAAAATAATAATAATATAAATAAAACATTTATTAAATTAGAGATTAATGAATTAAAACTTTATGAAAAATAATTACATTTAGATTATTACATTATAGGTATTAAGAAATTTTAATATTAATATATAACTGTTTTTAATATAAACTAATGATATGTTTTTGTAGTATTTAATTTAATTATTTTATTTTTAGATTATTCTTTAGCAATTGAATTTATAATATAATTTATTTGATAATATAGTAGAATATTATTTTATTTGAAAAGTGTTTTAAAAATACGATAACATTAACAAATTGAATACAAGAATTSAATTGTTGTTTGCTTTGAATTGATTGCAATAAAGCATTCTTTAACAGTCTTTTCAGTTAATCGTTAATTCTTGAGATATCTTTCACTTCAATACCTATTTCTTAAATTTCTTATTGAAAGTCAGTATTTATGTCAACAATAAACTCAAAAAATTAATGCAATTTCAAAGATTGGTTTCAATTTTATAGTCAATAATTATAATTAGAAATTCTTTAGAAATAAAAATAATATCTTATATAAAATAAATTTCTGATATCTACTAAATATTGTTAGTAAATATTATATATAAATATATATCAGGGTTACTAAAGGTTTTCGATCTCAGGGGGTATAGGGTGTAGTAAAATGGCAAAAATCTCGAGGTATAGGGGTATAGGGGTATAGGGGTGAAAAATTTTTATTACATTGTTAAACGACAATTTTTTACCAAATTTGTATAAATTACTACTAAATTCGCCAATAAATTCGCCAATAAATTCCTTATAAATTCCCTATAAATTCCCTATAAATTCCCTATAAATTCCCTATAAATTCCCTATAAATTCCCTATAAATTCCCTATAAATTCCCTATAAATTCCCTATAAATTCCCTATAAATTCCCTATAAATTCCCTATAAATTCCCTATAAATTCCCTATAAATTCCCTATAAATTCCCTATAAATTCCCTATAAATTCCCTATAAATTCCCTATAAATTCCCTATAAATTCCCTATAAAATATTTGCAACTTATTTTATCAATACTCTCAAAATATTTTCTCAAATTAATAATTAAATATTTAATTTTACAAAAGTTTAGAAAAAATGAAGATTTGAATGCAAAAATATATAAGCTTGAAATATCAAATATATAAAAAATAAAATAATTATAAAAATCTAATATAACAAAAGTATCAATATTTTAATATAATATTTTCATAATTCTTATTTCATTTTAATTTTATTTCAATTATTAAAATCTTTATTAAAAATAGTTTCACATCTAATTTAGTTTATCTTATTGTTGATACTTTCTATTTTGTGAAAATTTTTGAAAATAGTTTTAATTAAAATTAATGCTTTTAATACTATTATTAAATGAAATTCAATGATGTCATCATATTTGCAATTAATATCTTTCTTTAAATACTTTTTTAACTGCGAGTCAATCATTACTACACTAATAGACATTAGAATAAATATATATCAATTAATAGTCGATTATACAGATAGACAATCAAAATATATATATTGTATTTCAGATATTTATACCAAATAATGAAAACTTAAAACAAATAAATTAAATGTAATGATTTGAGATATCTATGAAAAATGGTATCATTTTTCTGCTTGAATTTCCTTCAAATCCATTATCATTGTCTGACCCATTGCTTGATTTATGTACTTTTTTATTAATAATTTTTGTTTGTATTGTTTGAAGATAACAAAAATGTTAACAAAATAACGATTGATAACAAAATGATAGAAACAAGTATTTAAAAATAAAGCTATTATTACTAATATTATTGTATTATTAGATTTAAAGTCGATTAATAGTCTTTTGTTGTATATACTGTATATACTGTAACAATAATAATATTAAATAAATATTAAATATTAATATTTCAATAGTAATTTATATTAATATATTATAATAATACCAAATTCATAAATCGATTGAATTGTTTTATCACGAACTCCTGAAAGGAATACGTATCTGAATTCTATATGTCCTTCCGTCCGCTTTTTATTGAATTTTTAAATTATGACTTCAGATTTGGATTAAGCATCAAAAATAAGGTATAAGGGATCAGCATTAAAATTTTTATATCTCTTAGGGAACATAGAGAAAATGGCGGCCAGTCAAAAAAATTTTAGGTAAAAATTTTTGAGTATAGATTTGAATAAAGCATCAAAAACAAGCATAAAAAATATGCTTTAAAATTTTGATATCTCTTCGGGAAGATAGAAAAAATGGCGGTCAAAGAAAAAAATTAGTTAAAAATTTTAACGTTAAGAATTTTGTAGAGAATTAAAAATGAGTTTATTTTGTCATACTAAATCATTTGATACCACATATGACTATAGTTGAGTTTATTTTGTCATACTGAATCATTTGATACCACATATGACTATAGTTGAGTTTATTTTGTCATACTGAATCATTTGATACCACATATGACTATAGTTGAGTTTATTTTGTCATACTGAATCATTTGATACCACATATGACTATAGTTGAATTTATTTTGTCATACTGAATCATTTGATAACTCACATGACTATAGTTGAGTTTATTTTGTCATACTAAATCATTTGATACCCAACATCAGTAAAATTTACTTTGGATAAGGAGTTCGTATGGAAATGCTTTTTAGCATTCTCAACTGGTTTTAATATGTTTACAGTCACATACAAAATATTTTTTAATTATTTGTAAAATTTGCCTTTAATTAAATTAAAAAATTAATATAAATTAATTTTATACAAATAATGAAATATAGATTGTGTTGTGTTGTGTTTCAATGACTACAATTACAAAAGTTACAATTATTAAATAATATTTTTTAATTCACAATTTTTATAATAAATTTTATTGTATAAAAATTAATTTAGGTATATTTATTTAAATTTTTATTAATTTATTATAATGTGCTAATTATTAATTTAAATGTATATTGAAGTAAAAATAAATTTATTATCTGTAATTTAAAAAATATATATATTTTATAACTTAAAAATTATATAAATCTTATTTAAAATTGTATACATGAAATAAAGTATTTTATTTTAATAACAATTTTTTAAATATTGCAAAATCAAGTCAACTACTTCTAGCAAATGTTAATAAGTTATCGCTATATTTAATATTAATTATTCATTGAATAATATTCAAGTTAATAATAAACATTTAAAATAATAATTAAATCATTTACTTCTCCAATCAAATCAGTGTTTAGCCCACATATAATAACATCACAAAATGATTAGGAAATCAGACAATATATAGCACCGGTCTATTGCAATGAAAAACTATTTAAAGGTCAGCTATTATTAGCAATAATTATTATTGTATATATAATTTAAAATTGAATAATAATTAATACAGTAATAAGCTTCCGATCGGTAATTAAATTGAAAATTACCCATTTGTAGGCCAATATATATATACACCGGTCAATAGATGGCATATTTTAAAGGGGATTAATTACAGACATTCAAAAAACTTGAATAATTTGATAATTCATTAACCAATCATTTTGTAATGGGTTAGAAATTCACATTTTACCCAATGGTTTCACATTTAATCGCTGGCATTATTTGCGCTTACAAACGGTAAATGAAATTTATTTATTTATATAATTATTGTCAAGTTTAACAAATTGTAATAATTATAAAAATGTTTCATTAATTCAATAGTTGTTTTGTCTTTGAAATCTTTTATATTTTTGTATCCTTAATGTATCTTCAAATTCAATTTCATTGACATCCTTTTGCTTTCTTTGTGGTACATTATTCTTCAAAGTAGTTCTCCAGTCACCAGTCATTTTAATGTCGTGAAGAATGGCAACAATATGGTTGAGACACAATGACTTTGATCCCATCTTCCAGATTATGTGTTCGTCTAATGGAAGACGAGCCGTACGAATGGTATCTTTGTGTGCTTTGATGGACGTGAGAGGTCCTCGAGATGTTTTGTCAATAAGACCACCGATTATATAGATATCATTGATGTTAAACGTATTCAACACATTCCTCGAGTGTGGACTCAGATAAACTAATTGTTGTTTTGGAAATAAGTCTAAATAAGACTGAGAATGAATTGAAGCCAAAAAATTAGGAGAATTGTAATTCTGGAAGAATCTCGACATCTCTTTTACGACAACAGAATTTGGATCACAATTAGTGAAATGCAAATCAAACGGCTCTTGAGTTTCATATTTGTTGTAATGATATATAATTGATAATTGTTTCAACAAAAGCCGTATTTCATGTAATTTCATGTAATCATCAAAAGCTAAATCAATGATCAGTTTTTGACCAAACATTGCGGCTCTTCTTAATCGATGGTTTTGCATCCGAGAGATTGAAGACTTCATAACTTTGCTAAAGAGTGTGTTATGCCATAAACCATATATTAATTGTTGATTATTATCCCAAATGCCAGTCCTTTCAGAGCTAATCTTCTTGTAGGTCTCATCTTTGATTTGCCAATACTTCAGTGATAATTCTTTTCGCTTATTTTTCGACTTATTTTTCTGTAATTCTTTGGTAAACAAAAACTTAATCATTTTTTTCCTATCGATGATGTCGTTGATGGCAATGAGATCTTTCATTGCATCGATGGTGATGGTTGTAGGCACCCGAAGAGTCGTATACTTTTCATATTCGTATTCATTTAATATTATCTCAATCTTGTCTTTGATGTCATCGCTGGTAATCAATTCAGTGAATGTGTCGACACTTAAGTCATCAAACTGTTTGCCAATCAAATGACTGTGTATTGAGTTTGTGTTGCATCTGATCCAACATTTAAGACAATTAATGCCTTCAATTGTTTGTCGTAAAACATGTTTGTATTTCAATAAATTCAAAATCATTTCTTAATTCATTTAAATGAAAACAAATGTGACTTTTGTTGACATAAACAACAAAATGTTATAATTAGAGACATCTATTGATTGAATCAATTTCTTATATGAATGAGTGGGTGAATGTGTGGGAGAGTGGGTCAGTGAGTGGGTCAGTGAGTGGGTCAGTGAGGGGGTCAGTGAGTGGGTGTGTGTGTGTTTGGGAGAGTGGGTCAGTGAGTGAGTGGGTGTGTGATTGTGGTGTTTGTAATTTGAAATATAATAAAAATTTTGATAATCACTTATATATTACTTCATTTAATATTATTTATAATTTAATACTTATTAAAAAAATTAGTTATTTACTTATTTGGCTATTTTTATGTAATATTTAGTTTAACCAAAATATTAAAAATTTTAAATTTTATGCTTTTATTATTTTTTTTGCTAAAATTTGGTCGCAAATACATTATAATAACATGTTTTTTCATAATATTTTATAATAAATGTTTACAAATAATTACACAATTTTTATTAGTTTATTGTTAGTTAATTATCGATATTGTTAACAACGATCATAGTTTAATTCAATTGAATCAATTGCTACAAATCCATCATTAAATTTGGGATCAGCTATGACTTCGATGAAGAACTTTGGATCACCTGTTTTTATATCCACTCTGACTCTTGCTTTTATCCAATTGTCATTGAAATGGTTGATATAATAAATACAAATCCATCGGTCAAAGTGCTGAAAGATTTTTATACTATTAATAGCTTTTCCTTTAACGATAAATCTCATCGCAAAACAGGCCTTAAAATATAAATTTGATAATAATTTAAAAATTCAATAATAGTTATTATAAAAACCTCTGAGAATCCATAAGAGTGATAAAGAGGACTAATAAGTCGTGAGCCATAACCACAATGTTTGTCATAATTGTTAGGTATTTCCAATATCATGACTCCCTGTGCATTAACTTCAGGCACCGTATCCTTCAATTGAAACTTAATCAGATTGTCCTGTGATTTAAATCCACAATCATTTTGTAGTTCAAAATTACAAAATTCATTATTATATCGATCATTAGGTTTAATAGATGAAGGTTTATAATAATATGGATTACAATCATCAGTCCATGGATATTGAGAACATGGATAATATCCATAACAATATATTAAATTTATGTATAATATAATTGTTATCAATACTACTAGTAATAGATTCATTGATTTAAAATTTACTAATTTTAAATAAACGACTAATGAAATAAATGAAATAATTTAAAATAATATTTTCCAGAGAATAACTATTTATATAACTTACAAAGCAATTAATTTCTGAAAAAATTAAGGAATTGTTAATATTTTAAAATTAGAAAATATTTATTAATTTTTAAAATTCTTACAAAATTTTCATACTTTTTTATTTTATAAATAATTATTTCAAATAAATAATTCTTAGTTAGTAACAAATTATTTATATATAAAATTATTTTTTGTTATATTAAAATTCCCTATTTATTGAATTTGTTTTGAATACAAATAATATTTTATATAAATTTATCATATAATGTAAAATACTGTATTTAATATATTATTATATAATAAGTTTTAGTAGCGGAGGAAACAGTTTAAAAACTTTAACTAACTGTAAGTATTTTAGAAATAAAAAACTTTGAAATAAGTTAATATTTTTTTACTATTTGTGTACTTTTGAAAAATTAATTTTCAAACATTTCTATTACAAAATTATCATAAAATATTTTATTATATTGAATAATGTATGATAATAATTATTAATAAAATACTGTATAAAACAATTATAGATTAAAATAAGATTATTATACTCTAAGTTACTCTAACTATATCTTTCAAAAAATATCTAATAATTAGTTTAATTAATTATTTAAAAAAAACTTTTAATATATAATTGGCATAATTCGTCAAAAAAATTATTGTTTATCAGTAATTATTAGTGAAAATATTTTAATTATTTAAAAGTTATGAGTAAATAAAATAAGTTTACATTATTTAAAATAACTTCATTCCCGTTACAATGTAACCAAAATTTTTGTACATTTTTGTATTACAATTTTTAATTTTTTTATGCTTAATATATGGTTAAGTTTGGCCAAAATCGGAGACAATAAAAAATAATTGAATCAAAGATAAAGATTACAAAAAACTATCAAAATTTAAAAATAAATACATTATATAATATATAAAAATTATATGAAAACATGTTTATCACTTTCACAATACAATTCAATATGAAAACAATTTCAACATATGATAAATAATTTTTTATTTTAATAATAATAATTCATAAAATAATACAATATTTTGGTTGAAAATAAAATGTCAGTTATAATCATATGTTTATAAATATTGTATTATTTATATAAAGTGTTATCAAAATATATATTGAATTATATCGAGATTTGTTGTGATGTAACTAATTATGATAAAAATATATGATTTTATCATTAAATTATAAAAATTATATAAAATTTATAGTTTTGTATTAATTTGTATGAATAGTCGTGTTTATACAGTCTTAGCAAACGTGATGTTCGGAACCTAAGACTAATTATATTGATTACAACATTCAATGCATTAAAGAGCCAAAAGTTTTTCACCCATACCTTACCTCATGCCTAAAGCTGTTAGACAAACCTCCTGAACCACCAGTGGGTTAGGAGAGAGGTTTTAACTGCATGTTTGAGGAACTCAGATGTTTGGCCGACCGGTAACCCAACCGTCGGCATCCAATCATTCGGCAATAGGCGACACAACACAGCAATCAAACAAAACTATTTATTAATTTAACTATAAATTAAATAACAAATATCATCGGATCGGCTGTATTGATGACCGGCCGTCACTTAACATATAATGTACAGTACTTTCGGTACGATTACAACCATTTTAATGTTAATAATCTATTAATACAACCAGTAAACCTTTTTAGACATTATAAATGCCTAAAAACAACATTAAAAATGTCCTAAACTTGTAGTCAGTGCTAACAACCTGTTAAATGTTTAAAATCTCTGACATGATCTGACATGACCTGACATGATCTGACATGACCTGACATGATCTGACATGACCTGACATGACCTGACCTGACCCGAGCCCTAACTTTTACCTGACCTGAAAAATCAGGTCAGTTTTCGGTCTCTACTACAAGACTAGAGCTGCTATTAATACAAAACACTATTTTGTAAAATTAATATTTACATAACTTTTTTATTTAGTTATGTATTAATCAGGGTTTTAAAAATGGTAGGCATAAACAATAGATGCCACTTTTGCCAAATGTCTGTACTGCCTCTGCCATTCCCAGGGCATTAATTTTCAGATAGTGATACTTATTATTTTAATTTTATATTATTAATTAATTTATAAAACATTATTTGTTCGATATATTTGTTTGTATTTTTGTTTTGAATACCTTTAATTAAAAGGTAATATATTCTTGGAAATAAGTATATTAATTGTAAATATTTTATTATTTCTATAATAAACTATATTATTTTTATAAATACAGTTGCTTTTTAGCAATTTAAAATGGCAGGCATTTATTTCTTTAAAACCCTGGTATTAATACCTATAATATGACATTTGAATATGAGTTACAACAATGTAATACATATACTCTATTATTATCTATTAAAATATATGACTTTCTTGTAATTATTCAAAAGACCGTATACTTAACTGATGCCAATACTGTACATCTATTACAATATTATTGACTTTAATTAATGAAAAGTGTTTATTGAAAACTCGAGTCACACCATTTGACTTGAATTAGTAATGCAATCATTTATTTAATTATTGTCAATATATTATTAAATTTATATTAAGCGCTAAACATATAATTGGTTTAATTGTAAAATCATTGAACCAATCATTAGCTGTCACTACTGTATATTAAGATTGTATTGTTTGTTTGATAACAATTGGTACCATTTATATTGTATATAACATTGACGTTATGTATGAAAAAGTATGAAATATTGTGTATATAATTGTTATGTTTGTATAGAAATGAATTGATAATAAAATGAGAGAACAAATAAACTGTTATTATATTTAGTGACATAAGTAGTGACCACTCAGTGATTAATTTGTTTATATTTATCTACCGATTGACCACTTATTGACCACTTCAGCACATTTGGTACAAGTGATGGATCCGTCGATCGACAGCATTGATGAAACCAATCAAGAAGGCGATGGTATAACTTATTTGACACTTAATAGACAATCGGCACTCATATATCTCATGATTTTATTTGTTTTCTGTGACCAGACTTAGTGATAGCCGAAGCCGTCGAAGTGATGCTAACTATGTATTCGTGTCGCTTCTGCTCCAAGAGGTTCGACACTATCGACAAAGTGAAGACACACTTCTTAAAGAGGTATTATAGTCGATGAACACATCTATCATAAGTTATTGATAACTCATAACTACGTTACGAGATTAAGGAGTGATCGACAACTCTTTCATCAATTGATTACTTATTAATTTATTATTTATTTAAATGCTTTTTATTGAAACATAATTTGAATGACAATAATTGGGAGTTATTATACTTGCAATTATTTTTTTAAAATTTAAATATTGATAATAATATACTAATAATATGATAATTATCTCTAATATTATTAAACATTAATTTATATTTATTGAAATCACATGATTATACAGACACAGCAATGCATTGGACAGAACACCGAAAAAAGAGTCTACCGATGGACAGAATAATGACTCGAACGCTGAACAGAGTGGTGGTGACAATGACTTGGAGGAAGAGACAGTGGCTGATGGAGAAACTGGTGGAGAAGCTGGAGATTTGTCTGAAGTTAATAACGAAGAAAACAACGAAGATAAGACAACTCTTGTTTTAAAGCCTCAGAGGACTAGAGTTAGCAAAAGTAAGGTTAAAATGGTTGAGACGGAGCGCTCTATTCAAACTCGAACTAAACTTAAGAAAGATTTACCCTCACATCTGGAACTTAAAGTGATTCGACCTAATAGTGACAACGAAACGGCACCAAAGAGAGGTCGACCCAAAAAGTATGAAATGAGACAACCATTAACTTCTCAGCTTAAAACAGCCACTCGTCGTTATCCCTGTCCTTTTGAAGGCTGTGAATATGTAGCCAAATATAGATCTAATCTTTGGGATCACAAGAAATTGCACACCGGAGAGAAACCATACAGGTTTGGGTTGACTTTCATTTTTCATATTGTGTTTTCATTATACTTATAATATATTTTTCCAAATACAGGTGCAATTGGCCGTCATGTGAGATGCGATTTCCACAATCACAACAATTGAAATTACATTTGCGGAGTCATACCGGAGAAAAACCCTATGCGTTAGTAAACTATTGTTTTTATACAAATATTAATTTAGATATATTACAGATGCAATTGGCCCGGATGTGAACAATCGTTTAGGTATATCGTGTAATATATTATAATTATAAAATTTAATTACCGGTAATTTATTTTGTATTTTATAGCCAAAAACCAGGCCTTAAATCACATATGCGAACCCATACGGGAGAGAAGCCATATGTGTATGTAATGTTATACTATATTATTTGAAATTGAAATGACTTGACAATCAATAGGTGCGATTGGCCGGGTTGTGAGTGGAAGTTTAGACTTAAAGGAGCTCTTACTGACCACAAGAAAGCTGTTCACGAGGGTGTCAAAGCTTTTGTGTGTGAGTGGCCCGGATGTAACAAAAAGTTTTTACAAGTATGGCTTAATTGACTATTTAATGCAATTATATATTTATATGATTGTTATTTCAATATATCAATAGTCATGTCATTTACGTAAGCATATGATGGCACACGCAGACATCAAACCATTTGTTTGTGATTGGCCTAACTGTACCTATAAAGCAGTTTCCATGAGCTATGTTACCAATCATAAAAAGGTATCATTTTGATGATAAACTCGACGAAAGGTTAATAATATTTTGTTTGTTTGATATCAGACACACACGGGAGAGAAGAACTTTGAGTGCGGATACAATGGATGTACTAAACGATTCGTAAAGTCGAGTCATGTTAATCGTCACCAACAGAAATGTCATCCGGAAATGTTAAGCCAACCACTCGATGAAGAAATAGAAGTCTATAACATTGAAATCTAATGATAGCTATCTTTGGTTTTAAAAAAAGCATCTCATTTATGATTTAATTATATATATATTAGTTTATATAATATTATCAATTAAAAAATATTCATTAAATATGCTATTAATAAAATTCATCAAAATTCACTTTTCAAACATTTTACACAAAAACAATCATTTCATAAATTTTAATCACATTACCGATCGGTAATTTATAAAATATACAGTAAAATAAAATTATACGGTACTTATTAAACTATATTCGCGTTAATCTAGACTCATAATAAACTATTTATAGTTTTCATTGTGTTTATTTATGATAAAATAATTATCTTTTAAACATAATTTAAATCATAGAAAATATTTTAAAAATTATTAAATTTAATTTAAGAATAATATTTTTTGTCTGTAAAAACTAACATTAATTGCATTTTATTACAGTTAAGTGAATGTCTACAATATAATATATATATATTATAATATAAATATATGACTTGTATTTTTAGCGATACGGAAGTGATTGTGATTCAGACAACTTGTAAATCAACTTTTTTTTTGACAGAATATGATTAAAAAAACAATGTTTGAGTTAAAGTTGACTTTTTTCATAACCAGAATAATATTTGAGACAAACATAAAATTTGATGAAAGTTTTGTTAAAAACCGATTGAATGAGCGATGAGATTGAGTGATGTCCGAACTTTTGTCTTTTCAATCTTTACCTATTCGTCAATCATTTATTATAAGCAAAAATCTTATGACAAAATCTCGGCTCGAAATGAATGGAAAACATTTTATGATTATATAATAGTGGGCGCCGGCACTTCCGGTTCGGTAGTGGCCGCCCGACTTTCTGAAGATCCAAAAGTTACTGTTTTGCTTATAGAGGCCGGTGGATCGGAAACGGTCGTCTCAAATACACCCGGATTAAGTGATTCATTATTGAATACAATAATGGACTGGAAGTTTATGTCAATACCACAGAACGAATCGTGTCTATCGATGAACGATCATAAGTGTGTCCTCTCGAGTGGACGAGTAGTTGGCGGCACATCCTCTATAAATCGTATGATTTATTTGCGCGGTAATCCCATTGATTTTGACAATTGGGAAAAATCCGGTAATTTAAGTCTATAACAATAATAATAAGTAATACTAATTATATAAAAATTTAGGACTAAAGGGTTGGTCGTGGAGGGATGTGTTTCCGTTTTTTATAAGAGCAGAGAATCAAAGTGATGCCGAACTCTCCAAAAGTGGTTATTATGGAGTCAACGGACCACTTGTTATAAGCAATAATAATCAATACAATCGATTGCTTCAGTCGTGGATTTTTGGCTCTCATTTAAGCGGACATAAAATAAGTGATTTAAATGCCGACTATTTGGGCGCTTCTGTACTTCAGACTAATACCAGAGAAGGAAGACGAGTATCGACTGCAACGGCATATTTAGAGCCTAACATTGATAGACCAAACCTACACATATTGGCCAATGCTTTGGTAACACAAATCTTGTTTGAAAATAATACAGCAATTGGTGTAAACTTTATAAGAAATTGGCATAATTTTGCTGTTTATGCCAAACAAGAAGTTATTATTTCTGCCGGAACTATCAATTCCGCTAAATTAATGATGTTATCAGGTATTGGACCTAAACCTCATTTAGAAGAACATAAGATACCCGTAATATCAGACTTACCGGTTGGCCTCAACTTTCACGATCATATCGGCTCTTATGGACTCCACTTTACAGTTAACTCTACATTAGAAGAACCACTTACTGTCCAAAGTTTAAATCAATACTTCAATTCTGGTAAATCAATGTCTTATATATTTTCTAATTATTAGTTTATTTATAATCTTGTAATTAATAAATACAGTAAAATATTACCGTAATTTAATTAAGGAAAAGGACCGTTAAGTCAAAGCAAATATGCGGCCACTATATTACAGTCTAAGTATACCAACTCTAACATTGAATGGCCTGATATTATGCTTATGACATCCACGACAAGTCCTGGGAGAGAAACAAATGGTGATGTCGTAGAGCAAAGAATTGGACTTAAGAAAGAAGTGTGGAATCAATTTTACGGCCCTTACTCTAGTTCACCGCAATTCACTGTTTGGCCAATACTTTTACGACCTAAAAGCAGAGGATGGGTTCGACTTAGTAGTGCCAATCCATTAGATCAACCTTTGATTCATACAAATTATTTATCCGATTCAAGTGATTTAAATATATTAGTCGAGGCAATGAAAGAATCCATGAGAATCGTCAATTCAAAACCTCTTCAGCAATTATCTCCCATCCCTTTTGTAACATTAGTTCCTGGATGTGAACCTTATCTTATGAATAATCAATCAGTTGAACCAAAAGAAACATTTAACGAAACATTATTTACTGAATCGTATATCAAATGTATGATCAAATCTCTAACATTAAGTACTGGTGATTATGTGGGAACGTGTCGTATGGGATCAGATGAAAGCGCTGATAAAGTGGTCGACTCTCGACTTAAAGTAATTGGTGTCAATAACTTGAGAGTAATTGATGCTTCTGTTATACCGGAGATTCCGACGGCCACTACTAATGCAGTTACTGTTATGATTGCTGAACGGGGATCTCATTTCGTTAAATTTGATTATCGCTACAAAAATTTAATAATTTTTTAAAATTTTCTTAACGCTAATTAAAATTACATGTATATTAACATTTTATAATACAGTATATTATTTATTWATTTATTTATAGTAAAAATGTATATAAAAAATTATTAACATTAAAAATAATACTAAATAAACCTTATATTGTAATTATAATTTACTAATACTAAATATTAATTCACAATAATAACAATTATCATAAAAAACAATAACAACAATAAAGGCAAAAATCATTAAGCAAAAGTAAATAACAAAATAAATTAAATATAAATAAAAATTTATATAATAAAATGATATTAAATAATTTGGTAAGAGTATATTTTGTAATTAAGATTCAATATCATATCAATAGTGATAATTGTAAGGAAATTAACGTAAAAATCAGATACGTATACATAATATTTCTATTAAAAAAAACTAATAAAAGTATTTCTACCGGTATAGTTAATTGGCTAATAAAATGAGAAATCAAATATATAAAAAATACGTCAAAATTATATTAAATTATACTAAATATATGAGGAAATCATTCCATACATGTTATGCTTGTTATCACACAAACATTAACTATAGATAACATAAAATAATCTAATTTTATGAGATTATCGCGATTTGTTAACATTAAACATAATAGCGGCCACACATAGAAATACCAGAGTCCAAGAGCCGGATATAATAAATCCTAAATAAACTTCAAAGTGATCCAAACCCCATCCTCGGTATAACATATAACGAACCGCTTCAATACTCTTTGCCTGAGAAAATACAGTACTTATGAAGATCAATATCTTAGGCATTGTCTCTACCGGCCATACGACACCTAAAAAGTATTTAATTTAAAAAAAAATTAAATTAACATTAAATATGTAAAAATTAACAAAAAATAATTACCGCTTAATAAAAACTGAGGAAACATTGAACCCATGCATAATATTAGCGTAAAGTTTTCCTCTTTAGTTATGGCGGATATGAGTATACCGTAAGCCATACCACAAACTCCTTGCATAACAATTAATACTGAGACCCAAAATATTGAGCCGCGATTTGGTATTTCAAATATGAGAAAAGCTATCATTAATACGGATAATGTCTGAAGAATGACAACCAATGTCTGAGTCAATACATGTGATAATATATATTCATTTGGATGAACACCTAATAAATGTGTATTTAATGACTTTAGTATCAAATTTTAAATAAAATAAATCTCAATAATTACCAGAAACTAAACTTCTCTCAAGTAATCCATCTTTGCGTTCGAGTACTAAACTGAGTGCCGATGTGGCGATAGCACAGAAAAATGCCAACGAAAGTATGAAACCGGGAGCCATAAAATGGGTTACCGGAGGGTTACGACTACCAAGTATCGGCTCCTCTTCCTATTTAAACAATTTAATTAATCACAAAAATCAAAAATATAGTATGAATTATAGTATTTTAAAATTTGTTTAAACTTTACAAATCATATTAAAAATCTATAATTAAGATAATTTTGGTTTATATTAATGATTAAAATAATTACACGAATGGGCGGATCGACTAATGCTTCGTTCATTTCGTTACGTTTGAGAATATCTTTAGCGAAGAGTTGATACGATTCATGCATTGTTTGGCGTATTTTATTGGCTGAGAATTGGCCTAAAATTCAATGATAAATAATAATAATAATAATAAACTCTTTATTTATACACGTATTGTATTCAACAAATGCTGATCTACTATACAAACGTGTTTTATATTAGAATTTAATAGAATTAGAATAGAAATAATAATTAGTTTTATTTAACTTTTATATTAATAAAATAAATGTCTCACTTGTCATATCAAGATAGAGCTTAACAGCACTCATCTCAATATCTTCTGGATCTGAATCATAGCCGTGAATACCTCTTTGAATCATAGCCTTAGAGAAATTGGTCCCTAAAGCTATCATTGCCTTATTGTGTCCATCTTTGACCGATTGATAAGCGCTATCAAAGGAATTGTAATGATTTTGATTGATTGTATAGTTGTCTATAAATTGTAGAAAAAGTGTACTATAATGAGGTCTTGCAACTAATGGTTCGCCATTAAAGATGGCAACCGGTATATCATATGGATCTCGACCCAAGCATAGGAAGAATAGTGCGCCTAAATTGTAATCATTTTAGAGATCATAATATATAATAAATATTAAATAATATAAAAAAGCATACATTGAACCGCCGGAACTATTGCTGTAAATATAAATGCCGGTAAATTACGATACATTCGGATCACATTCTTAAGAAACAGTGCTTCACTTCTGGCGAAATGATCTGCAATTTTGTTTCTCTTCATTAATATCTTTGACGGTTTCAAGGAATTTGTCTTTTGAAGACTTTTATTGTTCACTAGAATATCATTCAAATCATTTGGTTGAGTAATCGGAGGGCTGTTTCTGCTTTTGTCCACTAAATTTATATTGAGATCAGACTCTTTGTTATTGCATAGTCTTAGGAAGACGTCCTCTAAATTGTTCACTTTATGTCGTTTGATAAGTACTTCAGGGTTGCCCTCTTCAAGAAGCATTCCCTGTCTCATAAAGGCTACAATTGAGGCATTTCGTGCTTCTTCTATATAATGTGTTGTTATTATCACTGTTATATTATCTTTAGCTAAAGCTATCAGATGTTTCCATATGCTTTGTCTTAATACTGGATCAATACCAACAGTGGGCTCATCTAACACAAGCAACGGTGGTTTATGTACGAGTGCTGCCGCTAATGACACCCGACGTTTTTGGCCACCACTAAGTTTGGCTACAAAAATTTAAAATTAAATAAAACTATCAATTTTACCGAAAATCAAGTGACTCACCAACAGAACTGGATTTATCTGGAAGTTCGAGAAAGTCTAATAAAAATCTTATGCTTTGTTTTATCTGAGCTTTTGGTAAACGATATAATCGGCCGAAAAATATTAATGTTTCTTCGATCGTGAACTCTTGAAATAAACCAATTTCTTGTGGCATATATCCGACACCGGGTCCGGGAACTAATGAATTGAAAGAACCGGGTTCTTCACCAAACACAATGACTGTGCCTTTTCTTGGTTTAAGACTTCCAACTAAACAATGAACTAAAGTAGTCTTTCCACAACCACTTGGACCTAATATACTGTAACTGTTAAACAAATGATAAATATTTAATTATATCAAGTAATGAAGTGATGTTTGCCATACATATTGCCTTCGGGGACATTGATTGTGATACCATTGAGAGCAGTCACAGCTTTTTTGCCCCTTCCGTATGAAAAGACAACATTCTTGACTTGAGCTGCAATTCGCTTATCACAGGTATCGGTCATCGACTTGTCCACAGTTGCCGTACATGTCCTCACAATTAGTGGTTCACTTTGAGACACGACATCATTGGTCACAGATTGTAGATTAGTATCCAAAGACTGTAACTCTATATTTACGTCCATAACTGTGGACACAATTGGCGGCCATTCAGACAGTGATAGAGACGGCGCTCACAACTGATGGCACAACACATGAAATGTTGTCGTCATTTGTGGCGAAGTTTGCATTGTTTTGGTTTACATTGACTTTTGTTATGAGTCTTATAACAGTTTGAAGACTAGTTTCAAGACATTCACAATGAGTTTAGTGTCATATGATTGCAGTGACGATGACTCAGACAAAGACAACAACATTAACAACACAACTGATCCAAAGTTAGTGTCCATAAAGACGATTAACAGCGCCCCACAAATAGATGATTATCTTCTTGAAACTCGCAAACAGCGCACATTAATTGATCCAAAATGTCAAGAATTAACATTTAATCCCAAATATGAAGATCTTTTTGCACCGCAGTTTGGTCCCAAAAATCCGTTCAAAGACGATCAAGAGGTTAACAAAAACTTCTTGACCGGTCATATTGAAGAAGCGCACGTTAGTGAACACGTGTTTGAGCTGCAGAGGAAACACTTCCATGTCTACGGAAAGGCATCAAATCCAAGTGATGGATCTAACAATGAAATCACTAATCAAGAGATGAAACCATTAGAAACAGTTAAACGAAAAAAGATATCAAATATGGATTCATCAAACATTGATGGCTATACCGGTCCGTGGATTCAGTTTGAAAATGAGTCGAAAAGTGCTAAACCAACACCTGAAGAGCAGGAAGAGATCGAGTCATTTATGGCCAAAAAGAAACGTTTCGGCAAAAAGATGGAAGAGAAGGAGTTTGAAGAGAAGGCCACCGTTCATATCGATGATGTCTACGACTATCAGGGAAGGAGTTTCCTTCACATACCTCATGACTTGGATGTCAACCTCAAAGCAGATCACTTCCCATCCAAGTGTTTCCTTCCAAAGAGAGTTATTCATACATATACTGGTCATTCCAAGGCTTTGACAGCCATTCGATGGTTTCCCCGATCAGCACATCTGTTCCTTTCGTGTTCGATGGACTCAAAGGTTAAGTTATGGGAAGTTTATAAAGACAGGCGATGTGTGATCACATATTTAGGACACAAACAGGCCGTTCGGGACATTAATTTTAATCGCAAAGGTTTGTATGATATTTGATTAAACATTAGATGATTAGTATATTTTACAAATTATTGATCACATATTTAATATATTACTACAATTTAATGGTAACTCATAACAAACTGCAATCCATTTTATAGCTCATCAGTTAATATCAAATTTATATGAAATTATAATTTCAAATTGTGTTCAATTAATTTTGTACTTTTGTCAATCATTTACCGATACACTAATCCTACAAACATTAATCCATTCAATTATTACACTTTAAAAAATATATATTCACAAGTTTTCAGCCCTTAATATATATGAATAATGAGTACTGTATATGAAACCATTGATTTAAATTTTAATTGAAAATTTATTACTATTGAAACCATATGTATAATTATTTTGTTGATTAAAACTATTATAATAGGCGATCGATTTCTTTCATGTGGTTACGATCGATATATAAAATTATGGGACACAGAAACTGGTCAATGCATCAGAAGGTTTACCAATCGAAAGGTGTCCTATTGTATCAAATTCAACACCGAAGAGGAAAGATCTCATCTATTCCTTTCCGGAATGTCTGATAAAAAGATCATCTGTTGGGACACACGATCGGGAAATATAGTTCAAGAATATGATAGACATTTGGGCGCCATAAACACAGTAACGTTTGTCGACAATAATCGGAAATTTATATCAACAGCTGATGACAAGTCCATCCGAGTTTGGGAATGGGATATTCCCGTTGACGTCAAATATATTGCAGAGCCACATATGCATGCCGTACCTGCTGTTACTGCTTCACCAAATGGCAAATGGTTGGCCTGTCAGTCGATGGACAATAAGATACAGGCATTTGCTTGTATGAACCGATTCAAACTGAATCAGAAAAAAGTATTTACTGGTCATATGGTTGCCGGATATGCCTGTTCTCCAGATTTTTCACCAGATATGAGGTATTTATTTATTTATGTAAAATTGATGTGAAAATAGTTTGAATTTATTTAGTTAACATTTTCCGATGGTATAAATTTAATCAAATATAATGAATAGCATCTATAAAATCTCGGATAATGTTATAAAATTTATTGTCGTTTCTAAAATGCAATTATTTAAATTTAATAATATCTTGATGTATATTCATATATATATAACTTATATTATATTATTTTTATAATTAGTTATCTGGTTTCGGGTGATGCCGATGGAAAGGTATTTATATGGGACTGGAAGACAACCAAATTGTTGTCCCATTTTCAAGCCCACGACAACGTTTGTATATCAACACTATGGCATCCACACGAAACTTCTAAAGTATTAACTGCCGGATGGGATAATAACATCAAATTATGGGATTAATTAAATCATAACATTTGTAACATTATAATTGTTAATCAAATTGTAATCAATAGTTATATTTTATATTAATAATTACCAATTCATTTAATATTAACATTCATATTCATTTAATTTAAGTAATTTAATAATAATAAATTGAATGTTTGAATTTGAGCTAATTTTCATATAAATGTTTGCATATTATTATGAAAAATGATTGATTTATATCAATAGACTGTAATAGCAATGACATTGCATTAAAGTAATATTGATTTCGTAGTTATAATCATTAAATACTATAACATTTGACACCAAACTAATGGTCCGATTTGTTAGACATTTAATACATTGAAAGTCAAATCATATTAACTATCGTTGATATTATAGACGGCATTGGCATCAGTCATGTGATTGCAATACAAACTACTTTATAGTGTTAAACATAAATGTATACAGAGATGGTTGACATCAAACAGTGATTTAATGTTATATTATGTCAATTAATATCAATTGTTTTGAGTAGTAATGATGAAAACCAATGATTGTTTGTATCATATATTGAGAGTCTATTGTTATCTAATAATTGAATGCTCTTTCATATAATGTATGTATTTTTGTTTGATATTCCAAACTATAGTACAATATATTTGTTTTGTGTTTTGATTACTGTTTATAATGTGTTATCATTTGATGCAATACTTGTTTAGTTTGGACACCAATTATTGCATGTATTGTCTGCATATCTCATCGTAAGACTAAATGATGGCCACTTTGATCTCACTTAATGCGGACAACTTTGTCGATAAATCTGATCCAATGGACATGAATGACAAAGACATGGATGCGATCAATACTTTTGACGATAATATGTTATGTCCTATAAGTCAGACAAAGTCGATGTCAAGGAATAGCATCAAATCCAATACCAGTGAAGACAGACAATCAGTCAAAAGTAATAAATCAAACGAAAGTGTGGTTAACAGTGATCGGAACCGATTGGTACCCATTAAAGACACCTATTGTTGGGATTGCCATAAGATCGGAGTAGACTTCTCCTGTAAAGCGTGTCTCAGAAGTTATCACAGCAAATGTACATCACTTAAGAAACTGATTAGTCAATCACCCGAAGACGCAAACACTAAACTATGTCCCGAATGTATAGACATAATGAAATCGGAAGAGAGGGCCAATCCATCGGGTGCTATGCAATGGCTCAACGGAAATGTCAATGCATTGGCCGAACTCCTCAAGTTTACCATCGAAACGGTCAGAGCGGCCGATAAGAATAACTCATTTTACGAACCCGTTTCCGATGAGGAATATCCAGAATATCAAAATATTATCGTCAATCCCATGGATTTAAAACAAGTGGAGAGAAATATTAAAAACAAAACCTATGCCTCAACTAATAGTTTCTTAGCTGATATCAAATGGGTAACCAATTGACCATTTTGTTCATTAAATACTCAACTGATTTGCACTTTTTTTTAATGATGTCAATGGATGGCCAATCGTTTCTTAGATTGTTTCCAAAGCGGGTGTCAATACATCAAACGATTTTAATTAATTTATATGTCTATATATATATATATATATATATATATATATATTTTAATATATAATTATAATAGTCTATCTAAGTATATAATTGCCATTCAAATCTATGACTTCTCTCCATCTGTTCGGCAAATCTTGGATTCCTTTGGCAAACCACTCTTCTGGCTGTTTGGCGAAATAGTCGCTGAATTTCGACCTCAATTTTTTACCATCAAGAAAGTGTCGCATTGACCGAAACAAATAATAATCAGAAGGGGCAATATCAGGTGAGTATGGAGGGTGATCAACAATTTTCCATCCAAATTGTTTCAATAAGTTTTTGGTCGTCTTTGCCGTGTGAGATGGGGCATTATCCTGTTGGAAATTGACACCCCATTTGTTTACCATTGAGTATCGCTTTTCTATTAATTTGTCACGAAGTCTTGTCAATTGTTGACAGTAGAGATCTGCTGAAATGGTGGCTCCAATCTCTAGTAATTCCCAATGGATAATTCCTGTTTTATCCCACCAAACAGATAACATTACTTTTTGCTGACGAAAATCTGGTCTTGGCGTCCCAATTGGTCGTTGATCTGTACTTCTCCATTCACCCTTTTTACTAGCATTGTTATAGTATATTAACTTTTCATCGCCGGTCACCATCCACTTTATAAATCCTTCCGTATTTTGACGTGAAAGCAACTCTTGGCATGTTTTCACTCGATTGGCCTTTTGTTGAGGAGTGAGATCATGAGGTACCCAAACTGAAGACACATATCTTTTGCCAATGGCTGCCAAATGTCTTGTGACGGTTGATGAATCAACCTTAGTATCTCTCCTATCTCTTCACCTGAAAATTTCGGATTCATCTCGATCATAATCTGTCAGCATTTCATTGTCAATCTTCGATGGTCTTCCTGACCTTTCTTTGTCCTCAACTACTACGCCTTCTTCTTTCCATCTTTTCCACCACTGTTGACAAGTCCTCACACTAACTGCTTCCGGATAGGCATCATTGATATTACTGGCCGCCATTGTTGGATTTGTTCCACGACGATATTCATATTCCATGGCATATCGGACACGGATGTCATGAGATTTTAAGCCGTATAACGGATCCATTTGAAGATATATCACAAAATTTCAATAACACACTTAAAGACTAGATATTAAGGTTTTTGATAGTCAACAAATTATTTTGTAAACATATATATATATATATTTTGCATCCAAACAGTATATATATATGTAGTTAAAAGTAGTACCGTAGGGGTGTTTTTAAACAAGTTTTTATGTTTATAGGTTAAGCAGTTTATGGGCAAAATAATCATTTTGTATCTGAATTTTATTGATTCATATAATTCTATAGTTTTTACTTATTATGACAACTCAACTATATATCTAAATACTAAAATAAATAATTTAATTTTATTAGTGCCAAAATATAGTGTTTTAAAATGTTAAATGATTTTATCGTTCAACTTTTTAATGTAAGCATGATAAATTAGACAATTTGTATTTACCGTAATTGTATTTTGATTTTTCCTAAAATCTTAACCATATTTTGAAAATAATTACCGTTAGTTATAAGATATCACAAAAATGTTTTTAATTGAGGGGCAATTATTTTATAGGCGGGGGAGTTAAAGTTGTAATATTTGTCTATAATAAACATTTAAAATATTGTAAATATTAAACTTATAAAGATATTTATTTAATAATGTTTAAACCATATGGTGTATTGACATGTAATTTGGAAATGATATGTTTGTAGTATTGGTTATCAAATAATATTATAAATCTAAAAAACGTCAATCAGTTGAGTGCTTGAGTTTTAGTTACCATTATTGATGTGTACATATGAATGGATTGATTTACAGATTCATCATAATTGCATTGTCTTCAACAGTGGTGTTAACAATGCATTTATAAGTGAAGCCAAAAACATCTTAAGAGTGGCAAAACAGGAGTGCGAAGAGATAGAAATATGTCCCGATTGTTACAACAACTACTATACGATGGAAGAGGAGACTTATTTTGCGGCCGTCTGTCGGCGACCACATGCCATCGTTTGGGCTAAACTTAAAGGTCATCCCCATTGGCCCGCAAAAGTGGTTCGCTATAATGAAATCCGAAACGAAGTGGACGTCCGTTTCTTTGGTACTCATGATAAGTGAGTTTATCACTGATAATTACAATTGAATTCTTTGTAATCCATTAATATCGTTAAGAATAATGGTTAATGAGTGTTAATATTGTTTAAAATTAATTGAAACCATTTTAATATAAACCAATTATTATAAATTGTTGGTTAAATCGATAATTTGTCAAATTTCTAACGATTTAAGACCATTAGACAATTGATGTATTTGTTTGATTGTTGACAGGTGTTGGCTCAAACTTGACAAATGTTTTTTAATGTCTAAAACCTATCCAAATAATAAGAAACCGTCCAAATTTGATCCAACAAAGTTTGATGAAGCCATCCGTGACATGAACTTACATTTGGATCAATTGCAAAGATATTATCCGTCATTGTTTCGATTTTATGAAAAGCATACAGTTTTCACTTTCGATAAGTTATATTTATCGTCTCAACCAATTGAACCCCAATCCATAATTGGAGACAATTGTGCTAAAAACGTATTAAATAATTATAATGGAATACCACTTAAGAAGTTAAAAGTTAAGACATCAAAGTTTGACGTTAGAACACATCTACAAGAAAGTCAGGAAACAAATGATAAAAAGATGTCACAAAACAAACGACTGAAAAAATCTATCAATGGTTCACCAAAAGCCAAACGATGTATTTCACAATCAATGACTGTTAGACAAGAGTTGAACAATTCTTATGATTCCGATATGTCTGCCAATGAATCACGAAGTGATCCCAAATTGGATTCACCGTTCAATTCAAACAACAATTCATTTTCTACTAATTTTAGTGATATCAATGGTGTCGATGAAAATGAAATGAAGATGAATGCCATTCATGAGACACTCAACAAATCTATTATAGATAGAGTTTCAGAAGAAAATTCACAAAAATTAACTATCGATGAAATAGATGACAACAATGTGAACAATAGTCTCTTTTGTACTAATAATGATCTCAATGCTAGTTTAAAGAAATTCAAAATTAATTCTAAGTCACCCCAAAAACATGTAAATAAATTTGAATTAAAAGCATTCAGTAATTTAATGTATTGTTTTTGGTTATATAGAAGAACGAATCATTTGAAGACATTTTGAAAAAAAGACTTAAAGTTATGGAGATTAAGATCCGTGGCTTAGAAGAGGACAAGAAATCGGCTGAAAATGAAATGGAATGTCTTAGAAGAACTAATGTAGAACTCGAAAGAAGTATCGATGACATGAAACGCAAGCAGTGGTGTACTAATTGTCTTAAAGAAGGTTTGTATTATAATTTAATTTAAAATAATTAGTAATTAATATTAAAACTTATTTATTGATGAAATGAAGCCATTCTTCCGTGTTGTTGGAACACATGTTACTGTACTGTCGAGTGTCAGCACAAACATTGGGCCATTCATTCCAAGACATGTCGACGACGACAACAATCAAATCGACAATAAAATGACTGATATTTTATCCATTTTTTACTTCATTTAGCATTTCTTTCACTCAAATATTAGTATTAATTTATTTGTATTTATGATTAATTCAAAATCTTTAGTTAAATATGTTTTTAAAATGTTTTCTATTGTATCTAAAAATATTTTCTTCTGTTATATTAATCTAAAGATAACTTCAGTAAAAAGATATTATATTACATAATATCGTTGAGAATAGTATTGAAATTTACAATTACTGGTAATTGTATTGTATAATTGAAATATATTTTAACTATTAATAGATAACTATAAAATTAATATTTTTTAAATTGTAAAATACATTTTTGATAGAAATTTTTGAGATTTTATTATATACAATATAAAAATTATATACAAATAAAATTTTTATTGAATTCAATTTAACATTTAATTTCATAAATTTATTACAAATTGGAAAAATGGGGAATAATGTGAGTTTTGTATTAAAAATATAGTTTTTTACTTTGAATAATAATTTGCTTGTTTTTAATATATTTTCAAGATTTCTCTTGTATTTGGATATGAGTTATACGTGAATTGCATTAAAATTTATGTGTTTTATCGGATTTTCCATATGTTTTAAACTGACCATTACTTTAGTCACTTTTGTCATTCTTGGGTGAAAATGACAATTTGCATAAACCACGTCTTAGTCCACTAAAATCGTAAGAATTTGATCCGACAAACGTTGACATCTCATACAACACTGGTTTCTGTTTCTTTTGATTATTTTTAAGCTGTTGTTGTTGTCCGGGAAAAGTAATTATCGGAAATATTATATTAACGGTAATATCGTCTCTCAATCACCAACAGAATCGAACGGTAATAACCGTCAGAATCGGTGCAATGTATTGAATATAGAACTCTAACACTAATTCAATGCTATTTTTATACCTAACTTGTTATTGCATAGAAAACACTTAAGACATGTAACACTTAAGAACTATATATAACTTTACTGTAATTATTATTAAACATAAAATTAGATTATTTTAGATTATTACAAAATTATATTATTGTTAATTATTATTAAATTCATTAAAATATTAAATTTAATTAAATTTAACAAATTGTTGTCCTAAGAGTTGTCTAAAGAGAGACTTTACATTCAAAATATGTGTCTCAGATGAGACCTTCTATATACAGGAATATACCTAATCTGCATAATATCTATCTCAGTACCAAAAAAACTCATTTGAAAAATAATACAAAACTGATACATAAATAATGTAAACCAAATCACAAGTAGTTTGTAGTTAAAGTTTACAAAAAACTAATTGATTAACAAATTAATGAATAAAATATATTAAGTATTAAATATCAAAATAAGTTATAAATAGAAAAATACTCTGAAATAATTGTAATGATTATTGAATAAAAAATGAGAAGTGTTTTGTAAAAATAAATGATAAATTGTTGAATCAATTGTGTGTTTTAATAGAATGGTATTTTTTTAAGACCAAAATCCTGTTTAACATCACTACCGTCCGTACGCGCATATAGCCCCCCCTAAGGCATCCGGGGCTATATGTAAAACTATGGGGCTATATGTGAGCCTCATATCAAAAGTTTGATTTAATGAATTCCCCACTATTGAAGTTTTTGAATGTCTAAAATTAACTCTATGTTGAACCACCCCCTATCGTTTCGTACCCCCACGACTTCCCAGTTGAGGGGGTATATGTGAGTTACAGCCCATAGTAAAAGTTGATTTTTATTTCATAAAAAACCTGTTAGGGTGGGGGCTATATGCGCGTACATACGGTACTGTATATTTGATTTGTTATAAATGTTTTTATAATATGAGTATAAGTCAGACATTCGACAAATTTTCAACAGATATAATACTGTAGTTAACGAGTGATTGATTGACAATTAATTTTAGTCTATATTTCTAATAAAGTTATTGATTTAGAAAGAGATCGGAAAGCATTTTATCAAACATTTATTTTATCAAATTTCTATTGTTAATAGACTTTTGCAAAATGTTTTCATAAAAAGTTATTATAAATACAGTATAATAAATACATTTACTATATATTCTATTAATTAATATTAATATATTAAATAACTATTTATCAGATAATTACCGGTACATACATTTGAGCCATTGATAAAGTATTTAATAATTATTTTAAAATATATTTATTCAATTATTTTAATAAACATAATTTTATTTTTACATTATTAACTTTTTATGTGCAAAATTATAGAAATTATTTGATATTTGTTAACAAAAAATTATAGTATTGTAATGAATGAAATGAATGAAATTATAATGAAGTGTAAACTCTATGTTCGTGAGCTTCTCTTAGATGAAACTCTAAGTCATTGTAAACATATGTCTTGTAATCACAGTTTGAAAAATTACAACAAAATATTTGATTTGTCATAAGATTAGCTTCAGTTGAGTTGAGGTCAATGTCATACAATTTATTATAAGTCAATTGACTATTATTACTATTATTAACAATCAATGAGCACTGGGAACTGTTATCGTATGGATAATTCATGTACTCATTGAATCCATTTATCAAATTGATATCTGGATTATATGGTATATTGTATGGTATATTCATCAGCTGTGTTGATACTGACGACGACTGATGCCATAACATATGACTTTTCCTTTGGTTTTCGTCTTCAAAATAATAGCCACATTCAGTGCACATATTACTCACATTTTCAATCATTTTTTGATGAACTAACTCATCGTGAAGTCTATTCTCTTCATGAGTTTGTTGTTGTTGTTGCTGTGTATGACTGATCTCATATTGAATCGGTTGACTTTCACAATGATTTTGATGAATATATTGTGTCTCATCTTGAGTTTGTTGAGGAGTTTGCAATTGAGTTTCATTTTGCAACTCAAGAGTACAGTCTGATCGCTGAAAGAGATATTTTTTGTTTTTCTTAGACTTTGGCATTGCTTTAAATTTGCTTTTCTTCAGCTCCTTATTAGTCACGTTATTATCATTTGATGAATCGGTTTTTAAATACTTATGGATTTGTGAGATATGTTTGTCCAGACTTTTCTTATGTTTATACTTTTTGTTACAATAATTGCAAACAAGAACTTTGTCTTCACTGACTCCTTGAGAGACAATAGTTTCCGTATTTAGTAATTCATCGATTGTTTCATCAATTGAATCACAATTATCTGTTTGATCCGTTATATCATCGGTAGAGTCAGTAGTGTCTGAGATATCAATTTGAATACTATTCCTGAGAACCCTATCGATGGTATCTTTAATAAAATCAATGGTAGAGTTGAGTCTTTCGACTTTCTGGTCGTCAGTCTCTTGATGGCAGTATTGATGTATTGAATTATTACTAACTTTAACCCTATTTTGAGCATCTTTTGGACAATTTGTAGACACATCAGTGTCAGCCATATGTGTATCACTTGAAATGTCAATCGTTTGATATTGAGTTGACTTATCTATTACCACAAAAAGAGTTCATTTTATTCAATAACCCAGAATTGATGTCATTATTAATGATATACCGGTGCAGATCTCAAGTTTCCCGAGTGTGTCGATGAGTGGCTGTCTGTCGACTGAGATCTGGATGTGATTGTGACACACGTCGAGCACTTGCATCTGTTGCAAGAGTTGGCGTTCATTTTCATCTAATGTACTTCTGATACGAGTGCCATCCCTGTGACCAACCATTTGGCGGCAATTGAGGTAAAGTTGTCGATACAAGTTGGCCACCACTTCATGTCTGGTAACAGATGTCTTAAGTCTCTCTATTTGTCTGTTGGTTTCATTGAGTTTACAAATCAATTGGTATTTATTTAAACCAATTAAATGACTCATTGTTTGAGTCAATCAAAGAGTTTATTGATTGGATTCAAACCAAAACAATAAACACATCATTGACTCCATCACTACATTCACTGTCAACACAACATTCAACACAACATTCAACACAACATTCAACACAACATTCAACACAACATTCAACACAAATAACAACGCATTCATAACATTCAACTCAATGTCTATTCAATGCAATCGTTGGCGTAATTGAGTGTAAATGTGAATCACGTGTCAACCGATTGCGTGCATTGTTTTGTCACATGAATTGGCGCTTATATTGCAAGACATTCAAGAGCTGATCCCATGAAGTCATGTCTGAACTACAGTTGTCACAGTCTGTACTCAAATGTCGACCGTTTGTCTGCGCACTCAAAAGCACTTACAAGTCATTGCGTTGCGATTATTGCTTTCAAAAGTATTATCTCATCCATTGTCACAACTCTTGAGTTTCAATTGATTTAATTTCTTCCTTTTATATGTCATTACAGTCTACCAATTGATCAGACAATTCGTTGCGAAAGATGTGTAAAGATGTGGTACTGCAGTGATACGTGTTGTATCAATGACTCAATTGGTCATAGCTTTGAATGTGATGTCGACTATGATTTGATCCAAATTATCACCGATCAGTTCAGTTGTTTAGATATTCGCGATGAGTCTGATTGGTGTAAATTTAGAGATCCCGATGAATGGTTAACACATACACTACTTTTATTACGTGTTTTGTTTCGAATGAAAGCTGATCCCAATTGTACGACAATTGATTACCAATTACCGAACGGTTCGACTGTATGTTACGATCAGATAAACGCTCCGTTATGTGAACACATGCACAGAGTTTACGATGAGGAAGACATGAGTGACAAAGACAACAATCTAAAGATAGAGCTGATCGATGAGATCACCTATAACTTTGGCGCATGGCTTCAGGTTGTTAAACAAATATTGGATTTGAATTGTATTCAAACAAAATTAGGTGTAATTACTGAAGAGGTTTTGATGCGGACCTTTCGTATTGTATGTCATTGAATGTACGCTTATTTATATGAAATATGTCTTTAAAATATATTATTTAAATGAACAGATAATTGGTTATACGTTATACGTTTGTGACTCGACTTTTCTCAATGATATCGGCAAAGCCTTGTATATAGAGATGTGTTTTATTACGCATTCATGTATTCCCAACTGTTGTCCACTCTTTGACGGATCAAATTGTTTGGATCTTAGAATTATCAGTGAAGGAGTAACCAATTTTTCTCAACTCAGATATGATTATCAAATTGAAATGACTGGTTATCCGGCACTCGATTTGTTTGAATCACTGATTATGCGTAACATTGATTGCAAGTGTATTAAGTGTTGTAATCCACAGATTAAAGAGTTATCAATTAATTATAACAAGAATGTGTTGAATGCTAATCTCAAATATGGCAATTGGCCGCCTCTTGATTACTGCCAATCAATGTATGAACCCATTGAAGACGCTCTGGAAAGTTATGACAAACTCTATGGAAAACATCATCCAATGATTACTGCAATGTTATTATGGAAAATAAGAATTGAATGGTTTATGATTAACTGTGAAGAAGACAAAGATATCACTAAAGAAGATTTGTTTTCAACTTATTATAAACTTAGGAAATCAGTTAGTTTTATGACTTTTAAGGTCACAGTTTTTATTTGTTATAAATTTTGTTATTTTTATTTTAGATGTCAGCCACTCATGGATTGGATCATATTTGGTCTATAAAATTGAGATCAATTGATAAACCATTTCAGCAATTAATGTCTGATCCAAATGCCATCAATACTAGCTCTGAATACTATGATATTATTGATAATACAATTGAACAGATAATACCTCGCGCAGTAATTAATAGCAAACTATCATAAAATTAATTTATTAATGATTTAGTTTTTATTTTTTTATAAAATAAAGTAAATAATTTTAATTTAATATTTTCTATTTTTAAAATACTAATTTAATGTCTAATATTTTTAAATTATACTATAGTTATATAAATTTGTTTACTATAATAATTATTTCATGTAAAATGTTGTTTTAATACAAGCTATAGAATTGTGATTATTTTTTATATCACTAATAATTAACTAAATATTAAATAATTTTATAATAATTACTAGAAGACAAATGATAAAGTTAAAGCTAAAATAAGTGTTAAAATGTTGGCAACGGTTTAAAAATTTATACTTATTGTTATACAGTGTAAAAGTTTGTAAAAATGTATGATTTGATGTGATTGGCGAACATAATTTAAACATAATTTAAACATAATTTAAACATAATGTCTATTATCAGTGAGAAATGTTAAATAACTTTTATTTTTTATCTTTTATTTAAGTTAAAATTAACATTAATTTAACTAAATTATCAAAAGCATTTTGAAGTTTAAATCAAAATATATTTGAGAAACTTGAATACAGCCCAAGTGACAGTCATTTTATATAATTTAACAGTAAGTATCAAAAAATATATTTGGATTTGTAAATATCAATAAATTAAAATTATAAGAAATATGTGATAAATTGATTTTCATAACTATTGATAATTTATCTGTATATTTGTCTGTTTGTCTCAATTTTTGACAAATTATAGAATTTCGATGAAATTTGGATTAACAACCAAAATGTAGAATTGATTTGTTTGTCTTAAATGCAGAAATTCAGGAAATGTCGACAAAAAGAGATAGAAATATATATTTTTAAAATTAATTTTTGTCTAAACTATATTTGAATAAATAAGTGATGGATCTCTTAGTGAATAAATGTTTTGCAAACACTTTTGGTTCCCATATGTACTTTGATTTATTCAATGTTAGTATAATTTAATTGTATTAATGCAATACTTATTTACATTATTTACTTTTGATTTAAAGTAAATTATAATATTTTATTTTTTATTGATAAAATCAGTATTGATATTGACATAACTAATCTAATATTTACTTAACTCTGTGTATAAAAATGACAAAAATAGCTTTAATTTATTTCTTATTACATCCACTTTTTGTACAATAGTATAAACTTGCAGTTCCTATGAAATACACTATTTATTTAGCAATAAAATAATATTGTATAATAATAACTATTGTTAAATAAATAAAATCAAATCAAATAATACGATATACAGTAATAAAATAATGATTTTCAAATATTTTAAACTATTATAAATTTTTAATTATTATTTATACTTTATAGCTATTAATATATTCAAATGTATTATAAAATATTTAACAATTAGTTTTAAATTAACACTAATTATTTGTAGAACTATTTTAAAAATAAATTCAATAATTTTGTTAAATATAATAAAAATATTGGATTTAAGTTTATTTATATTAAAACAATTTTTATATATTTTATTTAATTTAATAAATAATAAAGAAAAGTGAAAATGAAATAAAGGTTTGATTTGAAGTTTAGTTAGAAATTAGATAATTTTGATTTATATCGTTGACTGCATTACCATTGATGTCAAACACAACCAATTGAATGATTTCATTATAAATGTTGGCCATTAATGGGTAGTTCTTGAATAACTGACAGACAAATGCTTTGTAATTGTCATCATTTGACAGTTGTTTTGAAGTGTTGTATATAAAGATACCATTCAAACAAAAGTATGGGTTTCCTTCACGAATTGGATTTTCCAAAATTGTATTAATAAAGTGAAACATATGAAAGCACGACTGAAATTGTGAGAAATTGTGAACAAATTGGACATTAAATTGTTGGCTACTCTTTGGTGGAATACAGAGTTGAGTCCAACATTCTTCATTAGACAGGTCTTCATTGAGATAATAAATAATACTTAGAATTATGGATCCAATAAATGTTTTCCAATTGCTTTCTTTGTTATGAATCCTCCAATAAATTAATAAAATTATAATAAGAGTTGTGCTATCAATGGATGAGACGTCTTGACACAAATCAAAGACCATAAGAGACACTTTGATTCTATTAATGAGTCCTTCGGTGACTCTGAGAATTGACAGCAATAGAGCTCTTCTTTTATGAATTGCCAACTTTCTGATGTTTGCCAAAACTGGTAATTCTTGTAATTCAGATATCTTGAGTTGTGGTGAAACCAAGTGATCAAATCTATTTAAATCCTTTCGAGTCATTACTTTGATTTGTGACATAATTTTAGTGTCTGTGCGAAGTAATCCGTAAAGAAATTTTCTTAGACTTAATGTACAGTCAAAGCTCGATGGCTGCGAAAAGTCTTCTAATTGAGGATAGAGTACGTGAGTCTTCATTTGAATCACATTCATAAGCGCCGGACGAATGACTCCTTTGTGGTATTCATAGACAAACCAATCGGGAAGAATGATATCAACATCTTCTTCAGCGGTCTTCACTTTTAAGGTATTGCACTTAAGTTGGGGATCCATTAAGTGACTTTCAAGACTACATCCACTGAATTCATTTGTTTGATAGCAAGTCATTAGTTTCTTAAGATCACAACTATTAATTGATTTCTTGTTTTGTGAAATAAATTTTAAGACTGACTCTAATACTTTGTCGAAGCTCTTGGTTGTTATCCATTCCATCAATACATCTATTTTGTGATTACAGTTGCGAAAGATCTCATTTCTCATGCCATCGATGCCATTAAAATCAAGTAAACGTCTTTCCAGAAGAACACCAATTAATGGTAATAATTCTTTTCTAAATCCTTTATATCTCTTTTGCAAAGAACTTGAGTGATAGGCTTTGCATTTTAAAAACCAAAGCTTTCTGGAAGTGCTAAACGATAATTGCCTTCTTTTGATTGGAAGTTTAGATATGACGGCAATATCATTGTCCATAAAATAAAAGCATTTCTTATTTGAAACTAACGGACATTTAAGTTTGTCTGCCAAAGAAGCCATTTGTATCCACGGCTGAGAACAGCTCTGAATTATTTCGATGTTTAGATTACGAAGAACTGAAGTGAACACATAATTACAAAGAGTGGGTGATTGAAGTCGACGGCACCGGTAATCATCTTTAACCAGATTTTGAATTTCTTTAATTCTATCGTTAAATGCATTATCATATTTGGTTGGATCAATGGATCCGTTGTAGATAATAATTGGCACGACTTGGCAAATCTGAAGACGTCTTACAAAGCTTGTGATGGTATCAGCAAAGTGTGCATAATTGGTGCCATAATTGTCATCTCTGTGTTGACGACTCGCTTCAAAGTACAGTTCGTGTTGTATGTGATGGCCATCGATAAGGACTTTAGTGTCTCTCAATTCAATTGGTTGTGTGATATCTGTTTGTGAGTTAATAAAGTCAACGAAGTCTGAAATCATCATAATTTTAAAGAAATTTGATTTGATTTAAGTGATTATGAATGAGATTATGTATGAAATGATATAAATTTTAAATAATTATTGTTTAAATTTTTTATTAGTATTAATGCGTGAATTAATAATGAAAATATTTCAAACCAATAATTATCAATTTTTAACAATCGATTTCAGAGAACGAAAGTTATTTAAATAGCAATTAAATTGTATTTTGAAAATTCGTTATTAAACTGATTATCAATTGAAGTCTTATTAAGAGATTTGTTTCAATTAGACTATAATTCAGAGATAATAGTTGAGTGCTGTCTGTAATACACATCAAAAATGCCGATTATTTCAGATAAGTTGAAAAAGGCCACAAAAAAGGCCGAAAAGGAAGAACAAAAGCGCAAAGAAGAGGAAGAACGTCGACTGAAAGAGGAACAGGAAAAGAAAGAACTGGAAGAAAAAGAAGCTAAAGAACGGGAAGAACAAGAAAAGAAACAAAAGAAAATGGAAAAACTTCAGAAACGAAAGGAACGACACGACAAACACAAGAAAGATAAGGACGAGATGGAGAAAAAGACAATTATGAGGAAAGAGATGGCTTTAATCAAGAGATCAATGGCTGCCAAACCCATCAAAGATGAAGATATGCTTCAACGCCAAGGATATCAAATACTCAGAACTGAAGTCAAATCGGGTCACTATAGCCGTGTATATCGTGCTAAACAAGACAAAAACGAGTCAGTAATTTGTAAAGTCGTTATTCTAGAGAAAGTACCGAACGATTATCGACAAAACTTGTTGGAGTCGGCCGTCAAGATTCAGCGTTATATTGGATCAAATGCTGAAGAGAGTGCCAACAAAGATACGCCAAAAAAGGATACTAAAGAATCCAAAGAATCCAAAGAAAGCAAAGAAGCTAAAGAAGGTGACGCCACACAAACCGGTGCTGATGCCAGTGCCGCCCCTACTAATGGAGCAAAACATGCAAATCTGGTCAAAGTTTATGACATCTTTGCCACAGACAAAAAGGTATACATATTTCAAGAAGAATGTCTTCCACAATCTGTCTTTGAAAAGTTTCGTAAAAGTGAAACAGTTGATGAAAATGAGGTCAAGAAGATTGTCAAAGACTTGGCCCAGTGTATCAAATACCTTCATTCTGTAGGTGTGGCCCATTGTAACATTTCCATCAGTCACGTCATTCAAGACAAGCAAAATCAACTAAAACTTGTTGGTCTTAACAAAAGCTGCTTCTACTGGGACTCAGATTTGGAGGCTATTATCCCGAAAAAGAAGTTATCAAAGAAAGACTTTGAAAAGAACAATCATTTGCCGCCCGAAGTATTTAAATCTGAGACTTGGGATCCATCACTGGCTGATGTCTGGAGCTTTGGTGTTGTTTTATGTCAATTGTTGGCCAAAGAAAATCCCTTCAAAATGAGTTCGCAATCGTTTGAAGAACAGTGGAAAGCATTCGCTGAAAGCAAACAATTTTCAGATGAAGCCAAACAACTATTGGACCGAATCTTTGTAGAAGATCTCCAAAAGAGACCCAATATGTGGGATCTGATCAGCGATTCCTTCTTCAAGAGTGTTTCATAAAAGCAATCACACAATTGGCTATATGTTCAGCAAATTTCATTTTCATTTGATTGTATTTTAATAAAATTATTCTCATTTTAATATAAAATTATTATTTATTTTTTACATTTCATTGTATTGTGTTTTTGTAAAACTAATATTTGTTTGGTTTTAAAATTATCGCTAAATAATCTATATTTTTGTTAAATAAATGATTATTATATTCAATATAATAACATTTATTTTTAATATTATAATCATATTAAGTATTTACACTTAAATCAATACTAGAGCTGTATTTTTATTTGATTACAAAATTATACTGTACTGTACTGTATAATGTACGGGATATTAGATTATCTGTATATAAAAATAACCATTTTTTTGTTATTGGTTTTTGTTTAATGTGTATTCAATTTAATCTTTGTATAGTAGATAAAAAGTTTTTATAATCAATTATTTACTGTATTATATTATTTTTTTGATACATAAAAGAATATAAACATAGAAAACAAAGATAAAAACCAAATGTCAAAATAATTTGAGATCATTTTTCAATAAAAAATTAAAAAGGTTTTCAACAAAATAATGATTTTTTATATATAAACTAAATAAATGTTTATATTAGGATATTTAATATGCCATTAATATACCAACATATAATACAATACTGTTTTAACATGATGAATCTTTATAAAATTTATTTTGCCAATATAAATTTTCATCAAAAATGTTAAAATATAATTAAAAATAATATATTGTAACCACAAAATACAAACATAATAATAATAATTGAATGTTACATAAAAAATAGATTATAATAATGTTGGATATACTGTATAATATATTTTTTAATAAGTTAATACAGTAGTTGTTAGCTATATATAAATTATATATAAAATTTACTGTATGTCTGGTTCTAAATATAAATTATAAATTACAGTATATTATTATAATAATAATATTCTTTGTATAACAAGCCATAAGCTATGATTATTATATTATGTTTTTATTTTGTATTTCTCTGTGTAATCATATAAAAACTCATTTTGTCTACATTTTATTATTTTTATAATATAAAAAATAAAATTAGTTTTATATATATATAAATTTTAATATACAAATATAATTCAATGCGATTTGACATTTTTTAAAAATTGTAAATTAATTTAAAAACAGAATATTATATAATTTTTCTGATAATAATTTATTAAAAAAAGATGAAAATATTTCATTTACAATAAAATAGGTTTCATTATAATTAGGGTTAGATCAGATCCTTGTTTTATATTCCCTATAGTTCCTTATGTTCCCTACTCTCTGGGAATTCCTATGGAATGTACTAGCTTATTCTACTAAACTCTAAACAATACATATTATTATAGAAGAACAAATATTCTATTGAAGTGTATATTATTTTAAAGTTGTTATTATAATTATTAGAATTAATTTTTTAATATTTCACTATTTTTGTGCACAATTTGCATATTTGTAATAATATAAAATATATTTCCATTTCTAACGGGAGTAGAAATAAAATATTTTTCACATTTTGCGGGAAAATTGGAGGGATTTTTAGGGAACTTCCATCCCTGGGAACGTCGATCGAACTCTAATTATAATATATAAATGAAATAATTTTTGTAAAGAAAGATACTGTACATAGAAATACAGGACTACTGTATAGTACTGTATATATGATTATAAGTTATGTTTTGAGTCAAAGCATGAGTGAGTCGTTGCCTATTGACTGGTAAACCCCAGCGTTAGCTATAAGAGAGTGGATGATAATAATGACACAGAGATTGCAATTGAATGGATGAATGAAAAGTTGTCCTCTAATGCCATAAAAGAGATCGATATTTAGTAGATGTGATAGTTGTGCGCAAATCTATGAAACACACGCATAGTGTTTGCCAAACAATGTTTTATGGGTTCAGATGTTAGATCTAAATCATAGCTCACATGTAAGTCCTTAAGACTGCTTTAAAGCAAACATTTAAGATATTAAACTCAATGTCCATTCGCCTAATGTTTTCATCATTTTCTCATTTTTATGTCTTAAATATTTGAAATATTTTTGTTTAAAAAAACCATAATATTTATTGAAAACTGTATACAGTATTGTATTCTGTATTAAATATAAGTGTTTATAACATTAAGAATTAGTTGTTTGTGAAATCATTGATAAAAATGTTTTAATGATTGATTATTTCGTTAGTCTTACAACATGTAAGTTATAAATAAAGTGAGTCTTATTATAGATATTTAAGAATCAATAAAAAGTTTTGACAACTTTTTAGTTCATGAATACAATTATACTTTTGATTGATTAATGCGTTAAGTTTCAAATCTACTATATCGCTATATCGCTATATCGCTATATATAAATATATAGTAATTTTCATAGACATTGTTTGAATTGAATTTAAATTTTAAACAAAATTTTAATTGCATTACAAAAATGTATGTTTTGGACAATTTGTCGACTATTTTGTATTATACGTTTGCTGTAATAATAAGTGCTTTTTTACTACTGTTAACACTGTTGTATGCAAGCGAACAGTTTCGCAAATTATGGTTTTCCTGGTTTTATACAATATTTTGCACACAATTTATCAAAAGAGGAGGGAATGCCATTAGAGCCAAACTTTTTGAAAAACTTTCACGTTTTCATACAGAGGATCAATCAAAACAATTGGTATTATATCTCATTTATATTACATATTTATAGTATTTCTCTTTATTCTCATTGTTTATCACATCTAATCAATTATGAGTTCAGTTTAAATAATACACTATTTTTTAAAACAAATGTTGTTTATCGTATTGATTGGTGAATATACATCTGATTTTATATGAATAAAACTAATGTATATATTATTTTATATATTTATGTGGTTTAATAATATAGATTTTTAATTGATTTTAATAAAATCTAACAAAATAATTAAATTAACGAACAATTAATAGATTAAATAAATTTCATTTCTAATGCATTTTTATTTTGTTAATTAATGTGATAAAAATTGTTCAATTTTATTTTATACCATTTGAAATAACGTAATAAAAATAAGATAATCAAATTTAGCAATGTAGATTTCTAAATAATTAATTTAATGTATTTCTCACACTTTGTTATAATTTATTTATACGTTCACTGCTTCTATCATTAATCTAATTAAATGATGTATTTATATAAAAATTACATTATAAGACAAACTATTAAAGAAATGAATCTAATATTTTATAAACAAATTATAACTATATTTTCTAAGAAATGTTTTCACAATTGATCATAATTTTATAAAATTCAGACAAATTTGTTTTCAGCCTATATATGAGTATATGCTTATCGATCAAAACAAGTTTATAAGTAAAACAATATTTCATAATTTTTATAATAAAAGTTATAACATATATCTGGTTAAACATTAATATAATTATTGTATTCTAGTATTCAAATAACATATTTTACATTTCAATTTATTTTTCAATGCTCTGAATATTTAATTATTAGTAAATATTATGACTCAAAGTTAGCTAAATAAAGGAATTTCAAATAATTATGAAAATTTTAGAGTTTATTAAAGAAATTTCTGTAAAGATATTTGTTATCCATTTAGTAATAGTTAATATCTCGGAGTAATTAAGGGTTAATATCTCGACAAACATATAATATTTTATCAAATTTGTCTAAAACAAAGAAAATCGTCCCAAAAATATGTCATAAAATTTAAAAAATTATTTTTTGTGTTTTTGAAATTATAAGAAAAAATAAATAAAATATTATATTATAAATACAATCACTAATTCATGTGATACTCAAGTGAACTCAATTAATGGCATTAATTTGAATTAAATTAGAATATAATTTAAGTTAAATCAATATCGAGATCAATGGAGACCACTTTAATGTCAATCTTGTAAACTCATGAGTTATAATAGTAATTGTATTTATTATTTTTGTAGTATTTTCATAGAATTTCAAAAGTATGAAAAATATTTATTTATATTTTTAAGGAAATATTCTATGTTTTAGAAAAATTTGCTAAAATATGATACAGTAATAGTGTTATTGAGATATTAACCATTAAAAGACTAGAGTGTTGTACTGTCCGTCACAGTGTATATACAGTAAATTAGATCTCATTAGTGTTTTATTCATATATTCTATGATTTGCATTATTAATTAGGTTTCGTGCAAATTGTTTTATTTTCCAGGAAATCTATTTTCATATGAAGTTTTATTATATAGTTATATCAAACTGAATCAAACGATATTATTAAATAATTAATTTAATTTTAAATGTATTTAAATTATGTAAAATATTTAAGTTTATATACTAATAATATATAGTTTAGATATTAATAAATATAAAATATTTTTTTTTCTAACGATGAAGAGAGAGAGAGAGAGAGAGAGAGAGAGAGAGAGAGAGAGAATGAAATATATTTGTTTTGCGGGAAAATTGGATGGAATTTATTATTCCTTAAGAAGTTGTCCGAACTCTATATAATAATACAGTATTTTGTCTGATGTAATCTGGAATCTCTTAATTTAATAATAGAGTAAAATTTCCATAAAATTTATTATTGAATTTTTTAAAGAAATTTTCGTGAGATTTATTACAAATTTCTATCTTATATTACAGTAAATTTGAATTTACAATATTCCAAAATAAGGAAATGAATAATACTTTACAAAATTTTTATCAAAAGATTTTTCATCACATTATTATAGAAAAATGTTAGTTAAAGATGACATTCATATATTTAAATTACTTATAGTTTGTTAATTATGCAAATTTCTATTAGAATTTCTTATTTAAATAATTATAAATATTTTTATTAACATAATTAATATTTATTTTCATTTCAATGTTTATTATACTCCAGAAGTTTATTATAATATAATTATAATAAAATACAAAACATTATGATATCGAATACAATATTTACAGACCATTAAAAAAATTCCGTTACAAAAGAGCATTAAAGTAAAAATATTTTTTTAAAAATAAAAAGTATTTCAGACATTACTGAAATATATCCTTAAAAAATAYAATATATTATGTAATATATAGCTATTGAAATGTATTTAGGAAATAATGAACAGTATGTAACAAAACTAATCAATTTTAATTACGATATGTATTGTATATCAAACACTATACTAACAATGTATAGATGAAAGTGGTATCAAAAATACATTGTAAGTACTGTACCTTTTCTTACACATTCTTTACAATTATGATATATAATTTAAAAATCTATAAAACACATCCCTATTAATACATATAATGCGTTTTTGTATTTTTTGTTATATTATTGTAAAAACATTTTAAAAGCTATTGTAATAGTACTGCACTTTCAAACGGTTGAGTGAATAATGATAGAAATGCGTTAAGAATTTCTTTAAAATAAAAACTATTTCAACATTTACTATAAAAACATATATTTTTTAAATATTTTAAATGCACTATAGTTGTTATCATGCTAATTTTATGTAATTTAATCCCTATATATATAAATATATCATTTTTTAAAAGCATTTTATTGTATAATAATAATAATAATATATGTTATTTACGTAATATATAAACAGAGCTGAAAATAATGTTAAAACAATACTTTACTTATTTTTAGGTGATTCTAGAGATAGGACCGGCTCGTGGAAACAATTTTGAATTTTATCCATCAAATTGTCGTATAATAGCACTCGACTATAACAGCTATTTTGAGAAATACTTTCTACAAAATAAATCAAAGTTTCCGAACATAATCTGCGAAAACTTTGTGAACGGAATGGCAGAAGATATGCGACAAATTCAAGACAATTCTGTTGACGTTGTGGTCGCCACTTATGTCTTGTGTAGTGTCAAAGATCGCACTAAAACTCTCCAAGAAATTCAAAGAGTACTCAAAAAAGTAATCAATTATTTATTATTATTATTAATATTAATGATGTTTTATATAACAAAAATAAATTATAATAAACTAATAAAATATTTAACGATTTCTATTGATTTTGTATTAATGGTCAACAAAAAGGGTGGAACCTACTACTTCATGGAACACGTTGGTTATCCCCATACATGCGTCAAAAATATTATATTATTTGCCATACAATTAATATTACAACCTTTTTGGTACGCATTCTTCGGCGGCTGTCATTGTCATCGACAGTCGTGGTCTCATATAGAAAGGGCTGGATTTCAAAAACTTCATTTAAATTATGAATATCCGACTGAAATGGCATTCATAGCCAGAGCTCATATTTGGGGAACAGCTATAACTCAATAACTAATGATTCGGTAATTTATATTTCAATATTAAGCTATAAATTGTAGTTTATATAAAAAATTATTGTTTTAGAAATATTTATATTAAATAATATGTTTTACTTATTTCCATGACATATAAAAATAATATCTTTTAGAGGATTAAAAATTGTCATTAAAAGACATTATGAGACATATTCTCATTGATTCTTTAATATTAAAAATATCATAAAAGTATTCAATAAATGATAGAAGAAATTACATAAAATACTACTCATTATTGGGATATTTTAAACAAGTTTTATATTTTCAACCAAAATATTAATTTAAAAACATTAATTCAATCCAGATTTTACTCACCAAACAATAAATTGATAATAAAATAAGTTAATAATGAATAAATAAAATAAAATTAGTGAACTTATCAAACTTAATCCCATTCTTTAATTATTTATAAAGAATGTCTAAAAACTGAATTATAATCTAAAATATAGAAACAAATAATAAAATTATTGATTCGTTTTCTATAGATTTAGAAAATTTGTTTTAAATGTTATTTTTATATGATTTTGTTTTTTCAGCTGCTCTTTGATGTCAGAATAGATTAATTTTTAATACGACAAGTACTCTACTTTGTTGACAACAAAATAACATTAGGAAATAATTAAACTTTTGATAATATTTCAAAAGTTGGGATATTATAAGACAACATTACTTAAATGTTTATTTGACGAGTGAAATATTTATATTAAAATGTGATTAAATTGTAGTAAACCATGTATAATCTATTATTTACATATTTGATATATAAACGATTTACTTTAGAAATATACTACAGAATATGTATATAATTTTAATTTCACCAATAATTATTAATTTATTTGTTTATTTAAAATTTTGTTTACAAAAATTGATCCTGAATAAGTAATCAATATTCAAAGTAGTTTTATCTAATATTAAATTATATTATAAGGCAATACTTTTATTTTAAGTAGAATTTATCACAGATACAAAATAATAATTAAAACTATTATAAATAATATTGTTATTATACAACTAATTTAGAACTAAATTCTTAGAATTAAAACAAATAAAAATATTTATAAAAATAACATATTTTACTAATAATATATTGTATAATAAATAACATTTTATGAATTATTTGGCTGTTCTGTTGACATAAAAGCAATCATTTAACACATAAATCACACAATATTGCAATGAATTGTTGTATTAATATTTTTATGGATATAAACAACTCTGTGTTTAAATCCATAATAAATAATATTATAGAAAATAAATCATAGAATATATAAATATTTGTATAATAGGTTTGTAATAGAATTGATAACAATGTATAAGATTTGAATCTAAAATATCACTAATAAATAAACCGTTGTTTAAAATATTGATTTAAATAACAATGTTTTACGAACTCGTTCTCCATTTAAATATGAAAATCGCGAATAAAGTTATTAATAGAGAATAACCACAAGAAATAATAAAACCAATCAATACTTTAAGACTAAAGACATTTGTTCCGCGACTAATAATACAGCGCATCGACTCAATTGGTAGTGTCAGTGGAAGTGCTTTACTTAGCATAGCTAATGGTCGTGGCATTGCCTCTATTGGCCACGTTATGCCACTTAAGAAAACACCGGGAATTACGGTTCCTGCGGTCGTAAAAACAAATTATAGTTATTATAGTATTGATAAACCATTGATATTACCAGAAGTTAAAAGTATAGCAGAGATAGCATTCGGACAAATGGCAGATATGAGAAGTCCAAATGATATGCCAACCACTCCTTGCAAATAAACCAATACTAATAAAGGCATAACTGGTCCTCTCATTGGCACTTTGTAGATGACAAAAGTGACACTCAGTACTAACAGCTCTTGGATTACAAGAAGTTTCAATTGTGTTATAAAATGAGACAAAAGGACTTCAAAGCCTGAAGTGCCCGTTGATAAACATCTCTCAAGCAAACCATTCATCTGATCCTTAATCAACAGATAAGCAGTCAAAAGCATTGGCGATACGAAAACAATGGCCACAACATAACCGGGAGCTAAAAACTCTTTAAATGTGGGATTTTCTGAACCGTATATTATTTGGTCGATAACTATTGGTGAAGAATATTTGGCGATATATTTATCACTTATAGTGGACAAGAAATCTCTGACACTTTTAATAAGCGAATGAATCAATAGTTGTCCGATAAGAGCATTTGATAAGTCAGTATAGAGTTTGATATGAGTTGTACTAAAATCTTGAATCTGAAAAGTTATGTCAGATTTAAATTAATTGCTTTAAAAATCAATTTGTTTTTACCGTTAAATTTGTAGAACTGTTAAAATGAATGTATTTTGTTTCAATCATTTGTGAAAAATTATCGGGTATTTCAATAGCTGTCCAAACATGTCCTCTGACCACTGAATTGATGGCCGAATCGATTGATGAATATTCATATTGTCGAATGAATTCGTTATCAATGAATCTAAGAAACTGACGACTCAAATGATCAAATTTGTCCGAATTATAAGTGGCAATCGGTAAATCACGCATTTGATTGCCAATTGATAAACAAAATAAAATTATTTGAAGCGATGGAAACATAAAGAAGAATAACATAAGAAAGAGATTTCCGCGAATCACATACACATTCTTCTTAATCGATGCAAAGAATCGTAAAAAATTAAAGTTTATTAATTGACTGTTCATTGCCGTGAGTCGGCGCTCACACAATGGCCAGTCAGCTATTGGTAAAGTTGTACTTTCAAAGTCTTCAATAACAAAGTTTGGCTGTAATTGTTTGAAATCATTATCGATTTGGCAGAGCTTTAGATACAACTTATCAAAAGTATTTGTATTAAATCTGAGAAACAGTGCGTTTGGCTTATCTTCAGCTAAAATCCTTCCGTCTCTCATAAGACCTATTTTGTAAGCACCGTCTGCTTCTTCCATATAATGGGTTGTTATAAATACAGTTAAGCCTATAATTAGAAATAATGTTAGCGTTTGTTGTAAATAAAAACAATACCTTCTTCTCTGCAAAGACAGTTAAGATGATCCCAAATGGATAGTCTGATAAGTGGATCCACATTAACAGTGGGCTCATCAAGCAGAAGAAGAGGTGGCGAATGAATCAACGAAACAGCCAATGATATACGCCATCGATGATTATCAGTAAGATTTCTGATGAGTTTCTTTTCGTCCGGAAGATTGAAAAGCGATAATAAAAAGTTGATTCTTTGATTGATGAGAGCCATTGGCACACAATATAAGTTACCGTAATATTCGAGAGTTTCATTAATTGTCAGTTCGTTGTGTAGGGCTATCCCTTGAGGCATATATCCGACACCAATTCCCGGCACACGACTGTTGCACACATTTGTGCCAAACACACGAATGTGTCCACTTTGAGGTCGCAGACGTCCGATCAGACATTTCAATAAAGTTGTTTTCCCACTACTAGTCGAGCCTTGAATTGAAAGTGATTTTATAAAAATTATTTTATTTGTATTTAAAAATAAGTTTTTGTCAATTAATTTCTTTATTATATAAATAATCGGTCAGAAAGTGTAGACAAATAATACCTCTATTAATACACTATTTTATTCTCTAAGTCTAGACTCGGAATAAATGCCAAATAAATACTAAAAACGGCCAAAAATTAAAAGAAATGACAAAAAGTAGTAAATATGTGATTCACTAATAAATGCGATAAACACTACACATAATCCCTAAAAACAAGAGATATTTTGTTATATAATATAGGAATCAAAGCAATCAATAAAAAGACGACTAAAATATTGAAAATAATGATTCAAATATTCTGTAGAATAATAGTTACCAAGAAGTGCATAGATGCGCCCTTTAGGCACCTGGAGGTTGACATTGTCGAGAACTAGTTGTTTGTTATAAGCAAAGCAGACATTATTGACATTAATGGCACATTTGTCGGGCGGCGTCCACAAGTCACGGACAGAGTCGGAATCAAGTCTTTCAATATTATGGATGCGTCTGAAGAAAGGGGCTGTACTTAAGGCAAAACGGAGCGCATCTAATGAGGCTAACCGACCATCATCTGAGTCACTATCTATTGAGGACGAGTTCTTGTGAACCTTAAATGACATTTCTTGGTCTTATCTATAATACAATAAACACAATAAGGTTTGCGATATTTTTGCCAAACATTTGAGGAAATTATGACATTTGAACCAAAGTCTACAGCAATAACAACACAATTAATTAAAACAGGTTTCAATGAATCGTTTTAAATACAAATATATTATTATTTTATTACAATATATCTATTAATTATAGGAAAATCTAAATTTTCTTCTATTAATTGACAAAAAAACAAGTTTTTCAGTAAATGAATGTAAAAATTATATAAATATTTAATATAACAAAAAAGCCGGTTATTTGTTAAACCAATTGAATTTAATTATTCAATAAATACATAGTTTTTAATACAATGAATACCAATTCAATGCTAATTACAAGTGTATTATTAAATAAAAAAGTTTTTATCAGTTATTTAGCTTAAGAGTTGTCTTAAAGAGTATAAACATCTATAGCTATAGCGTCTATAGACTACAACTACTGTATAAACGATGTTATCTTTACTTCACAGACAATAATACTGAAAATATTACACAATATTATGACTTTAATGAGTCAATCAAATAACTTAACAAATAGTTGTCATTTAGTTAAGAGCTTCTAATAAATAGCATTAACTTTAAGTATTTAATAAATTCATGTTATAAATCATAACTATAATTAATAAATCAATTTAAGTAATCAAAATCACTGTAATCTGTAATCCTATCCAAATAATTGGTTGTTTTGTTTTTATGTTTCAGTATATCATATAAAGTCATATTATTTAATGAAATTTAGTAATAAATGTTTTGAGAAAACTTAAATATGTTAATCAATATAATTACAGTATTTGTTATGTAATTTTGAAGTTATTTTATATAATATAGTGTTAATACAGATTATATCAAGAAATTCAAGAAATTTATTATTATATCACGTATTTTCAAAGTTAGGAAAACACAGTTTGACCTTATATTTCAATTTTACTAAAAATATAACAAAATTAGTATTAAAAGTATAACTTAAATAACAGCCAATATTTTGAATATTCAAATGATTTCTTAAATTGATTATTATTTTAGATATTTCTTAAAAGCAGATTAAATACAATTAAAATAATGAAAGAGAAATACAGTATAATTTATAATTTATATCAATGTATTATTACAATACAGTATATAATTATTATTGTATTTAAACAATACTAATGCTGTAATTATATGTAATTGATTACCAAGGTTATAACAAAGTGGTTAACAAAGTGGTTAACAAATTGGTTAACTAATTGATTAACTAATTGGTTAACTAATTGGTTAACAAATTGGTTAACTAATTGATTAACTAATTGGTTAACTAATTGATTAACTAATTGGTTAACAAATTGGTTAACTAATTGATTAACTAATTGATTAACTAATTGATTAACTAATTGATTAACTAATTGGTTAACTAATTGATTAACTTTTCATTTCAAAACATTTAAAATAAATAAATAATTGTATTTAAAAAATGCATAAAACTATGGATTAATTGAATTGAAATATCATTTATCGGATTATTTGCCGAAAATCTAATATTAATATTAATATTAATAGCAATGCATTGATAATAGACTGTAATATTGATCTCTAATATCGTGTATAACAACATAAATAGGGGTCAAAAGGGGTCAGCAGTGTTGTGACCAATCAGTGACTGAGTTTTAGTAGAAATAGAATCTCAACACAAACTTTGGTCACAGATATCGGCGACAGAAATGACTGCAATTGTGGACTCATTTCAAACATATTTCATAAAATGACGACAATATTAGATAATCTTATTATTGCTTACCATTGGGTTTGGCATCAGTTGTGGTGATAAATGAAGAGACAATGAAGGAGTGGATCAATTGGTCGATGAAACTACAGAACAGATGATTACAAAAGACAAACACAACTCAAGTCAATCATTACAACAATTATTGTATTGTTTATAATTGAGACCTAACTTTCATAGTTGTGTTCATTGAGTTACGCCTTTTTAGCCAAACTATTGCCTCATATGTTATGACAAAACGTAAAATAAAATTCAGTTTAACTATGGATTCAATGAAATGTAAAGACAATGAAAAAGAGTTTGAAAGAAGAAAATGTCGGAGAAATGGTTGGAATAAATACAAGAGAGACAAACTGTTGACACAATTGAAGACAAATTCGTCAGAAAAACGACTCTTTTCTGGAATTTGCGTTTTTATCAATTCAACGACAAATCCAACAAAATTGCAATTAAAAGAAATGATTTGCAGTTTTGGAGGAATGTGTTTAAGTTATTTTGATCCCAAACTTACCACTCATACAATCACTTGTAATCTGGCTTTTGCTAAGAAGCAGAAACTCAAGACCAATGAGATTGTGGTTAAACCCGAGTGGATAGTGGATTCAGTGGCCGCCAATCAATTGCTTTGTATCGATAAATATCTTATTACTAAATCTGATTCCAAACATTCGACAATTAAATCCTATTTTAATAAAGTCAACAAAACTCAAGACAAAAGAGTTTTGACCGAAGAAAGTCAGACAAAAGTCGACAAAACTGATTGTTTATCTGATTCTGTGCCGCAAATCAATCAACTCTTGAAACCATTGTAAACAAGACATTGTAGTGGACTGAAGAAGACATGGATTTCTATAATCTTTATTGGTTTTGATCGACAAATGTTTTATAAATTTGATGAAAGAGTGGTTTGGAATCAATTGTTTAATGAAATGAATGCCAAATCTGTTTGACATTTGCGGTCTTTTAACTGAAGAAAATGTCTTTATTTTATGAATTAAATAATCTAAATATCAAATAGAGTTTGTTTTTATAAATATATCTTTAATTTAGTATTTATTTTATATTTTAAGTCAAAATGTTTTTATTAAATAAATAAATGTTTGTTAAAAAAGGCGCTAAAAATGTGAAATGTTTTCAAATTTGCAAACATTTGAATGAAATGAATGTTAAGTGAATTGAAATGATTTTGATTACAATTAGCGGTAATTATCACTCAATTGTTGGCAATGATTGTGAAAACAATGAAACGAGTATTGAAAGTCTTGTATTCAACCAAATACTTAATGATCACCAATTGTATGACTGGAATCGTTTCGGTGACAATTGGCGATTCTGTCCAACAGATCATTGAATTCAAAACGGATTCTCTAAAAGATCAAGAGTTTGGTTTAAATATCAGACGAAATGGTAAACAAAAAGTTAAACAAGTTTTTACTCAAAACAAGACTTAATCATTGATTGCTATCAACAGTCAATATGTCTTTTGCCGGACTTTATTTCGGTGTTTTCGGGCATTTTTGGTACGGATTTCTGGACAAACGGTTTCCTGGAGCGAATCCATCTCAAGTGTTGAAAAAGTTGATGGCCGAGATGGCAATGGGTCCGCCACTAGTTTCGGGTCTTTTTCTTATAATTTCTAAATTCAAAGGCAAGTCTTTGACCGATAGTTGGACTGATTTGAAGTCGCAATTTGTCTTGATTTGTACCGTAAGTAATGGACACATCTGTTGAACACATTTTGAAGAAATGAGTGATCAATAGGTCGAATGGTTGGTTTACATCCCTCTCCAATACATCAACTTTTCGTTTGTTTCTCCGAAGTATCGCTACTTATTTGTGGCCACAATCTCTCTTTGTTACGACGCTTTCCTTTCTTACGTCATTTATAAGGTATAGATATCTCTATATTTCGCAGTTTCTCATCAATTGTTTGCCATTTGTTGTACAGAACGACAGATTAAGACGACTGAAGACTTTAGGCGAAGATAAATAGGATTTAGTTTAACGACAATTACTAAACAATTGAAGTTTTGCCGAATTATAGGATAAATATTTTATTAGTTTATATAAATTGAGTTAAAAATAATATAACAATGATTTTTACAATGAATTTACGCTTAATTTAGTAAACATTAAAATACTGTATAATTTATGATAAAAATATAGATTTGATTGCAATATAAGTACAAAATGAGACAAATTTAGTCATAAAATGATTGATTGATCACAAGTTGGGTTTGGAATGAACACTATTGTAGTGTTTTCTCATATTTCCCTTTTCGACAAACCGTTTATCGCATCCATTAAACGGACACTTATGTGGTTTGTCTCCCCTATGAATCATCAAATGTAACTTCAGTTTGTCGTTTCTGAGAAACCGCGATTCACAGCCTACGAGTCCAAAGAGTGTTTGAATAGTCATTTAAACCAAGTTATGGAATGCCTACCTGGCCAACTGCAGCGGTATTTTTTCTCTCCGGTGTGCATTATTTTATGAACAGCCAAATCATGATATCTCGAAGCCCTGAACTGACATCCACTCCAATCGCCTAAAGATATGTTAGAATTAGATGTGTTTTGAAAATGAAATGAACAGACATTTGAAGACTTTGTCTCCGGTATGCAAAGCCTTGTGGACAGTGAGAGCTCTGTTGCGTTTGAAGGCTCCGTCACAACCGGGCCAATCACACTTAAACGGACGGATATTTGAATGCGATTTCTTGTGATATCGCAAACCATCTGCTGTTGTGAAGCGTGACTCGCATCCCGGCCACGAACACACAAATGGCTTTTCTCCCGTATGATTTCGCACGTGATTATCGAGTTGTTGTTTAGTCAGACCTTTGTATCCACAGCCGGGCCAGGAACAGCTAAGATCAAAGAAAAGTCAATTTCGCAGTCAATCAAAGGCTAATTAAGTCGAAACAAACGCGAATTTCTTGTCTCCGCTGTGGGCCTGAAAACCAAACAAAACCACGAAATCAGTCTTCAAGACAATCAAGAGAGAGAGAGACAGACCTGGAGGTGAATCTTGAGACCCAACTTGGTCTTGAGAGTGGCCTGACATCCTTCCCAACTGCAGACAAACAGTTTGTCCGAACAATGACTTGACTTGATGTGAACGTCAAGAGTGGTGGAGCGCGCAAACGATTTGTTGCAATCAGTCATTGGACACGAATAGGGCTGCGAAGAAATCATCAAATAAGTGGACAATCAATCAATAGATTGCTGACCCGATTGCCAGTGTGAACGGCGTTCATGTGTTCGTTGAGCAGTTTCGTGCGTTTGGCCTCATAAGCACATCCCGGCCACGAACACCGCATTCCCGCCGAACGACTCTTTTTGGCCATCGATTGGTTGATTTTGTTGTTTGACTTGAGTTTGAATTCGCGTTTGGTTTTAGTGTTGTTTCGATCGAAAGTTTGTTTTTCTTGAAAAACGTCTTTGAATTCCGTCTCTAAAGACTCTATTTTCGAATCTGTCATCAAATCTAGTCTTTCGGTAATAAAAGTTCGGTATTTCGTCAAAACATCCGTCAATTTGTTTGCGATTATTATTTGTGTTTTCAGACTTTCGTTTTCCTTCTTCAGTTGACTAATCATTTGATTCTTTTGTTTTAAGCAATTCTTTGTCTTGTTTTTCGTCGAAATTTCCATTTTCTCGACTTTAATCTTCAGATTCTTATGTTTTTCATCACTTAATGTCAGACCTTCTTCGCACTTCTTTTTCCTTCCTCTGCCGCTGCTTCTTGTGTTGATCTCACTATTGATAATAATTTCTTGACTAAACTGATCCAATTGAGGACTAATTTGTTGACTATCGAGAAATGCTTGATTTGGATCATCTTTTATATCCAATAACTGATCCAATGATTGTGGTTTTGACAGACATTCATTGATCACTTGGTCCATTGTCTTGAGAAGTGATGACACGAGAGATGATGAAAACGATGACAAAAACTGAAGACAAAAATCATGAAAACATTTCTTGTTTTGACAACAACTGAGGGGTCTTTCATTAATTGCAAACTTTGATAACAGCTATGAATGACTTAAAAGGTTTTGTTTTCTTTGATTTTGATTTTAGTTAATTGTCTTTTGTTTTGCAGACAGTAATCCTCTGCACATCAGTTGGTGTGACAGTCAATGGTTGCCAGTGTTGTCTCAACACAATGTCTTGGAGTACTTCAGCGAGAGATCGAATCCGTTTTACGACAGAACGTGTAATAACGAGATCTTGAAAATGCAAAGATTGTCTTTCGATCAGTTGAAGTGAGTCTTCATTCAATATCTCAATTAATTCAATTCAATTCAACTCTCTTTCAGCAAATTTCAAGGAATCGAATACATTCTTCTTCACTGTCAAGAACCCATTCTTTATGTCATCCGAAAACAGGACAGATTATCGCCGACTCAGGCCACTCCACTCGCCGACTACTATATCATTGCCGGAGTCGTCTATAAGGCGCCCGACTTGAATGCTTTGATCAATTCGCGACTCTTGACAACTGTCCATCACTTGCAGTCGGCGTTCGACGAATCCTTTTCTTACTCTCGATATCACCCCTCAAAAGGCTATTGGTTTGAGTTCAATAAAAATGGCGAAAAAGACACAAACAAAGAACGTTCGGACAAATCCGCCAAAACTAAGGTCAGGGAAGAGGTCAGCGCGAGCACCAAATTCCAACGCAAACGCGTCGACATTCTTCTCAACGAATTGACCAAAAAGTTTCCGCCGAAACTGACGACAACAACAACTACGACAACAACGACAACAACTCAACAGACAAACACCGAAACCAAGAAAGAAACCGTTGATTCAGAACCAAAGGTTGACGTCAAACTCGAAAAACCAGAAACAACAACAACAACAGCACAACGAGAACCGTTAGTTAATTCGGGATCTTTCAGAACGAGTGGCGGACCGCCAGAGAAAAAACCGCGAATCGGATAATCAGTTTTTCTAATAAATCCTCACTTTTTTCTAGTTTTTGTCTTTGTTTTGATTAACTGTTTCTGAAATCGATTTCATGTATTCTTAATTATAATCATATTCTGACCGAAATTTATGCACTTTTTGTCCGCAAAACAGTTCTTTCGATTAAATTCTTGAAATTATGTCTTCATTTCTACAGAATGTCTACCAATCTCTTCACGAGTTTATAAAACAACAGATATTTTTGTCTCTTTTTTGAATTTAAAACTTTGGATTAATTGTTGATTAATTGTTGTCTTGAATATAATCCAATTCGGATCTATAGATCCGTAGATTAAGAAATGGAGAAAAGATTTGTTTCAAAACAATCTTATTCTAGAATACGATTTAATCACTGTTTGTATTAAATGTATTTAATTCTTAAACATTTTGACAAAAATGTCAGAAAACTCGAAAAATTTCCGTTTTATTAGTCTTTTTCTAAATAAATAAATATAAAGAAATAGTTTCCAAAATATAACTGATTTTGAATAATGAATGAGAAATATAAGAAACTTAAGTATAAATCAATTAATTTGTTGTTAAAATTGCAATAAATTTATAAAAAAACTGAATTTTTATGAATCACTTTATATTTAATTTAAAATAAAAGTAAACATTGGATTAGTTTTAAATAATTTTTATTGGATTTTCTGCATTAATTGATTGCCGATTGATTGCCAATTGTGTCGTTCTTAGAGTTGAGTCCATTAGGTTTGCCGAGAAGACTGGTCGCCATATTAGTGATTAAAGTGGGGATGTTTTGCAACTGTGAAAACCATCCGTTGAAATCGAGAAGATTTGGATTTGTCGGCGAACCACTGGATCCGTTGGAATCACTGTCACTGGCTCTGAGAAGTCCTGAGACTAATGTCAACAAAATTAGTAATAAATCCTATTTTAAAAGAATATGAATACCGAAGAAAATGATTGACAAAAGAATGAAATGTTTTTGCATTTCTACGGAATTCACGGAATTATGAATCAGTTTTAGAAAAGAGTCGAATATTTTAGCTTTTATTGACATAAAAATCAAATGTTTTGGGAGTGGTTTTGGGTTTTGTTTTTTCGGTCAAAGAACTGCACAAATGTTTTGGCATTTGTTTGAAAATTATAAACAATTTCATTATCAATGATCTCATTCAACAAAATCACTTCATTTACTGCTATTTTGTGTTAAATCAGGTTTTTTTTAATAAATTGTTTTCAAAATTGTTTCAAAAATTGGAGTCAAATTGGAGTCAAATTTGTTTTAATAAACACTAAAACATTTCATTTGAATTTTATATGAATTAAAAGTAAAATAGATTTTTGATCTAAAATACGACTTATATTCAGATAATTTGGACTATTATTCGAATAAAATTAATAAAAATGTTTAAAAACACAATTAATTATAGATTTTGAATATTTGTTTGAAATTGTTTTCAAGTTATGTTAATATTTCACTTTTGTCTTAACACTAATTAATAAATTAAATCAAATTATAGACAAGTTTTAAATTTTAGTTTCGTTTGAATGTATTTATCAAAAAATTTATTACATTTTTCTCAAATAAATAAAATCTATTCAATGTTTGATTCAATTATTTATTAAAATAACTTTTAGTATTAAAACAATTCATTAAAAGAGATAAAAATGTGTTTATTTTAGTTCGAAATTAATTCAATAAATAAATAAATAAATAGTTTTTCAGTAAAAACTATTGCAATAAATATTAGATTCAAATAAAGGTTTAAAACATTTGTTAAATATATTCAAAGGTTTTAATGAAAATCAAAAAATTTTATTTTAATAAAAGAATTGAAAGTTATTTCTTGAAATCAGTTGTTCTCGAGTTGTTTATATTGAGGACATTTGAGGCCTGGTTTATGGTTTCGTTGAGAGTCGAGACAATTGGTCCGTTGAGAGTATGTGCGGCGCCGTCGGCCACTTGTTGGACGACTCCCGATCCCGAATTGACAGAACTGGAGGCCATATTGACGGCAGTATTGGCCGTATCGACGGCATTCCCCGAAACGCTGTTGACAACGCTGTTGACAGATTTGGCGCCGTTTGCTATGACTTCTTGCGCGGAATTCATGATTGACTGAAACGAGTGAATCATTTGTCCCCATTGTTGAGGTTGAGGTTGACTTTTGGCTAATAAAAAGTCGAAGAATCAAAACAATCAAAGAACAAAAGTCTTTTACCAATCGTCAGACAAATGACCAAAATGACGGCTTTGGAAGTGATTTCTGAAGACATTTTTGACAACAATTTCCAAATAAACGCAGTTTTTATGGATTTCTGTGAGAATTGGGAGGAGTTTTGCGAATAAATGGCAACAAATGGGGAATAATTTTATTAATAATTAAGAGAAAAGTGTTTTATTTATTGGAATTCCGTTCAAAGCATTCACGGTTTCATTCATTGTATTGACAATCGGTTTGGTCAACAAATCCGTACTCTCGACCACATTCTGGACGACTCCCGAACTCGAGTTCATTACGTTTTGTGTCGTGTTTGTCACGACTTGACTCAGATTAGTCACAGCTCCCAATCCATTGGTCGCCGACCCGACGGCCGGCTGAAGATTAGACCAAAGACCGTTCGCCACTCCAAACACAGAATTCAACACTTGTTTGACTTGACTTTCCGACCGAACTATAAATTAGTTTTAATTAATTGTTTTAAAGTTTTTGAAAGAATTACCGCTTTTTGAAACCAAAAGACAAACCAAAAGCAAAACAAATGTCTTTTCCATTGAATTATTTGACTTTTGTTTGAATATTGAATAAAAGATTGGATTTTATTCACGAAATTTGCATTTAAATAGTCTGAAAAACACCTAAAAGACAGACCTTGTGTTCAATTTGGAAAACATTTGTCGAAAACAGAAAAAAAAGGTGAATAACCTCTCATTAGTTTTGGAGAAAAATMAAAAATTTTGAATCAATTGTAAGAAAGTTTTGATTAATCTTAAAGTTTTTCCGAAGAAATGAAAACAAATCAAAAGCAAAAAATGCAAAATAAAAGCTAAGAAATAATAATGTCTTCAGAATCTCAAAAACCATTCTTCTGTTGAATAAAATTCAAGATTTAATTAACGATTGAATCGATTGAATAAAATTAAAATTAATGAATCTATTTGTGAAACCGTTTGAAAAATCAATAATTAATTAATAAAAAGTGACAAAAATTTAAATAAAAGCAAAATTTGAATCAATTTTTAAAAACAAAAATTTGCAAAAACAGAAAAAAGTGTTTTTATAGTGTATTTAAAGGAGGAGTTTCTCAATGTTTGGAAACGACGTCAAAATAATTGACTTTTATTTATGTAATAAAAAACTTAATATTCATTACAAATAAGACTCAATTTATGACAAAAATACTGATAAATAAATGAATTTAATGTGAAATCAGTTTATTTACAAAAGAGATTGTAATTGTGTTTGACTTTTGTTTTCAAGTTTTTGACAAATCTTTGAAAAACTATTTTCGACTAAAAAATAAAGATTTTTTCAAAAATTTTTCAATTGTTTCTCAAAAATGGCTGAAATGTTAGACAAATTCGCGGAAAAATGGATTGAAATTAATTTTCCGAATTTCTGGTTCGCCTTTCGTTTTGACAACAAGTGTTTGGATAAAGAAATGGTAAAAATTAGAGACAAATTCCCGAAATCTAAAGTTTTTGATTTGCAGTCTTGTCTCGAGTTTCTCCAAGATTTGCGTCAAAAACAACTTCTGGCGCTCGAAATCAGAACCGAAAAGAGATTATTCTGTCGTTCGACAATCAAGTGTCGAATCAATGGAAAAGAACTGAAGGCAGTGTTGGACTCGGGATCAGATTGCAGTTTTCTAGACGTTTTTGTGGCCAAAAGCGTCGGAATCTGTCATTTAGTGGACACACGGTTCAAAACAAGAGTTTTCGGTTTAAACGGAAAAACGACTTTTGTCGGACGCATTCATTGCCTTGACTTATGTTTTGGCCAACATTCTCTCAATTTCCCGTTTTCGGTGACCAATGGCTTTGGTCTGGCAGTCGTAGTGTTGGGAACCGACTTTCTCACGCATTTCGGCGCAAATCTCGACTTTGTGGCCAAAACCGTGTTTTTGGCGCCAAAAAAAATTCAAATTAAATTCAAATAAAGTTTTTGTTTTGTTTCAATTTCGAGAAAAAGTTTCCATAGAAACGATTCTTGACTAAAAAATGGTAAGAATTTCCGATTTTTGCGAATCTTTTACCGAATTTTGTCCTCAATAGTTGTTGTCCCGCGCAAAAGCCGTATTGCCATCGACGGTGAGTCAGTCTTCAGCCGTGAATCAAGTGCCGGAATTATCGGATCTGTTGTTGAAAAGAGATTATTCTGGAAGCGTTGCTCTTCTTCAGGTAATTCTTAATTCTTTTAATTGTTTTTCTAATTCTTTTAATTGTTTTAATTGTTTTTCTAATTGTTTTAATTGTTTTAATTGTTTTAATTGTTTTAATTGTTTTAATTGTTTTAATTGTTTTAATTCTTAATTGTTTTAATTGTTTTAATTGTTTTAATTGTTTTTCTAATTGTTTTAATTGTTTTCAAGCATTTGAAACGAATCGGAAAAGAGAACAACGATTACGAGTTGTGGACGGCTTTCGCTCTTTTCCATTCCGGTCATTACAGTTCGGCTCAAGAGATATACGAACGACACAACGACTTGGCGAGTTTGGCCGTATGTTTGTTCTTCTTGGGTCGGTATTCAGAGGCCAAAAGAGCGGCCGAAAGAGCGGATCGCAGTTCGGCTTTAGTCCGGCGTTTGTTTCTTCACTTAAGTCTGAAGACAAAAGAGGCCGAAGTCGGTCTTCTCGAGCAACAGATGACGGATTCGGTGGAAGATCAGTTGAGTGTAGCGGCGGTGCATTTCGTGGGCGCGCACTATCAGGAGGCGATTGACATCTATAAGCGATTGTTAAGCGAATCGCGAGAACTGTTGGCTTTGAATGTTTTCGTCGCTCTTTGTTATTATAAATTGGATTATTATGACGTCTCTCAGGAAGTTCTCGCTCTTTATGTCCAGAGATTCGCCGATTCAGTTCTGGCCGTCAATCTCAAGGCCTGTAATTTGTATCGACTTTATAACGGAAAAACGGCGGAAGTAATCCTTTAATCCTTTAATCCTTTAATCCTTTTAATCTCGGTTTGTTCCACAGCAAGAACTCACTTCTCTCATCGACCGTTTGCCGCCCAACTTCGAGTTCGCCAAAGACTTGTTACGTCATAATCTGGTTGTGTTTCGCGGCGGAGACGGAGCTCTTCAAGTATTGCCGTCTTTAGTGGATGTTTTGCCGGAAGCCAAACTCAATCTCGTGATTTATCACTTGAAAAACGGTTAGAATTTGAGACAAGATTTAGAACTAAAGACTGAATCCGTAGACGACTTGCGATCGGCTGAGACTCTGATGAAAGATGTCGAACCAATCAATCCAAACGAATATGTCTTGAAAGGCGTTGTCTCCGCTTTAGTCGCGCAAAGAGACGGATCCAAACACAGTCTGAAGGAAGCGCAACAGTATTTGCAAATGGTGGGCGGATCAGCTTCAGAATGCGATACAATATCTGGACGACAATGCATGGCGTCTTGCTTCTTCTTGATGAAACAATTCGAAGACGTTTTGCTGTATTTGTCGTCAATTAAGTCGTATTTCTATAACGACGACACTTTTAATCTGAACTTCGCTCAAGCAAAGGCCGCCACCGGACAGTTCCGCGATGCCGAAGACGCGTTCGCAGCCGTGCGGTCGTCTCGGGTGTCGAGCGATATAGTGATGGTTCAATGGATTGCGCGCTGTTGTCTGTATTCAATTGATATTCAATTGATATTCAATTGATTTACTATTGATTTGTGTTTTAATTGGTTTTGAGTTTAGATATAATGAACGGAAAGCCATTAAATGCGTGGAAATTATGTGAATCTTCGGATTCGGTGTCCTTATTGACGATTGTGGCCAACGATTGCTACAAAATGGGACACTTCTTGGTGGCCGCCAAAGCCTTCGATTCATTGCAACGAATCGACGGATCGGCAGAACATTGGGAAGGAAAGAGGGGTTCCATTGCAGGACTTCTTCAGATGGCATGCGCAGACAAAGCAGACAAGGAAGACGTCGCCGAAGCTCTGCGACTCGTGCGCGGCGGCGGAGGGAAGGGAGCGCCGTCGGGACAGACGAGTCAATTGATAAACGCAATGAAGAACTGGTCGTCGAAGACGTCGTCGAATGAGAAACAAATCGAATGAAAAGTGATTTAATCGGAGATTAATTACAAAATGACTAGTTTTACAAAAATTCAATTCAATTCACAAACAAATCGACGATTCGCTCGCGAAATACGCGGAGAACTGATTCGCAGACGAATCGGAATTGAGCCGAAGTCTGGATCAGCATGGCACGTTGGTCGCGCATCGTGCTGACCAAATCCAACGGATAAACCGCTTCATTGGCTTCGATTAGACACATGGCGGTTTCCATTAGAATCAAAACTCCCGTTCTTCCGATTCCCGCGCTATTGGATTAGACATTGGATTAGACATTGGATTAGACATTGGATTAGACATTGGATTAGACATTGGATTAGACATTGGATTAGACATTGGATTAGACATTGGATTAGACATTGGATTAGACATTGGATTAGACATTGGATTAGACATTGGATTAGACATTGGATTAGACATTGGATTAGACATTRGATTAGACATTGGATTAGACATTGGATTAGACATTGGATTAGACATTGGATTAGACATTGGATTAGACATTAGATTAGACGGAAATTAGGCGGATATTGACCTGCAATGGACGACAAACGGAGAAACAGGAAACTGTTGTCGCGTTCGACGAACCGATTGAATCAGTTCTAGAAAATCGTGATCTCTTTCCGGAACTCCGTGGTCWGGCCASGCCAAGTACTGCAGATGACGCACCTGGCGCTCTTCCTAAGATATATCACGAGTGAGTCATAAGTCATAAGAGTGATAGTAGGGCTTACTTTGGAGTCTTGGAGAAGGAAAGTGCGTTCGACTATTGCCGGATCGTCCGACTGACCAATTAGACGGACTTTGAGTTGTCCGAAGACCGTCAATTGGTCGTCGAGTTCGGGCCAATATTTGTGACATTTTTTGCGTCCTTTTTCCTCAAGCGGTGTAACCATGACAATAAGAGGACTGTTTTGTTCCCAAATCATTTGCCAAAAGTCTTCAGTTGTTTCTTTGAGCGGTCCTTGAGTTGCGATATATCTGAAGAAGAGTTTGTTATAAGAATTAATGAATTATTGAATGTTTGTTTGAAAACCGATTAATCGTTTCGTTTATTTCCATCGAAACGAAAGACGCGTTAATATAATCGCCGGAAAGTCCGTCGTTCAGAACGACGCGCGTCGAGTCGTCTGCGGAAAGGCGTTAAAAACTATTCAAAACAAGTCGTAGTAATTGTCTCACATGGAGATATGTCTCGGTAGCGGTTCTTGGCCAGATTGTCGCCGAGTCGCGCGCAAGAAGTCGATTCTCCGGACTTTTTTCGGTGCAATTGCTTTCAAAAAAACAAATTATTTCTCAAGAAATTCTCAAAAATCGAAAATTACTTCGAATTGTAAGACAAGAGATCCGCTGTCCAGTCCTTCGGCCAAAAGAGCCATTGACTCGTCCAGAGCCGAATTCGGCGGTCGACTGGTCGGCGAAACGTCGGCCGGGATGTACTGAAAGGCGGGCTCTTCGGCCACTTCTCGGGCGTAAACTGCGGATTAAGGGATTAGCGAACGGATAAATGGATGAATGGATTTACCGTTTGGACGAATGGCGAGAGTGAGTTGTGCATCTGGTCCCTGGTCACGTGTTGACCGAATGAGTTGAACAATGCGTTCGTGAGCGAGACCTGAGACGTCCTGACCGTTGATCTGAAGAACTTGATCTCCTTCTCTGAGTTGCGGATTCGCCGAATCGGCCGGAGTGTTGGGAGCAACGCGAGAGACGAGAACGGGGCAGTTCTGGTCGTGTCCGCCTTTTACGTTGAAACCGAAGCGTCCGTCAAAATCGGGACGCATTGAAATGGACACGACGTGGACGGGAGAAGAGTCGTCCGACAGAGCAGTCGACAGTCGGTGTTCGGCGTCGATAAACGGCAAAGACTTGATTTGCGACGGCGAGTAAGCGGCGGCTGAAGGACTGCGGAATAGAATTAGTGCGGAATAAGTGCGGGAATCACGGAAAACGGGACTCACGTGATGGACTGCTGAGACTTCCACGCGCTTTTCGGAGACGGAGAAGCGGAAGACACGCGCGATGTGAAGGTCTCGTGCTTCCCATTGGACAAAGAAGACAAACCCAAGTTGTGGACATGCGGTGTCGGCACCGTTTGTCGGGTGAAGCGCGAGGTGCGCGTGCGTACGAAAGCGCGATCAGATCTTGCGGAAAGACGTTTTCGGTTTTCTTCGAGAGTTTGAAATTCGGTTTTTCCCGAATATCTGAAACGCGAACCGAGACTGAGGAAGAAAAAGAACTTTTTTGTGTGTGGTTTCGGAGTTTGCAACCGAAAAAAGGTGTGTTGTTCGACACAACACTTCCAGAGGGCTTTACAGGAGGCGTAAGAACCGATATTAAAGCCGAGAACGGAATCCAATTCCGAATCCATTCCTTCTCTTCTCAATTGAATGAAAAAATGTCTTCTTTTGAACGAAATCTTTACGATTTTCGCCCAAAAAAACCGATTAATTAATTGTCCGTTAATTAGAACCGAAAGTCCGTTTCCCGAAACGCCCAGTTGAATATCCCTTCCTCCGGAGTCTTTGGCTCGATGCAATTCGACGCCATATAACTCGAGATTTCGGGCTTCTTCTAGAAAATGGAGTTCGGCGTCGGCCGGCGTTTGTCCGAAATGCATTCGATGTAATTCTCGAACGGATTCTTCGAAATCCGGATTTGGATTAGAAGTCATTCGAAGAGAAACTGTATATCCGTTTCGGTGTTCTTCAGGACTGAAATCTCCGAATTCCGATTGCGCGGCAAAAGAGGCCAAAATCGACAATTGATTTCCGTTCGGACGAACTCTTCCGGACATCAGATCGCGACGTATTTGCAAGAAGAAGTGGTATCGCGTGTATTCCTCGAGAAGACGCGACGGATCCGAGACATAGAATTTGACCCGAAAGTGCAGAAGATACGGCGCTCCGGCTTTCAGTTGCTTTCGAATGCGTTTCGACGGATCCAACCATCGGTGGCGAAGACAGTCGGATCCGTCGGAAAACTGAAGTCCGAAGTAATCTCTTTCAATGAGTTCCAAATGTCTGAAAACGAGATCCAAAAGCAGTTCTCCTTTTTCTCGTCTCTAAAACACAGAAAACAATGAAATATTTAAAGAAATAATTCTTATTTACGTCGACTTCGAAGACGTGTTGCGTTTCGTCCAAAAAGTAAACCAAACACCGAATCGTCCGCACATTCTTCTGGAGCGCCAACTCATTCGCGCGCACGTTGTAAGTGCCCGAAAGACCCGCGAAAGAGCGCGACATCTTCGGCCACAACAGCGACGCGCGAATCACAGCTCCATTGCTTTTGGCGTCTTCTGTGTCAATGACGGCGAATGGCAGTGCAATTGAAGGGGTTGTCAACTGGGAAGACGACCCGAAAGCGGTCAGTCATCGATCGGTTTGATTCAAAGTCTTCATTAAAATGTCTTTTAATGTCTTCAAAGACTCGCGTTTTGTCCTCAACTGTGACGACGCCTTCACTGCTCAGCTCTGCTCGCATTCGCCGACAGACGGCAGCAGTCGTTCAGAAATATAATTATTAATTCAATTCAAATGTAATTCAATTCAAATGTAATTCAATTCATATGTAATTCAAACCAATTGTTTAACATTTTCTAGACTTTTATCCAAAACTTTATTCAAAATTATTGATTAAAAGAAAGGATTTTTCGGTCAAAAGAGAAAACCGAAAATCATTTTTTGACACAAAACTTAAGCTCAAACACTAAACACCGCTTTTGTCCGCCGAAAAACGGCTTTCCTTTCGGCGATTCAGTTATAGTCAATAATTGGCCGCAAAAACGGACGGAAATCAAGTTCAGAACCGGAAATAGACTTTGAATTCCGGACGAGACATCGGAATGGCGGACATTCGGGATTGTGGTCATTGAAGAAGACAACGGCGAAGACGACGAGAACGACGTGAAGAACCGAGACTTCTTGAAAACCAATGTTTGCGTCGTTTGAGTCCTTCTTGCGGTTGATTTCTGAAACGAATTCTAATTTCGATTCAATTCTTAATTAATTCCGAATTAATTACCGAACGATTCGAACGATTTCGTGAAACGCCGAATCAACGTTCAGTGGCGGGTCTTTGGCCGACGTCTCGATGTACGGGACCTGAAGTCACGGGTCAGAGGTCATCATGAGGTCATGACTATCAAAATGAATACTTGAGACGAACCTTGAGTTGAGCGGCCAGATCGCGTCCCATGTCTTCCGTGACTTGTCTCAGATGAACAAGGTCGACTTTATTGGCGGCCAAAAGCATCGGATATTGATCTCTGTCTTTAACGCGAAGAATTTGAGTAAAAAAATGTCTGATATTAGCGAAAGACTGAATGTCTGTAACGGAATAAACGAGAAGAAAAGCGTCGCCTTTTCTCATATACTGTTCTCTCATTGCGGAGAACTCTTCTTGGCCAGCCGTGTCCAAGACATCCAAGACACACCATTGGCCGTCGACGTCCACGTGTTGGACATAAGAGTCTTCAATAGTCGGGTCGTAATCCGTGACAAACAGTTTCTGGAAAAACTGAATCGTCAAGGCCGACTTCCCGACGCCTCCGTCGCCCACAACCACCAACTTATAAGTGGCCAGCGGCTCATTCGGCGCTTTCGCCATAACAACGACAAAATGGACACAAATGGACACAATTGGGCCCTTTTTGCGCGACAAAGCGATTCAGTGACGAAATACAAAAGGGACGCAATGTGAGCATGCGCTCTAAGCTTTATTATTCTCCGCGGTATTTGGGGGCGCGTTTCTCCTTGAAGGAGGCGAGACCCTCGAGGCGGTCCTTAGTGTGGACGCAGAGGGAGTGACAGGAGGCTTCAATGGCCAGTCCCGAATGCAGATCCACTTCTATGCCTTTATTTATGGCCACTTTTGCGGCGCGAAGAGCTATCGGTCCGTTGGATATCATTTCTTCGGCCAATTTGACGGCTCTTCGGTAGGCGGCATCTCCCTGGGCGTTTTGTTCGACCGAATAGTTGACCAGACCGATAGCGGCCGCCGAATGTCCGTCAATGACTTTTCCCGTGAAAATCAGTTCTTTTGCTAAATGAATGGGAATTAATCTGGACAATCGTTGAGTTCCACCCGCTCCCGGAATAACCGCCAGTTTCGTCTCGACCAATCCCAATTTGGCATTCGAAGCGGCCACCCGAAGATCGGCGGCCAACGCGTACTCGAGTCCGCCGCCAATGGCCGCCCCATCAATGGCCGCAATGACCGGAACCGGAAAGTCGTGAATCGCGTTCGCAATCGAACGCAGTTTCGCCACAAACGGCGGAATGTCTTTCTCATGCATTGTCGCCCTTTCCTTGAGGTCAGCGCCCGCACAGAAGATTCCCGCGACAACCGATCGCACTATCAATACTCGAAGTTCTTCGTCTTTTGACAACTGATACAGACTTTCGTTGAGTTTTGAAGCCATCGTTCGCGACAATGAATTTGCGCCATTCGGACGATTCAATGACAAAACCTAAACATTAATACACAATAAACCTATGATTGAGACGACGTCTGGACGACGACAACTCTTACCACAATTCCCGCATCACTTCCCATCAATTTGGATGCAAACACTTCGTCGTCCCGTTGAGATGCATGACTTGTGCCGATAACCGATCGCTTGGCTGTTGTCCAGATCCCGGGTCGGCGCTGAAGAAGTCTTAGAGAGAAAAAAGTCATTGAATTCATGGCTTTTGTTGTCATTTGTGATGTCATTCGTGACGTCATTAATGACGCGAACAATGTTTACGTCTTTTCATTCATTGAAACGATTTTTCAATTCTTTTCGCGATTTTTGTCACAAAAATAGACAAAACCGACGATTGTTTACAAATGGCGGACAAAACGAGATCAAAGACATGAATAAAACGCAAGAAATATATAAAGAAATGGAGTTTTTGCGTTATTCTTGTTGGGAATCGGTTCCAAAAGATTTGTCGGAAAAAGACTTAAAAGAATTGTTTTTCGCCGAAAACGCGATTCAAAGACAGAAATTGTTTTTGATTTTTGCGCGAAGAGAACGACAACGCGAAGAACGACACGAAAAAAGTGGAGAAAAGCCGCCAAAAGTGGAGAAAGAAATGGATTTAAAGTTGTTTTCGGAAGACGGCGTTGAATACGGTCTTTGGAGGAATTCTTTGATTTCGCGGATTCGTTGGTCTTCTGTTCGAAAATTGTCTGAAAAACGTCTTCAATGGACAACTCTTTTCGGACAAAAACTAATCATTGATTTTTCATTTCAACCGAAAGTCACAGAAACACGACTTTTGGTGCGAGAAATGGCAGAAGCGGTGGCTTTGAATCGCATTTCTCGACAACCCTTTGATATTTGTGTTCGAATTCCCGAAAAACAAATCTTTGACAGAATTCTCGCGCTTTGGAAGAATTCCGATCATTATTTGACGAAAGACGTCGTCCCGAACGACGCAATTCTGATTCTACCGAATGCCGATCGCGTCCTCCAATCGCTTCCAAAAACACAGACTCTCGTGATTCCCGCTCTCGCACCGCGTGTTCCATCTCATGTCATTCGCGCGCTTTTCCCGCCCAACATTTCGGTCGCGCGTTTGCCGATAAAGGAGAACGTGTTGTGGTCACGTGGTGCCAATACTCGTTTGTCTTTAAGAGAAATAATTGGTGTTTTGCACGCGTTTTCTGATTGCGAATCTGATTGGAGGAAAGCAGTGGAAGTGGGCGTTGACCCGAAAAGACGGAAATCAAAAGCAGACGTTTTGAGAGAAGAAATCGAACGAAAAAACAAACAATAAATCGAATTCTATTTAATTGTATTTAATTGTTATCCCCTTTCAGGCCAACGACACGCGCCGTCCAATCGAATGATCGATCCGTTTATCATCGGATTTCGGATCAATCTTTCGGCCAAATGAGCGAATTCTTCCGGATCTCCCAGTCTTGAAGGACACGGAGTCGCCAATCGAATGAAAGACAACAGTTCTTGAGATTCGCTTCTTTCGACTAAAGGCGTCGCGAAAAACCCGACGGCTATTGTGTTGACGCGAATTCCAACGTCTTTGAGATCACGTGCCAACGGAAGAGTCATCGAGTTGAGAGCGGCTGAAGAAGCAGCAGTTCCGGTCTGACCTTCGTGAGCATCTGTGGCCAGAATAGAAGATGTCAGAATAATAGAACCTCTTTGTCCGTTTGGATCCGTTTGGTTTTGAGCCATTTTGTGGGCGACGAGTCTCAAGACATTGAAAGTTCCGAAAACATTGATTTCCAAAAGAGTTTTGAAATCTTCGAGTCTTTGCGGTCTTTTCGACTCGAAGTTAAAGATCTTGAAGGCGTTGGCCACTCCCGAACACGAAACCAAACAATCGATTTTCGGTAATCGAGAAATCGCTTTCTGAACGTCCGCTTCGTTGCGGACATCGCCACGGATGTGTTGGACATTGTCTTCGGTTTTGTCTTCAGTCATCAGATCAAGAGACACAACCCGATGTCCGGCGCGAGCGAAACGTTGACAAACGGCGCGTCCGAGACCCGAATGACCGCCCGTTACGAGACATGAAAGCATTGTTTTGAATGAATTAATGTTTGAATGAAACTAATGGCGACATCTGTCGCGAGTTTATTGATGTAAAATAAAAGACAGAAAAGTGTCGTAAAAAAGAGAAATAACGGCAACAAAAACGAAACGGAATTTCGGCGCAAAATATCGGAAATTGAGAAATTGGACGGGAATGAAGACCAACCAATCCGCCTAACAATTACACATTAATTATCATCAATTTATTGACTTTTATTGGACTCACGGCACACAACAACGGAAGACTACTGCGCAACTGGTCAGTCACGTGACGCGGCGACTTCTGCTCAACGGTTCCGACCAGATAAAAGAGAGTGGCAGCAAATGGCGGACCGACGGCGGCTTCACAAAGAAGTTTATTTCTCAATGAATGACGAATTGCGGGCGGAAAACGTCGATCGAGAAAAAGATACCAAAAATGGCCAAAAATTCCGAAATAAAGTCCGCCGAAAGACATGGCGACTAAAGAGACACATATTATTGGATGATATTAGGATTAAATGGTTTTCTACCGAATCTTTGTTTATCAAAATCAGTGGTTTTCGCTGTTCTCAAAACACGTCTTTCGAGAGTCTGTTGAACGGCATCTCCGACCAATAGAAAGACAGTTCCCGAAACAGCATTTGTGGCCAACAAATAGTTGGGAGAAAAGAGTTTTCCGATTAGAGTCCGGAAAGACATTTTGGCCTCAATTTCCAATTCAGACGACAGATGGCGCTTAAAGTCTAGCAATTAATGCGACTTTTGGTCAGAATTTTTGTTTAATAAAAATATTAATTCAAATAAAAACAATTTTATTGTTTAAAGAAATTATCGTTTTTTGTATTTACAAGACTTTAAAGCAATTTTCGGTAATTTTTTGATTTCTGACCACTTTTTAGATTCAATTTTTCTGAATTCAAAAAAGACAAACATTTTCTGTTCGGAAATAAACTGGAATTTCGTTGATTTGAATCCCAATTCTCGAAGTGTTTTAATAAAAGATTTTTCTTTTGATTGAAATCTTGAAGTGATTTCTGTTATCATTAAAAGACCGCAAGTCTTGAGAACACGATTTGCTTCACTTAAAGGACGTCTTAAGTCGGGCGACAAAAGAGATAAACAAAAGACAATCGAATCAATGGATTCGTCTTCTAATGGAATCGAATTCATATTCGAAACAATAATCTTCGGATTAGAAGAAAACAAATCCATTGAATAAACGTTTCTTTTGGGAAAAGCTTTGGCCAGAAGTGGTTCGGGACCACAACCCATGTCTGCAATTGATTTGATGGCCGGAAGTGATTGCAATCGGCCAATAATGTGATCAATCGGCCGAATTGGCCACCGATTGGACACTTGTTTAAACGCCAAATGATATGATTGAAAGTCTTCTAAAGATTTAATTGAAGTCTTGTTTGTCTTCAAAGTCGACGAAAGACTTTCGTTTTGAGCGCGAAATCGCGATTCCCGAAGTCGGGTTCGAGCGCGAGTGGCCAGAGTCGCACTTCGGGACGATTGGGAAGTACTTCTCGACTCTGAAGATGTCTTAAGAGTTGTTTTCATGTCTTTTGATTTGGAATTTCGTTTCAAAACATTTCGAAGACTTTCAACGCTTTTCGATGAAAACAAATGCCTTTTCTCGCGATTTCTTTCCATTTTTGCAAAAATAAACAATAATTCAAGTTTTGGCGCAAAATTCAAACTGAATTTCCGTTTTGAGATTCAGAGGAATTGTTGATCTGTTTTGTGTCTCGAGTTCTTCGTTGACCTCGTTTTCGGTCTTCAATTCAATTCAAACTGATTTTTGTCTGTTTTTCGGCCGAAATCCGAGAGTTAGACCGGAAGTGGGTGTGGATTGACTTCCGGTTGGCGATGGGCGCATGCGTGAGTTGGTCGGGTCTGGGTCGGGACTCGGGTGCGTCGGGTGTCCTTAATATWTGCGCGTGCGTTGCGTCGCATTTGTTTAAGTCCTTGAAAACGGGATTTCCGTTGATTTCTTTTGACTTAACCTTCAGTTCAATGTTTTCTTAAATAAAACGCAAAAATCATTTGAAAAATGTTTGAAAATTCGCCGAAAACTCGAAAATCGGAAAAAAGCGGTCAAAAGTGAGTCCAAAGTCTGTGAATTGAATTGAAATCTAATCTAATCTTTCGATTTAGTGATAATCCGACGCTTTCTCTGCGCCAACTCGTGAGTCGTCTCTCTCTTAATCCGATTAATCCATTAATCCGTTTAATCTCCGTTTGATTTGTTTGCAGTTTCGATACGCGAACGCAAAAGAACGTCTGTTTGTGATAATCGGGAGTTTTGTGGCTCTTTTGACCGGATTTTCTTGGAATCTATTGACAATCGCTTTCGGAGATGTCGTCGACGTCTTCGTTGAGTTCGAGAGAAAACAAAGACAAAACACGTCTTCTTCGGTTGAATCGAATGATCGGACTTCGGATGAGTTCCTTCGAGACGTGTATTTCTTTTCGGCGTCTCTGGTCGTGCTCTGGATGTGCAATTTGATCGGGAATTTCGTGATCTTGACGCTCTTCCCGCTGTCGGCTTCTGGACAATTGTCGACAATTAAGACCAAATACTTTCGATCAGTTCTTCGACAAGACAATCAATGGTTTGATTCTCAGAACGAAGCCTTTGCATCACGTGTCACGACGTAATCCCTTTTAATCCTTTAAACACTTTTAACAAAGAGTTGTATTTCTAGAGATTTGAAGCGCGTGGAAGAGGGTTTGGGCGAGAAGTTGGGTTTGGCGGTCTACCACTCGTCGACGGCGGTTCTGGCGGTCGGGACGGCCTTTTGTTACGGTTGGAAGTTGACCTTGGTCGTGTTATCTCTTTTGCCTTTTCTCGCTTTCGGAACTTCTGTTATGAATAAAGTATTCTTTCATTCATTTCAAATCATTTTTMAAACTATTTCTTCGTCCAACAGGTCCAGGCCACTTTCGCCCGCAAAGAAGTCGAGGCATACGCTTCCGCCGGTCACGTGGCCGAAGAAGTAATTTCTGGAATTCGAACAGTCGTCGCATTCGGCGCTCAAAAGCAAGAAAACCAAAGATATTGTCGTCATTTGGAACCGGCTTTGCGTTCGGGAATTAAACGCAATTTCATGACCGGATTAGGAAACGGATTAATGTTTTCCTGTCTCTACGGCGGTCTCGCGCTCGGCATTTACTTCGGCGTTCAGATGATCATTGCGTCTGCGCAGAACGGCACTTTCGAATACACCGTCGGAACCATTGTTATTGTCTTCTGGTCAGTTTCGGGAGCAGGATTCTCGATTGGCGGTGCTGCACCWCACTTTGAGGCCGTGGCAGTGGCCAGAGCAACGGCTGCCCGAGTGTTCCAAGTGATAGAGCGTCGTCCGCCAATTGACGTCTCGTCAGACGCAGGTCGTCGTCCAGCCGTCGTCCGGGCGGAAATCCAGTTGAAAGACGTCCAGTTTTCMTATCCTTCGAGACCCGAAATCAAGGTCTTAAACGGATTTAATTTAAGCGTAAAATCGGGAGAAAACGTGGCTCTTGTGGGACCTTCTGGAGGAGGAAAGTCGACTGTTATYCAACTTTTGCAGAGATTCTATGATCCGACAAATGGAAGCGTTTTTGTCGACGGAATTGATGTCAAAGAATGGCATTTGGGAACTCTTCGTGATAATACGGGCGTTGTTGGCCAGGAACCCGTTCTTTTCGATTTGTCGGTCAAAGAAAACATAGTCTTGGGGTCAAAGGCCAAACTCGTGACCGAAGATGACGTCATTTCTGCGGCAAAAGAAGCGAAATGTCATGAATTCGTCGAACGTTTGCCCGAAAAATACGAGACGAGAGTCGGACACAAAGGACGACAATTGTCGGGCGGACAGCGGCAGAGAGTGGCGATCGCGAGGGCTCTGATGGGAAGTCCGAAGCTTCTATTGTTGGACGAAGCAACTTCCGCTTTGGACTCGAAATCGGAAACGGAAGTCCAGGAAGCGCTCGAAAACGCGGCCAAAGGAAGGACCGTCGTCGTGGTCGCACACAGACTCAGAACCGTCAGGAATTGCGACCGAATCGTCGTCGTTTCGGAGGGACGGGTCAGGGAGGAGGGCAGTCACGTGGAACTCATGGAAAAACGCGGCGTTTATTACGATTTAGTTCTCAAACAAGGATTGGATTCCGTTTCCGACGAATCCGTCCAACAAAACAACGAAGAAGACGTCGAAGAAGAAGACAATGTCGTCGTGGAGGACGAAGAAGAAGTCGCAGAGGAAGAGGTTTTGAGASAAAAGTTTTCTCACCGCCGACTTCTGGGTCTTTTATCACGTGACAAATGGGTTGTAATGTTTGGACTGTTTTTGTCGTTAGTTTACGGACTCATTGTTCCGCTTTATGCCTTTGTTTTCGGCGCTTTTGTCGACATTTTCGCCGAAGAGTTTGATCCGAATATCGTCTGGATCAAAGCCAAGATCTTCGCTCTTTATTACATCGGATTAGCCGTTGGCGTGGGCGTCATCTCGGTGAGTCAGATGACGTTGTTGGGAGTGGCCGGGGAACGACTGACTCTTCGGTTGCGGAAAATGGCGTTTTCGGCGATTTTGAGACAAGAAATTCGGTTTTTCGACCAAAAAGACAACTCGTGTTCCGCTCTTTGTTCGCGTCTGTCGTCCGACGCTTCGCACGTCCAAGGAGCTTCGGGATCTCGAGCGGCCATTATCTGCCAGGCTTTGGCCACTTTCACTGCTTCTGCCGTTTTGGGTCTCGTGTTGTCATGGCAACTGTCAATTGTGGCGCTTCTGTTCGTTCCCTTCATTCTGATTGGTGCAGCCGTCGGCGCAAAAGCAGATTCTTGGAATTCTTCGGCAGTTCCAATTGATCCAACCAGAGTGGCCGTCGAAGCGTTGGCCGCAATTCGAACGGTCAAAAGTCTGCACAAAGAACAACATTTCGGCGACGAATTCGCGGCAATCGTAGAGTCGGGTCTGAGGTTTGTCTTACTGTCCACTAATTGACTAATCCGATGACTAATCCGATGACTAATCCGCAGATCGGTTGGGAAGCGAACTGTTTTGCGCGCTCTGACGCTTGCGTTCTGTCTTTCGATAGTTTTTCTTTCATATTCTGTTGTTTTTCTTTTCGGAGGAATTCTTGTTTCCAAACAATTATTGACTTCCGGAAACTTCTTCGTCATTATCGAGACTTTAATCTACGGATCCATGACTGTCGGCCAGTCCTCCGTCTTCACGTCCGACTACCGCAAGGCCAAGTTGGCGGCGGCCAATATTTTCCGACTTTTGGACCGAAATTCAAGCGAAAGTCAAACTCAAAGCTTTCGTTTCAAAACTAAACACTTTTTGGGAAACATTTCCTTCAATTCCATTCACTTTTCTTATCCCACAAGACGTCAAACTCCGGTTCTTCGCGGACTTTCTCTTAAGATCCGAGCCGGCGAAACGGTGGCTTTGGTGGGCGCCTCCGGGTGCGGAAAGTCGACTTTAGTTCAGTTAATAGAAAAGTTTTATGACGTCACTTGCGGACAACTCGTGAGTCCATCTGTCGGTTGAAAAGCAAACTAACATTAATTACTTTGTGATAGACTTTGGACGACATCCCGATTGACGCCTTCGACAGACATTGGCTCAGAAGACAAATGGCGATTGTGTCTCAAGAACCGACACTCTTTTCGGGATCCATCAGACACAACATCGCTTACGGCGTTCCCGACGCTCCGATGGAAGCTGTCATCAGATCCGCGGAAATGGCGAATATCAATGACTTTATTTGCGATCTTCCGCTCAAATACGACACTCAAGTCGGTCAAAGCGGAACTCTTTTGTCGGGAGGACAAAGACAACGAATCGCCATTGCGCGTGCTCTGCTCCGCGACCCGCGTTTGCTGGTATTGGACGAAGCGACGGCCGCTTTAGACACGGCCTCCGAATCGGCGGTTCAGTCGGCCTTAGAGTCGGCGCGCGTTGGACGCACGTGTCTCATCATTGCGCATCGATTGTCGACTGTGAGAAGCGCCGATCGGATCGTGGTGTTGGAGAGGGGGCGGGTGGTCGAGGAGGGCAAACACGACGAACTTTTGTTAAGAAAAGGAAAATATTTCGCTTTAAATAGAAATTAATTAAAACTTATTTTTAATCCATTTTTCAATTGCTTTGAAAACAAAATCCGAAAAAATCTTTTTCGAAACCAATTCTCGAACTTCTGATTCCTCTTTAGAAAAGTCAGACCATCGCCAGTCTTCGGCAACTGCTTCTTCGGCCAGAACTCGGTCGACCACATCTTTGGCTCTTTTGTGGCGACAAAAGCCGAGAAAACCGTTTTTTCTTATGTCTAGAGTTTTGTCTTCTTTTGGTTTCAAAAAATTCAAAACTTTTTCAACAATTCTTTGAATGAAATCTTTTTTCGAATAWTTTTTTAATTCTTTTTCTTCAAAAACTATTTCTTTAATTAAATCTTTAATTAAAGAGTTTTTTTCGTTATTTTTAACCGAAATTTCAGACAAAAGTCGTTCACATTCTTCAGCGATAAATGTTTTTAAATCTATTTCTGAATCAAAAACTTCGGAAATAATAGACGAAATGTCTTCCGAAGAGTTGTCCGAAGAGTTTACCGCATCTGACGTCACGACAAACCTCTCTGACGTCACTTCCGACGCATCCAATCGCAAGTCTCGTCTTATTTGTGAAATTCGGTCTTTCGGTGACACTTCTGGAGTTAGACTTTCGTCTTCACGTCTTTTAGGAAACACTTCCAACGCTTTTGCGACCGATTTCGGCGAAATTTGCGAACAACTGGATTCGCTGTCTGAATTTACTCTTTGCCACAATTGTTCCCAATCCGGTACTTCGGCGGCCGCTGAGTTGACCGCTCGCTTGACGACCGCTTCCGTCGACTCTTTTTCTCGGATTTCATTCACTTTTTCAATCGTCATTTCAGGCGTCGTCCCAACAGTGACTTCGTTATCATTAGTCGTCGTCCGAGACGTCGTTTCCGAGACTTTTGTTAATTTGTTGTCTTCTTTCGTTTTTTCTTTCTCAGGCGTCGTCCCAACAGTGATGTCGTCATCACTAGTTGTCGTCCGAGTCGTCGTCCGAGACGTCGTTGATCTTTGAAATGATTTGTTGTCTTCTTTTTCTTTTCTTTGCTTTTGTTTTGCTTTCATRTAATTTCTGACAGCATTCACATCGTACGACCGCTTCTTCCGAATCACAACTTCTTCGGAAACCGTTTTTTGTTTTGTTTTTCGTTCAAAGCTTTCATTGTTTTGATTGACATTCAAAACACTAATCACTTGTCTCGTCGTCCGTCTGTCGTCTTGACGTCGTCCCAGACGTCTCTTCCGTGCATTTCTTCAACTGCCAAACTGCCGAAGAGTCAGGACTTTTCCAAACAGGACTTAAATCAAACTTCTTGTCTTTGATTCGGTCTTYAGTGTCAACAATGGGAACGACTTTTCGGCGAAAATTTAATTTTTCGATTGAATTGAAACTCAAATCTATGTTTAAGTCATTAAAAACGCGAAATTCCTGACATTCGGTGTCTTTTCTGTCTTCAGCCGATTTAGTCCGCGACCGCTGTCTGGCCACTACTTCCCGAATGGCCGCCAATCCGTCAGACAATCGCTTGATTTCGCGCTTCGTTTCCATTGTTTGTAAACAAAGACGTTATTCATTGACGAGACGTTTGTTTCAAGAATTGTCAGAATTTTGTCATATTTTGGCGCAAAAGACGTCTTCGGGAACTGTTTTTTAAACCAATTTTTGGTCTTTTTGTGAATTATTTTGAATAAAATCAGAATTCGTTTCGAAATCACAAGAAATTCATTGAAATGTAAAGAAAATTATGAATTCTGTGACAAAAACTCGTAATTTATGTCAAACTTTGTATTCTTAACGCAGAATCACATCTTTTGAGTCCAGAATTCAAGAATTTCTCGCATTTTTCGTGTTTTTCCCGAAAAATGACTCAAATTTTTGCTCATTTTTTATCAAATTTTTGAAAACCAAATCTCGAGATCGCGTGGGAGGGCGTCGGGAGAGTGCGGGTGGAGAGCGGTCGGACCCGAAGAGACACCGAATTGGAGGCAATCCTCGGAATCTGGAGAAGCTTTGAGCAGAGAGTCGACGACTGCGCCCAAAATGGGTTCAAAGATCTCGTAAGTCGTGTCCGTCGTCCGGTTGTCGTCCGGTTGTCGTCCCGATAGACGTCTCATTAATTTCTATTGGTTTTCCAGATGTTCGTCTTGTAATCCGAAACCCGTGCCTTCGAGTGGACGACCGCGTGCCGACGGCCAACCCCGACGTGATGGTCACGTGCTGCGTCTATGGGCGGAAGTGTTTCACGTGAGTGCGTCTTCGGGAGCAGTTCGATGGACGCAATTGAGCGACGATTTGGTTCCGATAACTGTAACCGCAGTTTCGGGAAGATTTCACGTCACGGCTTATAACTCGAGAGTCGACAAAGTGTTGGACACGTGGTTGACGGGAACGCGATTGGGACAGGCGTCCAATTGCTTCGTCTACTGGAAAGACGCCGTTTCGGGCGACACGTGGGGTTTGAACTTCACTTCGGCTCAAGACGCGCGATCTTTTCGGGAATGCATTCAATCTTCCGGTCGTTCGGCAAATGATTTCCGAAGAGCCGAGTCTTCGTATTCGTTGAGAGAAAGAGAAGATTCGGGAAAACGGAGGGAAAGGACTCTGAATTCGGTTCCTTCGAGTCCTTCGAAGAAAAACATTCAAAGAAACGGAACAAAAGAGTCGAAAAGAGAAACCGGAGAAGCGCCGCAGTGTACCTGTGATTGCATGACTTCTGAGGCTCTTCACAAACAACGCAACGGACGGATCAGATACGCGGCTTTCGCGAGACAAGACTCTTCGGGAACGACACAAAGCTCTCGAAGCGACGGATCTTTGGTTCGAAGACAACACGAAAGACAACAATACTTCGCGAATCGGTATTTATTGATAACAATTAGAAGAATAATCTTATTCCCATCACTTCCAGAGGTCATGTCCGCTCAATGGAAGAACAACTCCGCGTCCGGTCACGTGCCGACGCCGCCCGACACCAACAAGCGCGTTCGGCAACTGCGCAGGCGCAGATGCGGTCGAAGTCAACGGAAGACGTTCGGCGACAGGTGGCGTCTACCGGGACGACGACCGACGACTTGCCGACGACGACTACAACTACTGCTCAGACGCTGTCATCGGAAGCGTTGAAACGCATGTTACGCGAAGTTGGACCGCAAGGAGTGTCTGAACGCCCGAAATCGTTGGCCGAAACGACCGACAGATCCAGGTCTCGAAGGTCTCTGGAAGGCCGTCGAAGATCTCTCGAGAGAACGCAATGCGTGGACTTGACGTAAGTTGTGACGTCTGCCAGTCGTCTGCCCGGACGACGACTAACTTTGTTTTTGCAGAGACGCGTCGCCCCCAACGCCGCGAAGACGACGTGAAGACGACGTGCTTTTGGATGAAGTGGAATCAGAACTGAGACGAAGACTGCAGACTCAGACATCGGCGGACGCGGCGGACGCGTTTGAATCTCTATTGCGGGATCAGATGGACGACGTCCAGACATTAATGCGTGAAGTTCAACGAGAATTGAATACAATTCGAGCGGAAGAACGACGCTTTAAATCGCTTTCAACGCAATCTCTTTTGGCCAGATCTTCGGCTCCTATTCTGGACACTTTATCAATTGACGGCCAATTACCGTTTGTCCCTCTCACACCCGCCGGTCATTCCTCCACTTTCTCACATCACACGCCATTCGAGTCACTATCGATCGCTTCTATGATGACGTCATCAGAGGTGAGCGAAGTCCGCGTTGCGCACTGACGCTAAGTGCCAAAGACGACGCCCGAACGACGGCTGGACGACGCATGCATTCGGCGCGGACGACGCGCTCATGTCGACCATTTATTTTCGATTGGCGTCTTTTTTGCGAAAGAGGCGAGTCGGCCGTCGTCCCGGGGCGTCGTCTTCGGCTCTAAAGCGTCTTTCGTCTGCAGGCCAGCCGCGATACGTCCATCGACACGAAGGCGCGAGAGTGCGCGTCGACGAATGCGAAACGCGTTTTCTGGCCAGAGTGCGGACAACAATGCTTTTGAACGGGTTTTTAACATTTATTTGTTTAGGTTTCGGACGACGAAAAAGCGTCGCTCACAACAGCCATTTCGGACGACGACGACGAATCACCAATGAGGACGCGATCCGGAGCTTCAGGTCTGTCTTGAGATTGAAATATCGATTGTTTGATGATTTGATTGATGTTTAGCCGCAAACGTCGAGTGTTTGGGAAGTGTTCGCAAATCGGGATTTCTTTGCGTCAAGAAATGGCTTCTCAGAAAACGTCATTCTCTGGAATTGGCGCGAAGACGTGGATGGAAAGGGTTTGTCTTGAATTCGGGTTTTCAATGAATTCTAAATGAGTTGTTCTTCAGATATTGGGTTTGTTTGAAAGGAACGACACTTTTGTTCTACGGATGCGAATCACGTGACGGCCATTCGATAGACGCGTCGCCGAAACACTTGATTTTTGTCGACCAATGTTTGGCGCAATCGGTTCCAGAACATCCCAAACGCGATCACGTCTTCTGTTTGTCGACGGCTTTCGGTGACGCCTATCTATTGGACGCTCCGTGTCTTGAAGAACGCGATCTCTGGGTTCAAGCCATTCATTCCGCTTGTTCCGCACAATTCGCCAGATCTTCGGGCAAAGCGGCCGTCGCCCACGCATTGCGTGAAGAAATCGGACGTTTGGAGCGCACGACAGATACCGAGTCTCGAACACGACATGAAACGGAACTATTGCTGACATGCGTCGCTCCGGACGACGCAAGACAGAGACAACAATTGGTTTCAGCGATAATGAGTTGCGACGAAAAGTCGGAAAAACAAAGAGTCGACGCCTTTCGGCTCAAATGCTATGTCAGCGCGTGAGTCGAGACTTTAATTGACTTCCAATTGATTCAATTCTAACCATTTATTCGCAGAGTTGAAGGTTTAGAAGATATGCCAAATCCGAAGACAGTCTTATCTCTGACTAATAGACGAACAAAAAGCCAATTAAACCGATTGGGAGTCTTCACGGTGTCGTCTCTTCACGGTAAGTCAGTCGTCGTCCAAAGCGTCGTCCCGATAGACGTCTTTCTTTCCTTTCTTTAGCTTTCAATTGCGCGAAAAACCCTTCAATAGTTGGAAGTCTTTTAAGACGACAAAAAAGCGACGAAAAGGAYATTCCTCCTCCTCTTGTCCGCGAAGACCAACTCCTCATTGAAGTGGACGTTGTTTTGACGACGACTGGAGAGAGACGTCGTATTCGCGCTTCTGGCGATTGGATGTCCGACCAATTGCTTCTGCATTTGATGTCTTCGGCTGCAAACGCTCGGGAATACTTTGTCTGCGAAGGCGGGCGTCCGTTGACTCGGAATCAGCGTTTGGATGAATTAGAGTCACGTGAACTACAAGTCGTGCCAAAAGTCTTGTTTACGGTAGAGTTGTCACGTGACACGAATGACGTGTTGTTCGGGTTTTCGGTCGAATCGGAACTCAATTCTTCGGATTTATGTGTTTTTGTTTCTCGCGTCGAGAGGTTTGTTGTCTTTATTTCTTTCAATATCTAAATACCAATCGTTTGTTCAGCGCTTCGATCGCCGCGAATCACGGTTTGCGTCGAAACGACGAATTGGTTGTAATAAACGGCGCTTTAGTTCACGACTTGGACATGATGTTTGTCGAATCCCTTCTTCAAGAAGAATGCAATCTTTGTCTTATGGTTCGGTCGTCTCGTTCTCCTCCAACTCAAGACACACGTGATGACCGAGAAACCGATGCAATGATTGAATCCTTGGTTTGTCCGCCGCCTCCCGAAGACCGCGACATTCGACTCATAAATTCGGATCAATTGAAAGACTTAATTGTGCCAAAAGTCGACGCTTTCTTACCAAACGCCGACGTCGTCGTCGTCGTGCCGGACGACACACGAACGACGCCCATTCGCTCGGAAAACAAATGCGAAGACCGCATGCGTAAAGTTGTTCGCGAACTTGTGGACACAGAAGTCACTTATGTCGCGGCTCTCGAAGCGCTAGTTTCGCAATATTTGGAACCATTGGCTCGAGAGCCGCAACTGTTGTCTTCGGCAGATGTTCAGGTGTTGTTCGGTCAAGTTCAGGACATAATATCGGCTCAAAAGCGCTTTTGTCGTCAATTGACTCAAATCGTCGATTCGGACGGTTCGGTGGACGCCGAGGCCGTCGCAAATGTCTTTCTCACTCATTCTCCGCAATTCAGACAATACTCGACATTCTGTGCTTCACATTCACGTGCCGTCAAGTTATTGGCCGACGACAAGTCGGCTCAAGGATTGGCACTAAGAGAATGGTTGTCCCGACGCTGTGGAGGACAATTAGCCCAATCTCTTGAATCTCATTTGATTCGTCCGATTCAACGCGTTCTCAAATATCCTCTTCTTCTCCAACAAATGAAAAACTTGTGTCCACGTGATTCAAACGCCGCACGACTGCTGGACGACGCCTTGAGAGCCGTGGAAAGCGGTAAGCGGTCGTCGTCCCAATGCGTCGTCCCGATAGACGACTGATTTTTTTTGTCTCCCAACAGTCGCCGAACACATCAACGAAATGCAAAGAGTTCACGAAGAATACGGCGCCGTTTTTGAGCATTTATCGCGAGCACAACAGCGCAACGCTCAGCCGGCCGTGGATTTGGCTCCGACGGCTTTATTGCATTACGGAGGCGTCCAATGGCTGAATGCGTGCGAATTCTTGGGAAAAGCTTCTTCGCGAAGAGGACTCGAATTGCATTCAATGGCTTTTGTGTTTCGCGCGTGCGTCGTCTTCTTGTGCAAAGAAACGGTTCGAAGGAACAAAAGACCGGCGGCCGCCAGAGCCGAAGTGGAGATAATTCGTCACCAGACTTTGATTCCTGTCGTCGAAGTTCAAGTCAGAGCTTCTCATGCGGAAGGAGAACACGACTTCAAGTGGGAATTGATTCAATTGAAAACAGCGGCCGGAAAACGCTCGGAAAAGATCTATYGGTTGGCCAACAGTTCGGCGGAACTGCGAAACGCCTTTTTGCGCACAATTCGCCAAATCATTAGAGACGACGTCCGCCAAATGTCGTGTCAGCTCAAAGCCAAACAAAAAGCCGACGTCCGGGACGACGGCCGAGACGACGACCGCACGACGGCTCAGACGGTTGCGTGTGGTCTTTGCGGAAAAGACGTGTCGATCGGATGTCGCGCTAAAGACCATTCGTCGGGTTCAACGGCCGATTCTCCGGTTTGGAAACGTCGTCAGGACTCGTCTTCGACGTCTCGCTGAAGACTTTTCTCAAGTTTTGCTCACTTTTTGATCTCATTTGACGTCATTTTTGTGTCAATAAATCGATTTGTCTGCGCATGCGTTGTGTCATTGCTTTGTCTGAAATGTCGGAAAAAAGAGACAATTCTTCGATTGCGGACTCGTCTGAAGCCGTCGGCGACAGTAAGACTCGCAAACGTAAGATATATACGGACGGACAGAAATGGACGCGACTGACGGGCGCACCCGCTTGGGACTTGTCTTCAGAGGATTCGATTCAGAACTTTACGGGTATTTACGGGAAAACTGCGGACAATAAAAGGGATTTGTCTTTGATTTGAATGATATTTCAGGTCGTTGTCGTCTTTTTGTGGCCAATTTGCCGCAATCTGCTTCCGAAGAGTCGTTAAGAGAATTGTTTTCGACTTTCGGACAAATTTCGGATATTTTTATCGGAAAAGGAAATCAATTCGCTTTCGTAAAAATGGACACAAAAACCAACGCCGAAAACGCAAAACAAGCCATTGACGGCAAATCCATTGACGGACGCAATCTTCGCGTGCGTCTGGCCGCCCACGCAGCCGCAGTCAAGGTCTCTCAACTGCCGCCTCACGCGTCCAATGAATTGCTTCGTTTGGCGTTCTCGGCTTTCGGTCCGGTCGAGAGAGCCGTCGTCTCGGCAGACGACAGAGGACGATCGCTTTCCGAAGGATTCGTCGAATTTGCGCGAAAAAGCTCGTCTCAAGCGGCGCTCAAGAAGTGTCAAAACGAATGTCTTCTCATGTCTTCAACGCCCATTCCTGTTGTCGTCACTCCTCTTGAATCTCGGGACGACGAAGAAGGGGTTCCCGAGAAAAGCGTTCTTCACGCTCCCGACTATCGCGTCGAACGGGAATTGGGTCCGCGCTTCGCGGAACCGGGAAGTATGGAGTGGGAGGTGAGTGTCGTCCCGGACGACGAACTTTTAATGATTTGAATTATGAATAGATGGCGCGGAAGTGGAAACAATTGTCGGAAATCGAGACTCAAAGACGGGAAGCGTTGGAATCGGAAATTCGGGATTTAAGGGACTCTTTGAGACAACAAATGGAGTTCTTGAGAGTGGAAGAGACGACAAAACAATTGAGAGAACAATTGCGACAAATGGAAACCGAAAGTCAAAAGTTATGCGAAGAAAGAGAACAGCGTTTGGCGGAAGAGCGCAGACGCGAAGATCAGCGAAGACAAACGGAACAAATGCTGAGATCTCAAGAAGAACAACTTCTGCGCAGAAACCAGGAACAGGATCTGGTGGGACTGCGGCGGCAAGAAGCCGAACTCAGACAACAAGCGAATGCTTTGCAACAACTTCTCGATCGACAAGAATCCGCTTTAAGACAAATGGGCGCTCAGGAGGCAACCATCGGAGGGCCCCAGACCCCCGCCATGGACGCGGCTGCACATGCGCAGATGCAACAAATGGCGGCCTTTTCCGGCCAAATGTCGAATCAGTTTGTCGGACAAATGACACCTCTTCGTCAACCTCAACCTCAGCCTCAATGGTCAGGCGGAAGAGGAGGGGGAGGCGGAGGAATGGGATCTAATATCGGATCGAATAATGGAATGCATTTTAATAAAAGAAATCGAAGATTTTGAAGAGATTTTGAAGATTTAAGAGATTTTAATCCAAATAAAACTCAATTATTGAAAATGGAAAACTGTTTTGACGCCAGAGGGCGGTACGACTCCAGCGGACGACGCGGACCGTTCCGCTTTATCACCAATTTCGACTGCAGAAACGCAATCACCAGTTGCGGACACTTTTCTCGGGCCACAGTCGCCGGGATGTCTTCGGCCGTGTTTTGTCCGTTCCATTCTATGGCGTAAACGAGTTGTCCGTCTTTCTCGGAAACGCCCACAACTCGCTTGGGTTTGAGTCCGCGCGCGAATCCGTTGCCGACGACCGGAGTCTTTGGCTTTGGTTTTCTTCCTCTTCGACTCGGAGTTTGACTTTGCGTTTGATTATTAGTTAATTCAAAAGCAGAGATGAGTTCATCGCAGTTCAGGTTTTCGATCGGTTCCCACGTGTTCTCTTCGGCTCCAAATCCCATCCATTTGACGCAATACTCGACTTTCTGACCTCTTTTTCTTTTGCCGACAATTGCTTCGACGGTATATTGGTCTTCAATCGGTTCTTCAATTGTTTCAACGTTTTCTACATTTTCTTCATTGACTTCACTCTTGACTACAGTTGTCGTCAAAAGAGTTTCCGTGACTTCCGTTTCATTGATCTCTTCAACCGATTGATTTATATCAGCGATAACTGCATTCTCTTCTTCAGCCGTGAAATGACTTTCTGTCGAAAAAACGCCGAAAAATGCGTTTTCAGTTGAATTCAAATTTGAGTCCATTTTTTGTGAAATTTCGCGAAATTTCTCTCAAAAACAAACCTTTTGTTTACTTTTCAATCGATTATTTGAACGTAATTTCTGGACGAATGGCTCTCAAGAGTTCTCAACAACTCTTTGGTTTAGACGACGTCCCGAACGACAACCCGAACGACAACCCGAACGACGTCTCGGACGACGCCATTCCTCGCAATTGTTTTTTGACGCATGTCTTCGTTGAAGTCGACGCCTCGGACGTCGCGCTTCTTTCGGAATCAATTGAAACTCAAGAATCTATTCGTTGGAATACTTTTCCTCACATTTCTCTTCATTCGGCGCTTTTCGCCCTCCGATATCACGAACGTCCGCTCTTTGCCGAACACATCCGTCAAGTTGTTCGGCAATTGCGGTCTTTTACCGTTTGTTTGTCTGAATTTCGTGTTTTTCCAAATGAAAACAAAACACGTCTTTTTGTTGTTCTCTGTGAACGCATCCGTTCTCCAGAAGCAGACGCTCTCCTGACAGCCGTCGGTCGTGCTTTCGATCTCTTCCCGAATGCTGTTCTCTGCGGAGACAGACTCGCTGTGTCTGAGTTTTCGCTTCACATAAGCGTCGCTTCGACGGACGTCTCGGACGACGCAAACAAATTACAAGAAGAATTGGAAAATCATTTCGAAGAACCGCTTATTATTCGAATCGAAAGAATTGTTCTAAAAATGGGAAATGAATTCGAATTCTTTTCTTTAATTAATTAAAACTTTTTATTAAAACTCGAATGAAATGAAAATCAAATAAATTTTCGACACTTTTCTGATCCACACAAACACGTGATCGCCTCTTCGGCCAAATCACGCGAACAACTGGACGCATATCCCGAGTCGGACTCGTCGGGAACGAAATTCCCGTCGGCGTCGGAATGCAGTGTTTGTCTTCCGTAATCGTAAGTCAGTTCTTCTCCCGCAGAGATATTGCGATTGGCGAAGAAAGCGACTCTTGGAACGACATCTTGAGTGCCGACGAACGCCAAATGGACGTCCATATTGGGTGAACAACAATGATTGGCGAATCGCATGACATTTCCGCGACGTTTTCCGTCAATAAAAACGGGAATTCCGCAGAACTCGGCGTCAATTTGGAACAAATAAGTCGAATCTCTTTCTATTGTTTCGCAAGAAGACAAGACATCCCCGCGATATTCGCCGACAAACGAACGATACGACACGCGGTCCAAAGTCCGAAGACCCCATCCGCGGTCGCGAGTGCGGAACACCTGCAGTCGGACAGTGGCGCCGTTTTGAATTCGGCGATTCGGACACTTTTGGCCGCAAAGACATCTTTGATTGCATTCATAGACGACATGAGAAGATCGGAAACGTCTTCCTTCGCGATATAAAGCCGTTCCACAAACACATCGCGTTCGCCGACAATCGTCTTGACATTCGCACTTCGGGAGCGGCGGAGGACCGTTCAAAGGCAGTTCCGTCACCGAATGGCCTGATTCGCAGATTTGCGGCGGAACCGACACGTCCAYCCGATTGTCGGCCAAAACTCCGGTATTTTGTGTCCATTTTTCTAAATCCAAAAGAGTTTGTCTTCTTTTTCGCGAAAATTCAATGAATTTTCTTAAACTTCCGAATCTTTCGTCGATTTTTAGTTCTTTAACACCGAATCTCGTGAATACTCTTTGAGTCCATTCTTCTTGTTTTCCTTCAACAGATCCACGCAATCGTCGAAACGCTTCCAACAATGGCTTCAATTGGTCGGCCATTCGCCGCAAAGTCTTGTCTAACTGTCTTTGGTTCGCGTCTTCGGCTTCGACGACGTCATTGATGCGGTTGAGAATCGCCGGATCCGCCGAAACGACTAAAGAACTCAAGGATTCGCTTAAATCCGAAAAATCGTTTTCCGAATACATTTCAATATCTGTTTCCGAATCAAACATTCGAATGAAGAAATCGCGGAAAAGAAACAAATCTCCGCCAATCAGATCGCGAGTGTTTTGCCACGTGTTTGAAGACGACGAATATCCCTCCCATTTGATCAGATAAACCAAATCTCCGCCAGAGTTGACGCGCGCCGTTTCTATACGTTCGGCCCAATACTGTCCGTCGACGGGTTTCGGTGGACGTGTTTTCTTCTTGGATTTCTTGAGAAAAAGACTTTTTTCTGTTTCCAAACATTCGACGAAACATTTGGTCTGCAATTGATTTAATTGTTTACTCGAAATGCTGTCCACATCTCGAATCCGTTTATTCGCCATAAAGTCGGCCGAAGTTTCCGAAGACGTCTTTTTCGGTCTCTTTGTTGACATTTTTCGCGCTTCTCTTCTGCGCCGACGCACAGACACAGAGAGACAGAGAGAGACGTCATTTATGAGAGAACTTTCTCTTCCTTTTCCGTTTAAATCGCGTGAAAATCACTGCAAAAATGGTTAGTATTTTGATGTGAATTTGTGACCACTTTTTGACCACTTTTTCATCACTTCCAATGCAGACCGACTCTTCGTGTACAATCCGCACCCGAAAGTTTATGACCAATCGGCTTCTTGCTCGCCGACAAATGGTAAACAAAGAAATGCTTTGAAATGTGTATAAAATGTCTGTTTTTGAAGGTTGTTGACGTTCTTCATCCCGGAAGAGCTCCCGTCTCTAAACTGGAACTCCGCGAACGTCTGGCCAAGATGTATAAGACGACACCAGACGTTGTGTTTCCATTTGGATACCGAACTCAGTTTGGCGGCGGACGGACCACTGGATTCGCTTTGATTTACGATACTTTGGATTTCGCGAAGAAATTCGAACCGAAGTATCGTTTGGTTCGAAACGGTTTACTCACGAGAACTAAAACCGCAAGAAAACAACGCAAAGAACGTAAAAACCGAATGAAGAAAGTCAGGGGAACTAAGAAGACTAAAGTCGGCGCCGGAGCCGCCAAAAAGGTATTCTTCTCTTCATTCAGTCATTCATTTCTCTCTTTTATCTCACTTTTTGTCTCTTTTTTCTCTTCATTTCCTTTCCTTTTGAATCAATTTTCAGACAAAACATTAATTTTTTATTCGAATCGCAGGAAAAGTAAACAAAAATTTGTGAAAAATTAATTCAATAAACGATTTATTCTAAAAACGAGTTATAATTGAATCCATTGTTTTTGAATACGTTTTCGAAGACGTATTTCGGCTTTAGTTCTTTCGCAAACAACGACCGACTCTTCGGGTCGAACACTTCCGCCGTTTAGAGTCCAGGTTTTGGCGTAAATCGAATCGTTTTCTGCGTTTCTGAAATCGACTTCCAATTGTTTTCCATTGGATTTGACTTTTGAATTGTCAGATCGCGCGCATTTCACTCCATATAAAACAATATGAATCGAATCCGACGTTTGGAACCAATCTTCTCGAACTTTCGCTTCAATGACTGACATCTCGTGCTTCGGATCCGATTGACAGCCCGTAAATGCCTCAAAGTCATCAAAATCGGTAAATTTCTTGTGCGGACAACACGTCCAGTATTTCAGGGTTTCGTGAAATCTAAGAGAAAGTTGTTTTCAAAGTGTTTTTCAATCAATTGAATCGTTCTTTACATGCATTTTCCCGAATGATAAACGCATTCCGTCGTCCCGATAGACGCTTCCGCGCGACCGCACTTTCGGCACACTTTCGGGCGCTTTTCRACTGTTTTGTCGGCCGGAAAATCGGCGACAGATTTGGTTTCTCTGACCAAAACAGGTTTCCATTCGAAAACGTCATCTTGAGCTGTGATTGGTTGGACAGTTGGTGTTGTTGTCGGCGGTTTTGGAACAGTCTTTTGTGACAATGTTTTGGCTTTCGGTTCGACTGAAGAATGAAAACCAGTTTTGCCTTCAAATCGAAAATCAAAGAAAATGAGAGAAAATTCTGGAAAAAAGCGAATAAAGTCTTACAGCCTTTGAAAGAGAGAAAAGTCGTGAAATCCGTTGACTTTTGTTGACAACACGTCCAGCCTTTGTACGCGTCGTGAAAGAACGGTTCTCCCGAATGATATCTACACTCTTGTCCGTCATCTTCGGTAAACTCCTGATCGCATCCAAAATTCCTACACTTGAGTCGCGCCGCCATTTTGTCGCTATGACGACAACGAGTCACGTGATGTCAACAAAATGGGTCAACAAATAAAAGTATTGTTTATTTTACGTGAAAAACGAAATCAACTTTTTTGTCGTGAATTTGATTGAAAACCGATTCAACCATTTGTTGTTTGAAAGCCACGCCCACAACCACTGCACGCCTCCCATCGACCCCCACTTCCGACAAATACGTGTCATAAAAACCGCCGCCATTGCCGAGTCGCGAGCCGTTCATCGCAAAGGCCACTCCCGGAACAATTAGAAGATCGAGTCCTCCGACGGACTGCACTTCCGGTCGCTTTGAGTCGTCTTCCGGTTCTCGAATTTTCCATTTATTCTTTGGAAGCGTTAAGACATCTGTTATTGAAAAGACTTTTAAAAAAATCATTTTTCGATTTTCACTGCATTTCGGGATAAAAACGCTTTTTTCTGAATCAAAACTCTTTTCGAATATTCTTCGAGTTTCGACTTCTAGTTCTTCTCGAGAGACATAAAGACCGATATTTCTTGCCCTTCGAAACACCGAACTTTGGATCACTTGATCCGCAATTTGATTGGACTGTCTTTGGCGTTCTTCGGCCGTCATTTGGCGCACAATTTGACGCAATTGTTGTCTTAATTGAGTTTTAGTCGCCATTTGTTTGTTGTTATGGCAACAGACAACAGGAGAAACGTCACGAGAAATAAGTTGAAGAATAAGAGATCTCGAGCTGATCCGCCGCAAGAACGACGACCAAAGTCGGAACTCGCGACTCCAAAACTGCCTCCAAATGGTTTTCCGGCAGAATTTCCGTACAATAAAGATGGATATCGGTATGTGTTGGCCGAACCTGATCCACACGGACCTTTTCGTCAAGAGTTTGAAGAATCGCAAGATTTGGCCGGAAAACCGATTCCCGGTTGGCTTTGTCGCAAACTGTGTCCACAAGACGTCGCTCTTTCGCTTCACGATAGGGCACCACAACTCAAGATATCCGAAGACAGACGTCTCGTTTCGGGAGATAAAGGCTATTGTTGTGTTCGCGCGAATTACGGCGTTTGTCGTGGAAATTGGTTTTTCGAATGCAAACTAACAGAACTTCCAGATGGCGCTGCAGTTCGACTTGGAGTCGCTCAAGAGTTGGCTAATCTTCAAGCGCCTCTTGGATACGATCTGTTCGGATATTCCGTCAGATCACGCAAAGGAACCAAATTCCATGACTCTCGCGGTCGACATTTTGCTGAGTCATGGAATACGGGAGATGTGATTGGATTTCTGTTGAGTTTGCCGTCGTCTCGGACGACAACAGTTTTGCCGCCAGTTTTTAAAGACAAACCTTTAGTTAAATTCAAAAGTTTTCTATATTTCGAGTCAAAAGACGATCCAAACACTGAATCCAAAGCCTTGAAACCACTCGTCGGCTCAACACTCGACGTCTTCCGTAACGGACAATGGCTTGGAACAGCTTTCGACGACCTGAATGCCGGCACTTACTTTCCGGCCGCTTCTCTCTACAAATCGGCCGCAGTTTCCGTCAATTTTGGACCTGACTTTGCATTCCCGCCCTCCCGAACTTATAGACCATGGAGTGACGTTCCATTGGATCAGATGGCAGAACAAACTTTAGCCGAAATGTTGTTTTTCGTTCAAAACGAAGGAACTCTACGTTTAGACACATTTTACGGAAACTGATGTTTATTTACAAATAAACAGTTTGTTTAACATTCGCTTTCGTCGTCCCAGGCGTCGTCTTCTTCATCCGCTTCTTCGGCTTCCGCTTCAGAATCCGATAATTCGATGGCAACTCTTCGGGCCAGAATAGAGGCCACGTCGTGCAGAGGAGTCGCTCTCTCCACTTCCCGTCTTTGAACGTCTTGAACGCGCTTCAGTTGAATGCCTTCGCGAATGGCGGCCAAAAGATCAGATCGCGGATCAGTTTCTTTCGGTTTCAAAACAATTGAAGTCTTTTTCAATTGAATTGATTTCAAATCTGATAAAAACTGATTCGCTTTTTGTTGATCTGAAGGAGAACTGTTTGGCGGAGGGGGTGGTGGAGGCGGCGGATCAACATTCGGCGCTTCTCCGTTCACCTCCTGAACCGGAGGCGGCGGTGGAGGCGGCAACGCGTCTCTCTGGTTACGCGTGCGCTGAACGTCGTTCGGGACGACAACTCCGTGCGAGGGTGTGGCCGGTTGAGAGTTGGGTTGGGAATTGGGTTGAGAGGGCGGGGCAGGGGGTGGTTGTGATGGGCGTGTCATTGGAGCCAAAGAAGCGGAAGTAAGTCTTCGTTGAGTTGTTTGTTGTCCTTGAAGTTGAAGAGTTTGTTCTTTTAGTAAACAATCGTTTTCTGGAATATTCGAAACGTTTTTTATATTCATTTTCAAGACTTCGTTCGAAATGGAATTCATTGGAAATGGAATTTGAATTTCAAGAGAATCCGGACGACGACCGGACGACACGTCTTCCGGTTCATCCAAAATGAATTCTCCGGCGTTTGCCATCATTTGTCGCTGTCTTTCGCGAGTATTATTCGGCGGACGAACTTTTCGCGTCTTTTTTTGATCTGAAATCCAAATAATTATTACTAAACAATCGAATCAATGGACAATAAATACCGGAATGACGTGTTTTCTGAACAACTCTTCGGCGGTCTTGAAGCGCGCGTTCGGTGTCTGCAAGCATTTCTTGTCTCCACAAATCGAAAAAGTAATTCGGATCCGTATAGAACTTGAGTCCGTCTTTTCCGTCGTCTCGATATGCGTTCAGTTTGGACAACAATGGCGGACGATCGCAATGTCGGTAAACTTGACGAATGGATTCGGGAATGGTTTCTCTGGCCACAACTTGCTGATCAAAAACATAAGAAGAACGAAACGCTTTTCGCAAATGAATGTCTTGTAACGAAACTTCTTCAACCGAAGAGTCCAATGACGTCACTTTCACCGCCAATCTATCGATTCTCGACTGCAAGACATTCGCACGCGAAACCAATTGAGACGCATCCAAGAGAACCGCTCCGAACAAGTCTTCGGCAAATGCAGACAACGACGCCAATTGGCGTATGATGTTGGCCAGAGTGCCGTTGGTCACACATTCGAGTTCGTTGGGCACTTGAACGGCCAGATTTCCGCGCGAATCAATGGGAACACATCGACGGCCGACTCCGACGGGAGAAATGACTCTTTGCTCGAAAGGCATTTCAAATGACAGACAAATCAAGACAAATGGCTTCACAACACATGTGACGACATCTGTCGGTCTTTTATTGCATTTTTTGCATAGAATTACAGATAAAAGAGAATAACAGGAATTTGACCCAAAATTATCTCCTCTTCAGTCAATGTCTTCTTCTCTGTGAAAGAAAGCGCGCGTTTCAACCGATCGAATCGCGAAACACGTCTCACATATCCTTCGGGTGGCGGCGGACGCGGCGGCGGATGAGGTGTTGGCGGAGCAGAAGTGGCGCCTTCTGTCGACACAAGACCGCAATCGTCGCGGAAATTAAAGACAACTGTTTGTCCGCTTTTAGGTTTGACTTTTTGAGCGAATGCGGCGTCAGTTCCGTAAAAGAAATGGACATCTTGAGAACGAGACATCAGTGGTGCAGATAATGCCGAAAGACGAGATCCAATGCGTTCGCAAAGAGTTATTTCGGCGCAAATCTGATGCTCGACTTCGGCCTCGACTTCAAACTCTTCATCGAAACGAACGGTAATCACGGGTTCTGAAGAATCACTTTTGACTCGAGTTTGAGTTTCGTAAGAATCAAGAGATCGACAGCGGAAGCGTTCGGTTCTTTCGATTCGAATTCTGATCTAAAGAACAAAAGTTTTGAGAAAATGAGAAAAAAAGAGAAGAAATCAGACCTCAAGTGAAGAATTGGAAGGTTTTCGCGGACCGTAGACTCCGATCGCAGAAACAAATATCGTTTTGTTTGTTCGAAAAGATAATCGCGTTTTTGGCGAAGAATTCGGTAATTGATTGTCAAAAGAACCGAATCTCTGGACTGAAAGCAGTTGTCCTCCGATTAGTCGTTGAAAAAGTCGCGGTTCCGACGAAAACGGCAAACTTCTGGCCACTCGAGGCCAAGTTCTTCGCGCAGACAAAAGCGAACGAATCTGATCTTCTTCGAGAAGTCCTTCGGTTTGAACTTGACTTTTGATGTCTTCGGCAGTCATTAAAGGAAAACGAATTAAAGACAATAAATCTCCGAAAACTTGTTTCAAATTGACTCGAGTTGGACATGAGTTTTGCCGAAGACATTGACTTTTAGCCCAACGACAAACCGATACAAAGAGATCCGATTCAGAGATCCGGAGATTATTGTTGAGAAGAATCTCTTTTACGATCGAAGAATCGGATAAAAGACAAAAATCGGTGGAAAGACAGACAACTCGAGCCCAACGTTCGACTGCTTTCAGAGCCATGGCTTCGATGTCTTGAAAACGACACTTTTTGGCCGAAATCCAAACGGAAAACGCCGAATGACTGTCCAAACGAGTTCTCAGATATCGTTCGCACCGACGCTCAAGAGGCGTGGCTTCGAACTTGAGAGCAGTGAAGAGAACGCCCACAACATTGTCTTTCGTTAATTGACTTTTGTCTGAATAACAGAACCGAAGAAACTCGAGAAAAGCCGGCGCTTCCACGTCCGAGAGCACAATGTCTTCGTCCTCTTCGTCGGCATCGCGAATACCGAAGAACTGGTTCTTGAAAACGGGAGACGCGACGGACAGAACCAGTTTATGCGCGGGAATCCTGAGTTTGCGATTGAATCCGACCACAAAATGGACGTCAGACATGTCTTCTGTGGATAAAAGACGAGAAAATCTTGCACTTAATGTCTCTTCTTCGTCCAACTGGTCGTCCAGAGCTTCGGTTGAAACTCCCGCCGAAACCATTGAAAAGTCTGTCACGTGATTAATAGGTCCGTCCGTTAATAAACTAAGACTTTCGTCGACAGACTGTCCGCGACGTCCAATCGTCTGCAATGGCGGCCATTCGCGCGATTCCAACACTTCTTCAGTCATTTTCCGCCATTTTGTCGATCAATGCTTCGCGCGACGCACTCTCCGTCTGTCCCCACCTCTGCCCCCAACCCAACCCCTCCGAACTCCTTCCACTCCTCCCGACCCCCGACACTACGCCCCCTATCGGACGCCATCTCATTGTTTGCACTGCGACTGCGCGAAGACTCAAAGCGTCGTATGTTTTGATGTCTTCCGAAGAAAAGCCGAAAACTGAGACCAAAGCGGAGAAACAGACGCCGACCGCATCCGCGTCCACTTCGGATGCCGCGTCTGGCCAACAAACAACCGCTCCAACAACATCTCGCGGACAAACCAGAGCTCAGTCTTTCACGACTTTAGAAAAAATTAAACGCTTTTTCTTTTCTCGCGAGGAATGGGAGGCGTATTTAGTGGAGAGATTGGAAAAGGAGGCGAAAGGAAAGGGAGGTTTGGATTCAAATTCTTTTCGCTTTTTGTTTCGTTTTTTTTGATTCGTTTTATTCAGAAAAGAAAAGCAAATGATTTCCCGTCCACTCCTGTCCCGTCCCGTCTCGTCCCGTGACAGACACGCCATCCGCTGTCGATCAGAGCGTTCAGGCTTTTCTTGAGACATTGTTTGCGACTCCCGAAGAAGCGGAACAGTTTCTTCGACAACAATTGGAAAAATTACAGAACGAGAGGAACGAAAGAAATGCCAAAAATCAATGAACAAAACAAACACTTCTTTTCCGACGACTTTTCATTCGAAACAACGTGTCGTCGGTCTTCGTATTCTTCAGGAGTCTTTATTAGAGTCTCTGACCGTCGAAGAAGTGGACACTGAAGCGCATGGAGTCGTTGATCGCGATTTTGGCCTTTTATTGGCCAAAATGGACGTAAATTGGTTTTCGGGAAATTGTGAACGACTTTAGCGACTCAGCGGTCGACCCGACGACTCGACTGCCGATTAGACACGTGTTTAACGTGTTTTCGGTTTTCGATTGGAAACTAATAAAAACTAGAATTTATTCAAACAATTTCTAAATCTGATTCTCGCGCCAAAACCAAAGCCACGCGATTCGGCAAATAAATGAGTAGAGAATGTCGTCTTCCGTTCCATCCTTCTTCAGACGTAAAGAATCGCGTCTTGTGTTCTATTCGCGAATGTCCGCCGAATAAAGCGTCGTCTGAATCGAGAACAACGCGGTAAACACCCGCAGTCTGGACTCCGATTCGGTAATCGGCAAAAGACTGATTCGGATTCACATTAAAGGCAAAGACAAGTCCTCCACGTTCGAAAACTATCACTTTATCTGATTCGTGTTTAGTGGACACCCACGCAGGTCCAGACGACAGCCAATGGAAGCGATTCTCCAAGAGATTCATTTCTGCATCAAAAGCGTTGAGGAATTTGTATCTAAGAAGTTGGTCATCGACAAGAGGCCATTGTCTGCGGGCGTGATGATAGGAGTCGTTGTTTCCTTGTCTCGGGAAATCCAACCATTCGGGATGTCCGAATTCATTGCCGATAAAGTTAAGCCACGCCTCTCCTCCCAAAGCATGGGTTAATAATCGAATGATTTTATGAAGAGCTAATCCTCGGTCTATAATTGGAGTCAAAGGAGACATGTTTGACATAAAATCATACATTTCTTTATCCATTAACCAAAACGCAAGAGTCTTATCGCCGACCAGAGCTTGGTCATGACTCTCCGCATACGCGACTGTCCGTTCCTGCCAACGACGGTTCGTCAAAGTGTGGATCAGATTCCCGATATTCCAGTCTTCGTCTTTCTCGTGTTTCAGCAGTTTGATCCACATGTCGGGAATGGCCATTCCCAGTCGCAAATCGAATCCGCCCCCGCCTTCCTCGACAGGACGACAAAGGGCTGGCATTCCCGACACGTCTTCGGCGATTGTCGTGGCGTTCGGGTGGAAGCGATGGATCACGTGATTGGCAAGTTGCAAATAGCGGAAAGCGTCGGTATCGGTGTTGAGACCGAAGTATTCGTTATAATCGCCGGAAAAGGCGTCAGAAATGCCGTGAGAGTGATAGAGCATTGACGTCACGCCGTCGAATCGGAATCCATCGAATCGATACTCTTTGAGCCAAAAGCGAGAGTTGGAAACCAAAAATCTCAAGACTTCCCATTGCGTGTAATCAAAGAGTCGCGAATCCCATAAGTCGTGAAATCCGCGTCCATTCGCGTGAAAGAAGGCGCCGTCCGTTCCGTCGAATCGATTCAATCCGTCCAAAACGTTCTTCGAAGCGTGCGAGTGAACCACGTCCAACAACACGTAGATCCCCGCCCCGTGCGCAGTGTCCACCAAATACTTGAGGTCTTCGGGCGTTCCATAGCGTGAAGAGGCGGCGAAGAATGACGTCACTTGATACCCGAAWGACGCGTAATACGCATGYTCCATGACTGCCATCAATTGCAAGGCGTTGTATCCCTGTTTGGCCACTCGCGGAACGACATTGTCGGCGAACTCGCGATAAGACGCGACTTTGTATTCGTTGGAAGCGATTCCAATGTGAGCCTCATATATGCGAAGAGAAGGCGGTGTTTGAGGCTTCGGGTGTTTGAATTCGTGTTTTTCCAAAGGATTCCAAAATACGTGTTCGAAAAGCGCGCCAAAAGTCTTCTGTTCCTCTTTCGACGGCTGAACAACATATGTCGCCCACGGAGACAAACGGTCCACCATCTGACCATCTCGAGTCACCACAACCAACTTCAGACGCGACCCGTGCTCTATGGCCGGACTTCCGTCGGTCTTCGGCCGCAACTCGAGTTCCCATTTGCCGAAATCTCGTTTTGTGAACGCATGCGCCGTCTTTGACCACTGATTGAAATCTCCCCGAAGAAACAGTGCTTCGGCATTGGGACACCATTCCAACACACGAATCGAATTGTCTGATTGGACGTGAACTCCGAAACGCAGATAAGACTGCGAAAAAGCGTCCAAACCTTCGGTGGACTCGATCTCTGCGACCAACTCATTGATGGCCACGAATCGGCGGCGGATCTCCTTTTCGTGTAAATGCAGATAAGGATCGCTTGATAGCAGATCTGCAATTCGGTCGCGAATCGGCTTTTCGGCTGTCATTTTGGTTTCGACTGATTTCTAACTTTTCTGATCCAAACTAAACATGTTTTTGAAGCGAAGGTCAATCCGACCGCTCTTTCATTGGTTGTTCTGTTTCTCTGTTCTCCCATTCGTTCGATTCTGTCCTTCAAATATCCAAACTTTCCGTCCTTTTAGACATTGCATTAGTATTGAGTGTTTGACTCAAAAGGGACCAAATTTTCCATTCAATCAGCTGACGAAACACTKCAAACTATGGATTCCTTGACCTCTGAATTAAAGGTCTCTTCTCTCGACTGATAATATCTTTTCTCAAACTTTTTTCTCAGATTCAAGACTTGAAAGTCTAGACTACGAGTTGGACACTCTTCCCGAACACAGAGTCCGTAATTATTGACAAATATTTACCGAAAAACTCATACTTTTTCTGTTTTTTTCAGAAAGTTTTTGTTCGAAACTCGAATTCAAATCTCTTTTTTCGATCGAATTGTTTTCAAATCAAACAAAATCTTAAAAGTAATGAAAACTTTTTGCAAATCTTTTTCTAATCTTTTGTTTCGCAGAAGAACTTCAATCAAAATCTTCAAAACAATGATTTGACGACAATTTCTTTGAATTAAAACTCTGTTCTCACGAAATGTCGTTCTTCTTCCTCCTCTTCCCTCTGCTTCTACTTCTTCTGCATTCAATCTTCCGCCGAATTCGCGTTTTTCAGACGTTTTCTCGAATCGGGATTTCGGGTCCGAAACCGAATCTCTTTTTTGGAAATTTACGACATTTGCGTCAAAACCCGAACCCGAATGACGTCATCGATCTCTGGACCCGACAGTTCGGACGTGTATTTGGTTTCTTCCGTGGTGCACAACCCGTACTCGTGGTCGGCCACTGGCCTCTGGTCCGCCGTCTGTTTGGATCTTCTCTTTTGCCGAATCGACCGAAAAACGTGATAAAAGCCGTTCCTTTTGTAGATTCGGTAATCTTTGTTCGAAACCAGAGTTGGCGTCGAATCCGTTCAGTCATTGTCTTTGCGCTAAAAAGACTTGAAATTTCGGGACTTTTGAGACAAACAGTTCGGCAAACAGTCGAAGAACGTGTCCTCCAATTGGTCGGCGACGGAGGCGTTTGTGACGTCACTCTATTGACGCAAGAGATTGCTTTTGACGTCATTTGCAAAGCGGGTCTTCACTGGACTCCCGATTCCAAGGACGACATTCGGCGCAGTCTCGACGCGTACCTCGAAATGGCCGTTAATATCATCGTCGATGTGGTCACGTGTTTCCCTCCTTTGCGACCGATTCTCGCTTTTCTCAATAACCACGTGACCGCCGGTCGCGTCACTGATCGCGTCATGCGTCACGTGCAGCGGCTTTTGGACGCTCCCGAAGCGGAAGATGAATGTGTGTCTGTTTTACACGATTTCCGTCGTGCAATGGCCACTGGACAGATGACTCGCGCCGAAGCGGTTGCAAACTGTCACGTGTTATTGATTGCCGGATACGAAACGACTTCAACTGCTCTTTCCTTTTCTCTCTTTCTTTTGGCTCAAAATCCTCAAATCCAAGAACAACTTCGCCGTCAAATCAACTCTTCTTCTTCATCTGAACTGCTGAACGCCGTTTGGATGGAATCGTTGCGTCTCTTTCCTCCCGTGACTTCATTTATCACACGAATCGTTGAACGCGATGTTTCTGTGGATAATCTCCGAATTCCCGCCCAAACTGTGGTTCAACTTCCGCTTTTCCAACTCCATAGAGATGCCGATCTCTGGCCAAATCCTGACCGTTTCGATCCAAACCGATTTATTACTACAGTTTCGCCCCATTTTCTGGCCTTCGGTTTGGGACCACGTGATTGTCCCGGAAGACAATTCGCGCGAATTCTCGCTTTAGAAGTGATTTCGAAAATTGTTGGAAATTTTCAAATTTCCGTTTGTTTTCAAACTTCGAAATTGCGTTTTCGAAGTCCGACAGAAGTCGTCATAAAAGCGCGCGAAAACATTAAATTGAATTTCACGCGAATTTCGCTTTAAATCCAATTGTTTTTCAACAAAAAACTCGAGATTTTTTTGATAATTGTTTTCGTGACAAATGTTTCGAAATAAAGATTGTTTTGAAATTTGGGTTTTTTTGTCGTATTTTTAATCAATTTTTTAAAAATCCTTGACTTTTATTTCGATTTATTTCAATCAAAACCTGTTTTTTATAAACACTTAAAATCTCTTCAAAAAAACAAATTGAAATCAAAAACTTTCAAACTTTCGACAAAATGCGAACAAAACGTAAGATTTTTCTCTTTTTTTGCGTCATTTAGTCCTCGATTTCGTCTTTTTCTTAGTCTTTTTTCTTCTGCTTTTGTCCGTCGCTTTTCTGACTTCCGGTCAAAGACGAAGACCCGGAAGAAACCGAAAGTCGGGAAAACAGCCAAATTGTCATTTGAAAGATATCGAGAAGTGTTTGGAACCGTTGTCCAGTCTGAGCAAAAGCGACGACCCGACGGCCATTCTGACGTCATCGGCCGGTCTCGACCGACTTTGTGGGTAAGAGTTGTCGGGAAATGATTTCTTCGTCTCTAAGAATATAATAATAATAATAATATTCAGAGCAATCAAAAACCGTTTCGGGAATTGTGTTCGAGATTTCTTCAAGAAGTGCGGAACTCCTCTGCATCGGGAAGTGTCGTCTCTGGTCGTGGATCAGATGTTGTCTCACACGAAACCAATTTGTCAAAAAGGATCTTCACGTGAAAGTTCGTCTTTTTTTCCTAAATTTTCACTTAATTTTTGAATTGTTTTCAGAATTCATAAAATCTTCGAATTGTTTAAATCGAAACGTTTTTTCGACAAAAACCGCAAAACAAGACTGCAATCAAAGATATATTTCGACTCTCAATACCGCCGCCGCTCTCAACGACTCCTCAGTGTTGGCCATCTGCTGTGGCTTTCGTTTTTGGCAGAAATGCACCGAAGACTTGGCCGCGAGTCAGTGCGGGGCTGAGGGAGGCGTAGAAGGCGTTCGTTCGATTGTCTCTCACGTCTTCCTGGATCTGCCGAACCTGAGCTGTCCGGCAGATCTCTTTGACTCGGATTCGACTGAATGTCAATCAGTTATCGCTGCGAAAGGATCTAAAAAACAGAAACTGAATTCCGACTCAGGAGTCGCCCGATATAATGTCGCGCATATCTTCTCTTTCATGTTTTCCGTTTAATCTTTTATTTTTATTCAATTTTTTTTAATTAATTTTGTTTTTATTACAATTTAATTGCAATAAAATGTTTTTCGAAAAAATCATTTATTGTATTTCGAAAACAAAAAACTTTCCAAAAAAGGAGTAATTATTAGACAATTATCACATATTTTATACATTTCTCAAGTATTACTTCACATAAAACTTGAAAGAATTGAATGTTTTATTGAAATATTAATTTTTATGTTTACTTAAAAAACAATTTTTAAGAAATATCGCAATCAATGCTAACTTTTGCTTCTTTAGTCACAAACTTAATGTTTTTTCAATAATTATTTCAGTGATTAACCCAAATCAGTCACACATTAAAGCAATTATTAGAGAACTTATTGTTTTTTAACACTTTTAATATTAAAATGAATTAATTTTTGTTTTGATTTTCAATTTTATTAATAAAAATTTCAATAATATTATAAAACTTTTATTTATTCTTAAAATACATATATTTTGTTAATAAATAGACAAAACATAAAACGAGACACAAGTGTCGCCACACGTGACCACAGTTTGTCAATAGATGTCAGCACTGAATGACATCATTGATGACATCATTGATGACATCATTGATGACATCATAGACTTCATAGACATGTATTGAAAACAAACAAACCTTTAATACGTCTTCAAAATGACAACAAATCTCTAGTTTTCGTCCATTTTTGACGTCTTTTCCAATCTCTGACCACTTCTTCACTACTTTCCGATCAAAACAAAGGTTTTCTTTATTATACTCTTATTTGAGTCTCATTTCTGTCACAAAGAACTCAATTAACAGTTGTTTTCTTGTCTTTAAGCAGTTCTTCGCGCGCGATGTCCTCCGCGTCGGACAACTCGTCATCGGGAGAACCGAAGCCGTCGACGTCGAGCACTTCGGGTGACCAGAGCTCAAACGACGCCAACTTTGAGTGCAATATATGTTTGGATTCTGCGAAGGACGCCGTCGTTAGTCTTTGTGGACATCTTTTTTGGTCAGTTTTGAAGCAATTGTTCTTCAAATTCTTGAATTATTTGTTCCATTAGTTGGCCGTGTCTTCACCAATGGTTGGAGACGAAGCCTTCTCGTCAGACGTGTCCCGTTTGCAAAGCCGCCATTTCTCGCGATAAAGTCATTCCACTTTACGGTCGCGGATCAGCCGATAAAAGAGATCCAAGAGATCGTTTGCCTCCTCGACCTCAAGGACAACGATCTGAACCCGAATACAACGCCGTAAGAAAAGAGTTTCGATTCTAATGTCTAATAATCTATAAAAATAGCAGTCATTCCCGAACTTTGGTTTCGGTGACGGCGGTTTCCACATGTCGTTCGGAATCGGCGCCTTTCCCTTCGGTTTCTTTGCTTCGACCTTCAACTTCGGCGACGGTCGACCCGCTCCGTCACCGCACAGTCCCGAGTTTGCCGAAGACCAGTTCCTGTCGAAGGTATTCCTTTGGGTGGCGCTTCTCTTCATTATTTGGCTATTATTGGCATAAATTCAGTGAAAATCAAAGAAAATCAAAGAATTCGTCAAATTTTAAGCCAAACTTTGAAAACTGTTTTTAATTTCTTTTATAACTCTATTATACTCTAAAAGACGTACTTTTTTGTAATTTCAACAATAAAGACGTATTTTATGGACCGAACCGTGACTTCCTTTTCCTCAATTCATATATTATTGTCTTCGCGTGTATTCAACACTTGAACAACACTTTAGTCTCGAGAGTCTCTGATTTTGTCCGCAAAATGGTTTGTATTTTCACTTTTGATGTCATTCTTCTGATTAATAATATCTGGTTTTATCACCGAATAGTCGGCTCACAAGACATTTCGCATTAAACAGAAACTGGCGAAGAAACAGAAGCAGAACCGTCCGGTCCCGCAATGGATCCGAATGAAGACCGGAAACAGCATTCGATATAATGCCAAACGAAGACATTGGAGAAGAACTAAACTTAAATTGTAGACAAAAGTCGAATTGAATTTGTATTCAAAATGATTTCAATTGAATTAAACCTTTAATTAAATACACATTTGTTTTGTTTTTATTATTCATTTGTTTGAAAGAATTTGAAAATTGATTTAATTGTCGATTAAATGAATTGCAATTAATTTAGTCTTCAAATGATTGTTCGTTCATCTGATTGATCCCTTTTGTTTCTATCCGTCGAACCGTTTATTCAAATGGTATTTCAATATGAAAAGGTCCCAAATTGTCGAATCAATGATTGTTTGTTTTGAATGAGAAGAGCGTTCGCGATGTCCGACACTTTGCTTTTGTTGCAGACTTTGCGATCGGAAAACTCTGGTCTTAAGAATGACTTCCGACGAGTCATGTCTGTAGTCCGAGAGATATTCGAATGGATCGACGCTTTGGTCGCGCGATGTCTTTGTGTCGACAAAGAAGACAACGCGAAAACTCTTTTTCAATTTAGACAACGAATTGATGGCAAAGAAGTGGTCGAAAAAAAACGTCGAAAAGGAAAACGAAAAAAAGGACGAGTTTTGACTCAATCGGGAAAACAAGTCTTTTTGAGTCGAACTAAACGTCTTCAATGTCAATGGGTTCTTATTCTTCTTCTTCTTATATCTTCTTATTATTGTCTTATTATTGCAATTCTTCCGCAGCCCGGATGTGATGCTATTTTTCGCGACAGAGAAGACCTTGAGAATCATAAATGGCGTCACACGGGAACCAAGAAATACACCTGCGAGTGGCCGGGTATTCAATAGAGTCTCTATTGTTCGCAGTTTTGACCGAATCTTCTTCAGGTTGTCTCAAATCGTTTTCGTCTCGTTCTTATCTCAAGAAACACGTGTCCACTCACGTGGATCCGAATCAGTTCCGCTGTTTTCACGCGAACTGTGACCACAGATTCGTGTCTTCAGTCGAACTCAAGGATCACTTCATTGCTATTCATAACGCAAACAAACCTTTTGAATGCGTTCGTCTCTCTTCTGCCCTTTCTTTGTCTCAAATGTCTAACTCTTTGTCTCTCAGGAGTTCCCGAATTGCGGCCAACAGTTTGCCGTAAAACGCAATCTCAAAGACCATCAGGTTTTCATGATTTCTGACGTCTTTTTCATGAACTGAATTCCATTTCATCCACAGGTCGTCCACTCAAAAGAGAAGCCTTTTCAGTGCGATTGGCCGGGTATGTCATATTTCTGTCGATTTGTTTGATTAACTTCTGACCACTTTTGACCACTTTTGTCCCGAAAGGCTGTGAATCGGAGTTTAAACGCAAACAACAATTGGGTTCGAAAACCACGAAAAGCTTTTTAATCACTTTTTAATCTTTAGAATTTTGTTAAAAAGAGATTCATATGAATGAAGTTCACCGAACGGCCGACAAAGTGGTCTGTGATTGGCCGGGTATTAAAGATTTGTTTGATTTAGAGTTTAATCGCGTTTTTCTTCTTAAAAAAGGTTGTGATTCGACATTCAGTTCGGAAAACAAATTAAAAACTCATAAAATGAGACACACCGGAGAAAAACCATTCAAGTCAGACATTAAGACTCTTTCTGTGACTTTTAGTGACCATTAATTCCGTCCAAAAGGTGTCCGCATTGCGAATGGCGTTTCCGACAGAAAAACCATTTAAAGACTCATCTTTTGAAACATTCGGGAGAAAAGCCTTTTCAATGTCAAGACTGCGACCGACGGTTAGCTTAGCATTTGTCCTCTGATCTGATGTTTGACCGAAACAACACATTCTTTGCTTTAGATTTCAAACGAAACAAACTCTTCGTTTTCATTCAGAAAAGAGTCATCGAATCAGTTCTTAAGACACATATTACACGTCATTTATGTACAAATTAACCGGTTTTGTTGATTTAAACCAATAAAATGTTTGCAAATTGTCTACAAATAAATGCAATAAAATGTACGCAATGTTTGTGTCGACAGAAGTGTGAATCACGTGTCGCGACATTTAGTGAACGATAAACGCCATTAAAGGCCGAAATGCGGACCAGAAGTGGCCATAAATACACCGGCGACGGAACCAAAGAGTCGTCGACCGGAACTGACAAAAGAGAGTTCAAGAGTGAAGTCAAACCGAAGCGCGAAATCAAGAAAAATGAAACAACGGCTCCAAAGTCGGCTCCAAGAGTGCGACGAATGGCTAAAGAAGAGCCGAATAACGATCAGAAAGCAATTGATCCAAAGGAACAAACGGTGACCAAGAAATCGGACGAAAAACAGGTCAAACGCGATATCAAGAAACAGGAAACAACGGTTCCCAAGACTTCTCCGCGATTGAGAAGATTGGCTAAAGAGGAAACACGTGAAGAGTCGAAGAAAGAAACGGCGAAAACAAAAGTCAAGGAAAACGAAACGAAAACGAAAGAAACGGTTCCAAAGACTGTGCGATTGCGTAGAGGGGCGAAACAGGAGGCGAAACAGGAGGCGAAAGAGGAGGCGCCCAAAGAGGAAGAGTCTGTGAATGAAGAAGAAGTTGAGAACAAATGCGACGAAAAAGAAGTCAAACCGAAGATCAAAAAGAAGGAAATTCTGCCAAAAGTGCGATCGCGACGATTGGCCAAACAGGACGAGAAGGAGGAGCCAAACGACGACAAACCGGAAGAACCGACGGAACAAAAGACAAAAGACGCAATTATTGACGAAAAACCCGAAGAAATCGAAGAAATCGAACCGATTGTAGAAACGGAAGACAAAATCAACGAATTGATGGAAACAGAAGAACAATCGTTGAAAAGGAAATCAGATGAAAGTGAAGCAAAAGAAGACAATATTGAACCGTCCAAACGACAGAAGGTTTCGCGATTATCTGTGCCTTCTTTGCCTCAGATTTGTGGACAACTGTTCTCTTTGGGAAATGTAGACGAAGGACAGACAGGAATACGACTTAAACGCGTCGACGAACACAAGATTCGCAATTACGAGCCTTCGTTGGTTACGGACGAAGACGGACAAGTGATGCGCGAAGTGGTGTCCGTGGCTTGCGGCGCAATGCATACTTTGTGTTTGTCTTCGGATCAGAAGTTGTATTCTTTTGGATGTAATGACGAAGGAGCGCTCGGAAGAGATACTTCCACTTCAGATGACACCGAAGACAGCGTTGACGTCGACTCCAGTGAAGAAGTCGTGTCTAAGATTCCAAAACCAGTGGACGATCTGCCGGCGGGAATCGCGCGTCTTCGGGCCGGAGACAGTCATTCGTGCGTTTTGTTGACCGACGGATCGGTTTATCTTTGGGGAAACTTTCGGTTAGTTTTCAATTGATTTGATTCAATTCAATTCAATTGATTTGAWTTGATTTGATTTGATTTGATTTGATTTGATTGTGTTTTTAGAGACGATTCGCATAATTTGGGACTTTTTGTTGATTCGGAATCGGATTCAGAAAAAACATTTGTTTCGACTTTTCGTCCAAAACGTCTTGAAATCGACACAAAGATCGTTGACATTGCTTCTGGATGTCATCACATTTTGTTGTTGACCGAAGATGGTCATGTTTTGTCGTTCGGCGACGGATCTAAAGGACAATTGGGACGAATCGAAAGAACAGATTTAGTTAGTGTTGAAACCAATCGCTCGCTATTTCTCGAACCGAAACGCATCCAGTTTCCCGATTCGGCGCTTGTGGACGCCATTTGGGCCGGGCATTGGTGTTCGTACGCGCGAACAACTTCAGGTGAAGTGTACGCCTGGGGACTCAATAATTACCATCAGTTGGGGTTTGAAAGCGAGGGAACGGTTGACATTCCAAACGCTGATCCCAACTCTTCTCACGCCTTCTTCAGATTCACTCTCGAACTGAAACCCCGTCTTTCGCCTCATTTGCCGACTAATGTCCGTCAGATAGCCAATGGTCAGCAACATCTGCTTGTATTGGACTCTGAAGGACAGGTGTTTGTTTGCGGTTCTAATCTTTATTCCAAACTCGGACTCAAAGTCGACGAAAACGATCCGATCGTCAAAACTCCGCGTTCTTTGCCGACCGACGCCTTCGACGGACACAAAGTGACATCTATAGCTTGTGCCGACTTCAACTCGCTGGCCATCACCGAATCGGGTCATTTGTATGCATGGGGACCAAGCGGATCACATATCGGCACCGATTCGGACGACAACGTCGAACGGCCAACTCGCGTCAAAGGACACTTCGTGGACAAGACGCGATTCGTGGATTTGGCTGTTGGCGCGCAACACACGGTCTTGATTGGAAGCGCTTTATCCGTAAACGGAGACAAAAACTAATTTATATCGCATTTTAAATTCATTTTATTAAACAATGTTTTAATAGATTTTTACGATTTTGTGATTCATTGTTGTCTTAAATAAAGTCATTTTTCCCGAAAATCATGTCTCAATTGTGTGTCTTATGTCTCGACAACAGTCACTTCATGGTCAACGAAGATCTTCTCCCATCACGTCTTGCAGTCCAACGGGAAGCGGCCAATGCTTTGATTCATCAGATTCTCAGTTCAAATGCCGAAAGTCGTGTCGCTATTCTTCAATTGGCTCCAAATGCAAAACCAGTTCGTACTCTCACTACCGATGAAGTCCTTCTGATGCGCGCTCTTTATGGCGTTTCAGCCGACGGACAATTGCGATTCACACGTGGTCTCGAAATTGCACTCTTGGTTCTGAAAAACGCACCGCAAAGCGAAACAACAGTTCGCAAACGTGTTCTTGCATTTGTGGGAAGTCCTGTCAGTGAGGAAGACATCAAACAATTGCCTTCTACTGCCAGGAAACTGCGTCGGGCCAATGTCTCGATTGATATCGTGAGTTTCGGTCCCGAAGCCGAAACCGACCGACAAAAACAAGTTTTGCGTGAATTCTTGTCTCAAATGACTTGCGATTCTCATTTGGTTTGTGTTCCGAAAGACAATGACATGAATTACTTTCTCTCGACTTCTATACTCTTCTCGAACGCCGTTTCTCTGGTCAACGAACGCACGGATCCAGAAATAGCGATTGCAGTCAAACAATCGGCCGCCGAACACAACACTCGTTTGGACGCAGAGATGAAGCGCGCGATTCAAGAGTCAGAGAAAAGTTCGGGAATAAAAACCGAATCAAAGAATTCAACAAAAGAAACGGAAAAAAACGAACAAACAGTTCTCAGCGAAGAAGAACAGTTGGCTTTGGCTCTTCAGTTGTCTTTATTGGAGACACAAATCAAAAAGTCAGACAAAAAACAATGATTTTATGTAAAAATTTTATTCAGAATTAAAAAAATCTTCAATAATTGTCGTATTCTTTCGACATTATTATTGTTTACATTTGATTTCGATTTACTTAACAATTGTCTCACTTTTTTTATTTCAGTCGTGACAATACTTTTCTGCTTTATTTTTGTCTGTTTTTCATTACGGGATTCACTTCTTTCTTATTTTCAATTTTATTCTTCTTTGGATTTGTGGACACAATCTTCTTAAAGTTGATCTGAATTCGTTGTCCGTCTTTATTCTGTTCTTTTTTAAASACGTTTTGCATTCGCTTTTGAATGACTGAAAAACTTTCTGGTTTTTGATCATTGGTTTGAATGTCTTTCTCAAAACCATTTGTTTTASATTTTCTTCACTTTTGGTTTGTTTTGTTCGCGACTTTTCCTAAAAATATAATTCCAATCAATAGATATTCAAATAGTTTTCAGACAAAAGCAAAACAACGAGAAGAGTCAACGCAAGGATCAAAACAATTGACAAAATCATAATCAATGTGTTTCTGTTGGTATTTGTTTGACTTTTGGCACAACTGATGGAAATTCCGTCGAAATTAATAAAACAATTAATATTAAAGACTTTAAGGATTTGTTTAATGAGTTTTGAATTAAATGTTAGAAAATTGTTAGAAAAGCGAGACTTTATTACAAAAGCATTTCATTTACTGAGAACTGAATTAAAAACAAGAGAAACAAAGTTTTCATAAGAAAGAGTAACCATTCCGTCTAAATCTGTGTCCAATCGGCGAAACTCATCCGTCAAAGACTGCAAATGAATGCAAATCTTAATAAAGTCGTCGAAATGTATGATTTGTTCGAATCGAGTCATCAGTTTCTCGTAAAACTGGTCACTAAATCGGTAACCAAACGATGTGAGCGCGTGTTTCAGTTCGCGGACATCAATTTGACCAGATTTGTCCAAATCGTAAGACTGAAAACAATTCAACCAATTAGTTATGTATTGCCATAAATTGCGAAATGCGTCCAAATCTATACTTCGAGACTTTGTCTTATCAAACATTGCAATCATTAAATGGATCTGAAGACAAAAGACAACAAACTATTAGTTCAAGAAATGTCTTCATCTTTACTCACAGTTTGCAAATCAAACGCTTCAAATGATCCGTTGGACAGAGCCTTCTGCAGTTCCAATGCATTGATAATCCCGGATCGGTCGGTGTCCACGGACTGGAAGTACTGAACCAGAAGAGAGTCATCGGGAGTAACGTTCTGTGGATTCATGTTTTGCCGAAATTATTGTAATCATAAATGACGTCAATCTGTGTTTGACTTTTGCATCGTTTGTAACACTCGTTGTAATCACAGATCAAAGATTTCTTTGAATTCTTTGAATTGATTTCAAAGTTTAGTTGATTTCAAAGCATTTATTTTGGATTACATTTACATTTGATATGACTTTGAATTTGTATTGAATTGTGAATCGAATTATAATTTCTTTGAATACTTTCTGAACGACTGCGCAGTCATTCAGTCATTCAATGACAACATTTCTAACGATGTTTTCCGTCAAAACCTTCCGACTATTGACCGCCAAATCTGGTCTCCGAGTGCCGCGTCGTGGCCTCAATGTTCACGAACACGTGGCCATGGATGTGCTGCGTCAGGGAGGCGTCAATGTGCCCCACTTTGGCGTCGCCCGAACCCCTCAGGAGGCGATGGAAGTGGCGCGCAAACTGTCGTCTTCGGACTTTGTGGTCAAAGCACAAGTTCTGGCCGGCGGTCGAGGTCGCGGCCAATTCAGTTCGGGTTTGAAAGGAGGCGTAAAACTTGTTTATTCGACGGAAGAAGTTCACGACGTTTCGCGACAAATGCTTGGTTTAAAGTCATTAAAAGTCTTTAATCATTAATCTTTCATTTGATTCGCTTTTTGTCGACTTTTAGGCCACTCTTTGGTTACGAAACAAACCGGAGATAAAGGAATCAAATGCTCAGAAGTGATGATTGTTGAGCGCGTGTTTCCCCGACGCGAGTATTACTTTGCTTTAATGATGGAACGGGCCTTCAATGGACCCGTTATTATCGCTTCTTCTCAAGGAGGAATGGCTATTGAAGACGTCGCTCGCGATACTCCCGAAGCCATTGTCACTCAGCCCATAGATATCGAGAAAGGAGTGGACAGGGATTTGGCGTTATCTGTGGTGAAAAAGTTGGGTTTTCATGCGTCGAGTCACGAACAAGCCGTCGATTTGATTCAAAAACTTTACGAAGTTTTCCTCTCAAAAGACGCGCTAATGATTGAAATCAATCCAATGATTGAAGACACTTCGGGTCAAGTGTTGTGTTTGGACGCCAAATGCCGTTTCGACGACAACTCAGAGTTTCGTCAAAAAGAGATTTTCTCGCGAAAAGACACGACACAAATAGACGAACGCGAACTTCAGGCTTCACTTCATAATCTCAATTATATTGCATTAGACGGCGATATCGGATGTCTCGTCAATGGTGCCGGACTGGCCATGGCTACAATGGACGTCATTAAGCTGCACGGCGGCAATCCGGCCAACTTCTTGGATGTCGGCGGCGGAGCGACTGCACAACAAGTCACTGAAGCCTTTCGACTAATTTCTTCAGATTCCAAGGTTCAGGCGATTCTGGTGAACATTTTTGGCGGAATCATGAGATGTGATATCATTGCCGAAGGAGTGATTGCGGCCGCAAAGACATTGGATTTGAAGATTCCTATTGTTATTCGACTTCAAGGTTTTTCGACTCATTTTTTCCATATTTTATTCATTTTATACTAAATTTCTGTTTCAAAGGCACTCAAGTCGACGATGCGAAGGCTCTTATAGCCGCCAGTCGTTTGCGAATCCTGGCCTGTGATAACCTCGAGGAAGCGGCCAAAATGGTCGTTAAAATGTCGGCTATTGTGGGTTTGGCGCGTTCTGCAGCCGTTTCTGTCAATTTTGAACTTCCGATTTGAATGCCTTTAAGTTTACTGTTATTTAAATAGCGTTTAAAGAGTTTGATTCAAATCATTTGAAATGTTTTTAATTATATATAGATTTAAGAATAATTTACATCTGTTTTACACAAATTCAGTTCATTTTTAGTTCATTTTATTATTAATTATTTATTTTAATTAATTACCGTTAAATTGTGTTTTACCGTTAAAATATGGAAAAATCATAGGGAATAATGCGATTTTGTATGAAAAATATAGATTTTTACTTTGAATAATAATTTGCTTGTTTTTATATATTTTCAAGATTTGCCACCCCTTGTATTTGGACGTCTCTAGTTGTTCCAAACCCTTTTAATATGCTATCTATTTACTGATTTATAATATGTAAAAATACTGTGAATGTATATAAAAGTCATTTATTGTTAAACACTGTTATAACTAATTAATTAATTACTTCTAATATCTAAATATACCGGTTTTAATAGATTACTGTTAATTATTGGTCATTACAGTTCCCTATTCCCCCAATTTTGCTTTTCCCCACTTTAATTTAACCCACAACCAGGGGTGGTAAAAAATGCGGTTTTTTACCGTATGAAAGCGTTATTTTTCATTTTTTTGAATTCCATTGAATTGAAATAAAACACGATTTTACGGTAATATTCTCCTAATTTTAAGGTGAGATTCACTTTTTAAAACTAATAAATGTTTTATTAAATTATAATAATTACTGTTATTTTTGATGAGATTTTAATTATAATTGAAATATTTAATAAACAAATAAAACAYATTTAAGTGAATCTCAAGTTTACAAATTGATTTGACTTTTAGGAATAAATATTTTGCAATTTATTAATCAAATATTATATTTGATAAAAACAACAAATAAAACAATTTAATAAAACATTGTGTGCTTTGATTATTAATACAATATTTGTTTATAAATATTAATATATAAAATATAATATAAATTTAATTTACAGTAAATTTGTTCAAAACCTATGAGAATATTGAATAAGTAAACAAACTCTCAATATTTCAATGTTTTTTTTAAGAAGCAGTTGTTATTAAATTAATTGAAATAATTAAATAATGTGTTTTATATGCAGTAATAAGTTATAAGTTATCGGTCAATGTTTTTCACTTTTGTGTTTAAATTTAATTAAAACTTATAAACAGTTACTTATTTCATGTGAATTAATATTGATTTTTTTCTATTCATTACAAAGTTGATTATAGTCTGGAATTATGACATTAGTTAAGCATTTATAGCATAATTAATATATTTGTTTGCAAAATGTTTTACATTTATTGATATCAGTCTTGAGTTTTTGATTGCAGTATTAATTATGATTTATAATACAATGCTTTCACTAATGAAAACTGTTTTAACACAAACTAATTCAGATACCAATCAATGTTTTTGATTTATTTCAATTGTATTTCTGGAGAATTCAATGATTGTAATAGATTTAGAATAATTAAAAAATAATATTAAATATTGTGTTTGTTTTGCTATACAATCGACTTAATTATAACATAACAACATAATTAATAAATAATTAAATTTATTTATTTATTAAGTTTTTTGTAGTTTTCCTTTTAACTCATTTTAAATTAAATGCAAGTTTTGCTTATTATCGATCGAAACAATTGTCCAGAAATTTACCGCTAGTTTAGGGATAACAAAGTTGTGACCAACAAACTAACCAAAACTTACATTTAATTTATATATTTTATTTGTATCTAAACTATTCTTTATTTAAAATAATTTGAGAAATTAATTATTTTTTTTATCATTAAAGCACTTTATTTTTACAAATTTTGCAAAATTCACTAAAACTTTTATATTGTATAATAAATCAATGATTAATATAATTAACTCAAAGTCATATATTTTAAAAAGTATACAATATTTACACTAAAATAAAATTTCTTCTTAAAATACTTTTTTTGTAAATATACAGTATTTAGTAATTTATACAATATTTGTATTATAAATAAATATTTATAAATAAAAGTATAAACATCAGTAGTTTAAATATTATTCTTGTTTTTATTAGAATTGCATAAAGAATTAAATTTAAAAAATGGCAAAACATTAAGTTTTTTAAATATAATATAAACACAAATGTTTTATCAAAGAATAAATTTAAAAATAATTTTCTAATGCATTGAATTTTATTACAAGAATTGCAATAAATTGTATTATTGTTTATCACATTTGAGTGAATCTAAAGAATCAATTATTTTTTAATTAATGTTTTGTTTAGAACTAATTTAATGATAATTCTTTACGAATCAAAAAATGTTTTATTTATTTTAGATATCAATATAACAAAACATTTAAGAAATACTTTTATTGATTTTTAAAAAGTTTTGATACAAATATTATTAAAGTTTGAAATAAATTAGATATATATTAATTTTTATTAATAAAAAATCACTTTCAAACTTGATGTGAAATTCTTTACTACATTTATCTGCTTTTGTTATTATTTTATAATTTAATAAAGAAAATAATATAATAGTATAATAATTATAATTAAACAAAAAACTATTTTGTTTAGTTTGTAATACAATAATTGTAACTTTATATTGCATTTTAAGTGTTTGCTCTAATAGTAAACAATTTTAATACAATATGTTTGTGCAGTAATATCTAAAATACAGTTAATTTTGGATAAAGCAAGTGTTGTCCTATAAATATTTGGTCAAAATAACTATTTATACATTAATATTAGCGTTTAAATCATAAATGTTATTATTTTAACGTCAAATGCAGTTATAATCCAATTAATATAAACTTAATATCTATTTAATGCAAAATTTAAAATTAAATTTAAACAATTTTTAGCAACATTAAACTCAATTTATTTTCTAAAATCAAATTTATCGTTTTAGTTGAACCAAAATATCAATTACAGCAAAAAATAAATTTATCAAATATTTTATTTAATTATATTTAGATTTTTTGTTTCATAGCCAATAACTTGTGATTTATATAACGCTAACTATGAGTTACACATTACTTATTATATATAATATAAAATTTGAAAATGTGTTTTATGTTCAGTTTGTGGTTTTACTTTATATACAGTATGTTTGACAATGATTTAGTGTCAGTGATATAACTTATATAAGCATTTGAACTAAAAATTATTGATAAGTTAATCTCAAAACTATAATAATCCTGTATTTAATACTATAAACTAAAATGCAGAATATTTTTATTACAAATTCTCAAATCTTAATAATTATTAATATAATAACTACAAAACTAAATATAAATTTATCATTATTTCCTATATTACTATTAATATATTATTTTCAGTGTTTTGTCTGTCTTTCCTTTCTTTTTCCTTTCATAATACCTAACAAACCATTTAATAATATATAAATAATGAGTATTATTTAAATCGACTTTCGGAATTGATTTTCAATAAAAAAATTTGTTGAAATAAATTGAATTGTTTATTAGCATAAAATGATTTATTATAATACTATAAAAAATGTTTTATTAAATTTTACAAAAGATACAGAATTTATTTGACAAATAAATTATTGTTTTGTTAGGAATAAAAGCACATAAGATATCGTTTAATTAATAATCACTTTTATTAAACAATAGCAATAGTAGTCACTGTGTATACTGTRTATATATATATAGAGTATATTTATACTATATATTGATTTTGTGTGAATTTAGAGTATATTAATAGCAAATGTAGCAAAAAAATGATTTACCTATTTTTGCGATCAAATAAACGTGTATTAAATATATATTCTATGAAACAATTGGATTCATTTGACATTTGATTGCATTTAACTTCTGAATACTTATTATGAATTCACGTCAAGAATTGCATTGCTTTAACACAAATGCATCGAAATATTTGAAAAGATAAGTAAATGTTATTTAAAAAGAGAGCAAAACTATTAAACAATTGTAAAAATGAGACAACGATTGTCTAACTTTTGTATTGCATTTGTTTAAGCATTAAATGAATGTTTTTGAAAGAAACCATACATTCATACAGTAGTGACATAAGTGGTGGCAAATCCTCGTTAATACTTAACAAACTGTCTGTTGAAATAAGAGACAAATCAATAACACCTGAACTCATAGAAATGATTGCGTAAATTAGGTCTTCACAAACATACAGTTTAGTACTCTATATCATAGTCTATATAAGGGATTATATTTGTGTAAAATCTATTTGAAAAGGCATTTATCAAAATAAAAATCCAATTATCGCTTATATAATACACATAAACCTCATGTGTTTACCAAAGCTATGTATAGTATTTGCAAGAAATGGCATGAATTGTCTTCAATGGTCAGAATTGTATGGACAGTCATACAGACATTGAGTTCCCATTGCCTTCAAGTTTCAAATAAAATAGACATAAAATTTTGTATTAATATTTGTTTTTTATTATATTTCACACAAAACATTACTATTGAAAAATCGTACAATAAATACAAATATATCTAAAATAATATATATTTTATACATCAGTTGTAGTGCTTCTCTGCTAAGAACCACAGATTCTGATAAAAAATCAATATTTCTGTCAACAGTTCCGGTTATAGTCAGAGATCTACGCAAGTATTGTGTCCTTGAGTTCAATATCTACGCAATCAATACAAGTCTGATTCACTTCGAGTCAGTCAATGGATGGGAGAGAGAGAGAGGGAGACAGGGATGACATGAGTGCGCAATGAAGGAAAATGTCGAGAATTATAACATTTAGAGCTCAGACCTAACACAACACAAAATAGATGCTCAGCTGAGATGTGATGTGACTCTCACTGCTATTCATTGAATTCAATACTCAAAACTACAGTTTGGCTTATATTGTGTGAAATGTATGTAAAAATGACGCACTAATAGAGTATACCTTTTAGACAACACTTTTATCATAATGTCATTACTCGACGGCAAGTATTCTCATTAATATAATATTTATTATTATTTATATTATTATTATTATTAACACTTGTTTTCTTAATATTTATAAACAAAAATAATTTATTTTTCATTTGAAACGTTTATAACTATTTAAATATTGAATTCTGTGATAAACTCAACAAAATTCAATTACATAACAATTATTATTGTTGTTAAACACAATTGCTTTACAATATTCTATAATTAATCACTAAATTTCAGTTTTTATAGGTTTTTATTTAAAAAACTATTTATTTATATTATTATAGTATAAGTAATATTTATTAAATATAATCTATTTATAGTATAATATATAATGGCTTTTAAGTCAACAAATATTGCGGTTTCATTTATATTTTGATATTTAATTAAACAAATGTATTAAAAAATAATTTTAAGCATTCATTTTAGTTAAATAATAATAAATCCTATTTTGTTTGTTGAAAACATAGTGAAAGGGAGGAAAAGTAGGCCAAAAATAGTATGAACTTAAAGAGTGAAAACCCGGCGACTATTGTGTAGAGAATTGAATGAATAAAAAAATGATAGAGAGTTGTGAATAGGGATGACATGCGATTAGCACAGGTATCCACCGGAAGACTATTTGCTGATCATTAAAATGCTTTCTATATACAGTGTATTAGATATATAATTATAAATTATATATATATTTATATTATAAATATATATATAATTTATAATTATATAAAATTTTAATTGATTTTATTTGTATAGAGATTTGGAACGGAAATTAATTTTAGGACTTTATTTATAATAAACTTTTATATTATTATTATATTTAGAAGTTTTGTTGGAAATATTTATATAATTGTTTACTAAAATTAGTATAAGTTTTCATTTGTTATAAATTCTTGATTTACATGTGTTTTTGCTAATCATTTATTTACTGATGTATTGTTGTATATAAATATATGAATTAGAAATTATAAATTCAGATACTTTTAAATATTCAAAATACATGTATTTTAGTAAAAATTATAATTACTTATACTATTGCTTAGCAAACAATTGTTATAAAATACAGTATTTTAACTTAATATAATATAAATCATAATTTAATACAAATTCGACATTTTAAAAATTTAAATAAATAGTATTGTTATAAATACTGTACTAATATTATCTATAAATTAATATACACTTAATTGCCGTTTGGTATTAGTTTTTAATTAAAATTATTAATAATTGAAAAAATTGATGGTCTTGAATGTGATATAAACTTGTATTATATTTTAAGCGATAATTTTCAAAGTTTTCAAATTTGAAAGGGAGGACTAACTAGATTTTCGATATAAATTTACAATTTCTCAGATTATCCTAATTTAATAAAAATATAATAAAATGAGAATTATAAATGAAAAAAACATTTATATTATTTAAAATTTGTATTTATGTAGTAGTTATACGATTTATGCCATTTTTGTCAACTTTTATTTACTGATAAGAAAAAGATAAGCAATTTCTTGTCTATAATTATAAGTTGTAATACATAATAGATTTAGAAATTACAAAACAATTATTATTATTTATAAAATTTCAATTATTTGGTTTCATTTATTGTTAGTAAAGCATACTATTATACATAATATAATATAAGCATGAATTTTGTATTACACTCTTTATGTTATATTGTTTTAATTATTGATATAATATATGCCTCTAAATATCTGATAAATAAGTGTATATCCGATTTAAACTACCGGTATATTTACGATATTAATAGTATAAGACTTTTATTTGTTTAGTTTACTAAAAAAACAATTACTTATTGAAAACATATTATAATTTTATCAAATAGTTAGAAAAAATATTCTAATAATTTTAGTATTTAATTTATGTAAAATAAATATTTCATTTAAATTGCTTTCAATTGAGTCAATTATTTATACAACTACATAGTATTGATTATTTATTTATACTGTATAAAAAATATATGTATTTACATGTACTTAAATGTAATTTATTTTTGTACATCTGTATAAAAGACTATTAAAAAATATATTTTTGTTAGTATTTGTATTTTAAGAGTTGATAACTTTGTAATTTATATATAAAAATAGTAACTCTTTATAATATAAATTAGAATAGCTTCAAGTAATATAAGATATAATGTTTTTTAGCAATTTTCCGTAAACTCATATAATTATATATTTATTTATGATTTTATTATTTATTAACGATTGCATTAAGTAGTTATGGGAGCAGAAAATGCGATGAAAATTCAAATATGAATTCAAATGAGTGTAAATGACATCTAATTTGATTTATCGCTTAATTGACTCCAAGTTTGCAATAGTTATAACAAAATGTGAATCTTTAGGCTAATGGTATTGTTTTGCCTTTAGGTCAAACATTTTTCAAATCTACAGTCATTTTGATAGCAATACTTGCCATTAAAGTACAACTATCACAAACAAAGTGTCCCTCAAGAGATTATTCGTGGTGTTTACAAATCGACGGCTACGACAATGTTATACTCGACGGCAACAGATTTCCAGACATTAAGCCAGTTATGGGACACATCAGTAACCTATTAGATGGAAACGCTAAAGAAGGCAAAAGGTTTGACCACTTTTTCCTTTATAACAACCATGAAGTGAGACGACTGGAGGCCAACTCGTTTGCTGACTTGACGTTTAACAAAATTAATATCAAGAATTGCACAAAACTGATCCGTATTGATCCCAATGCTTTTAATGGCACTCAACATCTGATAACAAAAGTGCACATCGATTTGATATCAATTAGTGGTCCGAAAAATATAGAGGACTTCTTTGATGCGCTGAATAATTTGCCAAAATTAGAGGAATTGGAGTTATTTAACCACAATATTATCATAATTCCGTCTTTTGCTTTTCGTCAGCCACTTCTTAACCGACTAGAATTGGACGGACCACTCGATACTATCAAAAACAATGCTTTCTTTGATTTGGTCAGTCTTAGGATTCTTAAGCTTCATAAGTCTGTTAAACACATCCCAAAGCATTCATTTGATTTCAAGACTTTTACAAACAAGACGTTAGACATCTATTTTGACATTAAGTTTAATACTATTGAAAGCGGGATTTTCTCACAAGTCTTGAGACCAATTACGCTGAATCTGTATTTAAAGAAATTGCGTGATCTCAGTGAAAGTGTCTTTAAACCGATCCTCTTGTCTGAGAGAAGACATGACATCACATTTCACGGTGAGCTTAAAGAGATGGCTCAGCCATGTATTCTCAAATGGCTGTTCGATGAAAAGGCTAGCTTTAAGGGCAGATTCAGCTTCAAAACGGATCCTATGATTGGACCCAACGATTTTGTCGACTGTCCCGAAGATTCAAATAGTATTAATGACTCTCAGGTCAACTCCAGTGTCAATTCGTTTCAACCAATTAACTCAAATCCGTACTCTAAGCTAATCAATAGGTATCTGATCCTCGCAGTTGGCATTTCAATCTTTTTATTTAACATCCAAAACCAATACGTTTAATGCTCTTAACATTAAATTAATCAACCAATCAATCAATAATGGGTTTCTTGTTTTTGTTTGTGAATCAAATATAGTCAGACAAATGTATACTAAATTTACTAAAAAAGTAAACCAAAAATCTATACTAAAATGAAACTAAAGTTTGCGTGATCTTCGTGTATGTCATCTTTAGAGCACACATAGAGCTGTTGTATATGTTGTATACAAGCAGTCTATCAAAAATCATTTGTTAACACAAATTATTATTAGATGTTTAGCGCAAACAACTCATCAAATCAACTAATATTATTAAAACAAAATCAATTTACTCTATTGAACATCAAAACACTATATAACAGTGTAATTATATTATAATGATATAATCCATAATTGATTATAATTACAAAAAGTACAATGTTTTGCAGTACACCAAATGTTTTAGTTCCTCAAATTACAATATAAAAACAACTAAAATATATGTAAAAATATAAATATTTATATACACCTCAATAGTGTACATCATTAAATTGATATATAATTCATTATTTTTTCTATTAGTAATGATTAATAATAGATTTTATTTGTATTTGTTATTAATATATATATATATTATATTTTTTGTCGTTGAGTTCAACATAATAAATGACAAATAGATTTAGAGTTTTAACCACTTAATGTATATATCATAAAAATACACAAAAACACAACTATTTTGATCACTAAATGTTAATCCAGATTCCAGTTATATAGTATATAAATATATTTATAAATGAAAGCAATCCACTTATATTGTAATTAGAGTGGAAAGGGCTAATAAAAATGCTCACTTAAAAAATAGCTGTTTAATTACATACAAATAATTTATGATAAAATCAATTGTTGAATACTTTCATTGTCATACACGTAATATTTTGAAAAGTGGTTAAATTGGTTGAGTTGTCAAAAATGCTATATTTTTGTATGCTATGGTGTTGTCAATGAAAAATTGCTGTTTTTTGACCAATTATATAACAAATTAAATTATTACGATATTATGAAACTTAATAATTATTATTATATAATAGAATTATATTTAGTTTATCAACAAATAAAAGTCTTTTACTGCCATTTAGATTATATGCAAAGTGTTTAAATTAAAGATTTTCTTAATAAAAAATGTTATAATAATGAAAATATTGATAAAGTGATGGTTTTAATGATAGTTTATAATAACAAAAATTGTTGTGATGGTTATATTTATTATAATTAAATTATATAATTATATTATTCATATATGATTGTAAAGTTTTATTGATAATAAACACTAAATATTATTATAACTATTATTAATTATAGTACACCTAAATTGTAAATACATTTTTGTGTTAATTTAGTTTTTTAAAACCAATAAATGATAATTCAATTGATTTTATTTGATTTGATATACAGTATCATAAATATTATCGATATTTTATAAATTATAACTACATATTAATACAATATTATAATATTACAAAATTACAATATTATATTATAATATACAGTAAATATTAACAGATATTAATAAATTAATGATGAATTAGTACAAACATAATAATACACAAAAAATCACAAAATTCAATGTTTGAAATTTTCAATACTAATAAAATCCATGGATTTATCATTTAAGTAGAGTTTAAAATTTGGATTATACCGTAATTTAAAATTTTTGTATAATGTATAGACACTATAGAAAAAGTTTAAATTTAATTTAAATATTTCTTGAATGATTAAAGTTTCAATTTTTAAAATAATAATAATATAATTATAGAGGTTTTCTTACTTTTTTGGTCACAACTTTGTATCCGCAAACTAGCGATAAACAATCTCCTCGAAACAATTGTCCAGAAATTTACCGCTAGTTTGTGACCAACAAAGTAAGCAAAACTTGCAATTAATTTAAGATAATTATAATTTTTATATTAAAAGTCTATCAGAAAATGAAATAAATATAAACAATATTATTAAAATATAAGGAATGAAATCTATGAAATTTGTTTCAAACATAACTAGAGGTGATTTACAGTATATTAAAGATTTTAATTTGAATTTAACAAATTTATATAAAAATAGTCAAAAATATCATTGAAAATGTTTTAAATTATTTATTTATTTTTAATAAAATTTCGGTATAGATTTTATTTTATTACAATATTATTTGAATTAACTAATATTTTAAATCTTAAAACACTTAAAACCAAAATGTTTTTATTGTAATTAATATTTGTGACAATTTTTCATAAGTTAATATTTATTTTGTATTAAAGTTATAAAATATTCAAGAAATATTAAAATTTAACTTTTTCATAGTGTTTATATAATATACAAACATTACATAAGTTTATTATAGTATTTATAGTAAATAATTGCTTGTATTTTTAGGAATAGTATTTGAAAATTGTTTGACACATTCATTGTCTATATTATAAAACATTTTCAATTATATGTCCATTTACTATTTGAAAATGTTTTTTAAAGATAATTAAAATAATAAAATATATTTTAAGTTAAATCAATTTTGTTTTAATGTAAAAATAGTTTTTTATTTTCAGTAGTCATATAATAAAACTAATAATAACGTAAGTCTAGTAAAATAAATATTTGAGTGTAGTTTCTTATTTAATTTAACATTTAACTATTATATTATAATAACATCAACATTATTTTGTACAATATATTTAAATTTACGTTAATATTATGTAAACCCTGATAGTTAGCTATTTTCTTGTCAAACACACACACAAATATATAATATATAAACATTTGGAAAAATTTCATTTTTAAAAAGATAATAAAAATTTATTTTTATGGTTGAAGTCAAATAGCTTTGCATTTAAATAATTGATTTCTTTTACGGCTTTTTACTATTGGTTTTCAGCAATAGAGCAGTTATTTTAAGAGCTTTGATGACAAGTCATGTCATATTAGATGATATATTTGTATATATTTTGAAATTAACATTACTTTTATAAATATATTTTGACAATAAGATTTTTATATCAAAATCTGTTAAAATTTGTTTTACATTTTTATCTTTTTATATACAAGTAGTTAATCATTGAATTGCGTGAGATTTGATTTAATATAAGAGTCATTTAGAAACGACACCCATATATGATTGAGTTGTCATTTTGAAAACATTAAATGATATCTCAATATGCAATTTGATGGACATTCATATTAAAAGATAAATTTTTTATTAAATTTACTTTTAATAATTAATCAGATATACCGTAAACTAGTATTGTAAGTATAAATATTATTATTAAATATTTAATTTCCTTAACCGTTGAAACTTGTGTTATAACTGTACTGTAGTATAGTATAGTAGTTATCCCAGCTTTTCATTGCTTAAAGTAAACTCAAAAGTAAGTCATCGAAAGCTACTGACCCTTATGTAATCGTGTGGACAGTGGACAGTGCGGCTATGTTTCGCTGATTACAAGTTATTATGTTGTAGTATATAAGAGTATTTAGTGTATTATAGCAACAATTACATCAAATATTTATCAACTTTTATGAATAATTAATCCGTTAAAAGCCATTCATTTAAGGCATTCACTAATCTCTTACATAACATCAATGCAAACACATTAACAAACATTGTATATGAGATTTGCTTTGATTTCAGACAAACCAGTATTTAGACAATTAATGAATTAACAAAAATATTTCTACTAAAATATATTAAATAAACCAAATTGATAAAATATGTTTAAGTATTAATATTAATTAATTTAATTTACAAATTAATGATAAAAATTATTTTATTTTATATGTTTATTATTTGTATTAAATTATATATTAATTATTTTTTAAATTTTTAATTTAGTTTTATTCAAATTTAAAATAAATTTACTGATTATTGATTTGATTATTGATTATAAATCATTAATAGAATAATGATTATAATATAATTTTATCATTTATTTTATATTTGTTTATTTTAACTCAATTTTTCTCAATTAATTGATTTGTAATGTGTTTTTGTGATCAATTGCTTCCTTTGGCGTTCAACTGAAACTTATTGTAATTTAAATAATTTATTTATATTTTTTAAGTTATATATTATTTTTTCAGTCTAAGATATTTGATTTTATTAAATATATAATTATTAATTTTATATTTTATATTCAATAATACAGTAACTATAATTAATGTTTATTTATTAAAATAAGATATATTATTAATTTTAAATTATAAAATATCGTAAATTTAAGAATATATTTTTTATTAAAATTTTAATTATACAACTTGTTTAAATAATCTAATTTTATATAAAAAATAGACATAAAAATATGTTAATGTCAAATAATTAGAAAATATTATCGTAATCACATGTGTTAATATCACAAACGGATGTAATAATTAAGTAATTGAAAAATATTTCAATTAAGCAATTTAATAACTAAAGTATTTTGTAAATTTGAATAATTGAAAAGTTTAATTCAATTAATTAATTTAAGCATCGATTACATGAAAAGTCTTCTATAAATAGAAACGCTTTAATAACAATGCAAATGAAGTTTACAATTGACAGCATATAATGATCCAAATAATGTAATTTCATAGGAATTATGTGAAGATTATGGGAATCTCTCTCTAAATACTATTTACTATTCAATTTAAATTATCATATAATTTTAATTTTTATAAGATTTAAAAGTATTAAGTTATCTAAACTATATTTTATTGAACTAAAACAAATAGATTTTACTAATAAATATATTTCTAAAAAATATTTAATTAAGAAAATTAAAATTATCGAAATATATAAAAATGTATTTTCTGTACAAAAAAAATGATTATTATTTATAACAGATTGCTGTATATAGTATACAGTTGAGTAGTAAACATAGATTTTAATAATATAATTAAAATCAAAATTAGGTTAATATGGTTTATTAATTTATCAATTATGAACATGATTTATATCTATTACTGTAATTCAATTAAACCTTTAATTAATTACGTTTAAATTGTAAATTATATTAAATTTTTAGTATAGAGTAATAGATAAACAATAATGAATAGAGAAAAATCATTTGTTTATTAAAATTACGGCAATTATGACAATTAAATAAATTTGACAATTATTTGAAAAGTGTTATAATGTGACAAAATATTTATCTAAATTGAAGACATGTTATAACTCAAGTACTTCCTCTTTGAATTTGTTGTTTGAGTAGCAAAATGCTGTCCCGTTGTTCAGTGGGCAACATAGCTATTTGTTGGTCAGACAGTGCCAACACTTGCATTATTAATTGTGCCTTTTCTTGCTCCTGACTGGCAGTCATGGTGGCGCCCGGTTGTGCCATTGAACCAAAATTAGGAGGTAATTGAATATTAGATCCACCAAACTGTTGGCCACCAGCGCCGCGATTCATACCAATTGGTGCACCAGAGTTGGCACCACCTCTAATATTCTGTGACGTCATTTGCCCTTGAATTCTTGGATCAATTGGTCGCGTTCTTGGATCCAAGTTTTGCGGAGGAATTGGTGCGTTCATTGGACCAGTTTGAGGACCAAAACGATCAAAAGGTGTTCCATCTCTAAGTCTCGGATCATGCATTCGATTATCAAAAGGTTGTTGTTGTGGCGGCATTTGTTGGGGCAAAGGAACGGGTCGTTGCTGTGGTGGATATGAATCAAACATTGGTTGTTGTGGTGGAGGAATAAGCTGTTGTGGTCCCGGTTGAGGCATAAGAACTTGTGGTGGATTAGGATTTGGACGATGAAGTATAGACATTGCCATTTGTGGATCAACCACTCGCATGACAACCAGTGCTTGTAGTAAAGCATAGGCCAACTGTGGATTCTGTATTAACATATTTCTTGCTTCAGATGGATTTGTTTGTATGCATTGTTTCATCTGTTTAGCCAATTCGTACATTTGTTCGGGCGGAAGACTGGCCACAGCTTTGCTAATGGCTTCGGGAGCTTTATCGGGGTCTACTTCGGGTCCGTATGGGGTTTCAAAAGCGGCACCGCTTAATGACAACTGAAGGTTACGCATCTCTTCTTTGAGTCGTTCATTGGTCGCATTATCGACCCGAAGATTACGACCATTGAGTTCGTATTGATTGAGATTTCTCATCGCCGACAGAGCTGTTTCTTGATCTTTATATTCACAAAAACCATATCCTTTTGGTTTTCCAGATTCTCTATCGTAAACCAACTTAAAGCTAATGACAGGTCCGACTTCTGAGAAAATGTCTTTCAGTTTCTCTTCTGTCGCGTCGTACGGAATGTTACCGACTGTTGGACGCAAACAATCAAATCAAACAAACAAATCAATCAATGCTTTTAATAATTACCGAAAACAGATCGCAACGAACGATCCGTAGAATTGGCCGCTGTATTGGTTGCCATGTCTTTGATGTCTATTTGTCCACTGATTGTGTCAATTAATATCTTAATTGTTGTTAAAGTTGTCAATCAATTGTCAAATAAATGGCAAAACACGACAAAACTCTTGCAATTGTTTGCTATATCGTCACGTTGTTTATGGACCACTCATTTGTCTAATAAGTCATATTTTTGTATACTTTGAATGGGCCTAAATTGTTGTATTTATTAAACTGTAACTTATGGTACTTTTTGATGAGCTGAGCTCAAAATCGTATAGTTTTTTTAATTTCTAAATTATAATATTTAATATACAGTTGAATACATTAAACAAATACTGTAACAATATTTAACACAAATTGATAATCAAATAGAGATTATGTTAATTGAATTGAATTAATGTTTGAAATATTGTGCTAACAATGCGATTAACAATTAATATCACAATTATCTGTATTTAACACTTATTGTCATCACTTTATAGATGAAAGTCAAGTATCAATATGTCATTCAATGATGATTTCGATGATGATTTGGATCATCTTTTGGCTCATTTAACCGCATCTCAACTGACAGAACCACTTCGTAATAATCAATTGAATGTCGAATCACCAGAAGATGTCAAATCAATTGCCATTCAAACAAATGAAACATTTTGTTGTAAGAAAGTGTTTAAACCAAGTTTTAAGCGGAAATTAGTTATTATAAAGACAGCAAAGCATCACCACATACCATGTATTTACCACTCGTCCTCTCAAGAAGTTATAGAACATACAAACAAAAGATTGAAATCTAATAGTGATTTGACTAAACATTTGGATGACAATTACAAGAATGATGAGAACTATTCCGGTGACAATACTTTACAATTATCTCCGATGACTATTAATGAATTAACAACTGAAATATCGCCTCAAATGTCAGACAATAATAGCCAACCAATTGATACAAACTTATCTCAAACATTGGTTCAATCATCGAATAGTTCTCAACAGTCTTGTAGTTCACAACAGATTAAATTTAGTGGTGAACTTGATGTCGATGTCGAGCGATCACCTCTTCATCAGTTGAATGGAACAAATAGATGGTCTGTTCGCTGATTATGATTTTTGTCGTAACAAATGACTAATCATTGAAATTGATGGACAGTTTAATTAATTTTAATATCCTATTCATAGATAATAATTATGATATATTATTAATACTTAAATTTATGTAATATTTATAATTAGTATTTTATTTATTCATTTATTTATTAATAATGTATTGAAATTTGTTGAAATTTATTTTATATACTATTATTAATTAGTTTTATATATATTTTATAATTTGATATACAATTGATGTAATTGTTGTAATGAATTGAATAAAATGATGAATTGATTATAAAATTGATAAACAATTGATAATATTATTAATAAATACATTATTTATGAATATATAGTGAATGTCCGTGAAATGTGCGCCAATAGTGTCAGCCAATAGAGTGTGAGTTATGAAACTGTGAGCCAATGAGAGTTTGTCTAACAGTTTTAGAGCAATGACTGACTGTTTCAATGCTGTATTAAATTGAGAATAGAGTCGACTGTTCTATACTTTAGTGTCTCTACTGTTGTGTGCATTGAATGAGTCGTTCATTTGTATTACACTTGAAGTGTGAGTCTATGAGTGCTTTGAATCCACGTGTCATTGAATTGAAGGCAAAGTAAGACATATTTAAGACATTTCGGTGATCTTCGCAGTAATTGTTTGATTGAAAGACTCATTTGACTAAACACTACATCGACAACAATGTCTGATACGGCTATCGATAAGGTAAGTGAATAGTGACCTAAACTGTATGTCCAATAAAAGTAATCAATACTAATGTCGACGTATTTTTCTAATGATATCTCATTAAAAAATCTGAAGTCTTATATGACTTCATCTGATCTCAAATGACCTCAAATGATATGAATTTTAAATCCATTCCTTTTCGGCAATTCATCTAAAAAAGTCTGACTCAAGACGTCAGGACTCGGGATCGGATGCGGGCGAAGACTCGCAAAATTGGCGCTCACGTAATGGCAGCCAACAAAAGCAGGGCGGGTTCCGGTCATTTGGTGGACGTAATCGCGATCAGAATTGCTATAATTGTGGCCGCAGTGGACACATAAGCCGTGAATGCAATCAGGAACGTGGCTTTAGTTCGCGAAAATGCTATAATTGTGGTTCTGAAGGCCATTTAAGCCGCGACTGCACTGAACCGCGCAAAGAGAGATCCACTGGTGGTGGTAGTAGTGGTGGCGGAGGAGGAGGAAAGTCATGCTATAACTGTGGCTCTGATGCACACTTGAGTCGCGATTGCACTGAACCGCGCAAAGAAAGACCAAAGACGTGCTTCAATTGCAACGAAGTCGGACACATCAGCGCCGACTGTCCTAATGAGCGACGCGAACGCCGCTCTAATTATGGCCGCAATAACCGGTATTAATACTGATGTGTTGGCCACAGATTAATTGGAAACGATTTTTGGGTTATTATTATTATTAAACATTCATTAAATGATTTTTATTATTGCCCTACATTTGATTTGATTTATTAATTGATTTGTGTTTTATGTATTCAAAAATGTTTTCTTGTATTTTGATTATAATAATTAATTTAAAAGAATTTATAATTAAAACAAATTTGTAGTTTTATTGGAAAATATACTCTAATTTATTATTTCTATATAAGACGGTAATAGAGATATTGTATTAAAATATGTTTAATATTTGATAAGAGATGTTAACGTATTTGACAATAGTTTTGTAATGTGTTTTCAATTAAAATGTAATCTTTCAGTTTGTTTATATTAAGATTTATTAATTATAGATATATTTCAATGATAAATGATATTTAAAAATAAGTATATATTGTGTTAAACCACATAAAAAACCTTTATTTCACCAATCAATCAGTTTAACAGTTGTACATCAGCTTTGAAGAAAACAAATTTGTAATAAAATATTTTTTTTTAAATAAAAATACTTATTAATTAATTAACATACTCTATATTTGATGAAATATGCATAAAATGTACAAAAATTTAATTACCGGTAAACTTATTATACCAACGATTGTTTAAACAATACGGTAGTGTATATAATGGGTATTTTCATAAATTTAATCTAAATATTTAATTAAAAAATTTTATAATTTGTTATATTTATAATTATATACAGTATTTATATAATAATGATACTATAAATTCGATAAAATTAGTAAATTCTATACAAAAAAATGCAATCTATTACTAATATACCATACATTATATCAAATTTTTATTGGCATCTCTATCAATAATTTTTGATTCATAAATTATTTAAAAATACAAAAATAAGTCTATAGAGAGTTAAAATCAAATTGTTTTAGTTTATCATTAAATTTCTTAATCTTGATTTCGGATCTTATTTGTAGAGGTAATTCATTGCAATACTAGACTCAAAGTTTTTAATTCAATCACATCTAATGACACACTTTTGATAAAAATAGTTGAATTGACTTATTTTGAAGTCATTGTAGATTCAATACTAAATTTTCAATCACAATCAGATCAATGGATAACAAATACAATAATTTATAGTTAGATTTAATCTATAGTTTATAAATTACAATAATAATTAACGCAGTTTTAAAATAAATTATTTTAATATATATTCTATTAAATGAACGTTAGATTATTAAAAATATATTTATTCCTACAAGAAATTTAATAATTTAAACAATAATTAGATTCATAAATAGTTTTTATATAATTAAATTTCAAAATGAAATAACAGGTAATCATTCAGTTATCACTCAAACCATAGAAAGAGTGAATATCATTATTCAATAATTTTAAATTATAATCAAAACATTTTGTACTAAATGTTTTCAGAGAAAACTGAGATTTAATATTATTTGATTATAAATTAAGAAAAACTAGATTTAAAATAAACTAAAGTTAGATCCATAGTATTCATTGACTATTTTTGTCGCCGAGATATTCATGATTGACAAGACGTATGCCTTGAATTACTTGAGCGCATTCATTGGTGAAGTGACACGAAAATAGCAACAGATTTCTTGGTTGGACACGAATTGCAAATCGCATGAAAAGTAGTGAATAAATACAAAGAGCTGTTCATAASATGAGATAAATACTGTCAGTGATGACCATTTAAAAGGTAACACTTAAGACAAACCGATTGTCATTTTGCCGCTTATTATTGACGGATCCTTCTTTATGTCGGCCAATGCGGCCAAAGGTATGCCCCAATTGGCCACTGATTTGCATAAAATATAACAACAATATACTAATTATAAGCAATTTGTTATTAATTTATTAGACACCAGACATACCCGGACCCCAAAAATGCTGTCAATTAAACAAATCATTAGTAATTCAATAGTAATATAACATATATTATATCACTTACTGTACTATCGGATCATCAAAATTGAGAAATAAATCAATGATTAATCAATGCATTTAAGAAACGATAAACATATTAAACAAGTGATCAAATCAAGTGATTAATTGTTTGGTACAATACCTGCAAAGATATGACCGAAATTCACGGCTCCGCAGCTGTTGAATGGCTTTACTTATCACTGAACCCGACATTGATTTCAATTGATTTAAATCAATATTTTATTTAAATTAATTTAATTATAACTAAATTTATAAATTCAATATTATTTCCTTTAAATTCAAATAATAATGTTTAGTTATTTGACAAAAAAGTAAACCCTATATAACACTCACAACATATGATTGTTTGCTATATTACGGGACGTATAGTGTGTATGATATGATGTGGTTATGAAAATGTTGAACATTTTCAACTAATTTTTCAATCAATAGTGGCCTTCAAATACATTTAAATACATGATTACACATCAATTTAGTCATATAATCATTATATATTGTATTAATTTATTTATTCAAATATTGTCTAAATTAAATAATTATGATTAACCAAAAATACCTTAAATATGTAGAATTAAGTTTATTATGTCATAAATCAATTTGATTATCGTTACATATCTCATATATCAATAACTAATAGATTTTTCATTATAAAATCAATTTAATCTATAATTAAATGGTATATATAATTCAATAATCGGTAATAGCAACAAAAAAATGGTATACAAATGACAAATAAATAGATTATAACACAAAAAGATTGATATAGTAATACAATTACAAAATGTCTATAAATATTAAACAATTACCGAAAGAAATACTTATGGACTGAATATAATTCGTTTGAATCGTTTATTTTTTGTTCGTGTTTTTGGTCTAATTGGTGACTCTTCGACTACAATTGTTGAACAACTGGTGTCCACTTTATCCGATGTATGACTATCATAAACGACACAATCATTTGGCACACAAAAGCTATCGTATTGATAGTCTTCGAGATCCGATTCATTTGGTTCTTGAGAATAGACATCAATAGTGGGATCGAAGTCGTATTTAAGCTTATATTTAAAACGGTTGCCAACCGATTGATCCACAACTGACCGCATATATACTGATTGCATATCTTTAGTTTGTCGACTGTCAATGCCATCAATCAGTTGTCCAATCGGTTGACTGTCAGTGACTTCAATATCATCGACAAACTGTTGTGTCTGTTCGCCAATTATCTCTGTTTGTGTCAAAATATCTTCGTCATCGAAATCATCGCTGTCTTCATTGTGAGCCTCGAATTGGATAAAATCTGAGACAAAACTAAAGATATAATAGATTAGTGAATGTCATTAAATTAGACCAAATAGTCATACCGTTTGTTATTTGTTTTGTTGTTTCGTTTGACTGGTTGTCGTTGACCACAATCATTGGTATAGTGTTTATTGACGACAATGTCATCATTGGTGTTGTCATTGATTGGTACCATCCATGGTATCAGCAATTGTCTTAACAAATCGGTGGTCAGTCTGAGTGATAAACACTTGTTGTCTGCCATTGACTGGTCGTTGACATCAACTATAGTACCGAACAATCAATTCAATCAATAATACATTCAATTGATTAACACTTCAAATATAGCGCTAATCATAAACAACGTAAGTGTTTGTCAATCTAATACACAAATGATGTAAATATGTTTTTTAAAGTTTTTAATTATTATTACTAAATAATTATACAATTTTTAAACATTAATTTTATTATTATGTAATTAAATATAAATTAGATGACAATTATTTAACATTTTAATACTGTACTTCACAATAACATAATACAAACTTTTACATCAAGTAATTATGTTATAGTTATAAGAATAAAGTTGGATTAAGTAATTATTATTATTATATACTTTTATATATTATATGAAATTAATTAATTAAAAGACATAATAATTTATAAATAATAAATTAATTAAAATTATTGATATTAATTGATATATCAATATTGAATCAATACTTTAAGCACTCCTTGTTGTCCACTCTTCAGCAAATTGAACGCATCGATAGCCTCTTCGATACGAAACTTGTGTGTAATTAATGGTTTGACATTCAATTTGCCACTTGATATCAACTTAATAGCCAATTGATAACTTTATATATTTAAACAATTGATTTTTAAAACAGATTAACAGATTAGATTATAATTTTAATTACATATCAATACTAACTCGTCTTTAATACGACAAACACCGATGAGATCCACTTCCCTCATAGCAGCGCAACTCAAAGGGATTCTGGGATTACCACCCAATCCTACAATTCCTACTTTACCACCACTTTTAGTCGCATATATAGCCAAACAGACTTTCATTCAAAATTCAATTATTAATTGATAGCAAATTATCTCATTAATAGACAAACACAATGTCATACCCGATGACTCCACTCCCGTGCACTCAATGGTGACATCCGCTCCCAAAGCATCGCTAGACATCTGTTCTTTGATAGTTTGTGCCACTTGTTTGTCATTAAAATTATTGATATCAATGTGAATAACTTCATCGATACCCAACTCTTTGGCCAAATCCAGACGACTTTTGTCGATATCAGTGATTAACACCTTATTAGCACCAAATGCTTTGGCGCACAGAGCGCTCATTATACCGACGGGTCCGGCACCGCATACAACTACATTATGACCGATACCCACATTTACCCGACGACATGCGTGCACCACAACTGCCAAGGCTTCAACAATAGCCCCTTCTTCTAGAGACACATTTTCGGGGAGTCTGTCAGATAAATATGTTATATAATGTAATAAATATATATTTAATGAGTTTTAGTAAAATTGATTACAAGAAAATGCAAATAATAATTAAAGTGACTTTATTTGGCACAATACCAAACTATTATTTAGTTGTTATATTTCATTCAATTGCAAGTATAATGTTATATATAATGTTATATATATACAGCATTTTTTATTAAAAAATATCATTTAAATGAAGTAATAAAACATCTAAATTTACATTAAGTTTTTATTTATTAACCATAAATTATTTGTCTGTCTGTGAATCAAAAATATGCTTATTTCACTTATTCTTTCTAAAAATGATCAATGTACAATATATGAAAATATAGGTTTAATCAGATTAAATTAATTAATGATTGTTAATGATTATTAAAATGCTTTTAAATAATTTTAGTTTACGCAATACGTATAAATATATACTATATATTTCATATGTCTTGAACTATTAAATTAACACAACTATTATAATAATTTTGTAAATATTATATTAAGTATCTTACTTATAGCAAAAGTCAGCTCTGTGTACATAATATCTTCGAAGACATCCATCAGCTGGTGGTAAACCATGCGATTGTTGGTTAGAAATGGGACACAAATTATATCGACCGCTGCGACAAAACTCGCACTCAAGACAAGGAATCGCCGGCTCGACTGCAACTCTATCGCCGGGTTTTAGATGAGTCACATCATTGCCAACAGCTATAACCACGGCTGACGGCTCGTGACCTAAAACGTATGGATTCTTTACCACAAAATCAGCGACAAATCCTTTTTTCCATAGAGTTAGATCAGTGCCACAAATACCACAACTTTTACATTTCAACAAAAATCAAAAGTTTATATTATGTCTAAAAATAATTTTCAAAATAAATAAATCTTTTGTATAATACCTATGAGCCTGAAGTAAGCATTCTGTTATATATAGAAAAATCAAAGAATAAATGATTCAATAATTTATATATTAATATATTTTCAATGTTTAAACAAGTATTGGACAAAAATTTCTTACCGTTTGATTTCAAACTATCTTCAAGTGGCCACTGCTCTAGTCTAAGATCATCTTTTTGATAAAGTACTAGAGCTATGTTATCAAAATTGTCGATATTTTTCAGATAATTCATAATTTATAACCAATAATTAAATCAAATTATTAAAAAAATTGTTATTTTTAACTTATATTAGATAACAATTTTATTAAACTATTTGAATAACAATGTTAATAAAAACTAATTGTTTGCTACAGTAATAATCGCACAATATTTGAACAGATCTTCAAATCTGAAGTTTTCCGCCCAAAACTATGTCTATATATTGTAAGAGAAATCAATATATTAGAGAATTTACTCTAATATTAGGACAAATTATGTGTTAAAAGTGATTCTCTCAAGTGTTGTGAAAAATCCCTAAATTATGAGCTCTGTATTACATTTAAAGTTTGGGCAAATTTCCAAGAGAGGGAAGTTCCCTTAAAAATCCCTCCAATTTTCAAGGAAAATATGAGAAATATTTTTTCACTCCCTTAATCGTTAGAAAGGAAAATATATTTTATATTATTACAATAAATAGTACCAAAACTTAAATAATTTGCATAAGATTTTATAGAAATATTTAAAAGTAAAATTCAATTCAATAAATTTTATACTTTTTTATAAGTACCACTCAAAATACAGTTTAATATAATATTTGTTTTTCAAACACTATGAAAAAATTTGATGTTAAAGGTTCAATAGGTGGTAGAATAACGAAATAAATTCCTTTGGAATTCCCAGAGAGCAGGAAAAATAGGGAACTTTTGGAAAATAAAACGATGGAATTTGATTGAACCCTAATTACATTAAATGTTATGTATTGCCAGACATTACATCACTATTGAATCAGAATTCTGTGTATTATTATGTCATATATTCATATAATTTCTTTTGGAGTTTTTGTTGTTTTAAATGGCAATATTTGACTACAATTACATCATTTAAGGGCATAATCTTTAAATATTTATAAAAATTTTGGAAATTCTATACTTTGTAACTAAATGATAGATTTCTTCATTATTTTTTTAAATTATATTATTTTTAATAATAATATTTTAATAAAAATTGATTATGTAATAAAATAAAAAATAAAATAAATGTTTTAATGAAAATTCTACTTACCAGATCATTTAGAAATGATTAATATATATTTATTAAAATTTCATTAATAATAAACCCTAATAAAATAGACTCAATTATTATGTTATTATACATGTATATCGTATTGTATTTACATATAAATTTTTATATAAAAATCAATGGTCATAGGCATATGCAACGTCATACTGTATATACCGGTACCGGTAAAATATAAAATTTATAAAATATTTAGTTATCGCTTATTTTGTTATAAATGCATTAATTATTATGTAATATAAATATTTATTTAATATAAAATCAGTGCCAGAAGTAGTGAAAGATTTATAATGACAATGGATTTTAGTGACGTATAAAATGATGTATAAGTTTTTATGTTTAAAAACATCGGTATACTGTATAAGTACATTGATATACAATATTGATAAAACTTAAGTTTTTAATATCAAACAATACTAGATTAAAAATTATTAAATATGTGATTAAGATTTATTAATTAATTACCTAAATGTCTGGTAAATTTGACTGTAAACGTAAAAAACTCTAACATTTTGGTAAAACTATTGAATTAATCAAATAATTGTATATAAATTCATTGAGTCACATATTAATACTAAATTTTCTAATAACTATACAATATAAGATTTAATAAAATGTAAAATTTTGTGTACATAATAATTATAAAATTTAATAGAGAAATATGTTATTAATATTTCAAATTCTATAGTAATTAAAAATGGGTTTAATAAATGATTGTATTTAGATTAAATATAAAGTTTAATAAAATAAATTATTTTTTCACAACTATGATACTTAATTTATAAAATGTTTACATATGTATGTTTATCTAAAATCAACAAATCATCTAGGTGATTCATTATATATCAAATAGAAATTTAGTTTTAATGAATTTATGAATAGTTAAAAAGATTAGCAAGTTTTTGGACCAATTAATTTTAAGTAATATAATCAACAATGATTGTAAGTAATTATAAATATGCTTATATTAAGAAGCATTATCAGAACTACTTTTTTTTAAAAGTATATCTAATTATGTCTATTGAATATAACATTTAATATAATAATTTATAAATACAATATAGAAGTGCTGGACTATTAGGGTGTATCTCATGACCAAAGGTTAGTTTGTACACCAATTAGAGATTAATTTAATGTTTAATGTTTTGCCGAATCTTTCGATATATTTAATGACCATTTATGTCCCATTTCTGGTCATTTGAAAGTCAATTAATTGTAAACGTTATTGACTTTACAAAAATAGTTTTCGACTTATGATTTTATAGTTATTTAAAAGTCATATAATGTTGTTATATATTGATATATCAATACTAATTACTAATGTATAAAATATAACACACAATTTATGTCTGATATAATTATTTGATTTCTAAACAAAATTAAAAATCCGTTTAAGAGTTAGTTTGGAAATGCTCAGCAAATTAACTGTTATATTAATATGAATTTTAATAAGTTATATAAAACTATGAAATATAATATTGTGTTAAAGCTTATGAATATTTACAGCAACTTCTATTAATTGAATGAATTAGCTATTATAATATAAGATGAACCAAATTTTAAAGGATTATGAATTGATTAGTATTTTTTGTTAAATCATTGTATTAATGATAAAATTGTTTATACAATATATATTATTATGTTTTTACTGTAAACATTTGCTGATAAAAATTGTTTTGTCTTTTAAATGTTTTATTTAATCATAATTTCATTGCAATTACAGTATTTATGAAACTAGCAGCGGAAGTAGTAAATAATATTATAATAAAATTAATTGTATATTATATAATTGAAATTTAATGTAAATTGAATTATATTTTACATGAAGTAATGATTGAAGAGATCGACTCATTCATATTGGTTTGGAAACGAGAGAGAAGACTACTTAAAAGTCGACAAATGGATGAAAAACGCAAGAAAGAAGTGGACAAAGTTAGTAATCACATTGATATCGATGACCATATCATACCATTACAAGAGTTATGTCTTAGACTTCATACTCACCCGCAATTGGTATAATCAATTAATTTTTATATTACTGTAAATTAGCAAATAATTGTAATATTTTTTGGCACAATTTCAAGGGTTTGAGTCCGGTTGCCGTCAAAAAGTTATTGTCGACTAATGGATACAATATAGTAACTACTAGTATAGGAACCGGAGAGTGGATCAGATTGTTGAAGAATCTGTTTGATTGGTTTAACTGTTTTTTATGGATCGGTTCTTTGCTTTGTTTCATGACTTATATAACTGAAACGATAACTTTGGAGGAAGTTTTGCCCGACGATGTATTTTTAAATAATTGATATTTTTAACTTTATAATAGATACCATATTTTTATACTTAAAATTATATGATTTACAGTTATATTTAGGTTGTTCATTGTTGGGGTCTGTATTAATATCTGGATGTTTTAGTTATTATCAAGAGGCCAAGAGTGCCAATACATTTCTCACATTTCGTGATCTCATTCCCAGATATGTTACAGTTATTAGAGCCGGATCTAAGCTAAGATGTCCGGCCATTGAGTTAGTTGTAGGCGATGTCATTGAGATTAGTGCTGGTGATAGAGTGCCGGCTGATATCAGAATAATTAAATCTCATGGATTAAAATGTCTTAATGTATTACTTTATGGAAATAGTAAGCCATTCATCCGTAACAATGAATGTACTCATTCTAATCCATTTGAAACTAAAAATTTAGTATTTTTCTCAACAAATTGCATTGAAGGTGATATACAATTAATTAATGTCTAATACAGTATTAACTAATAAACATATAATTTATTACTTTTATATACCTTTAGGTTCGGCAATCGGTATTGTCATCAGAACCGGTGATAAGACATTAATGTCTGAATTATTGGTTAACTTCTATAAAGAAAAAAGTTCGACAACAAAGTCAACAACAAGTTTACTAAAACAAGACATCACTCTATTTATTCGCATTATTACAACAATCTCTATAATAGTTGCAGTTATTTTATCAAGTTAATATTACTAATATTTAGTGATGTACCGATTGCAAAATGCGCAATTGCATTGCTCGGAAATTGAGTGAAATTGTCGTAATTGCAAAAAGCTCGATTGCAAAAATCGCAATTGTAACATAGAAAAATTTATAATTTTTAAAAAATTAACAAAATTTAAATGGCAAAGCAATATGAATAAAAACATAAATTAATTATATAAAATTTAATTATTTTATCATAAAATGTTGCCATCTAAAAACCATGTAAAAATAATAATAAATTAGTAAATTCTCTTAATCTATTGTAAACAAAATTTTTAACGTTTTCAAAGTTAATTTTTATACATTCCCTCATGCGCGCAATTTCAAGCAATTTCACGCAATTTTCCGCAATTGCGGCAATCGAAAATTGAATTTCGAAATATTACCAACACTACTAATATTATTATATAAAAACGTTTATTAACTAATTTAATATGAATTTGTATTTTTAATTACTAGTAATATCATCTATAATTGGTTACACGTGGCTCAATGCTATTATCTTTTTGATTGCCCTATTTGTGGCACAAATACCCGAAGGTTTATTCCCGACACTAACTGTTGTATTAAGTTTGGCTGCAAAGAGAATGACAGCAAAGAATTGTTTGGTTAAAAATTATGAAACAATTGAGACATTAGGCTTGACTTCAATTATAATAACTAACAAAACAGGAACTTTGACACAGAATCGGATGGTTGTCTCACATATTTGGGCTAATAATTCAATCATTGATTCGGAAAACTTTTACAGACATTTAAACAGTAATTGAGATTATGTTAATTTTTATTATTATTTATAAAATAAAAATATGATATTTAATTTAAATTTTATTATTTAAGCTAAAAATGAAGACTTGAATTCAATGGCGTGGAAAGCACTAATAAGAGCTGCCTGTCTATCAAATAAAGCTGAGTTCAGTGCAGCTCAGACCAAAATATCACCACTCAAGAGGTATGAATTATTAACTATAATTATCATAAATATATTACAGTAAAAATGATTAATAGAGAAGCAATTGGTAACTCAACAGACATTGCGATACTTAAGTATATGGAAGTAATTATTGGTTGTGTTGAGGGTTATCGTCAAAATCATCAAAAAGTCTTTGAGATGCCATTTAATCCGTTTGTCAGATATTCGCTGTCAATCAATAAATTTAACGATGGATTTTGGTTATGTATGAAAGGATCTCCAGAAGTCATATTTGACAAATGCTCTACTATTTTAACCAAAGGTTCTGTCCAACCATTAGATGAAAAATATAAAATTTATTTTAAAAATATAATTAATGAGTTCGGATGTTATGGTGAAAGAGTTATTGGTTCGTATGTTATGTTCTCTTAAATATAAGTTTTATATATAGTATATACAGTATATTCTAAATATTAACAAAATAATTGAATTGTTTAAAAAGCATTTTGTGATAGATTTTTGTCATACGATGAATATCCGATTGATTATACATTTGATTGTGAACTTCAAAACTATCCAACAGATAATTTAAGATTTATAGGATTAATGTCACTGTTAAACCCTCCCCGAGCATCAGTTCCAAGTGCTATAGATAAATGCAAAAGAGCCGGTATTAAAATAGTTATGACTACAGGTGATCATCCAATTACTGCAAAGGCCATTGCAAAAGCTGTCGGTATAATATCTGATGACAATTCTGATAATAATGACATTATTGAAAGTGATTGGTATAATAGATATTTATTATATACTCGTTTTTTATATAATATAATTTAAAGAGATTATTATTATCATTAAAGTCAAGTGTCTATTATAACGGGACAAGAAATGAATGGTTTATGTGATCAACGTTTACATGAAATACTAAACAATGACAAAGATGTAGTGTTTGCTCAAATCAATCCTAACCATAGATCAAGAATAGTTAGATGTTGTCGTAGCAAACAATCAGTTGTAACGGTTACCGAAAATAATTATCACGACTCTTCAACTGAAGATAATGTAGACATTAGTATAGCGATGGGACTAAATGGAAGTGATATCAGTAAACAAAGTGCAGATATTATATTATTGGACGACAACTTTGCGTCAATTGTTTCGGGTATTGAAGAGGGAAGAGTCATATTTGATAACTTAAAGAAATCTATTTGTTATACACTGTCATCGAAAACTCCGATTATATTTCCATTTTTATTATATATTATTATTGATATTCCGCTACCTTTAGGAGCAATTACTATATTATGTATTGATTTAATTACTGATATGATTCCTGCTATTTCATTGGCATACGAATTACCAGAATATGATATTATGAAATATAAACCAAGAGATCCAACAGTTAATAAATTAATTAATAAAAAGTAAGAAATAACAAAAATTTAATTATTTATACTTTGATTTTTTTAAAAGTTTATTAGTCCTCTCGTACACACATTTGGGTGTTTTTCAACTGTTGGCCGCATTTTTCGCTTATTTTGTAATTATGTCTGAAAATGGTTTTAAACCACAATTTTTATTTGGGATGAGAAAAGTATGGGACTCTAAAGCTATTAATGATGTCATGGATTCATATGGACAGGAATGGGTAATAATGTTAATATTGATATAAAACTGATAATCTGATTGCTAATAATAATAATAAATTTCTAGACCTATCATTCACGTAAAACACTTGAATATACGTGTCATACGGCATACTTTGTTGCCGTTGTTATTACTAAATGGTCGACAATTATATGTTGCAAAACAAGAAGATTATCAATAGTCATACAAAAAATGAAGTAAAATATTTGATTAACTAAATTAACTATAATCTTATAATAAGTATTGTCATAACTAACAGTAACGATGTCCTTACATTTGCACTATTCTTTGAGTTGGGTTTAGCTATATTTCTAACCTACTGTCCCGGTCTCGACAAAGGCATTAATATGTTTGCACTCAAGTAATTAATGATTACTTTTAAATTAAATTAGCATTTATTATGATTTTATAAATTGTTGTAATTATATTCAGACTTTACTGGTGGTTCTGTTCGACACCTTTTGCTATAATAATGATAATATACGATGAGTTCAGACGATTATTAATCAGACGATATCCTAATGGTTGGCTGGAAAACGAAACTTATTATTAATACTTAAACTAAATTATAAATAATAGTTTTTATAAATAAACATAAAATTAATTCATTGTTTTATTTAAATATTTAACAACACATTAAAAAATTAATGATTCACTCATTTTTTATAAATAATTGCTTAATAATTAATTAATATAAGACAAAAAGTGATTAATTACAAAATCAAATGGTATTATCATGTGAGATGAATTGGCAATAGTTATGAATTGAAGTCTACTATTTTCATGCAATGCTCTCAAACCAATCCAATCATTAATATATAGTTTTGTTTCATTAAAAGGGATCAGTTTATCACCAAAAGAATTCCAATAACCAAATGATGTGCTAATGGATGGCAAAACAATATCTTCTTTTTCAAACGATATTAATACCAATCCTTTAAGTTTTTCGTACAAATACTTATGTTTGCGTTGATTTGAGTGTTCATTATTAATATTTGACAGAAATGTTAGCTTTTCAAAGGAGTTTTCCGGAGAGTTCCAGTAAGAAGAAAATGACAACACATCCCATAGACCGTAGATGAAAATGTCTAACACTGAGGGACCCGTTAATTCAATGGACTGATGCAGTAAATTGCATCCAATCATTATTAGACGACTATCCAAATTCAGTTGCTTACAACTTGGTAGTCCATATATGCCATTGTTTGGTCCGCCAAATGTAATTAGTTTATCTAATTTATGGACAACTGAATCGAGACAACTGTTCCATAACAATGATCTTAAAAGTAGAGCCCCCTGTGAACACCCTATCAATTGTATACGACTACAACTATTTTCCAATTGTTTTAATGTATTATTTTGTATGTATGCACATAACATATCCATTTGAAAATCCAATGGTTTAAATGATGACCACTTGTAGTCTTGTTTAGTATCATCACTGAGTCCAACCTCTATTACTTCATAAGAGTTGTTTAGTTGTTTGGTTTGTAATACTGTCCTCAAGTTTTCGGCAAATTTATGGGCCAATCCATCTGTTATACTCTCACCTCTGCCATGAAGTATAACTACACATGTTTTCTCACACTTATGTAAATTATATAAACATTTGATAATTAATAATTTCAACACAATATTAAATGTTATGAACATTTTTATACACCTATAGTAGAAATATGGTTTTAATGTTAATTTGTTGACATATGATATAAAGTCTATATTTTTTTGTACGGATACACAGGTGTACTCATCAAACATAAGTATTAAAACTATAATCTATAACATTTTATTTTGATATATTAATAAATTATTTTAAAATTAAAAGATTATGAAACATATACGATCACAATATGCATATAATTTTATTTAGCTAAATTTTAAAATTATAATATGATATGTCAATAACTTCATTATTATATCATAATCATTATATTAATAATTCAAATCATGTATTTTTTTAATTAATAATATTTAAAAACATTCATAATTTACTTAATGTTATAATTGTCAATAAATTTACCTTATTTTGAGATAATGTTTTTGTATAATTCTGTAAATCATTATTTTTGAATGTAATACAATATAATAATAATAAAACTAATGAAACAAATAAAATAATTATTAAAATAAAAATATTAATTTTGTTAAATGATTTAGCCATTTCTATAATAAATTAAAGTTTTATAATATAATTTTAAATATACACTACTTTTAATTAATTGACGTATTACATTATATTTTAAGTGAATTATTATAATTTAAAAAATAATTTTAGTACAGTATAATGTAATGATTAATTTTTTAATGTATATGATGTTTATGCGATTTATTTAATATAAATATTAATACAAAATTGAAATAAAAAATTATAATTCTTTAGATAACTTATTAATCATTTGATACAAGTTATCAACATTTTGTTTAAATCGTATAAACAATTTGTGTTTTTCTTTTAATTCATTACTAATATTTTTGCGTTGAATCTTATTATTTAAATCACTAATTAAATTATCAATTTTATCTTTAATGACTAGTAATTGATTTTTTAATTTATTGATTGTTTTTTGTCTTTTTAATCTCTTCTGTGTTATCTCTTGTATTTCCTCATTAAGTGACCATATTTTTGGTGAAACATAATTAGTTTGCATTAACTGTAGTCGACTTCTTTGGTTGTCATCAATTATTTCAAAGTCAGTTAAAGTGCTCATAAAAACCATTTCTTGTGCTCTCAATATCTTCAATGCGTCCACAACTGTCCACAAGATTAATGGCACTATAATTGTCAACAAAAGACATATAATTATCACTTGAAGACCAGCAAAATATATTATCCAAAAACTCATTGACAATAATAACATAAAACTATAGTAATTTTATATCAATTATTAATTTGAAATTCATTTCACTTATGTTTAAAATAATTGTACATTTAGTAAGTTCTCGTGAATAAATTAATTATAATAATATCAGTCATAATAAAGTTTTATGAAAATAAAATAATAAAATATTTAATACATTACTCAAAGATTAAATTTTTTAAATTTATTTCTTAACTTATTAAGCAAATTACAAAATAGTTAATATAATTCAATGTTAATAATAGTTATTGTTTTTTGTGTTAACAATGAAAACATTAAATTTTAATCATTAAAACTTAAAATAATAGTTAGAATATATTAAATAATATATGATTGCTATAATTATTGGTATTTTTTGTGAGAGAGTAACTGCTGATCCATTTGGTGTGTCTTTAAAAGATTTATAACCATAATTAGTATTAGTGATCAAATTATTTATTAGTGTCACTCTTTGATCAGAATATTGTTCATCAATAGTGTTCTTAGGAGTGCCCGAAGGATCGACCGCAAGATTATCGTCTTTTGCCAACATTTTTAGACAAAGATCTGACTTAAAGCTATATTTATGGCACTGATTGTGTTCAATGTCAGCAATTTGTGGATTAAAAATTCTGTGGTCAAACTGATCCAATACAGATTGTTTACATTTAGTGTCAATACGTTGACGCCGACACTTTAACAGTGACCAAATCGGACAACAGTTACGTCCCTCGCCTTCACCACAATTAAGTCCAGTCTTTGATTTTTGACTAAAATCTGAGATACAATTCCACTCTTTGGCTATTTGATCCATACATGAGTCGGGAGTCAAATGATTATTAAAACAATCTTTCATTTGTGACGTGAAATTCTCAAATGGGTCGTCACTACAGGTCTTCTCTATAGTCAATAATAATACAATTATATATTTTTTAAACATTTTTGTTAATTACTTAATTAATAAAAAGTCTGTAATTAGTATAAATCTGTTAAAAAGTTTTGTTTGATTGAAATTGCATTAAAATTCAAACTATAATTTGCTAATTGTTTGTTAATCTCGTGAAATATTATAATCATGAATATCTATTTAGTTTAGTAAGTCATGTTTGACACATCCAATTGTTAATTGTATTTAATTAGTGTCTATTTATGAAAGAAATAAGAGAGAGAGAGAGAGAGAGAGAGAGAGAGAGAGAGAGAGAGAGAGAGAGAGAGAGAGAGAGAGAGAGAGAGAGCTTTTAGACTACTTTTTTGGAATTCATGTGTTTATAGGGTTTTAAATGTTATAAATTAAGTAATATTTAAAACCGATAATGTTTTACAATATTTAAATCAATTGGGAATTTATGTTTTAATTGTATTTTTTTAATTAAATTATTAATAGATTTGTTAAACTTTTAATTGATAACATATTAGTAAATAAGTTAAAGTTATTTAATAATTAAAATTAACAAAAAGTTTACAAAAGGATATCATTAGATGTCATGAGTGGCGACCAAAACATTACTTATTGTTTACATTGAATATTAAGTGTCGTTGAAATTGAGTTCAAATATCATATCACCGATGGATCAGTCATTGCATTCAATATCATTTGATGGCTTATCGTATGACATCTGTATGAATGCTAAAGACTTTGTGCGTCAAGAAGTGCTAAAAGGGAGTCCTCGAGTGTCTTATGCAAGCAAAAGGTCGGCCAAGTCTTCGGCGTGGAAGCGCTTCGTTCGTGTCCTGTATGACCAAAAGGCAACCAATTTTGCCAAATGTGTTGCCTGTGATACTATTGTCAAATACACACCACAGTTGGGCACTGCAGGACTTCTTCGACATAAATGTCCGCAAATTAATCAGCACTTGACAACTGATATGTTGGACCAAACGGATGCACTGATTGCTAACATATCTAATGTCCAAAATCTCGTCGATTTGTATGAACCGCACAATTCTGTAATCGACTCATTGGGTGAGATGACTGCTGAAGATGTCAACGACAAGAAGTTTATAATACAAGTGGTGACAAATAGTGACCGCGAAGTGTCATTCAAGAGAGTACACGGAACGAGTAAAGCGTGGAATTATTTCCAAAGGATTTACTACAAGAATATTAGGACAGAGTTTGTCAAATGTATGACTTGTGATAACATCCAAAAGCATACCTCCACTGACGGTACGGGAGGTCTATTGAGACACAAATGCTTTCCCGACAATAACTCATCTAAGTTGGTCTCAAATGAATTACTTGTTTGTGATTATAACGAAACTGAAAGTAACGCAAATGATACAGAATATGAAGACTTTATTGTTAAAGAATGGAGACATTCGTCAAAAACATCAAAATCAACAAAAGAGAGGAAAAAACTCGTGAATATGATTATGAATAACGATCAGAGACTTAGTTTTGTGGCAGAAAATGGCAAAAGTAAAGTTTGGGAACGATTTGATCGTATATTCTTTGACGACAAGAAAATCGATTTTGTCAAATGCAAGATATGTCATATGGCGGTCAAACATACCAGTCGTATCGGTACTAAAGGACTCATTGTTCACAAATGCAGACAAATTTTCAAAGAACAACAAATGGTTAATCAAGATCTTAATGATGAAAGTGATATTAATTACAAAAATTTTAATATTTCATCAAAAACTGATCCCAAAAGTCATAACAGCCAATTGGTCGATGAGATCGATACTCTTAAATTGATTGTTCAAAAATGTCTACAAATTATAGACAATTGTGTTTGTGATAACAAATATTCAAAACAAAGAAAAGATGTCAATATATTGCTTCGTAAATACAATACTATGTTATCTGTAAAACAAAATAATCAAATGATTGATACTTTTATTAATAATGATAATAATAATATTAATAATAATATTGTAGTCAATTTAGAGACACTTTCATCAAACAATAAGCTTAACACACATTTCAGTTATGATTTAAATATTACTAAAAGAGTTACCAATGCTATTAAGAGAAAATATATTAAGAAATCACGAATTAAAAAACAATTACCGTGTGATTGGCCCGGTATGTATGACATAACATATTTTTAATTTAATAATTAATTATTTTAATTTTAAATATAAACTATTATTACTGCCAAAGGTTGTGATAAAACTTTCATTCAAATGCATCATTTGAAAGAGCATTTAAACAACGCTCATATGGAGCTTAAAGATTTTATATGTGAATGGGTGGGTATGTTAGCACTAATTATGTTATTAATAWTGATTTTAATTGTGTTTATAGCCCGGATGTGAGGAAAAGTTTATTAAACCACATAAATTAAAATATCATATAATGAAACAACACACTAATGAAAAACCATATAAATGCGATGAGTGTTCATACAGTGCTTTATTTAAAGGTAATTATATATATATATATATTATTTAAATATTTTTTTGATATAAAATTATTACAATAATATTATGAAATTTGTCATTAAAATTATAGCTGTATTAAAACGACATCAGCGAATTCATGCGACTGAGAAAGCACTGATATGTGATTGGCCAGGTAGATTTTGATTAATGTGCTTATAAATTATTATTATATTTTATATACTGTTATAAAGTTTATAAATTTATATTTCTTGACTTAAAGGCTGTGACTTCAAGACAAATCACGAACACGTTTTGAAAACTCATAAATTCAAACATTCCGGTCAAAAACCATTTAAGTAATTGATATATTTATTATTGTTTTTATTTACAATAATGATTATAATACAAGATATATATTGTATTTACCGGTAATTAATATTTTTATGTTTATAATGGACATACAGATGCTCTTGGCCTTCATGTGACTGGTCTTTTCGACAAAAACATCATTTAAAGGCTCATATGCTTAAGCACACCGGTTCGCTCTTTTGGTTTGATTTAATTTATTATTTGTTAATATAATATTGGTTTGACAGGTGAGAGACCAGTCGTTTGCGAAGAACCCACTTGTGATCGAAGGTTTACCTCTCGACAGGCAATGAGATTTCATTTGGAAAAAATACATAGAATTGCCATTTAATATGTTATACTAATATTTACGATAGTATTAACTCATTTTCTACATTTGATTAATCATAGATTTTTACTTATTATTATTATACATTTACATGTAAATAGATTTTTTTTAAATTTATATAGTTATACTGTATATTATTTATTTAATTTATTAATTTTTTTGTAATAATATAATTATTATTAATTTATTTATATAAATAATGCGAATAACAATTGACTATTAAAACATTATAATTATTTTTTTATTAAAAGTAGTTTTATGAATATTAATATACCTGTATATTTAGTGTAGGTTCATTTATTATTTAAATTTTTAAAATTAGCATTATTATTATTACCGTACTGTTTTTAAATTTGTGATTCTTGTTGATTTAATTTTGACATTTATTCAACTTAATAATTATAAATTTCATTAAAGATTATTTACATTATTATAAAATTGAATTCAATATATATTCATATGAATTAGAGATAATAAGTCGAAAATATTTTTTATTATATATTTATTTATCTCTAATTCATGAATTATGTATTATTGTTTGTTATTTTCAAAAAATCAATTTAAATATATTGTATAATTAACGCATTAATAGTCTTATACCGTATAATATGTATAAAATTACATTATAGTCTTTGTATTTTGCTTACAGTATGTCATAAAAGACATTAAGTTTATTTGAATCAATTATTTTATTTATTTCTCTAAATTATATCATACTTTTGGAAACTATTTTTGAGACAAAGTAGCAGAAAAGTAAATAATATGAAAACAAAAATTGAAATTTTTAACAACAAAATGTTTGACCCAACAGTAGTATTGCCCTCACACTTGAGGGTTGAATCAGCGGGAAGTCATTTATATAAAATAGGTTTGTCTTTGTTTGTCGTCAAAGATGTCAAAAGAAGTGGATTCCGGACTCCATTCTATATATTTCTATTGGAGTCCTATTATATAATCCGATCGATACTGATATTAGTTTTGCCAGAAAGAGATTTACTATTTTATCAACTATTGGGTGATTTTGGTTACGTTTTCGGGACTCGGGCTCACTTCGCTTTGACTGTCATTTTCTCAATACTACTCAGCTATACATCTCGTATATTAAATTATTTCAATTACCGGAATCACGTAATGCCTACATATTTGACTGTATTTGGTATGATATCTGGTTCCATACCTCCCAAGACTATCGGTCTAACCAACAGGAAGATTGTGATGACATTATTGAGGCGAACCCGAGTATTGTTCAAAATAGGCGATTATGTGGCCATTTCTCTTAGTATAAGCATTTTCTTTATCAATAACTTCTCGTTTTATAGCGTTTCAACGGTCTATGAAATGGTATTTTATGTAATACCCAACTCTATCGGTTGGTTTATAATTGTTAACTATGTCTACAACTCAATCTTCTGGCAACTCATCTACTTTTATTTGATAACATTTTATTTGAAATCAAAGATTAAAGAAATAAATCTACGAATCAAAGCATACGTCAGACAAAATGGACGAAAACCGATCCGATTCTTACCGATAATTCGTAGTCTAAGTGACATATATTCAGAAATAGCTGATTACGACAGTACCTATTGGTCGAAGTTCTTGTTCTTTGTGTGGATGACTTGCGCCACAATTATAAGCACTTTAACATACTTTCCTTTATTTGGAAAAATGCTTTTCATTATACGACTGTTTTGTCTATATTTTGATCTATTCTTTGTATTTATGCTCTTAATTGTGGTCAATACCTGTGCCACTGTTTATTTGGAGGCAAAAAAGTCATACAAAGTATTGAATAGTATATTGAGTCGACCTCACGGTCAAAGTGCCAGCAAAACTGTTAAGGTTTATTGAAATTATGCTAATTATAAGATATTTTTATTATAATTAAATATTTTGATAAAATTAAAATCTTTAAAAAAAATTATCATTTTTTAGTTAATCACTTTAATTGAGAGAATTGGTAGCAATAAAATTGGATTTCATTGCTGGAAATTATTTATCATCAATTCATTTCGTGGATATGAAGTAAAAACATTAAATAATAATAATCTATAAAAATACTTATTATTAATTTGCAGATCATATCGTTTTGTGTTTTTGGATTCCTTAAAGTCATCGAAATGTCTCATTAATATTAATCTATTATATTATTATTCAAAAATAATTATTAACATAACAACCTATTTCACGATAACTATTATTATAAGCTATAATTTACTAATATATAGTATTTTAGTATAGAAATAATTTTAAAAAAAGATAAGAATATATTATATATAAGTTTATATACTGTATATGAAAGTAGAAATTTTCAGATATGTTATCTAATAATTAATCAATTAATTAATCATAAATAATTATAAATTTTATATATGATCAAGGCCAATTAGATCCTTGAGAATACGTAGTGCTGCTTCTGGTTTATCACTGGGAACCATATGTCCGGCCCCTCTGACGGCATTAAATGTTAAACCATTATAGCGTTTAATATAACCGGCTGTTATACCATTTACTTTCCATTCTCTATAACCATTTAATGTTAATTATTGAATGTAATTAATGTTTAGTATAATTAATAATAAAAATGCAAATAAATATAATAAATATAATTAAAATTCAATATAATTAAGACAAGAACCGGTATTGTTGAGTAAAATTATAGCCTAAACTGTCGACAAAACGTTGATCAGCTATGAAATCGCATTGAAAATCAAGATTTCCATTATAGACGACAAAGTTATTGATTTTGTATTTACTGATCACTTCCATCACATTATTTCTTTGACTGCAATCCGTACACACCTTATAGTGAGCGTCACTACATTCAGACCATTGTTTGTCTATTGATATGTGAATAGCTTTTCGTACATCAACTCTGTTTAAATATTTTTTATAATTTTGTTTAACACATTTGGGATCAGCTTTAATGGGTTGCTTTTGATTAAATTTATTTGAAAATTGTTGACCAAAATATTTTTCCAAATGATTATTAATAGTAATATAGTAAGAAGTCATGGGTGGACAGTCATCCTCTATATTATATAAATTATTTGGAAAAACAAGTTCAGCCTTTTGTAGTTGTGTTTTGCATCTTAAATATAGTCAACAAAAAAAACATAATTAATGACCAAATATTTCGAAAAAACAAAAATTTTACTTTTCATTTGGTTTTTCATAATTACAAGTGAATTGAGATCCTGGTATGAGTTGACAACAGGATTCAATTATTTTTTGATAGGTGACGGTTGACATCAAGCCATGAGAGTAAGCAAAATCATATTGCGATGTCATTAAAAAGGATGGATCAAGAAATCCATTACCAATGGCCACACCTTAATCCAAATTAAGGATAAACAATAAGATTTTACATATTATATAAAAATAATAATAGTTTGCTAACCTTTTAGATTAATGGTTGAATTATTTTCAAATATTTGTTTGGCTAACATTGGTATATAAACGCCGGCATAACTCTCGCCTGTTATATAAAACGGATTTTTCTTGAGATGAGAAAAGCGTTCAAAAAAACTCTGAAGCGCTAAATAATTATCTATAGCCGTAATGGTATCGTTATTAGTGGGGTCGACATCAATGTCCACATAACTAAAGCCCACTCCCGCCGGTGATTCCAAGTATAAAATGTTTGCAACAGAGTTCCAGCTATTTTCATCAATAGTTAAATTGTTACCCTCTTTGTCGACTCTAAAGGGCCCGTTTTCCGTGAATAGACCTAAAAGTGAACTGCATCCCGGTCCACCATTTAGCCATAAAACAACTGGTGATATCTCCGGATTTGTTTGACTTTCGAGAAACCAATAAAAATATTGTCTGCCTTTCGATGCATTCAAATAACCGGAATATTGTTTGAAATTAAGTGGTTGTGAAAGACCAGGCAATTGATTGATTTGATCAGCAATATAGGTATTGTCTGAGTCTATTATAAAACACATTAATAATAAACAAATACTTATAATTGATTTATTTGACATTTTTTAAAGGATAATATTAAGCTTAAAATTTTTATAAATATAAAATAATGTATTGTTAAATAGATTATATTTAAGTGAATCTAATTTATATACAAAATCGCAATACAAAAAAATATTCTTATAAATAAATAAGGTTTAGATAAAACTTGTAATTAATTTATTTTAAATTACTTAATCATTTTTATGCTATTTTCAAGCAAAGTACAGTAGTATTAATATACTGTATTGTATTATAAGTTTTGATATTTTTTTTTATATCAATACACTTTTAAAGCTTAATATTTAATTAAAATTATTAATAAAATAGACATCTGTTATTATAAATTATATATAAATATAATTATATAATAAAAGTATAAATAGATAAGTGATTTGTCTTTTCATATTAAAATTACAATTGAGATATTGATATATACAGTAAATTAGTTTATTAAACAAAATAAATTTAAGGTATACATAATGTATGACCAAATGAAAGCGATAAAACATATTAAAATTTATTAATATATTATTATAAAATTGTTTTTTTGTTCAATAATATGATTACAATTTACAATAGTTTATCCAAATATTTACTACAATATTCTAATGATTTTACAATTTAATATTATAGTCAACTATCAAACTATTTAATATTTCAGACGTGTTAAAGTAATTATTATATAATTAATATAATAAATTGTTTTTATAGCTAATTATTAACAAATATTTCAATTATAAACATTTTTTAATCAAACAACAAATTAGATTTTGAAAAATAATTATCAGATTAATACAAAATATAAGGAAATAAATATTGTTTGCAATGCTTTGAAAACTTTTAAATTATAACTTAAACTGTATTTTATCCGTAATTTTAAACAATACTATGTTTTTGATTCAATCATTTATATACCAGATGTCAGTGTTTGAGTAAATGCAACAAAACATTACAATTCAATACATCATTGTTTTGACTCAATTGTCACAACTAAGTGACCACTAAATTATCACTCAATGACCACTCAATGACCACTCAATGACCACTCAATGACCGCTTTTGACTACCATTTAACACAAGAAACCATGGATGACAACAATGATGATAAAACAATACCGATAGACAATCATGTTATTAGTGATTATGTCGATGACTTAGATGTGATGCAAGTAATTGACAGCAAAGAAATTATCACCGAATTGGTCAACAATGATGACCCGAGATTGACATTTATATCGCCCGAGAGGGCCAAGAGTGAGGCCTGGAGTAAATACCAGAGGATCTACTTTAAGGATATTGAAACAAATTATGTTAAATGTATTGTTTGTAATGATATCAAAAAACAGACCAAATATTTAGGAACCGCTACTCTATTGAAGCATAAATGCGTGAAAACATATAAACCATTGTTTGAAGATCACAGCGAAGTCAAAGAGATATATAATGATAAACAATATCTCATTGAACTCATAAAAACATCAGACGAAAGGTTATCATTTGAGCCAAAAACTGGCAAAAGTCAAGTCTGGACTCGTTTTGAACGCATTGTCTTCAATCAAAAGGCAACACTTTATGTCAAATGTATGTTTTGTAATGATATTCTCAAGAATACACAAAACACTGGAACTGCTTCTCTATTGAAGCATAAGTGTAGAAGTGATGACAACACTACTGGTGTTCGACACCGACGGTCGAAGAAAAAGACGCCTAAAATTAATTTTAAAGATTTTTTATTATCAAAGAAATGTAAAACAATTGAAGACAAAATTCGTATTGAAAATCAAACTCTTCAGTTGATTATTAAGAAGTGTTTGGAAGTTATGGACAGATGTTTATGTGTTGACAATAGTATCACAATTGATAAAAAACGAATCAATGTTTTACTTAACGCTTATAATGAATGGCTCTCTGATAATCAAGATTTAGATGATTTAGGAGATAATATTAATGGTAATAATTTTATTGATTTATTTGACAATTGTCTCATTGATGAACCGTTTCGGGGTATTAATGATATTGAGTTGAGTTTAGATGATCCCGATTATAGTCCACAATTAGTATCTAAGTCTTCGACAGTGTTTCGTACGAAACAAATAAAAACAAAAATACAGAGCAGTTCTGTAATTGCATCGAATTTAGTCAAAAGAAAATATCAACGAAACAACACATCCGTGACAATCAAATGCGATTGGCCTGAATGTGAACAAGTGTTTAACAACAGTTATCATCTGAATCTACATCGAAATAAACATCTGGGTATCTTTAAATACAAGTGCTGTTGGCCAGGTAGGCATATATACTACACTATATATGATAGCCATAGATTAAGAGATCCTTACTGTTTCTCAATGACACTCTTATGTTACACTATTTGCTGCTGAAAACTATTAATGAAATTATTAATTATTTACCAATAAAATGATTTCCATATGATTACTATAGGTTGTGAAGAATCGTTTCCCAAGAAAATCAAATATGAAGTACACATGAGTTTACATACAAATGAAAAACAATATAAATGTAATTTTAATGGATGTCAATATGAAACCTGTCGTAAAGCACTGTAAGTTTTGTCACAATTTTGCCATAAAATAATTAAATATTATATTTCTATTTAGTCTTCAACGACATTATTTTATTCATACGGGAGAGAAGCCATTCAAGTATATTAAACATAATTTGAAAATAATATTATTAATTAACAGTTGATTTGTATGATTAATATTACCGATAATTTATTTTATGTGATATTAGGTGTGATTGGCCCGGATGTGAGTTTCGGACGTCCAGTAAAAATGGTTTAAGACATCATAACTATAGACACACCGGAGAAAAACCATGGAAGTGAGTCATTGATTATAACTGATATGAATCTAATAAAATAAATAAAATGTTAACTATTATAATACAATGTAAATTAATAGATGTAAATGGGTTAATAATGATGGCACAAAATGTGAATGGTCATTTAGACAAAAGACACACTTGAAGGCACATATGCTTAAGCATACGGGTGACCGACCGTATCAATGTGAATGGCCACACGGCAACTGTGAACGTCGGTTCGCATCCCGACAGGCCATGAGATTTCATTCGGAAAAGTTTCATAATTATATCATTCCTATGAAGTAAATCACAATCTGATCTTTCAATCATCAAAATCCATATAATATCGATATTAAATATTTTTATTCATTTATTGACCCATTGACTAAATCAGATGATTTTTTGTGACTAAATCTCATAGAAATTAATGTATTATTTTATTTACGTTAGTTTACATATATCGATAATATTATACTGTTTATATTTTATTAATTTTTTTACATTCACATAATTTATAATGTTTTCAATAAAAATTAATAATTTATAGTTTTATTTAAAGTAACGCAAAATATAAATAATGTATAGATTAATAATTATCACTTTCCATATATTAATTTTTGTTTATTCTATAATAATATAATTATTTCAAAAAATTTTGATTAATATATCCAAACTTCGATAGAATATTAATATAGAATTATTATTATAAATGTATTTTGAATAATATACTATAAATATTTAAATTAAATCAACACTTTCGGTCAAAAAAGGTATACATATGTATATGAGTATAATATTACTCTATTGATTAGAGTCTTAAAAATATCACACAAAAGTCAAACAATTGACTACGAGTTATACAAATAGTATATTAAATTTGATTAAAAAATATAATTAATTACAAATCGCAAAACATACATAACTTTAATATTAGAAAATAACTGAATGTTTACTATAAAAAGTAATATTGTAATGTTAAATTAGTATTAAATTAGTGTTAAATTAGTGTTAAATTAGTGTTAAATTAGTGTTAAATTAGTGTAAATTAGTGTTAAATTATGTTATGATATTACTTAAGTTAACTATATTATTTTAATCAATTCATCAAATTTAAAATATTCTCATAGATTTTATAGCTGTTTTGGTCTCAATGTTGAATGTATACATGTTTGTCATCATTAAAATATTTATTTATTTATAAATATTAATCTAATTGTTATAAATAAATATTGACAGTATTGTCAATAAGTGACAACTTTTTATTAAATGTCTAACATATATAACAACAAATTTTAATAATATGAATTAAAATAAATTTATATAAAGTAAAACTCGTGAGAATGATAGAAAGCATTGCCATTAAATATTTGGCATAAATTGGTTGATTAGTTTATCATTTAGTTTATATAGTCATAGCGGTTATACGGCAATACCATAAAAACATAACCGGATCAGTTCATACTTTAAGATCCAAATTTACTATAATATATTCCTCACCGTATAGTCTGTATTCTTATTCCTGACATAGTCTTAAAATGCCGCCATCTTTGATATTTGAAACTAAAATTAGTTCAATAATAGACAGACAGACAGACAGACAGACAGACAGACAGACAGACAGAAAGAAACTCTTACAAGAAAACTTTTTCAAATGATAAGTTCACTAATAATGGAAATTTTTTAATAAAATAATTTTATATTAAAAATGTTTAATTATTAAATATTAGCATTTAAATTGGAAAGTAAACTGGAAGATTTTTGTTGTTTAAAAAACTACGGTAACAATATCCTTGACCACCAAATTAATGATTTTTTAATTTAGTATTTAACTAAACAGTAATTTATATACAGATATAGATCCGAAGGTAAAATTAATTAATATATATATATATATATATATCATATATTTAATACGATACGTGGGAACCAACTAATTATGAATACCTATCTCTTACCCTGAAATACTATAAGTGATTCACGAATTAAGTAAAAAGTATATAAAGTATATGTCTTTTGTTTAGATATTACTATTGAATTGTAAAATATGTTTTTTTATTGTTATTAAAAATAATTATAATTAATATTGATAAGTGTAATGCACTACTTGTGAATAAATATTGATTACTCATATATCTCAAGAATATTTTTTGCTCAATAAAATATATAATTATTTTACAGTAATAATAATAATAATGAATTGTTCAATTGTTATATTTTAATTTTTATAACTGTATAAAAAATAAACAGTTTGGCAACTGTTTCAACATAAAGTTTATTGGCTGTGAATGAATTGCTGTATTATAGAGATGTTTATTTAAATTATATATGATATTATAATTTTTATATAAAATGATTATAAAAATATGTGTACTTAAGATTCATTGTACAATGATTGTGCTATTACTTGATATAGTTTGTTAGTTATCAATATTAAAATATGCACAATTTTGTTTTATGTCATAACTTCAATAAGGATCATATTATATTCATATATATAAAAATGTATATTTAAAACAAAAACAACAAACTGTGTTAATCTTATTAATTATAAGACTTAATTAAACTCTGAATCCCTTTCCTCACGTATAGCTGTCCTTCAAAACTGTATTAATCCTTCATAAATATTTTGTATTATAATTTATAAATAGCAATACAAATATTATTATTATTAAAAACTGGTTTCACTTTCATAAAATGATTTTAAGTTACGGCTCAAGTATTTTTTATAAATGTTTTCACAATAAAACTGATGATATATTAACATCACATGTAAACCATTGATATATACAGTATATCTATAAAAGTAAGCATTTGGTTAAAACTTGTTTTTTGATAACTATTTGGTGGTCGTTGTCAAGAGTCTTGAACTCTTGTTTACAGACTTTCTAAACTATTTGATTACTATATAAACTAAAAGAGTTATTAAAATTTGTCTTTCATTGTCATTATCACGGATTTTCATTAATTGTTTTACAGATCAAGTAATAAATTTTTTATTGTTTTTAAATAATAATAATAATTTATGGCTCTTAAATCTGAAATTGAGCCTATGCTTAACCAAGATATTAATAATGATAAGATTGTAATTAATATAAACAATAATAAAGATGACAATACTATTAAAACTATTAATAATTCAAATACCCTAACAATTAATTCACAAATTGAATTAATTTGGCAAAACCTATCATATTCTGTGAATAATCAATCGAAAAGTCGTTTTTCATTACTTCAAACTAAATCAAAATCACGACAAATAATTCAAAATTTGAGTGGAAATATTAGATCCGGACAGTTGACCGCATTTCTCGGGCCTAACGGCGCCGGGAAAAGCACTCTCTTGAAGTGTTTGGCAGGAAAAAGAAAGTCTGGACTTTCTGGTCGTATATTTGTTACATATAATGGGTATGTATTTAATCTTCATTTATTCATCACTTATATCAAGAGTTTCAAAAACTAAATATTAAGTGATGTTGATATTGATTTGATAGACTATATAAGTTATGGTATAAATATAAAATAAATCAATTTTCTACTTTTATAAAAGCAATTATTAGTAAGGAATCATATATTCTATACAAATTTCATTGATATAAACTTATATATATAACATATATATATTTATATAGTTTTCTTAATTTTTAACTGTTGTAAATACAGTACATTATCAATACTTCATAGATAATTATTATAAGTTAGTATTTGCTATTAAAAATAAATTCAGTACAATAATGAATTTTTTAAATCCAAATTTGAAACAACCATTATTACTGATATATTATACATGCATTATTATAATACAAATATGGTATAATACAGTATTCTACGTTAGTATAGAGTCTATACTATAGACATTAGGATAATATGATTGTATATAAATACTTTATAACTAAATTCTTAAAACTTGATATTAAATTATTATTGTTTTATTACAGATGCAAACCTCGCATAACGTTTTCTTATTATTCACAAAACGATGTCTTTAATGAATTACTGACTGTTGAGGAATCTATTGTTTATGCCTCACAATTAAAGTTTACCTCAAAAATTAAAGCATTATTCAATGATAATAAAATCAAACAAAACTCATTGTTATCGCTCACTAATCAATCCACACATCGATTAAAAGCTGAGAAACTCATTGAAGATTTGCATCTAAAGAAATGCTCTAAAACTGTGGTCAATCATTGCAGTGGAGGTCAGAGAAGAAGACTATCCATTGCATTGGAACTGATATTCTCTCCGACGATCCTATTGCTCGATGAGCCGACCAGTGGTTTAGACTCATTGTCTACTTTACAATCTATTGAATTACTCAAGAAGTGGTCTAACAGAAAATCTAAACCTATGATCATAGCTATGGTTATACATCAACCAAATGCTAAATTGCTTTCATATTTTGACAATCTATACATTATATCAAGTACTGGACAATGCATTTATGAGGGAACTACTGTCAAATTAATAGATCATATGTCTAACTTTAACCTCCAGTGCCCGAAGTTTTACAATCCATCCGATTTTGCTATAGAAGTGGCCAGTGGTGACTTGGGATTAGACGCAATACATATGTTGGCTGAATTTCAAAGACAACATTTCAAAGATAACCTAAATAATACTAATTGTATTGAAATGACAAAAGTTATTAAAGAGACTCAAAGACATACTTTTGGTGATCAGCTTTGGACGACTTGGATATTAACAAAGAGATGCTTTAAAATTAATTTAAGGGATCGGAAACAATATTTCCTACAATTTAATTGTGTATTATTTATGCTCTTATTGTTATATATTCTTCATTTGGATAACAAAGTTGGTATAAATGATGGTTGCATTCAAAAGCCAAGCGTTGATTATATTAAGAGTCTTCAAGTCTTTGATTTTCTAAACTCAACGACCAGTACTTTCCCCAACTGGGCCTTCATTTTCTATTCGTCTATATTTATGGTATTTATATCAATGTTACCGACATTGTTGTCATTCCCTCTGGAAGTGTCCATCTTTTGCAAAGAACATTCAAATGGTTGGTATTCAATGAGTTCATATTTTTTGGCCAAAAATATAGCAGAAATTCCACAAAACATTATATTTCCGCTAATTTATTGTATCGGTTCGTACATAATAACTGAACAAATACTGGATCCGATCAGATTCATTGGTTTCATTACAATAATGATTTTATTATCATTTTTGACACAAGGACTCGGATTTTTCATATCAGCTTTATTTGTGAACAATATAATAGCCTCGACAGTGATCGGTGCTGTTGTTAATATTCCTCTTTTATTATTTGCCGGATTACTAATCAAAATCCAATCAATTCCGCATTTTTTGCGTCCTTTTACATACATATCTTATTTTAGATTAACATTTGAATCAATAATGATTTTTATCTATGGCTTTGATCGCTGCCAACCCATTGAAAGACTCACAATTCAAAGTATTAAACAAGATTTTGGAGACCATATAATACCAATTGTTAAGTGTGTCTATGATTATGATTCAGATCTCGTCGATAACATGACTCTCGCTATCGATTACTTCAATGAAATGATAGATAAAAGCAATTCATTTGCTTTATTAGCATTTGAATACAAAGATAGTGATATTGTATTTAATATAATATTTCTTGTTATTTATATAATTATATTAAGAATATGTGCTTATTTTGTATTAGTTTGGAGAATTAAATCTAATTAATATAATTTATTTTTATAATGTGACTGACCAGGGACCATTTTTTAACTTATACAGTATACAAAATTCTATGGTTCTTATAAATAAATATATTCACTTATTATTTAAACATCGATATATAAATAGCATTTAAATATATATTATTTCTTCTAATTAACATTTTATAAAAATTACTCAATTATTATATAAATTTTTGACAATTTTTAGATAAATTTTCAATGATTTATATCGTTAAAATTTTATGCATATTTCACTACATTTAGTATAATAAAATTATTTTCATAAAATTATAATTTTAAATTTGATCATGATGCAATGCAAAATCAAAAAATATCTTAAGTCATTTGAAAAATATTATTTTATAAGTTATATTTAAAAAATATTTTTTATTAACTATCAATAAATTGATTTAGTTTATAACTAACTTTTTAAAAATTATCTATATTTCATGTATGATTCAATTTATAATTATTATTTAGTATTTTATAATTATTTAATCAAATTTAAAATTGCATTTATTTTATTTTCAATTTAATTTAATGCAATTTAAGTTTGAAATTACACATAAATAGACAATAAATAAAATAAATAAACTGTTTTTAAAAATTTTATTAACTAATTAAAGTGTTCATTTTTATAGTTTTATAAAATCATTATTTATAAATATTAAATTTAATAAATTAAAAAAAAGGATATTTATTTATATCATTATGTAAGTGATATTTTCAAAGTTATAATAGTTCAAATTTAAATAATCATACATACAGTATATTGAATATAATAAAACATATAAAAAGCTCATCAAATATGTGAATGCATTTTAGTAATACAGTAAGTTTGTAATTAAATTATTGTAAACAAACATAAGAAAACTAAATAAATATTAAAAAGTTACATATTTTTATATAATCAAAATTCAATCAAAGTTTGCTTAATTCACTCATTTTGTTGACATTTCCGTTAACACTGATTGTAAGTTTACTGACATTAATGTAAGTATTTAGGTCTTTAACTTTCGGATTATTATTATTAGCGAGTGATGACTCAAATTGTTGTTTTTTATCGTTAGACACAACAACTGGTTTTCGATCATATATTACCCGAAATATATTAGAAAGTGGGGCTTCAATTAGTATGTAGAAAATATAGGCAATTATGACATTACACATGAGATCAATAACTATATATCTCCACTGTTGGACAATAGAAAATTATTTAGATATTAATATAATATGATTGTGAACTCAAATTTAAATATTCATACCATTGTCCTATCATTTGATACGTGTGTATATTTAATATCAAATATTCTGTGACCAATTACAAGAAAATGCAATAAATAAATACCAAATGATAGTCTGGCCAGAGGTCGGAATCCACTCCATGATAATATCATATTTAGGTAATCTAAAAATATATATAATTTATAATTAATTTATTGCTATTTCAACAATTTTTTGATTGAATTTTTGCGATATAATCTCAATAGCAATCAGTTTCCTCAATGAAACAAATTGACATTAGACTATATTACTTTAAAACACTGTAAATTTACTATTCAATTGATAAACACAGTGCCATTTGCCTAAATATCAATGCCATTTCATCTAAATCTGATATTTTATATATAAGATAATAATTAAAAACAATGAATATTTTTAGTACTTACATCCCCTTCCACTGCAAATTGCAAATAAAATCCACGAAAAGCTGATCGCAAATATAAACTTTCCTAATGTATGCCAAAGTAGTGCACTAATAACTGGTTCAGTGAGACCGGGGCCCCAGAAACTTGCTTGCCATACATATACTGATATAATGCCAATTATGGATCCAATCCAACAAAGTCTAACCTGATTGACACTCATACTGATCCCTTTCTTCATTATGAAACCGGTGGCGATACCAATAAAATAGCTATGAATTTGGACATTTGGATATGTGTGGTACCAATTGATTGAGTCATTAGCGTTTGCACTTAACAATTTTGCGCCATGGATTAGGATCTGGAGATATGGTTTCACACCTAATATAAAATATGGCAAAACTGCTGCTATGTTTGTAACAATTAGTGCTCCGATGAGTACTTGTTTGCCGAGGTTTGGTCGTCGCCAATACAATAATATAAATGCCGGCGATATTATCAAAAATTGCATTAATGCAGACAAAAACCAAAGAGGAAGATTGCACTAAAATTTATTAAAATGTATTAATTATTATTTTATAATTTAAGTTTAATAATAGCCGGTGGTATGTAAATAAAAATAAAATATTTTATCTTAGTATCTTATTAACCTTAATAATTATATTCATGTATTATTTAAATATTATAAAACAAATAAATAAATAGCCATGAATAGCATAGCAAATATATTACTGTTTTTTCATTCAGATATATCAATATACAATCGGAAATTACTAAACAAATAATTTAATCTAAATATTTTCATAGTATTCAATATTTCATAAAAGTTATGTATTTTATAATATAAATTATATATATATATATTTATTTATGAATTAATTAATATACCGTTTCGTGAAATGTTTCGATTCTGAATTCATAAAAATTATTAAGAAATGTCAAAATCCTGAACAGTTGGGATGGATTCTTACATCCATCGTTGTATTGAACGGCATAATACCAAAATGGTCCCTCACCGGTGAATCGGAACAAATAAAAGAATAATAAAGAACTAAATCCAAGTATTGTAAATCTTAACCATTGCTGTACAATAAATTGAAAATAATTGAAACGACCATTAGTTTTGTCCAGTTTTCTCAACAATCCATAAGATATCAAAAATCCGCTATTAATTTCAAATGGCAAGTGTTAGCAAATATCATTACAAGTATCCAAACAACATACCTGAGCGAGTATAAGGCGTCAACCATTAACGGATTTCTTGCAAACCAATATCTTTTATCAACAAACATACGGGGAATCACTACAGTTAACAAACTCTTCAATGTAACCAATCCTAAAGTGGTGGCAGCAATGTATAGATGAGCTATAAATACATAAACAATCAAAAGAAGACGAATTGTGTCCAACGCCTGCCAATTGCCGTTTGTATCGGCAAACAGAGCACTAGTATTACGAATCAAAGAAAATGAAGTCAACAGTTGTTCTTTGTTTGTATCAATTAAATCATCTTTTGTTTGAGGAATTGTAGATCTATTATAATTGGTATACACCTCAGCAAAAGTACTCGTTATGACAAATAATATCGATAATGAAAATATTGTTCTGTTAACAAACAAAAATTTAAATAAATAAAATGTAATATAAATCAATTGTATGACTGCTAACATTGCAAACTTTTCAAAGCTATCGAGTACTACGGGTGCATCTCTGACCACACAACTGGGTTTATCAATTTCAACCGGCAACTTTGTGATTGGCTCAAATACTAATAATTAAACAACAATTTAATTATTTATTAATGGTATAAATATACTATAAAATTACATTTATTGATGACATCCTCAATCTCTGTTGAAGTACATGTATTGGGAATACATATTCCCATCCGATATATAGTACCGCTAACTATATTTAAAGTCTCGACAATAGTTCTAAGCGTAAGCTTTTGTAAATCTATATCATATGCTTTGAATTTATCATTTAATTTGATTTCTTCATCCAAATTGTTATCATCACTGATATTATCCAATTTAGGATACGGTAGTATCACTTTCATCATACAATACTGTCCTCTAATTTGTGTCTCTTTATCATCGACAGGACTTTTCACATCCAGACACTCGTCATACTCTCCAAAGTCAGCCAACACTCCCTCAGCAAAGCCAGAGGGCGGGAAACTTCCCATTGCATCCAACACTGTAATTCAAGTTTCATATTTGTTATATATTTACATTATTTGCTTAGTTTATGGCAATATTATTCAAATTATATCAAATAAAAATATTAATGTATATTTTACAATCCATTTTTGATTAAATGTTTAATTAAACAAGGCTAATTATTAAAGAAGTTTAATTTAAAAATAACTAATCATATGTAATACAAATAAATATATTAATTTTAGATATGCAGTATATATCTTATATATAAAAAGGTCATAAAAACAATTTTTAAAATTAACAGATTATTGATTTTAAGATTAAAATATACAATAATTGTATTATTGATTACTTAGTGCTCTAATGATTTTGAATGTCATACTTTGATAAACATCGAGATTAAAGTCAATATCAATGTCAATATTTTCATATTAATCCATACGCTATATATTATACAATATATTATAAATTCAATAAATGAGTGCATTTTTAATACTGTAGTACTATGTGATTGAAAAAAATGGAATTTTTATAAATTTTAATTTTATTTTATTGGACTTAAAATAAACTTAAAAAACATAATTAATTAATGTCAAAAATATATAAAATTGCTATTAATAAATTCATTAGTTAAACATTCGCATTAGAAAAATTATTTTATTTATTTTGAATTATTTAAAACTATTAGATTTTATAAAAGCAATTATTAATAATAGTGTTAGAAGTTGTTATTGTGGACAACTAATAATAAATTAAAATAATCACTGATTTGGTTATTGATTAAAATAACTTACTTTTAATGGCCCAAAACTCTGTATTACGAATTGATTTAAATACTTTTACTAAAGATGTCATACATTGCGATGAAATTTTGAAATCAATTTCCGACAAGAATTCAATTGCTTTATATTTTTCGCGTTCATTAAATACAAACAGATTTGACAAAAGGGTTTTAACATTGTTAAGCACAGCAAATGTCTCATTAATATGTTTGACATTTTTTGTTAGATTTACATCCCGACCCTCGGAGTGAAGTTTACTTATCTTATCAATAAAACTTTGACTCTCACATCCATTATCTTCTTCATCTTCATCTCCATCAGTATCACCACTGCTATCATAATCATAATCACTCGTTGTATTTAAGTTATTATTATTATTGTCATTACTGTCTGTTTCACTTTTATAACAATTAATGTGATGAACACAAAAAATAAAATAAGTTAATAATAAAATTAAAAATAATTTTAATGATAACTTTTTAATAATCATAATAAAGCTTTAAAAAAGTAAATCAAATATAAGATCAAAAGTTTAAATAAAGCATTTGTGAAAATTGAAAGTCAGAATCAGTGAAAGTGTCTCATAATTTTTTGCTAAACAGGTATATATATATATATATGTTAATATTTTATTGGGACTGGAAGTGCTTCATAATCAGCATCACTAATATAATTTAAATTTGATGTTAAGCTAAACATTTAGTGTTCAAATGGGAGGATTGATCTCTATCTAATTCAAGGCTATAAGTCATTTCTCCCAAAACATCCACAAAAAACAGCGACAAAAAGCCAAACTTGTTTGAGACACAAATTTCATGGATTTTTTAAGGAGGGAACTGTGGATCATAAATGGCTTATTGCTTCATACAGTATATTGATGTTATAGTATTACAATTATATCAAATTAATCTTATAGTTAGACTCTTTGTCTAATATCTATTACAATATAAACTTACTTTTATGTTAATATAATACTATACAAAAATATTAAATACTATACAATAAGCGAAATAACATTGATATGCAATGAGATGAAAGGTCGCAACAATAAAACTTTTATTGTTTAAAATCTTTATACTATAAAATAATCTTTAATAAGTTAATCTAAAATCGAAATTGTGAATATAATTTTATTACTTATTATTTTATTTTTTAGACTTTAATGACATTGAAGTTTGTCATTAAATAAAAATTACTGTAATATATGGGCCAATATTATTGGTATATACCGTATATTTACATTATAATGTAAACCTATAATAAAAAATTGCTATAATTAAAATGTTTATAAGTTTATAAATTTTTTATCATATCATATATCATTGTAGACAACCTATAACATAAAAATAAACTAATATTTATATTATTATGTCAATTATATTGTACATTATAAATAATCTTGAAAAATTTACCAAAACATAAATATTTATTTATATAATTTTTAAATCTAATAAAATTTTTATTAAAATAATTTGTGAATTATTACTATTTATAAATTAAACTAATTTTAATAAAAATATAAAACAAAACATAAAATACTGTATAAATATCTCATTTGTATCTCATAATTACAATGTATTTAATTTAAATATTTCAATAAATATTTTTAAAAATGATACATAAAAATAAATCTTTTGATATATAATAAATTATCTAATATTTATAAATTTAAACAATATAAATATTATTTTATAACAAAATAAAATTACTACAGATTATATACAGTAATTACTATAAATATTTAGTTTTTAAATATAGAAAATATTGAATAATAAAAGTTGTAAATTAAAACAATAAATTAATTTATACTAAAAATATAGTAAAATAAAGTAAAACATAATTAAATTAATACTTATATTACTTAAGAAAAATACAAAATAAAACAAAAATGAGTTTTCATATGTTTATAAAGAAATTAAGGATTGGATTGATGTCTACCAATGATGTGATCCCTGTGCGGAAAGCGGCCAAACTCGGCAATCAGGTCATGATATTTTTGGGCCCAATATAAGTGTGATTTATCGGCCAATTGTGAAAACAGTTTGAGAGACATCTTCTGGTCAGACAAGTTCTCCGAGTGATTGAATGGTGAATACATATATCTCTTGCATATATCGGGCAAACTCTTGTCCTAACCGTTCTCTACGGCTCTCTTGGCCACTGATAATGCCATTGAGTCTGTCATAAAAGCCTCGGGTCGGTTACGATAGATATTTCTGGGCGTTTGATCCAAAAGTAAAATCAGTGCCAAAGCTCCGTCAGATCCAAAGTTGATCCAGTTATCCAACTGTCCATTTGTGGCCAATTCATAGTATTTGGCCAAATGTTGTGACACTAATTGGTCATCCGATGGACTGCTTGCGTACCAAAAACATTTGGGCTGAAGATAGTCTTTATCTGATTTACAGCCAAACCAAAAGTTTAATACTTTGTTGATATCTGTTTCGGGATTTGAATTCATAGTGTAATCATCGATAATCATCACTAAAACATTTCCAATCAATTGATTCAAATGATTAATACAAACAAATGGTAACCAAATTGTGGTTAATGTTTGACATTACATGTCATTAATTGGTAAACATTTTGAGATATTATTTAACTATTTATAAAAATATTGTTTTTTTTAACTTTATTAACAAATCAATTGAAATAAAACGTTATTTATGAACAATTGAAAGCAATACAAATTAATAGTGTCTTGATTTCCAACTAAAAAAATTATTTTGTCGGTTTAACGCTTATAACTGGGACTTAGTATGTCCACCGAAGTTGACCAGTGGACGCTATTTCCGAAATTTTATTATAACTATAAATAACTATTTGTTAGGTTAGCAACTATAAAAACTTATAAATAACTATTTCAGTTATTTTGAAAAATATAAGCATTAAATTGTAAAATATTGCTCAAATATATGTAAAAACAAAAAGTAATAGTTATATAAATTATATAAAATGTGTAAACTGTTATCAACTGTTAATTACTTTTTTAACAATAGAAATATTTAGTTTATTTATATAAATCATTTTTGTAAATATGCTGAAAACAAGTGAATTATATATCATTTGAAATATTTATAAGAAAATAAATAACTATTTCAATAACTATTTGGCTTTTTTAGCAACTATATACAACTATTTAATACAGTTTAAATAACTATTTTAACAACTATTTGACGTTTTTTTAGCAACTATTATAACAATTATTTAATAGAGTATAAAAAATTATTAATCAATACACTACAAATTAACAATAAATTTATTATTAAATAATATACAGTTTATATAAATAATTAATATTTAATACATTATTGTATTTAATATCGATAATAAATTATGAAAAATATTAATCATAAAAGATATTATTTTATTTATGCTAAAAGAAAATTAAATGAGTATTAATAATAATAATAAGTTATTTTATTATTATTATTATTATTTTACATGGATTTTAAGTATTTAAAAGAATATTGTCGTCAATTATATATTACAAATTTAAAGTATTTAATTTTAGTATAATACCTGTATATTTTCAAAAAAAACTTGAAAAGTTTTGTTTTCTGAAATCTATATGAGCCTTTTTAGTGTGTGTGTGTGTGTGTGTATGTGTGTGTGTGTGTGTGTGTGTGTGTGTGTGTGTGTGTGTGTGTGTGTGTGTGTGTGTGTGTGTGTGTGTGTGTGTGAATGTATGTGTGTGTGTAGCATTTCATTTTGCGAATTTTGAAATTCTGATTTCAGATTCTGTTCTACTAATAATGTATTGAAAAGTTGTATCAAAATTTTGATATCTCTTCGGGAACATAGAGAAAATGGCGGCCAAAGTAAAGAAAAATTTTTTTAAGCATAGATTTGAATAAAGCATTAAAAACAAAAATAAAAAATATGCATAAAAATTTTGATATCATTCCGGGAACATAAAAAAATGGCGGCCAAAGTAAAAAAATTATGCAAAAATTTTAACGTTTAGAAATGCAGAGCATCAAAAATATAATATAATATATCAGCATAGTTAAAAAAATTGCGGCAAAAATGACTAAAGTTTAGTTTATTTTGTTATACCGAGTCATTTGATAACCTACATGACTACAGTTGTTCATTATGTCAAAGCAAGTCATTTGATACCCCACATGACTATAGTTGAGTTTATTTTGTCATGCCAAGTCAATTGATACTCTACATGACTAAAGTTGTGTTTATTTTGTTATATTGAGTCATTTGATAACTTGCATGACTAAAATTGAGAATATTTTGTCATACTGAGTCATTTGATACCATACATGACAATATTTATATTATGTATATTTGACCAGTTTTTAAATTTGTATATATTATTAAAGTTTATATAGCCGCTATAATTATACAAACTAATGGTTTTCAATGCTATTAAATTTTTTTTCTGAAAATGCTTTCTAGCATTCTTAACTGGTTATTAATATTTAGTATAATAATTTAAATATTTAAAGAATAACTGATTTTTTAATAATTATAAAATATTATAAATTGAAAGTAATTTAAAAGTTTTTATAACTATTACTTTTTTAGACTAAAAAGTAATAACTTATAAAAATTATAAATCAAATGAATTACTGACAATCAAAATCTGAGTTGATTTTAAACTTTTATTAATTATATCTTATATTATTGAAAAGTATCGAAGAGAAGTCAATGCACTTAATTTTGGCTATAAATTTGGCTAATGATTCACTTATTAACAAAATCATAAAAATATTAATAAATTAGTAATTTTAAGCATAGATTACACAAGTGATTGAAATTATATTATTTGCTATATCATAGTATATATAGATAATATATTATATTGTACAATACAGGTATTATATTATATGCGGTCATTTGAATTACCAGTGATTGAAAATAAGTGATATTAATTTATTATTATTATATAAATTATTATTTTTTATATTTCTAATTTTAATAGTAGATATATAAAGTATTAATACTTTATAATACTCTATTTTAATTAAATTTGGATTACTTTGTAAATAGCAATTTATTAAAAAATTTACCATGCACTAACTTCTTTATTAAGACGTTTTTAAATTTATTATTTTAATTGCAAATGTATTAGTAATTCAACAAGGTTAATAACTTTATTATTTATTTATTAATTAACAAAAGTAAAAATAATGGTTAATGAACTTACATTTAATGAATATTGATTGGTTTTGTAAGTTTCTACTATAAATAGTTTATACCTGTTTTATGTCCATTTTAGATATTATTTTATTAATATTAATTTTTATAACTAATATAATTAAAATTAAAAATATTTTAGATCAAATTAGGTTATTATATTGAGTAAATATTTAGAAGTTTTATCAAAAGTTTAAAAATATTAATAGTATATAAATTAACGCATTTTTAAAATCATAAAACAACAGTTAAGCAAACAATTATTATTATTCATAAAAAATGATTGAAATCATATTTTTATAAATACCTTATTAATAATAAGTTATGAAATAATTTAAAATTGATGCGTTTGACAAAAAGTTATATATCAAGATTATATGTATACAGTATATACAGTATAAATAATGCTTAATATTTATATTAATACGTATTGTAAATGTCTATTAAACGTTGTATTCAATTGAAGGTCAACTAATAAAGTAAATGCTAATTATTAATACATTATATGATTAACACTTATTTGGCAATACATTCATAGAGTGTATGCTTTTGGGAATAAATAGAAGAATTCAATGAAATTCATAACTCAGTTGTTTTTAGAGAGTTGTCTCATAATAATAGTTTACAATTAGTTTACCTGTCATTTGAATTGTATGTTATTTTTCAGTAAGTTATTGAATAAACCACAACAAAAATATTTGAAAACTTAAATCTTTGAAATATATATATTCTTTATTTAAATGTATCACAAAATGCTTTTGATTTAAACTTCCAAAGCTATGCCTAATTTTCATACATTAAGACGTTATGCGGTAGGAAAGGCACCAAAAAAGTTGATACCGGCTATCATTGCTTGTAAATGTGTGCCATATCTTATTGTTTTGACATTATTTATCTTTTTATGTGGTTTTATACCATTGTTTATCACTGATTATAATCATCAATGTATTGATACTAATCACACTCATGATAATCACTCGATAACATCTCAAATGAAATTCAATTTCGATAATACTAATTATAATTTAACTATTGATGAAAACAATAGTTATTTAAGTTTGACGTGTTCTCAACTACATTATATATGTAAATATAATATATAATATATAATTTGTAATTATTATTATTTTTATTAAATTAATTAATTGTATTGCAGTATATTCATGTATATGCATCAGTATATTATTGTTTGTGGTGTCAATTGTATGTCTTTTGATTGCATTTTATTATTTCAAGAAATATCAATCCCAACGAATCAAACACATGAAAGTAACTGATTTGGACAGTGATGTCACTCAAAAATTGACAATAACTGAGCCCATCATTGGTGGCATTGCTTATTCAATTATCACCAACAATGGCAAACATTCACAGTATATACCGATTAGTCAATATAGTAAAAATAATAATGTTTATAAATCAACTACTGAACCAATTGTCTAATAAATTGACAAATTTTTAATATAATTAAAATATTAATACAACTCAAGAAATGAATTATCGTAAATATGCAAATATTGACAATTTAATAAAAAATGCTATAATTAATTTATAAATTAATATTATTAATTTTAATTAAATCTATTAAAACTAATTGTTAAAAATCATTCATATCTAATTTAAATAATAAATTATGTTAACAATGTTACATTATCAAGATAACACTTTAATATATTATAATTAATAAATTTATTGCAATATTGTATATACAGAACATTTAAAAATATTTAAACAATAAAATGTAACAATTTGTATAAATAAATACTAGTCAATTATAAATCATTTTTAATAAAATAGTATGTTTTAAAACTAGAAAAATATTGTTATTAAAAAGTGTAGAATAATTAAATATAGTTATTTTGATTAGTATCTCTATATAATGTTAGTATAAAAAACAAATTTCTAATAATATTATAACATTGAAGGTCATTAAATAACATTTTGTTTTGATAGCACTTATATTAATAGTTAACAATATGTTAATATTTAATTATTCAATTAATATTTCCAAATGTGATAAATATATTATTGTTGTTTCATYAAATTRTAAGTTAGTTATTGTCAAAACTGCATAAAACGGGTGTAAACTAAGTGAATAAAAAATCATAAAGTCATAGCTGTAATAACATAATTATAGTTTTTCAGACGATTTTTATTTGAATTATTAATAGTTATTTATAATGTACTATATTGGCGTAATTTTATTTATAACATATTGTATATTGATTAGTGTTGGCAAAAAAGAGAAATTTATAAAATAATAGAGAAATTTCTAGAAAGTTTCTAAAAGAAATTTCTATTTATGGGATCCCCATGGTTAATTTGTTTTCTCGATATTTGTTATCTTTAACATTGTTTTTATAAGTAATATTTAAATATTAGTATTAGTATTTTATATTATTAATTAAAGTAAAAAATTTATTTATTTAATTATATTAAACTATGATATAATAAAATGGTGAATAAAATTTTACAAAACTGATTATTATTAAATAATTATAATTATTTATATAGGTATCCCATTTGTATAATATAGTATTATACAGTAATCTACATTATATAGTATAATATTATATGTATAGTAGTATTGTCTCATTAATATATTTATAGCTTTACAATATCTATAGATATGGGGATCCCATAGTATAACAAAAAAGTTAAATTTCTATAGAAATTTATTCCTGAGAAACTTTCTCATGGAAATTTATTAGAAACTTTCTATTTGCCCATCTCTAATATTGATACACCTACACATTATGTGATAAAAAAATAAATATTATGTGATAATACTCTATAATATCATAGAATTTATATGATATGATTATTTATATGATAAAATATCATTTTATAAAATTATTAAGTTTTATATTGTCTTCAAAACACATTATAATAAAATTTTTATTTAAAACTTACAAATGAAGACAGTTTTCAGTGAAAATCTCTAACGATTTTCACTGAAAACTGTCTTCACTTTGCGAAACACTCGACTGTTTTCGGTCTCAATCAGAGACTATAGTCAACTCTCATCCATGAAATGTTCAAAAGTGACCAAAAAACTGATATCACTTTTACAGTTAATACAGTAGTGATGTCGGACTCGGAGTTGATAATGGTTTTAGTTTGAGACTGAAAACACTCGAGTGTTCCGCAAAGTGTCACAAATTGTCACCGAAAACTTTATTATACATAACTTTWGTAATATTTAATTATATATATAATTATACATTTAATTGTATTTAAGGTCAATATATAAGTAATATTTTATAACTTTTTATTATTACATTTATTAAAAATTAATTTAATATTATATTATAAAAAAATGATTATAATTAGAGATGGGCAAATAGAAAGTTTCTAATAAATTTCCCTGAGAAAGTTTTCCCACTTTTTTTGTTATACTATGGGATCCCCATATCTATAGATATTGTAAAGCTATAAATATATTAATGAGACAATACTACTATACATATAATATTATACTATATAATGTAGATTACTGTATAATACTATATTATACAAATGGGATACCTATATAAATAATTATAATTATTTAATAATAATCAGTTTTGTAAAATTTTATTATATCGTAGTTTAATATAATTAAATAAATAAATTTTTTACTTTAATTAATAATTAAAATACTAATATTTAAATATTACTTATAAAAACAATGTTAAAGATAACAAATATCAACAAAACAAAATTAACCATGGGGATCCCCATAAATAGAAATTTCTTTTAGAAACTTTCTAGAAATTTCTCTATTATTTTATAAATTTATTTTTTTGCCAACACTAATTATAATATATGTTTACTAATAACAATTTATTTATTAAATACATTTATTATAAAAATAAATTAACTAACTCAATTTAATATTAAAATAGTTAATGAATTTGTAAATATATTTTATTTTAAATGATAAAAATCTTTTTGTAAAAAAGACAACAAATTTCAAATAAATTGTTGTTATAATAATTCAAATAAATGTTTATTTTAAATAAAAATTTATTGAGAATAATAAACGTATTAAAAATGGCAAATGTTTTAATATTAAAATTATTAAATTTACTACTTTATAAAATGACTGCATCAAAACACTATATAATTTATGGGCATATATTAAAGTTTGATTAAATTTATTCAAAATTATAGTTAATTTATCTAATTCTCTGATTACTGATCTCTAATACTTTAACATTTCAATTATAGTAAACATTCAGTTTTTGTTGCAGTGATTGYTTTTTATTATTTGTGATTATTTTTATTTAATTATAATTGTTTTGTCATATATTAAAATTGTGTTTTATTATTTATTAAAAAATATTTTATTTTACGGAATATTCTTGAATTTTGTGTATTGTTCTTCATAATTAATTGCTAATGTAAAATATTTATATTAATTAAATAATTAACTAAATATATATATATATATATATATATATATATATATAAGGAGTCAGTCAATTAATCTTGCGTCGCGTAAAACTTGAATAACTTTTAAACGGTTAGAGACAATTTAATTCTGTAAAATACATTTAAGAATATCATATCGACCACACTTAATATACACGCAATCACAAAACTAGGATGACCAGATATACAAAATATTGGGACCAACGCAAGACACTATGCTACAGGCAAAACTACAACTGACAAATTTATTTTGACAATGAAATTTTGTAGTCAAGAAATAATAGTTTAATATAAAAAAGAATCATCAAAATCGGATTGGTAGTTTTACTTTTATGGTTTATTAAGTTTGTCATAAATCATATTATATAAAATAGTCTAATATGAAAATGACGTTATTTATGACTTGTATATGACTATTAGATAAATATTTCAATTATATTACTAATTCTAAAAACAAAATTTTAATGTCGATTATTTTTCGAAATAATTGAATTTCAATAAAAATTTTAATATCAAATTACAATAGTGTGATTTATATTGTAATTCGATTATTTCAAAAACTAATCGACATATTGAAATTTTGTTTTTAGAATTAGTAATATAATTAAAAAATCCATCTAATAAATATATACAAGTCATAAATAACGTCATTTTTATATTAGACTATTTTATATAATATGATTTATGACAAACTTAATAAACCATAAAAGTAAAACTACCAATCCGATTTTGATGATTCTTTTTTTATATTAAACTATTATTTCTTGACTACAAAATTTCATTGTCAAAATAAATTTATCAGTTGTAGTTTTGCCTGTAGCATAGTGTCTTGCGTTGGTCCCGATATTTTGTATATCTGGTCATCCTAGTTTTGTGATTGCGTGTATATTAAGTGTGGTCGATATGATATTCTTAAATGTATTTTACAGAATTAAATTATCTCTAACCGTTCAAAAGTTATTCAAGTTTTACGCGACGCAAGATTAATTGACTGCCTATTTATATATATATATATATATATATATAGTAATTAAACTAAATTTGGTTTTATATTGTTTGCCAGTAATATTCACACTAAATATGAACAATTATATAAACTTTTTATAAAGTTATTAAATTAAATGTCAAATCATATAAAGTCAAATTAAAAGAATTTTTCAACAAATTAAAAAATAAACGTAAATTTTTGCACATAATTATCTCATTTTGTAGTTTATTTACATTACAAAGAAAATAACGTTTAAACTATTTGTATTTTTATTAACTAATTAAATTTAAAATTATTCAATTAATTAAAATAAGATTTTAAATACATATAATATATAATAAATAATAAATTATATGTCTACTTAAAATAGTAATAAACTTTATAGTTATAAACCATAATCAAGTCTTAATCTTAAATTATCAAATAATAAATTATCAATAAATATGGCTTAATAAACAAACACTTAAAATAAATTGATGTACAGTACATGTATTATAAACTAAACTTGTTTTAAAATAATAAATTGATTAAATTGTAATGAAAATATCAATTGTATTGTAGATCAAAGTTAGTTGCAATTAAACAAAAAATAAAATTATTCATAATATTTGCTATTATTTACCATTAGTAAAAAATTGACTTAATTATTAAGTTATTAAATAAAATAATTAAATTAATAATGTTTATTAAATTTATTTTGTCTATCAATTTTTTAATTTCAATTATATATATTGTCAATTGTGAGGTAAAAAATCTTATTTATATAACATGTCTTAATATATTATTTTAATTCAATTAAACTAATAGATTGCAGACAATTATATGAATGGACCGAAATTAGTGCCATTTCCACAACAAATTGTCACTTACGACACACAACTGGCAATAGACTCAAAAGACTTCAAATTTATTACTAAAACCAAAAACAAATGTCTTGTATTAGGAGATGCTATCAAACGATACAAAGACATTACTTTTATCAATGATTGCAATCGTCTTAAATCTGGCAGTTATAGCAACAAAAGTTATAATAACATCAATTATTTCAAGTATTTTTCAACTTTGCATAAATTAACAAACATTACTATAGAGATGAGAGGCCATTGCGAAGATAATCAATGGCCTGACATGAATATGGATGAAATGTATACCATAAGGATAGACGACGAGGACTTCCCGGAACAGGCCTTCATATTTGCCAACACAGTATGGGGTGCTTTGAGAGCATTGGAAACATTTTCGCAATTAATTCAACATAAATATGATAATAATTTTGTAGTCAATTCAACGTTTATATTAGATTATCCTCGATTTACTTATAGAGGATTATTGATTGACACTTCAAGACATTATTTGCCTAAACATGTAATACTTGAGAATTTAGATATCATGTCCTACCATAAAATGAATGCATTGCACTGGCATTTAATAGATGACCAATCATTCCCATATGTAAGTCTACAGTTCCCAGAGCTAAGTGCTAAGGGAGCATACAATCCAACTACTCATGTCTACACTCAAAAAGATATTAAGGAAATCGTTGAATTTGCAAGAGTAAGAGGAATCAGAGTAATAGTAGAGTTTGATAGTCCGGGACATACCTTGTCGTTGGGTAAAGGAAAGCCTTATTTGTTGACTGCGTGTTATTCAGGCGATAAACCAAATGGCAAATTAGGTCCATTAAACCCAAGTTTAAACACAACTTATGATTTTTTGAACACATTATTTAAAGAAATTGTTGGCATATTTCCCGATCAATATCTTCATTTGGGTGGCAATGAAGTAGATTATCGGTGTTGGAAATCTAATCCAGATATTCAAACATTTATGAAAGTTCAACGAATAAGTGGTTTATATTATAAACTCGAAGAATACTATTTCAAACGTTTGTTTGATATTATAACTAATATGAATAAGACTTGGATTGTTTGGCAGCAAGTGTTTGACAAAATGATTGATTTGCCAAACAATACTATTGTTAACGTTTGTAAAGAGGACTTCAACACAGAGCTCTATGAGTTGACTAAACTAAACTATAAAGTTATATTATCTTCATGTTGGGACCTAAATATAATATCTTATGGTTATGATTGGTTTCAGTATTATCATTGTGATCCACAAGCTTTCAATGGCAGTGATCATCAAAACCAACTGGTTATTGGAGGTCAGGCGTCAATGTGGGGGGAATGGGTTGATGGCAGCAATTTTATAACAACGACCTGGTTATAATACTGTTATTTTATTTTTTTATTAAATAAAATGTTAAATATGTTGTATTGTATTATAGGCCCAGAACTATGGCTGTGGCTGAAAGGCTATGGAGTCCTAAAAGTATGAACAATACAACTGAAGCTCAATACAGATTTGTACGAAATAGATGTCGGATGTTGAATAGGGTATCAAAATGCAACCCATTGTTGAACCAAAACAATTTGAATTTGGATTTTGTAATTGTGATTATGAGGTTTGAAATAAATGCCATCCATTACATTAAGAGATAATATAATATAATTTTTAATACAATTAATAATAATTATAATTTTAGTTATGCATTTAACTTTAATTCATCATAAATATCTGGTACGATATACCCTAATTATAATTTTTAATAAATTTATAATAAATTAAGTTAATAAAATAAAATTGAATAACATATAATATATAATTTAAATAAATACTAAAAATAAATTTATAAATATTAAAAATTAATCTATGATTGAAAAAATTCTTGACTATAATCTTATGATAATAAAAAAGTTTTATAATAGAAATAAAAAATTATGTATTATTAGGAGTATGTGGTCTATGAGATGTCTGTGGTATTTGTAATGCATTAATGCATGGATTTTGTCTGTAATTTAATTTAAATCCTCGACCACTTATTTTGTTATCCGTAATAAATTTAACGATAAAAGGACCCGAACTATAAAGGTATTAAAAATAACAAATTGTCATTTTATTATATATATATATATATATTGTAAGTTATAATATAAATAGATAACAAATACCCGTCATCTGTGATTTGACCGTTAATTTCTTTATTGTCACCCAAAGAGGTCAATCGATAACCACAATAGCGAATGCCATTCAGCAAAATATAGTCTTCTGAGCACTTGGTCAGCCCTATCTCTCCCTCTTTCTCTTTAACGCCCGTATTGTTTATGCTAAACGACTGGTCATTGAGTGTCAATAAATGTGAAATGTTGTCCAAAGAGTATGTTTGAGTACAGAAGTATTGCTCTTTTCTAAAGCATATACTGTAATGCAAATCATTCATATATCCGATTCCCTTATAATTCCAATCAGACAACTGTGTGCTAACAGTAGGAATCAATGTATTCAATACATTGATATTTGTTTGTTGCAGAACTTCATAATTAAAACTCATGATAACACCAGTCGGACCCATCAAATATTGCAGACAATTAGGTGGAGCTGTTTTTTTGGCAAATATAATTAGTTTAACAAAACATCATAATATTTGTCACTTTCTAAGATAACTTAATGTGCAATATATTGATTATGTAATTACTTCAAAAGCGTGCATTTAAGTTGCAATCATTTTATTATAATATCTAATTAAATACAATTATGATAGATATCGGGTGCACTATCAACACTAACAAATTGATGTAAATTTGCAAAATTATTTACAATTAGTTTAATTAAATGTGAAATAATGTATTATTATTATTATATATAAAAAATATTAAGCCTTAGATTTGATTAGTAAACCTCTCGATGGATTTGTGCATTCAATTTGTGAAACCAGAATATTCCAGCGCCTGTTTCCGGGACCATCGGTTCGGACATTCATTATAAGTGGTCCCTGAACTCCATCGACATCGAGATACACTGTATTTTTAAAAACAATAACATTTTATAGAAATATAATATTATTTTTAATAGAGGTTTGATTTTACTATGCTGTCCACTATTAAAGCCACATATCGTAGGAGCTGGTGAATTGAGATTATGACCGCTAACAATAAACTGGTCCTTATCACAGTTACCTTCATTTGGCTGAATCAATTCAAAGTCCATAAAATCAAGTCTACAATTATTTGATTTTTTAGTTATTAAGTAGTTTTCTTATATTTAATTATAAAAAATAAATGGTACCTAATTTGGCAAATTTTATTAACCCCGGGAACTCTATGAATAGTTAGTGTACAGGTGTTAGTGTTGTTATACGATGAGGGAAAGCCTGGATTTGTAAAATATGTTGAGTTTTGAGCAGCCATTCCTCCACAAGTTCTCGGAACTCATTGATTTGAATAAAAAAAAATTAATTTTATAATTTATTTATCATTTTGAAAAACAAAAATACATACAAACACAACAAACATTGCTAACACCACATCTACCAATAGGTACTCCTCCCTGTTGTCGACAAATTAAATTTGAATAACACGTTCCCTTCATTGTCTGTACTGTTTGATTGGGTACTCCCGGTATCATCGTTGACACAGAACATGATGGACCAGAACTCAGTAATAAATTGCCGACTAATCGATAGATTTTTAATTAAAAAAAAATAAATAAAATTTTTAATAAATTATGTTAAAAGCGTTTATTTATATTTAATAATATTTAATTACTGGCAGAAACTGATGCAAACAATAATATTAAAGATAAAAAAGTGATAATTAAATTAATATTAGCAGCCATTAAATGACTAATGATTTATAAATATAACTTAAATATTAATAACATCAGAAGTTTTATTTAAAACTAATAACTTAAATATTTTAGTTAAGTAATAGTTTATATTTAATATGAAATGTATGCGTTGAGTAAACTAAATAGTTAAATGATTATAAAAATACTATTGAGAGTAAAATTTATTGATATTATCAGTTAAAGAGCTATTTTGCCATTGAGTTCAAACTACCCGTTGAGTGACAAAAAAAAAGGATATAATCTTCACTATTCATTGGACTTACCATTAAAATTATATTATTTTTGTTGTAATTGCATCGCAATTGAAAGTATTATTGTATTTTTATCATTGAAAAAATCTTGTCCTAAATTTAACGCATCGCTAAAAATTGTATTTACAATTCATTTTTCATTCATCACCTAAAATCATATACACTTTAAACATTTGAATTGACCCTAATTTTCATTTTATTAATTATCTCATATACAGTATTAACTTTACATTAATATGATGCCAACATTTTTTGAGGAAATTGATATTTATGAGTATACAATAAAAGCTTATTAATTATCTTATTTCTAATATTAAATACAATATATAGTGTGTTGTTGTGGTTATAATTATTGTAATTGTTGCCAAAATGTTTGGAAACATTTCAACATTGTTATTGTCATTGAATAAAAACTTTATTAATTCAAAAACATTTTTGTTTACTGTGTTTTATTATGATTTTATGTGTAGTAAAATGCATTTTTATTAAAATTAAAAATAATATAAAATTGAAAATGATAAAAATTCAAGATATGAATAGTTTTTTCTAATTTGTTCCCAATAAATATACTTAAATTAGATTAATTGTATTATTTTATAGCAGTTTTATGTATTGATATTTTCAAAAAAAAAAATAATAATATAATCTTCATATTTTAAAATATAAATTGCAAGATTATTGCAAGAGAAAAATAATTACATAAATTACTAAAATATTATTATTTTTCATTTCTCAATTTTTGATTTGCTTTTAAATTTATACTACAAATATTCAATTATTATTTTTTATTATAATTTTTAAATAAAAAAAATTGCTAAATACTGTTTAACTTAAGAATCTTTATCATTATTTATCTTTTTGTTTGTTATTAAATTAGTTTGATTAGTGACAAAGTGTTTATAATCACAGCTCACAAATTGATGTGTATATTTATACATTACTTATAATTATTTATAATATATAATTTATTTATTTAAAGCTATTGTAATGTATATTTATGTGTACAGTATTTATTAGTTGTCCAGTATAATGTAATAAAATCAAAAATACTGCATAAAGTTTTAAACTTGGTTTTATACTACTATCAGTATAATTGTATCAGTATAATGTTTAACAGTTGATTTAAATTTTATAAATAATATTTATTTAGTAGTTATGTATAACATTTAATAAGTATTTTATTAATATCTCTAAAAACATTGAAGTTGACATAAATAAAATTAATTTAATTTATATTCATTAATTGTTATATTGTCAACTTTATGTTGAATTATAAATTATAATTATGCATTGATAATATTAATATATAATTAATAAAGATAAATATTCAAATGTATATTTGCTTTCTATATTTTTTAATAAAAAAAATTGTATAATAAATTTTTAATATTGATATTAGTAAATTATTATAATTTAATGCCACATGTGGTTGATTGTCACATTAACATTAATATAATTTGTATTGAAATATTGGATATTGAAATGGCAATTTGATTGATTGTCAATTGGTTTCAATATAATTATAATAACAATTATATGTAATACTATGATTTTGTAAAATCTAATACTTAATAACAGGTTTTAAATATTTGGCACTTAATAAGATCAACTATCAATAATTACTATACAGTTTACTGTACTTAATTACTGGTATAATGTATAACATATCTAATGATTAATAATTAAATACAAATATTAAATATATAATAACCAATAGTAAAATACTTTAAAATTATAATATAATTTTAATAACTCTAATGTTTATGTTCTTAGAGTTCATAAATAATTTCTTCAATTGTCTTTCCTTTGGTTTCGGGGACAGTCTTATAGATGATAATCCATAAGATTAATGTTAATACTGCAAAAACTGCGGCCACATATGACTCTAGATTTGTCTATAAATTTAATGTTAACAATATTAAGTATATTTAAAATTGTAAAACAATATATTTAATAAATACCTCAAATGATATAAAACTAATGGATATAATAAGTGGAACAATATATAGAGTGACCACTGATATGGTGGCGCCGATAGATCGACAATCAGTTCGGAACAGTTCAACAAAATAGAAGTTCGGTATAAAAGATGGACCACAAGAGTAAAGGATTATATATACAAAAAGTGTGATTATGTTTAAGTGATTCAAAACATCCAGACTTTCCCTTAAAGCGATACAAAACGATAGGAATATCAGTGCGCAGAACACACCTAACAATCCCATCAACAATAGAGTTCTTCGGCCGAGTCTTTCAACAAGAATTGCAAATATTAAAGATATCTTGAAACTGATGGTTAACAGTGCTATTGATATATAAGATTGACTTCTCTCGGAAAGAGACAGATCTTTATATACAGATTTGGCAAAAGACGGAACACTTGTTATACCCGTTAAGTGTTGACTCATTGATACTGTCATTGATATGAGTAATGCGTTTCTTAGTTTATAATCGTTAAGAAATGTCTGAAATTCAAGTCTTTGACTTCTTTGGATTAGTTGATACTCGACTTTCATTTCATATAACTCATCGTTTACTTCTGAATTTTCTCGTAACTTCTGAAGAGCCGTTTGACCCTTTGTATGATCGCCTCTTAAGATAAAGGAAAACTTTGGTGATTCAGGACATTCATTGATAATAAAAAGCATCAAAATTGATGGTATAATAACTGAGGAGAACATGTAAACCCAGTTTTCCAATTTGAATATTGTTATCACCGATTGACTGATCACTAGAGCGAGTCCAGTGCCCAACACATAGACAGATGAAAATATACCTCTTAAGCGAATAGGACTGACTTCTGATAGATAAATGGGTGCTAAACATGAATTGATCCCTATGTTTGCGCCCACAAGAATTTGGCCGATGATTATCATCTCATATGATCCGAAGCGATAACTGAATGATGTGAAGAATGCAGCAATAAATATGAAGATATTACTCCAAATAAGACCTTTTTTTCGACCAACTTTATCAGCCATATAACCACCAATGATAGCACCGGTTATTATCGATATTAAATAAGAGGTCGACCAAAGAGTCTTAAAATCTTTAAGACGTTCTTCGCTATGATCGTCGAGTTTGTATATCTTTTCCAAATCTTTTCCTGGATTTGACATTTGTTTCTCTTCAAGAATTCTGTAATGAATCACACGATTTGTGAATCGAAAGATTGATTCAAATGAAGACTCGCGAACTGATTGATTGATGCCATTGATGAAAGAGGACAACACAACTGATAATAAACATAGCATCAAATGTCTAGTGATTCCACAGCTGATCATGTCTTAAGACTTTGAATAATGTGCTCAAATGTTATGTCATTTTCATATACAGTAATTAATAGAAACTCTATGTTATGATTAGATATATTAATGATAGTTACTATTATATAAAAAAATGTTATATTTATTTGGCGTCACATTTTTGTTTAGTTATAAAAAATAAATTTTATTGTTTAGAAATTGATGTCATTTGAGGTAATCAAAGGAAGATGTCGTCCGACTGATTGTTCATTCAATTCCTGTGAATACAGTCTATGAGTCGGAAAACTACGCAAAATCTAACGACAAAACTGCTATTGATTTGTAAGAAAATAATAAAATTATATAATACTTATTTCTATATAAGCTTTAGTATACAATATGTACTGTATTTATTGTATAAATATATACAGTATTTACGGTACTTTCTATATATGACATATCGATCCATAAGTTTGTTTCTTAAATGTTACTTTAAAACTATATAACATTCATTGTATAATTGATTAAATATTTTACTTAATAATATAATTATTTTTACTGATATTCTAAATTTTTTTCAGACATTTTTAAAAATTATAATAAATAACTTTTGAATCTTTTTTGCATAATTGTGGTTTGATTTAGAATTTGTATTTAAATTAAAGTTTATGTTCATAGATAATGTTTACTATTTTTTAAATTAAAAATATATTTTATAGACCAATCAATAACGAAATATTTATAAGATAATTATAACCATAACCATAAAATGATATTTTTATAATGTTAATTTAAATTAAATTTCTTAAAAATGTTTTATAATAATTCAAAAATATCAAAAATTAGTAATACTGATAATGATGCAAATAAAATAAATGTTATAAAACTACTTATATTTAAAAAATATAATTTATTAATTTTAACCATACTATTTGCTAATTTTTATATAATATATTAATCTTATTAATTAAGAATTAAACCATAAAAATGTTTGTATTTAATAAATACAAAAATTAAAATAAAATTGTGGTTAAAATGTAATTTTAAAAATTAAAAAAAGTTTTTTAGTGATTTTTAGTTATTTCTATAACAGTTTTGAGTCAGTCTAACAATGCCGGCCCCACCAGTCAGTGCATTAAATGGCATTTCAAAAATAACTCCTCAATTGCTGAGTGATGTTCGCAACCAATTCTTAACGGACGTCAATAGCAACGGTAGTCTCTATTATGATGAAGATATTGAATGTATTAAATCAAATGATTGGCAAATACAACGATTTATTTTGGAAAACAAATATAATCAAGAGTTGGCTCTTAAGGGTCTTACAGCTGCTATGAGATGGAGAAAGTCTTTTGGAGTCAAAGAGATAAATGAAAACGATTTTCCTGAAGAATATTACAGAAGTGGTTCAATCATTACTTATGGAAGAGATAAAAATGATGCGAAGATTATTATAGTTAGGGCTAATATTCATAAGAAAGTCAACGAGTGGTCAGATATTATGAAAAAGTTTTTCATTTATCAGATCGAAAAAATTGATTTCTTTAATGATGGCAAAGGTTTGATAATTTTTTTGCTTAAATATACATTTATTGGTTAATTTGTTTATTTGATTTAGGAGTTACACTTATACTGGATTGTACTGCCATTGGCATTGGAAACTTGGACTTAGATTTACTACAATTTATTGTCACTTCATTTAGCTCTTATTATCCTAAACTGTTTGACGCCATACTTATCCATGAATTGCCATATCTATTGCAATATGTCTTCAAATTGGTTCAGTCGTGGCTTCCAGAAGACGATCAAAAATTTTTTCATTTGACACAAAAGAAAAATCTAAACAACTTTGTTAGTGACCAACAATTGCCTGATTTTATGAACGGCACTAATCCAGACTCGTATACCATTGTTCCGCAAAATGTAGTCAAAGCTATGGATTTAGTCTTAAGAATTGGTCTCAAAACAAAAGACGCCCAAAAACTTAAGCATTTAGAGAGTTATATGAAATGACGTATAAATTATGTCTAAAATTTATTATTAAATGATTTTTAATACTTTATTAGTTTATCTTTTATTATTGCATATCTTATAATAATATTATTGTTGTGTTTATTACATAAAGTATATTATTAATATTTTTCTAAATATTTTTTAAATAAATTAAATTAAAAAATTGCTTTTAAAAACATTTTAAAATCCATAGAAATAATTATATAAATTTATTCAATAAATGTAATAAATTTTTTTCTGAAAATATCAGTTGAACTTGAAGTGATGGCAATGATAACGCATGCGGTAATCATCTAAAAGGTTGCGTAAGTTTTGTGTTTTATTAGCTCTCACATCGTTTGCGATGGAAAGTAGGTTTTGGGTTTGTTTGCCAAACAAACACAACGATAACTATCATTGCTATAAAACAGACAATCATTCAAACAATCAAATCAATCATTTTGTTTCATTAAACACATGTGTTATTGTCTATCAATCATAATATTCAATGTATTATAGCTTTAAAAAATATTAATAATTGTTTTTTATAACTAACCTTCAATCTTCATATAATATATATATAACTGACATAATGTTTAAAAGCTATCAAATTTAGATTAAAATATTTAGTTATCTATTAATATCTTATAATGAGTTCAATTCAGAGTAAAGATGACATAGAAATCCGATTAATGGAGAAAAAACATATGAAAGAAGCACTCAATTGTTTTTCAGTGTTTGATCTTCAGGAAAGTCTGTCCACTTTAGAGGCATTTTATGAATGCGATTCAAAAGCCTTTTATGTTGCTATCAATCGAAAGGACAGTAAGTATTGATTTGCATATTATTTATAATTATATTTATTTAAAAAATTTTGATAAATTTATATTTATAAATAATATTCACTTTCGAACTAAAATTTCAATATTTTAGACTAATAAAGAATATTCTGTTATCATTTATATATAAATATAAATTATATATATATATATATATACATCATATATGTATATATCAACAAAATATTTATATAACATTCAAATAAAAATGAATGCATGAAATAGACTTCTATAGCAACAAAACATTTTGAAAATAATTTAAACTATTATATCTTTAGACATATTGTATACAGTGTATAGTATTTTTATATTTGAGATGATTTTTTTCGATTGTAAGTACAGTATACTGTAGTATAGGTAGTAATACACTAAAGGAGTAATATTTGAATGGTATTGAATGTGTATGAAATAAATTTATTATTATTTTTGATGCTATACTTTATATTGTATTAGTTTTACGGCTGAGCAGAAAGTGTTTGTATAAAAAATCGATTGATTATCAATTAGATATAATATATGATTTTCAAAAAGTTTATATAACGAGTATATAATTTTTATTTATTTATATAAAATAAAACTTATATTTTTATAATAAGTAAGATATACTTAAATTGTATATTTAAAACTAATAGATCGAGTTATAGGTGCTTGTGGTGCACCCGTCACAACACATAACTCAGGCTTTTTAGGACTTTATGTCGTCGACAGTGAGTTTCAAAATAGAGGAATTGGTAAACAATTGTTTGAATCATGTCTACAAAACATCGGAAACAGGAACTGTGGTTTACATGCCGTTCCCGAAAAACTTGAAATGTATCGAAATAAAGCTGGATTTCGGGTTAGTGAAGGTATATCAATGGTTGTATGCAGTGGTATACCCATGAATTGGCAGAGTCTAAGACAAAATGTCGATAAAGAAATTAAAATTGAAGTTTTCAATAGAGATAACAATGAATTGTTGCAAAAGATTATTGATTATGACTCGAGAGTACAAATGAATGGCAATCGCGAAAAACTAATTAATTTATGTCTTCATAACTCAGGTTATACCACATTTGTGGCCATTAATGATAATACAAAACAATTAAATGGTTTTGGATGTATTAGAATTGATTATGAAGGTAAAGGTATGATAGGACCTGTTTATGGTGATAATGAAATAATAGGTGAAGTATTGATTTACAATCTTTTAAAATCATGTCCCGTCACACAAACTAAAGGATTGTTATATATGACAATCTCTTCGTCAATGACTGGCATTGAAATCTCTAAGAAGTTAGAGTTGACTGAAACTGAAAGATGTGAGAGAGTGTTCACTAAACATGTTATTCCTGTTAATCATTCACTCATTTATTGTTTGTTTTCACCTAATTTTGGTCTTTAATCGACAAATATCTATATATTTTTCAATTCAATAACTTATACGCACACCATATATAAACTATATGTACAATTTGAATGTGAACAGGGTATTTATTGCATATTATTAAACTGTACTTGTTTAAACAATCAACTTGTATTGATTTTTTGTTACATAAATTATTATAAAATTATTTCTAATAATGATTATATGATACAAAAATACATTAAACAATCATTTTGTGATAAAACTTTAATTAAACAAAAACTACAATCATAATAAAAATCACATAAATAAATACGTAATTATCAAAATTAATGTAACAATAATTATATTATTGATTGTAATTTACAACATTACTACATATAATTATTGTAAAAAATCAAATTTGAAAACTTATTATATAAATATTTTTATTTAACTATGTATAAAATTATTTTTTTGTTTTGATAGCTATTAATAATAGCCTAGTATAATATACATACTTAAACGATAAAATAAAAAAATTATGTATTTGTAGAAATCAATAATATTTGAACTTAATTTTAATATAAGTAAATTACTAATAAATGAATCTAAAATACACTCATAATAAAGTACATTTTTGTTAAATTATTTATTTTAATTTAGTAATATCATATTGCTATTTAATTTTTTATATTTTTATATATAAAGTATATTAAGTTTATGTTATTATAATAATAATGTAAGAAAACATTTCATATGTTTATTAAGTTATGATTTTATTATAATTTAAARCTTTAATCTTAATTAATATGTTATTAATGTTAATTAATTGACATTTCAATCTAAAAAACAATTGTTTCAATAATTTGCATTAATCAATAAAAAGGTTGAAATTGTTAATATATTATAATATTCATAAAATGATAAACATTTTACTAATAAATTGTATAAAATTGTGATCATAATTAACTCATTKAGTACCTTATGTTTTAAGGAGACTTACAATAAGATCCTCAGAGCTCAAGCAGCTCTCAAGCTCTTACTATAAGCAACTCATGGGCTCAGTTGAGTCAGTCAGACCATAGCCGGGCTGACACAACTGATCATTTGATTGTAATGTTAAATGAGTTGCTGAGAGTGAGAGTACTTTATCATTGGATACTTTTATTATAAGTTTTGTTTAGTTTTAATTTTGTTTATTTGTTGTCACAGTTCTCATGAGTATCGGATCACTAGTTAGTAGTAATTTACATCAAATGTATATATGCTCTCTAAATACTAACTTTTTTCTAATAACAGTTTTAATTAAATCAATTTATAAAAACTTGATATTATTTTTTGAACAATTTGTTATTTATATTTATGTTTATATTAATATTATTTTTGCAAATCATAATTTATATACATTTTTAATAATAGAGTAGTAGTGGTATGTTTTAATTTGATCATGGTGACCTTATTTTTAAAGTATAAGTTATTCATTTTAGCATAAGTTTGTTGTAAATTTAATACAATAAATAAATTTATTTTGATCATTAGATTAAATAAATATTATTAATTTGATAATAATTAATAAATAAATTAGTATTAAATCTTAATAGCAGTGAATATAAATGTGATACAAAAAAGGTGATCATAAGTCACTCATAGAGTACCTTATGTTATAAGGAGTGACTTTTGAGAGTCACTCTCTTTTGTCTTATAATATGGTATTTTCACTCTTTCTGTTAGCTCTCAAACATTTTATACACAAATATATTAGCAATTTATGGCTCAGTTGTATTGTATATTATTTTAAGTTTAATTACATTACACTTAAGCATTAGTTGTTAAATATTATTGAATTTAAATTGTATTGAGGAGTAGTGTTACTGATTGAGGCAATTACCACATATTATAAGGTTTTATTAGGTTTTGTCAATTTTTGTTGGATTTTCTTGTTTTGTTTGTTTGTATTTATTGTCACTGTTCTCATGAGTGTCGGATCACCAGTAAAATCATAGTAAACACCAACTTATATATACCTCTCAAATATGAATTTTTCATATATAACAGCTTTTAATAAAAATCATTTAATGGTAACTCAATTTTAAAATATGATTATTATTTCATTTTAAATTAATGTTTATATTTACAATTTAGCAAATTGTAATTTGTATATAAAATAATTTTATTTTTATTTATTAAAATAAAATTATTGGTATATACTTTAAATAATTGAATATTATATTACTAAATATTACTAACTTTTATATGAAACACAAGTACTTAAAACAAGTTTATAATTTAAGCGACAAATTCTAGAACTAAATGTAAACCAAATGGTTATATATATGTCAAGGATAGCACATATGGTATTATAAACTTTATTATATAATAATTGAGAATTAGTTAAAAATAAAAAACAAACATAATTTTCGAAAATTATTTTTTAATATAAATTATTATATAATGACTTTTAATATAAAATTGCTGTAATGATATCATTTATATTTATATTTATATTTCAATATTAAACATTTATATGTTTGTAAAATAATTTATTTTATAAATGTTATGTATATTTATAATAACAGACAATTAGACAATTAATAATGTCATATAAAAGTTGTATAAAAAATGATATTAAGTTTCAAACATAAAATGTAAAATTCCCGGCAGTCTAGCTCTGGGTGTTTGTTGTGCTTCAGGAATGGCAACAGTTGTCGACTGGTGTTCATCAACTAAATGAGTGTCACAATCAGCTCCGGTATTATTTACCGGTTGACTATTTTGATGACTTAAGCCATTTGTTTGAATACCATTTTTATAATCTTTTGTCTTGACATTAGTCGTGTACTTCTTTTTACGACTAAATGGTTTGGCTGTGAATGTAATGAATGCAAAGATAGCGACAATCACTGAGACAACACTAACTCCTAAATATAAACTAATTAGTCCTCCGATGTATATCTGTTTACAATATTATTAATTATAATATATGGCATGAATTAATGTAATTATAGAAACTGACCGCCAGTTCCACGGTTTCATATTTGGGTTGATGTACTAAAGTCATGTCGACTGACTTCGGAGGAAGAATACCAATAGTGATCCAATCATTTTGTTCGTAATCGTCTTCATCCCTTTCCATTATTCGCAATGCCTTCACTTCATAAAATATATTATAACAGTCTTCAAAGTCACCGCACTTTTTCCTGCATAACTCATCCACTGAAAGACCTTCTTCGAGATGACCCGAAGGACTCTTCTTATTAATCCAAAGATTAGAGAAAGTATATGTAATATTATTGGTGGCAAAGATATCTCCCGGCCATCCATCAGCTCTGGTATATTCAGTGACTTTGCAATCAGCTAAACAGTGATCTCGTGATGTAAACCCTTCGAGACTATAATTCTTGCATTGAGTTGCATACGGATGCGGTAGTAGTGATGTTGTCTGACGAGTGAAACTAATTCCCACAAATTGCTCGGTATTTGGATTTATTTGCATTACATTATTGCCGACAGAATATTGATGTAATTCTTAATTATTAAATAATTTAATGGCATTTTATTTGTCAAATAAAAACTTAATTACCTTTTGGTGAATGAATAAAAATTAGACCATTTAGTATGTAATCCCTATTAAGTCTAATCCAAGCTAAATATTTGAGATTAGCGGCCATATCTCTCTTTATTTTATATTTATTTTGATCATAATTTTCCACATTATTATAGAAAAGTGTATAACATTTGGTATCATAAGAGATGGTTTCGACTATCTTTGAAATAGCACTGCAATTGATTTTTGTGTTGCTATAAGTAAACCCCTTTTGATAACCTACAGGTGTTGGCACTTCACACTTGTCAAAGAAGTTGTTAGCATTTATTGTGTACTGATGTTGTAAATGAATGGGTAATGTCCTCAATGGCTCTTCTAATAGTTGACGGAATGCCTTCTTTCTCAACAAATACGATACCTGTCTTTGACTTTTACCTGTAAAATGTGATAATTAATATAAATGTTGACTGATATGATAAATTTATGCCATACCATGAAGTACTGAATAAAGTGTAGGCTGTATTTCAACAATTTTTTCCGGTAATATCGTGGTTGAAATTTCCGTGCAAATGGTAATACCAGGTAAATGGACATTCAATGACTTACTGACTCTTAAGTCAATTGTTGTGGGATATGATAGATATAGTATACCGACGATATAGATCTGATACGAGCATATTGTAAGACAAGCCACTGATATAATAACTTTTAATAATATGCGAAAGTTTTTTCTACAACCCATTGAATAATTAACACCAAGTTTTTAATAATTATGTTTATTATAATAATTTAATAACTTGTTATAATTTGAATTAAAATACTATTTTTATTTAATAAATAAGTAGTTTTAGTTTCAGCCATTATTTAAGTCATAATGTTTGCCATGGAATTGATATTAAATATGTGTTTGTATTATCGCAACATCTTTGATAAGCTATGACTTAAATTAGATGATTAAAAATATTATAATTAATATTACTTTTGTTATCCAAACAACAATTATTTGTACTCTGTATAGGAATGTCTTATCTTTGGTTAGTTATTATAAGTGATAACTTAATAACAAATACAATAATAAGTTATAGTAAAGTTTTACATTATTTTTAGTTACATTATGTACATGTTCAAGATTATTGCATAATATTTGTTGCAATTATACAACAATTATATATATAAATATTTTTTAAGTCAAATACTTTATAAAATAATAAATAAATAAAAGTAGAAACTAAGCTTAAATATAAACATTTTGAATTAATAATAAAATGTACAAACATAGAGTATGAGTAATTGTTTATTATAATGTAATAAAAAGTTAATTAAAGGCTTAAATATTAATGACCTAATACTGAGAAAAGTGAATCAAATAAAAACAATTTTTTTTATTAAATTTACGAATTGATTGATTATAATTAATTAATTAATATTTTTTTATGTTTAAAAATTAATATTTGATTTAAAAAAACTTGTTATGTTTAATCATAATTAAGTTAATAAAAACCTAATACTATATTTACATACATACATAAAATTTCATTTGATTTACGTTTTTTATTACTTGTTCTTAAAATATTATGAATATTAATTAATTATAATTTAGTATAAATAGATAATTAGGTTTAAAAGTTAATACAGTAATAATTAATATATTAACTATTTATGTATAAAATGCTTAAAAGTTTAAACTATATAATTTTGAGTTATAAACTGCTAATCAATCAATGAATATAACCTATTTTTCTAAGGAAAAGTATACTAAGAAAGTAATTATAGCCCAATCGCACCGGTATTTGTAGAATTGATTGGGAAAAGTGAGTGATTGGGAAAAGTTTAGAGCAATAAAAACCGATCGCCTGTTCCCACAACTTCTCAATGAATGCCAATATATTGAGTTTTGCATTATTACTCAAATTTAAACGACTATATAGTTTATACATAGTTTTGAGTGGTTTGTGAGCTTTTGAAGTGATGGATACACATAATAGGTTTAAAGTGAAAACAGTAGAAATAGGCAATGAATATAATAAATGTCTAAATTTTGGTAAAATCTGGTGAATTCGATGTATGGGATATACTGTATAAATCAATATAATAAGTGCCAGTTTCGACAATATATACACAAAATTAGAATATAATAGTTTAACGATTTTTTTAGTTGTTTTGCAGAGAGAGAGAGAGAGAGAGAGAGAGAGAGAGAGAGAGAGAGAGTTGTGATGAGCTAACAATTGGATAAAAACCTGTAAATTATATTCTTGGTATTCATACAATCGGTAATCGAGTCATTGATTTGTTTGAATTGATATTTCAGATGAAGAAGCGTTAGATAAATTAGTTTAAATATAGTAAAGACAATAACATTAAATTCAAATGTGAAGATCATTGTCATGGATGTCCAAAACAGTACGTTTGCTATTGAATAGAAAGGTTGGGTCAGGTTATCCATAAAAGGAGAGCAACAAAATAGAAAGGAGGCCTCAAATCATAGAGAATAAATCAATTGAGACTGAATTTCATATAAATAGTGAATCGCATATAATTTGGATTTGTCGTCAAGAACTTGAGTTAGTCCACCAATTGATACATTAGTTTTGATAACACCGGAACATATCATACATGATATCAGCCTTTGATTACCCAATACATGGTTGGCATCGCATAAAACTCTTAAAACGGTTTTTGTATTGTATTGTATAATCTAATTATATAATTAATACTGAAATCACTCTTTTTATGCCAAATCTAATTAGGTATCATTAATTATTATTAAAAATAGCAATATTCATCATAAATAAAATAATAAAAAATAATGAAATAATTAAAAATTTTGATTAACTTGTGTATCTTAATAATTTAATAAAAATATTTGCTTAAAACAAGTATAATAATAAAAGTGCTACTCTTTTTCTACCGAAAAAATTTGTCGGTTTGGTTTAAAATCAAAGTTTGTGTTATTATTTGGATTTAAATTGTATGCAAATTGTTGAGGCATTGACTTTCCTATCATTTGTCCTCTAAATCTATCAAATTGTTGAATTTGATTGGATTGTTGTATATTTGGCAAAATTGGTTTATTTTGTTGAAGTCGTGGTGTAATCCAATTGGTTTGTTTCTGCTCCTGTATCTGCATCTGTCTCTGTTTCTGCTCTTGTATCTGCATCTGTCTCTTCGCCTGCATCTGAATCTGCAATTGTCTTTGTCTCTGTTCCTGTATTTGTCTCTGCGCCTGCATCTGAATCTGCTCCTGTATCTGCCTCTGTCTTTGCCTTTGCTCCTGTATCTGCATCTGCATCTGTCTCTGTCTTTGCCTCTGCTCCTGTATCTGCATCTGTCTTTGTCTTTGCCTCTGCTCCTGTATCTGCATCTGTCTTTGTCTTTGTCTTTGCCTCTGCTCCTGTATCTGCATCTGTATCTGTCTTTGTCTCTGCATCTGTATCTGTCTTTGTCTCTGCTCCTGTATCTGTATGTGTTTCAGATATTGCAATTGTTGTTGAATTTGATCATTTTTCAGCAATGGATTATTATAGCCAATGACTTGTTGGTACGACAGTTGCGGTGATCTAATCAGATTTGGTCTAATTGTGGTACGAATTCGTGAATTTATATCAATAACACCATTTGTTGGCAAACTATTAAATCTCTTCGTAAGACCCAATTGTCTATCGTTTAATATAAATGTTTTTAAGTTAGGATTTCTATTATTTGGTAATTGAGACAATGTTTGTATTTCATTATAAGTCCGAGGCATTGGATATTGTCTACTATTACCTAAAACTTGATTTAGTTTATAATTTTTGTTAATTGGCATTATTTGATCACTATTTTGCCAAAAATTGACATAATTTGGTACAAATTGCTGAACGTTTGAATTAATTTGTCTCATATTAGGACCCATTTGTGGCAAATAATTTAATGTTTCGGCAGAATTTGGTGACATCAGCACTGAATTTCTTTGCTTATATAGCCAGAGATTGTTTGGTTGTATAAAATTAAATTTAGGAATACCCTGATTATAGTTAGACTCATCGGTTTCATAATGTAATTCACTAATACCCTGATTATAGTTAGACTCATCATTTTGATAATGTAATTCATTAATACCCTGATTATAGTTAGACTCATCATTTTGATAATGTAATTCATTAATACCCTGATTATAGATAGACTCATCAGTTTGGTAATGTAATTCATTTCTTTTAATTTCGTTATTTAATTGATTGTTTAGAACAAAACTATTGAAAGGACTATTACCAGGATTTTTATAAAATACTTGTAAATTAGGTCTATTAGTAGTCTTTAAAATATTATTTTTAAATAATAATTGATTGGTAAGAGGTTGTGGTATAGTTGGTAATTGTTGGATACTATTTGTTTGACTCAAAATAGTATTATCAGTATATTTGACTGAATTGATTGGTTTTAATATATTATTTATCGGCAATTGAATGATTTGTTTTGAAGACGGTTTTGTAGAATTCATTACTATTATTGACGGTATGTTTTCATTAATAGTATTAATTAAATTATTATCAAATAAATTCATGTGTTGTATATTATTTGCAAATTGTTTGACAGCATTCAAATAGTTTTTATCGTTAGATAGTTTTACTAATCTTCTTAATATTTGATGGATATTTACATGACTGCAGAGGTCGTCATTACTATCATTATGTTTTTGGGACAGAGATTCTGAATGGTTCAAGTGATCCACTTCTGCATCATTTAGTTCACTCTCATCATAACTATTAAAAGGCGTCGTTAAAACTAATTCAATTGGTATAGTAGTAGTAGTAGTAGTAGTAGTAGTAGTAGTAGTAGTAGTAGTAGTAGTAGTAGTTGTTGTTGTTGTTGTTATAGTAGTATATGGAGTAGTAGTAATCTCCATATTATCAGATAGAGTAGTAATATATGGCGTTGTTGTCGATGGGATAGTAGTGAATAGGGTAGTAGTCATAGTAGTAGATTGACTAGTAGTAAATGGGGTAGTTGTAGTAGGGATAGTAGTTGATCGACTAGTAGTAGATGGGATAGTAGTAGAAGATAGAGTAGTTGATTGACTAGTAGTTGATGGGATAGTAGTAGAAGATAGAGTAGTTGATTGACTAGTAGTTGATGGGATAGTAGTAGAAGATAGAGTAGTTGATTGACTAGTAGTTGATGGGATAGTAGTAAATGGAGTAGAAGTAGATTTACTAGTAGTAGATAGGGTACCAGTAGTTGCGGTAGTAGTTGTAGTATTAGTAGTTGGAGTTATAGTAGTAGTAGTAGTTGTTATCGGAGTAGTTGGTATTGTATTGGAAATGGTATTATACAATTGATAACTATCTTTGACAAAATTGTATGGTTTCGTGTTTGTCGTGTCACTCAATTCGAGACTTATTTTAGCTATATGTTCGTCAGCACCGGTATTATTAGGTATTTGCAACAAAAAATCCTTATCATTAAATTGATTGATTGAATTGATTTTAGTTTTATTTGAATCAATATTTGTAGAGATTTCATAATTTTCTGTCTGTGGCTCAAAACTTGACATTTCTTTGTTATCATTGTTTTTTATAACAAAATTTGGCATTTTATCTAATAAAACAATTTAATGAAAAATATATATATAAGGGTTAATCAAGGTTTTAGATTTTAAGGGAGTCTAGAAGGTCAAATTCCAAAATCTTGATCTTGATCATTTGACCCCCTACCCCTTTCTTAACCCTGATATATATATATATATATATACATATTTACTGTATATAATTATAAATTAAATAAATATTTTTAAACCTAATGAATCCAAATTTCCAAATTGATGATCCTATAATTACATTATTTTTTATTACAATCTTAATTTGAATTATATTACAAGTAAGTAAAAAATAATATAATTTCTAAATATCTTTAGAGACATACATTAAAATTAGCGGTATTTTGTTTATTAGTATAAAGTGGTTGTAAAGGTATTGATATATCTTTGTCGTCGTCATTATTAAACTCCGGGTACTTTGGTATGGGTGTAGTGTTGACAGTATCTGTCAAATAACTCTATAAGAATTATTAATAATTAGTTAAATAATTAACAATTTAAATAAATTATTTTTTAAAAATTACATCAGTAATTATTTGCGATTGAATTGCTTGAATAAATAAATACACAATAATATAAGTTATCATTTTATTTAAATTACACATTTTGTAGACATGTTTAAGTATTAAAACAACTAATTTAAAAACATATGGTTTTATTATAATTTTACGTTAATTATAAATGTAATAAAATTTAAAATCTTATATAAATGGTTATTTGTTATGTACTAATAACAATATTTAAAATGAATATTTTTGTTTTATTTATTAATGAAAAATTTTAATAGTCTACTTATAAGTATTATATTAAAACTAAGGTATATAAGTTGACTAAATTAAACAAAAACAAATAAATATTATAAACAAAATATTTTAAATAATAAAATGAATGAAAATGTAAGAATAATAATATATATCAAAATTACTTTATATAATATAAGTTAAAATATGATATTTATATGTCATTAATACCAATGATTGGATAATTATGTTGTTTATCGTAAGTATTATTAAATACCAGTCCTGAGAAATATAACATCAATTCGTGACATATTTGGGTGCAATAGTTATATGTGTTATAGGCATTGAATAAAATACTTGCGCTCATAATAAGGTAACTGGACTTGAAAGTGGCCATCTGTGAAATAACTGCGCTCCACATACGGAAAGTCATCAAATTTTTCAAAATAAGACTTAACTTTAACTTCAATCGATGGATACGATGTCAAGTAAAAGTTTGAGTAATCATAATCATCGCTATTGTTGTCACTATTTGATTGAACGTCATTGAAATCTATTTGTTCTGATGATTGACTTTTCGGTAGAATCATTGGCCACATATTGGTTTCGGACAACGCTATCGGAGGAGATTTGATAGCATAAATGCCAGGCATTCGTTTGACAACATGTAATGGTTCGGGAAAGTCATGGCCACCAGTAGTCATATCTCGTGACATTTCATAGTAGTATTGATGCCAACAAAACGATATCATTCGGGCCAATGATTTTCGTATGAAATTTTCGTGCAAATATACGGGTAATTGCATTGTGTTGTCCTCAATGGTCGTCGAAACCATTTTGACAAATACTACTGAATAATAATTATAATACAAGCCATCAATGAATATACAATTCCAATCGCATTCATCATTAAATGTCTTTTTTAATGATTGCAAATAATCGATGGCATCGGATGACCAATATTTGCCATTTAACGGCGCAATTCCACTCAATGACACTTTAATGGCCAGAACGGGGTATAAAAGCATCGATTCCTTAAGCAGACGTAACTCACTTCTACTTTCGACAATAATATTACCGAAATCAATGGCGTATAGCGTAATGACATCTTCATTGATATAACGAATTACCGCCCGATGCCAAACATCCCAATCCATTGGATTCTTAACGGCCACCAAATAGCCGATAACTAACAGCTCTTTAGGCACAAAATATTGACAATTATTTGATTCATAGCAACGCATAGATCGCCGCAAATCAATATAAGACTGTTTATTATTTTTCAGATGTATATAAAACTCAGACGGCGATGAAATGTATGTTATTTTAGCTATTATTGGATTAGATTAGACACTAACACCTCATCGACAATCATTGTTGACAACAACTCACCAGAAAAACAATAAAGATTTTCTACGTCTTTGATGGCCATAATAGGTTCCGTACAGATGGACCAATTGATTGTCACCTGTGATCCTACATCTTGTGCCACAACTGGCTCAACCACTGTCTCTAACGACTCTAATTTGGACAAACATTTCAAATCATTAATCCATTTGTCGTAAGCTTTTTCATCAAACAGAAGACGATCTGTTTGGTAGCCATTGTGTTGGACTTCGGTCACAGACAACGAATACATCGACTTCTTGTCCAAAGAGCGACACAATTCGTACATTGATTTGCAGTCAAAGTCATTGGGAGTCACATACTGTCCATACATGTGATGATACTCGAGATTAATGTCCAATAGATCCATACCTTGTGGTTGATATCTGTCCTGTCGTACCAAAGCTATCAATCGACAGATAAGTCTTAACTCTTTGTTGTCAACCATTGTTTGTATGAATCACTGACTCATCAGTTGAATGCATAATACAGTAACAAAACAATGCATTCATTGATTCAAATGTCAAACGCTATACAATTCAATGACAAATCTATTGTCAACACTCATTCAAGTGTTGTTAATGTATTTACTTTAGTATTGTTTACAAATATATTTGTTATTGAAGTGTTGTTACTGTAATACATGTACTGTATATACATTGGTTGTCAGTGAATGTGAAAAACATCTGTTAATAACTAATAAAAAGTTTGTATTTATTTAATAATGATTTATATTATTGTATTAATTGATTAAATACTAAATTATTAAACAAGTAATGTATTTATTGAGGACATCGATGACATTAATAACTATATGTTTTGTCAAATTGATCCTTAATTGTGTTGAATGCAATGCCAATGTAAGTGTTATATCATATTTCATCAATTGGTTAATCATTTAATTGATGGTTAATATAGAGTGTGATGTCTCAGCTTCAGAGCCAAACACAACAACTCTTTATAAGGGTATGTCTCAAGTGATGATTAATTATCAAATAAAAACTTAACAAATCTTAAGACTATTTAGTCGGCCAAACCAAGTCTCGTATCACAGGATCAGTTGCAAAAGCAGACAATCAATATTGCTAACCGTTTACAGAGAAGAAATGGTGACTCTCAAGACGATACTATAGAAGATCTCAAGTACACCAATCAACAACTTTTCAAACGATTAAGCGGTAGTCATGTGTCCGATGAAGCAACCGATACAACAACCGATACAACAACCGATATAATAACCGATACAACAACCGATACAACAACCGATATAACAACCGATATAACAACCGATACAACAACCGATATAACAACCGATACAACAACCGATATAACAACCGATACAACAACCGATATAACAACCGAAGAGTCCGATAATCTGATTGAAGTAAATGATTCAAAAAATGAAGAGTCAGATAAAACAACTGTTAGATCTAAATCAAAATCTGGTCTCTTAGGGGAAAAAATTCCGTTTCTTGGTTTAAATATTCCCCGATTAAACTTATTTGGATTTTAATTAGCATATAATAAATACAATAACATTTACATCAATTTTAGTTTCAATTTTATACAAATCATTATACAAATAATTATAACACAGTATATTGATTTATACAATACGTATATACAATTATATTGATATATACAATACGTATATACAATTATATTGATATATACAATACGTATATACAATTATATTGATATAATCATAATGTATAATATTAACATAACTATTACCGAAATAAACTATTGTAAAATTGAAATAAACAATAACTTAAATGTATAATGAATATGAAACTATAATCAAAACTTACTAAATAATTGACGTACAGTACTATAACATATTGATTACATTAAAGTATTAGTCAATGAATGTGTAAAACCATAGGAATTTGCGTGAAATTTCTTCTCATTGTAATTGATTAGTTTTTCGTGTAATTTTTGCCACTAATGAAATTTGTTGAACCGTTTGTAATGTTAACACATTTAAAATATGCCATTTCATTGATTGGACAACAATTACAAAAGTCGGTAACTTTCAATTTAATGATCGTTCGCAAACTGGTTATAGTATTAATTATTATTATTATATCATTTATTTAATTAAAAAATATTTTTACAATCATTGCTAAAGGGTTAGCAATCTTAATATAAGTAAACAAAGCGCGTAAAACAAGTTTCTCAAAATATTTAAATCTGTTATCAAAAATGTTAAATATATAAAGTATCGAAAACTGGTACATATCATAGTAATAAACCTCAAACCCTTACATTTATTGCCTGTGTGTCCAATAAATATAATATTTGTTTATATTGTATAACAATAGTTCATTTTTAAATTTTTTTATAGATATTAAATAGAAAAAAGTACATAGAAAAGTTAAATTATATTAAATATGATGAAAAACGGTGCTTACAAGATAGATCGGCTCCTTAATTTTATTAAAATAACATGATGGTACTAAATTAATTTACCTGTAACATATTTTATTAGTTATATGATATAACTTATATTTATTATAATAGGTTATTGTTATATTTTAATATATAAGGAAAAATCTTTACAATTAATGTTTTATTTGAAAATCAGTTCAAAAGCATCGCTGAACATATGGTTGTCTGTTTGTCGAGTAAATAGTCTGCTCTTTAACGACATCACCAGTTTTGGATGCATTGATGAATGTATTAGAATCGGATACTATACCCACGTTATAGGGAGGGTTACCATAAAATATAAGATCACCCAATTGTTTTGATCCATATGCTACACGTTTGCATTTGATATCAGTATATTGTGTGGCAACGGTACGAGCGATGATTTTGCCGGTGCCCTTATAGACAGCATACTGAGTTAGTCCGGAACAATCGAAGCCTATAGTGTGTGCACCGATACCTGTACCGGTTGACTTTCCTTTCCAACTGCCACCTCCCCATGAATAGGGAACACCATATTGGGAACGGGCAGCTGATACTATTTCAGGACCACCAGCACTACAATTGTCTAATAAAAAACAATTATTAATTAATAATTAATTACAATATTAAAAAATAAATATATTTAATATACACTTCACACCAATAGTAATATATAAACTAAATGTTATAACAAATAACAATAGATTTATGCATTTTTCTTCTATTATTACGGTATTATTATTATTATATTATTATCAAATAAAAAGTAAATAATTATTAAATTTAGATTTGTTAAACTTTAGGTACTATTTATACCAAAGCAAATGCAATATTAACTAATTTAATATTTCATTTTACAGTAATAGTATTACAATCATAAATAAATATTTATTAAAATTGAATTATTTCATAAATAAGATTTTTCTTACTTATTAGTAAATAACAATTGCTAAATAATATGATAACAATGTTTATAAAATATAAAAAACAGGATTTATGATAAAAAAAAGTTACTAATGTTACCAATAAATCTGTTCACAAATTTGTCAGTTGTTTACATAAATATTTATATTATATTATTTTAATTTTAATTATATTTAAATTTATATTGTGTTTAAAAAATGTTTTTTAATTTATTTTGTATCAATATAAATTATCAAATAAAACTAGCAATAGCATAATAATGATAAAATGTGCTTATTTAATTTATCAATTATTAACATTAGAGATGCATGCAATACATATTTTTCATTTCAAATATTACCGATATATTAACAAATGATAATAATTGAATACTCAATAATTATCAGAAAATTGGACTTTAATTTTTTGTTTATAAAGAAATTATCATATAAATAATTTTTTATATTTACAAATAAATCTTAATTATAAATTATGTTTTTAGTGACACACACACACACACACAAAGAAATTTTATAAATTTTATATTACAGTGTGATATGAATATGTAATTATGCTAATTATTTAAATAACAATTTGAGTTGTCTTTATAAATTATAAAATTATTATATTAAAATTATAATTAGAATTTTATCGCTGTCTTTGTATTTTTGATGTGTTTTAGTTAGCCTACAGTTGACTTAAAACAATATATTAGAAAATAAATTTCAACAATAACATTTAGAAAATATAAACTATAATAAAGTATAATAATAATATAATAATAATTTATATTAATGATAACTATTTAATGTAGATATTATTTTATTTATTTGATGTGATTGTAAATTAAGAATAGTATATAAAATCAACTGAAGTCCCAACAAATTGATTTATATTTTAACAATAAGTCTTAATTTTGTTTTACAATACATTATTTTATGATATTAGTAGTACATTATAGTAGTACAGTATTAAATTTTATGCATTCAATAAAATAAATTATTTAACTTTTTAAACGTATTTAATAATGGTTTCGTTAGAAAAAGTGAAAACTTAAGATAAATGACAAAAATGAATAAAATAAATAATTTATAAATATAAACATCTATTGTATAAATATACAAAAATAATACAATTAAACAATTATAATATGATTTAAATTGGTTGAGTTACTCAATGCAATCACATTTAAACTGTTAGTCGATGAACGCAAAGATTGCGGATATGTCTTGAGCTGATCCACGTCATGAAAATCTTTTGCTGAATGCTTTGAACAACATATCATTGAGTTGTATATCTTCTCGAAGAACTCTGGTTTTTCTGTTTGCCATTTGACTATAGCAAGTGCTACGACACACGTCGATATAATGACAGCACCGGTAACTGATGTCCACTCAATAGGTTCGGCTAATATGGTGGCCTCCCATATAAATGAGAGTACAATATTGAAAGTTCTGGCAACAGAAACAGGTCCAGCGCTTTCATATTGTAACGATTTTGTTAAAAAGTATTGGTCGCCAATACCCAAAAATCCAATAGCTATGAGTAGTGTCCACGACCACAGATTGGTTGGTACAACAAATTGATTAAGTATTACCAGTCCTATTGATCCGCATATTATAATTGAAAACGCAAACCAAAAGACAACGACAGCCGCTGGAGTTGTCTTCAACTTTCTTAAATTAATTATAGCAAAGGCAGCGCTAACTGAGGCCAATACAGACAGACCTATCCCTTCGAGTCGATACATATGTATCACTTGAGACTCAGATCCAAACAGAAACTGAGGTTTTGATATTATTGTGACTCCAATTAAAGTCAAAACTCCAGTTATCACTTGAAGTATAGATACTTTTTCTTTAAGTATAAAATATGCGAATACAGTGACGAAGACTGGCGATGAAAAATGAATGGTTGAGGCGTCTGAAAAAGGCATCATTCGGTACGCCATAAATATAGATGAAAGGGCTACTGTTCCCGATAGAGATCGTAATACCAGATCTATACGGTGTCCATACACACCAAATAATGGATATTTTTTTATTGCAATGCATGTACCGTAAAATACCAATTGAAATATTGATCTGTTATTAAAATAAAAACAAATATTTAAGATTTAAGTAAATTAAGTAATAAAATCAATTTAAAAAACAAACCTAAAGACTAGTATTTGTATTGAATGAAGATTTGTAAGTATTTTGACAATTAATGAGCTAAGAGACCAACAAATAACTGATAGTACGGCACATATCAGACCATAAGCTGGAATCCGATCCGTCAATGAGTTATTAGTTTTAATTGGTGTTTCTTTTAGTGGACTTTTAAGCAATTTATGGGCAATAGTTATCACAGAATTTTTGTCCACTTTGTTGCTATTGTTGACCACAGTCGGCAATATTTGAGATACAATTTTTGAATTTAATAATGGCATAATTTATCAATTTTACTAATTTATTAGTATAGAAATACTTTTAAAAATATTTTATCACATTACTATGTAAAGTATAAATTAAAAAAAAATATTGATATATAATAATAATTAAACTTGACAATAATTTATAAAATAAATAATTATAATCACATTGAAAGTTGAGAAGTAATTTGAAAGTTTGAGAGTTAAAAACCAATTTATATACAAAATAGATATTTGAAAAAAAGTTTTGAATCAAAATAAAACTTGTTTTCCAAAGCAGTGACGGAACACACGTTTACGATAAACATTATTATTGCATCACTGAATCTTTTATCATGAAATCAAAATATTTATTGAAAATAATTTGATATTTAAATGCATTAATACTAATTTTATTTTTTTTAACTGACACCTTATCAGTGAAAACAAATATAAAATATATTTAGATTAAGATAGTTTTTCAACAATTATTGATAACATCCTATTATTTAATGTATGCCTTTAACTAAATCTCACGTTATATTTTAGACCAATTTATATATAATTATATTTTCTTGAATTTCAAGGTATTATTTTAAAGAGTGTTACACTTCAAGGTATTATACTTTCCATACATTTCTAGTACTTTCTGCAATAGTATATGAAAATCTGGAATTCATATATCAATTTAATAAAAATAACATATTATTTATGTATTTATATTTAAGTAATTTTTTAATTAACATAATTTCGTTAATTAGCATTATATTTTTTAATTTATAATAAAAATAAATCACTACTTTAATATAAATTTAAATAAATAAATTTTTACCAAAACTTGATTGCAAGCAAAATAATGTTATTTAATTTAATTCAATTTATTTAAAGAGTTAAGTTTCACCATTAAATTACATAAACTCTATAAGACTGACTATTAATTTCATAAATAGCCAGTTGAGAATGCTAGAAAGCATTTCCATACGAACTCCTAATTCAAATTAAATATTAACTTAAAATTTACTTTTTATAAATTGCGATATCAGATGACACGGTATTACAGAATAAACTCAACTTTAGTCATATATAGGGTATTAAATAACTTAAAGAAATTATTATACTTTGTTTTAACTTAAATTTAAAAAGTATTAATTGAATCTCCATTTTATGAAGATATAAAACTTTGTATCCGAATTCCTTATATATTCCAAATATTTGATGATTTATTCATTTCTAAACTTTAAATTTAAAATTTATTGTACTTTGGCCGCCATTTTATCTGTTCATAAAGATATAAAAATATTTATACTAATCCCCAATACCTTATTTTTTCGTTATATAGTTAGTCAAAATATTTTGGTATCACTTATTAATAAAAGGAAAACTGTTAAAAGTCATTACAATGTTTATACAAAAATAGTATAAATTTTACAATATTTAGAATATACAGAACTATTAATAATTATTTTAATATTAATGCAATTCATTGACAATTAATAGAAATGATAAATAATTTGATAGCCTATTGTTATATTTTTATTAAGCATATAATACAACACATATTTGATATATTCTCATATTTCAAGACATTATTGAAATGCTATAGTCTATAGACATAAGACATCTGAGATATTTTATATTATTTTAAGTAAATGTTTATATTATAAAAATACTTTAAACAATTATAATATGAATTGTAATATAATTAAACTAAACTAAGTTTTAATATAAAAACAAATGTTGAAAAAATACAGTGAAATATCGATATGTGAATGTGAATCACTTATTGAGACAAAATGTATAGATAAAGTTAAACCATTGATAACTATAAAAACTATAAGACATGTAAAGCACTTAAAAAGGATTAATTTTTTGTAAGTAATTCTCTTTAAAACATTATTTATTTATTTTTCTTTGAAAATCCTTAAAAATATAAAGTTTAACTTTAAACTTAAACCTTATTTTTAATAATAATAATAGTTTTAGACATATAAATAATATTAGAATTTAAAATTAACATAAAATATTTATAAAAACTGTAATGATTTAATATATATATAATAAAATAGTACTTTATTTTTATAAATTAAAAATATATTTTTAAAATTTCAATAAGTTTTTACTTTGTTATTAATGATTAAATATAATTTTTGTAGCCATAGCCCATAATATGGACCCCATAAATTATAAAAAATTTGTTTTTGTTATATTTTTGTAAACACAATTGTAATATTATAATTATTTAAGTGTGAATTTTACGAATAACATAAATATATAAAAATTTAAATATAAATTGACATTAAAAATAAATATTGATTCAAATTAAATCGTTAAACAAAATGTTGCAGACCATTATTATTTTATTATTTTTATTTCATTAATAAAACAACCGGAAACTAATTAAATGTTTACATAATTTTATAAAGTATTTGTTTGTATATAAAAATACTATCATTAATGAGAAAAACATTGATATTAAATGACATGTTTTTGAGATATAGAAACCTATCATTAAAGGCTTACGTAAGATAATTATCGTTTAATATGATAACAATTTTAATGACGTCACTTTATAAACCACTTTAAAGTGAATTATTTTGTATTATTTTAATGACAGACAAACTCTCTCTCTCTCTCTCTCTCTCTCTCTCTCTCTCTCTCTCTCTCTTTCTCTAAAAATATCAGTAAATAAAATTGTTGTTGATTTTTATCTTATATGAAATTAATGAAAATAATTAAATGCCAAACATTATAATAATTTACTAATTAAATTAAATAATTGACCAAATTACTAAAATTGATTATTATAACATGAAAACCATATGAAAATATTAATTATTTGATTAGATTTATTATTAGGCTTACAAARTATTTATTTAATATATTAAAGAATAATATAGTATTTTAAATTGCATCTCATATTATATACCAGTTGTAATCTAATTTTATATTACACATTATTTTCTATTATATGGTATCAATTATACCGTATCATATTTATAATTTTTTAATTATACTCTTTATTGTAATTTAAATAGTTACAAATAGGACAACTAATTTGATTAAGAAATTAAAAACGCAAAAATAACTTTATAGTAAAATTTCATTCATAATGTTGTTTTACTAGATTTAAATTTATTTAAATACTTAATATATTAACCAATTTTATAATTTAAGTTTACTTTTCCATTTACTTCTCTCTCTCTCTCTCTCTCTCTCTCTCTCTCTCACACACACACACACACACACACACATATATATATATATATATATATATATATATATATAAACAAGCCTAATTATTTTTATAATATGATAAACTTAAAATTTTTATTGTAGTCATATTATACAAGGATAGTACATAATATGATAAGTACTGTATATACCAGAATTTATCTATTTAATTATAAGCATCTACATTTATTTATACTGTATGTGTATGATTAAGATAAAAAAATATTTATTTTTTAAAATATCTAGTTGATCAAATTTTATGTTGTATTACATTAGTTTAAGATACTCAAAATTATATTGTTTAATAAATTATAGCTAAAAACAAAACATAACTTATATGTGTTAAGCTATATTATCATAAGTGTTTTAATATTTTTATATGAAATATATTAATAAAATGATATAAAATTATTTTCAAAATATAACGAATTTTTTTGTGGTGTAAAGTTATTACACTGTAAACTTTTGGAAAAATCTAATTATTTTTTAAATTAACATTTTTGATAAAACATAAATATGTTTGTGTAACTCATTTTTATCCTAAAATATGGAAACATAACTTAAAAATTGTGTATTAATATAAATTTATTAAAATTTTATAAACAGCATAATTATATAAATAAAAGTTTGCGTATTCTATTAATACATTGCTGTTAAAGTAGATTTTTAAACAATATTATTTACTTATTAATGTTTTGTAATACTAATAAACTAGCTTATTTAGATTTAGAGATAATAAAAACGTGATTTTTATTTGTTGGTAGTATTATATTATAAAATTATTTAAGATATAATAGTATAAAATATATATATATATATATAATTTTTTTTCTAAATATCTCAAAATCTAAATTTTGAAAACAAGTTATTTAGTTTTAGTAACTTATTTAAAAGTGATTTATATATTTTAAAGTTATTCTTAATAGATAATTTATTGTTTTTAATTTATTCAGTATAGTAATTTGTAATCATAACTCTAATATTATTTTAACATTTTTAACTGTTTAATATTGCTACAATATTATAGCAATAGTATAAAAATTGTTACCTAAACGTAATATAAGGCAAATTATTACCAAAATAATAAATATAAATTAAAACTAATAAAAATTAATGCACTTTGGTCAATGTATTAATATAGAAAAGTTGTTAATTATTAATTTAATTAATTAATAATACTATTTTATAACCACAATATAGATAATTATAGACACTATAAAAATTGTATTATGTGCGTTGCTATAAATATGTTGAATTTTATATTATAAATACTATTTTGTGATTATTTTTAATAATACTGTAAATTAAAAAATATTTAGTAAATTAAAAATATTTTAAACTTGTTAAATGGCATTTAATATAGTGATCACATTATTATAGTTAGATACTATTCAATATTAAACTAGTTTTAAAATATGACAAATAAGTAAATAGTTATTAAAATATAAAATTATTTTATTAAATTTAATTAAATTTGTAATTAATAAATTTTTAGTAAAAAATCTAAAAAATCGGATACTGAAGCCAATGTTGGTCATAAATGCCCTCCCGTTTCATTTTTTCAATTGGTAAGCATTGAAACCTAATAATAACTCAATTAATATTAATTAATTATAAAAATTTTATTAAATCYTATTTTTATATCTAATTTATTAAACAAATTGATAAATAAATAGTTCAAATACGCCAAACTCCGTGACAAACTATACATTACAATCGGTGTTATCGGTGCCACATTTGCCAGTTTTTCGTGGCCCGCATTGAATGTACTCTTCGGCTCTATTGTCGATGCTTTTACTGATTATGATAAAGCAAAAAGAGATCATTTAGTTAACGATGAGTTAACCAATGAATTCATGACTAAAATATATTGGATAAGTGGTGTCCAATTTGTCGCTTGGATTGTCATAACTGCTGCTAACTATCTAATGATGACTTTCTTTCCATTGTCTGCATTGAATCAGATCCATACCA